CCCCCCCCTTCTTCAGCTTCACTGATTTTCTCACGCGCTTGCTCTACGATGGTGAACTTTCGCAGCTTTCTCACCCTCTCCAGACACCGCTTTGGTTCACATGTCCTGCAGAGTGCACTGTCTTCGCTGCAACATGCGATTAGTCGCGAATCGCATGTTTCGATGCCAGTGTTTTCTTCTGCCCAAGCAAGAAGCGTCGAGACGGAAGCATCTAGCTCCATTGGGATCCTGCGAACAGCCACGCAACTGCTGCTCGATGCAACCGTCGAACTCGCGCCACACCTCAGCAGCCTGCTGCAAGACGCCTTTGGAACGCATATCTTGCGCATTATCCTAATCTTGCTTGCGGGTCTGCCTCTCGAACAGCAGGATCAGCGAGGTGCCAAAATGTTCGGACGTGAATTGACGAGATCGAGGAAGAGCGCGGTTTACAGAGCCAAAGAGAACCGCAACGGAGCAGCAAAAGGCAAGGGAAAGGCCACTGAACCGTTGCCTGATGAGTCTTTTGTGCAAGCACCCAAAGTACCTTCATCATTCAAGGAGACCTTGGTCCAAATACGCGAGAATTGCCTCTCGCACCTCTCACAGAACGAGGTGCGCGCAATCGCTGTCTCGCCTATATCAGCTCCGACCCTCGCGCTCTTCCTCAATCTTGAGGCTGCTTCTCCTAAATCAGCGGACAAAGCCGGTGGATTACATGACATGCTTCTCGACGGCCTTGTCGCCGTAGCAAGCTCAATGGCGAGGGGGAGAAAGGAAGAGGCGAAGCTGCCACAACGTTCCGACTTCATCGAAACCTCCTTGCGCGACACAATCGGTTCTCACACTCTGCAATCAGCACTGGAAACATGTCTTCCTGGTGCACTCATTTTCTTCTATCGCGTGTATCTGCAAACGCAAAGTCAGACCGAGGGCCAAGGTACCGGTCGCACCATCAGTTTAGGCACCCATCCAATCGCCAATTTTGTCGTCACGACTGTGATCCGACGACTCGGGCAAGTGGCGTTGAAAGCGCACACTGTGCGGACTGAAGGCGAAATTAGTGCCTGGGAAAAGTTGGCACTCGAAGCAGTGGATCTTATAAGGGATGCCATCAAAGAGGTCAGGAATGCAGGTGGCAAAATTGTGAAAGAAGGAAAAGTCAATCTATTGCAGGCACTACTTGAGGCAGCTGCAGCAGCTGACACTTGGGGCTCCAAGAGTGAGGGCACCAATCTGCAGGAAGAAGCGGCTTCCGCTATCTGCCATGCTTTTGGTGTGGACCCTGGGTCTACTGAGCAGGGTGAGACTACCGAACAGACCCAACTTGACACACTGCACATCTTATTGGCATTCAAGACGCGCAAGGACTGGGTTAAGAGTCGCAAGCGTGAAGTTAAGCTCAAGCAAAAGGCGGAAGGGGCGAAACACATTGGTGCCCGAAAAGCAAAGAAGAGAGCAAAGAAAATGATTTCATTCGGCGAAGTGGAAGAGGACTCTGACTCAGAATCAGACCCTGAGCAGAAAGAAGGAGAAGTGATTCTGGTTGCTACTACGGCCAATGAGCAAAACAGTGCTGAGAAGATCGCGTCACTGCCTGACGTAGAAGCGACAACGCAAGGAAGCGTGCTTTTGCAGCACATTGCTCGGCTCAGCCTTCCAGCGAATGAATTGATTCATCGAAGGTTAGCGACAGATTCTCTCGCGCTTGGCCCATGCAGATGCTCACACCCTTGTTCCTTTCTCTGCTTTTTTGCAGCCTTCAAGCACAACAACAGGAAATGCTGCTATCGATCAGCCGCTCTGGAATCGCGGCTCACGTCGTTCTGGCGGCGATCAACTCCTCCACCACCACTTTCCACCATCGCAGGATACTCTTCGAGCGGCTCATCCCGCTCCTGTCTGATTTGGCAGACGACAGATGGGGCAGTCGCGTAGCAGATGCTGTCTGGGACCGGGCAGATCCGTTTACAAAGGCAAGTCATCAGTGAAATTCACCTGCTTAAACACTTTACTGATCTTGGTGCAACCTTTTCCGGCGTTTAGGAGAAAATCCTGAAGTCGCTTCGTGCAAAAGAAACACATCTGCTGTCTTCGCAATACGGCCGCTTCCTTATCCGCCGCTTGAATCTCGGAATGTATCGCAAGGACGTTGCCAAATGGAAGGAGTGGGCTAAAGCACAGGTCAAATCTGACCCCTTGCCTTCCTTGACGGAAGAAGCTCAGGCCAAGCAAGCCGACCAGATGACAACAGTACACATGGCACTACCGCCTCCTGATGACAGCGTTGAGCAACCGATTCAATCGAAGAGGCGGAGGTCCGAAGACTTGGATGCGGACAAGATATCAAGGAAGAAGTCTATGAAAGCGAGAAAAGATGCTGTCACAAACGAGTTGGACATGATCCTCGCGGGCGCCAAGTAGATAGGAATTCAATTGTTTATCAATGTTATCAATGACCCGTAAAGGCGCGTCGTGAGCTAAGTACATGATCATGAGGAATCTTGAGTTTTCGTTACGTGAGAAGTGTCATGCACTCGATCAGTCACAGATTCACCACGATTTTCGGTGTGCTACTGGTGTGGGATTGTTGCGGATACTGACCTGGTGGGCTGACAAGGATACCGGCAGGTGGAACCGGAAAAGCTGGGGCGGCTGTTGCTGGTTCAATGCTAGTCCACTTTGCGGCCATGCGCACAGAAGGCTGCAAGCGAGCGGGAATGCGTGCACCGTGTTCGTCGAAACCTTTGCCGGTAGAGACTCGCGGTCGGGGCTCAGGCGGAGGCTTCGGCTTTGGCTTCAAGTCGCTGCTGCGACGCAGGCGATTTAGTGGTGCGATAGCTGCTTTGGCTTCTGTGGTGGCTGCTGCAATCTGCTGCGCTTTGGGCGCCCCACTGTCACGACGCAAGCCTGCGAGCAAGGCCGTGGGCATGGAGAGTGACTTCGCAATGTATGGCTTCTCAACAGCTTTGGGCCGCGATGCGAATGCGCCGAGCCTGCTGCTTTTGACCGGCGAAGTTCTTGTGCCTTGTGACGAGCCGCTCGAAGATGTGTTGATTGACATGGCAGGAGTGACAGCGAGCGAAGTGCCCCCCTTTGCGTCCATCGTCGCGCGGATGTATGCAGCTTTCGCGTGACAAGACTGGCGAACATCGTCTAGCGCCCTGCCTCGTAGGATCTGTGTATGCGAGGGGCGTCGCCCGCGCGATGAGACGAAAGAAGGGGCGGTCATGCTCATGGGCGTAGCAAAGGCGGCTCCGGCAGCATTAGACGTGGATGCTAGGCTGTGTGGGCGAGGGGTAGACGTCCCTGTAAATGATTGTGACAGCTGGTTGCGGTGCATTGGTTTCGAGCGTGCCGAGTCTGCAAAGGACACACGTGTCGTCGGTGGCATTGCTGGCCTTTGGCGTGGAGCTGCTGGGTGCGGGTTCACGTGTTTTCCGACCCACATGGGGCCAGCAGGTAGCGAGTCCTCCGCCTCTGCGACGTCGATAGGGATGCTCGCCTCTCTGGCCTGTTGGCTGAGCTGGTCCTTGGAAACCTTTCGCTGCGGCACCAGAGGCCGGACAGTAGCATCTGAAATGTTGCTATTCGTCCGAGAGACGGGAGTGCGATAGCGCGTCTTCACCACAAACACAGGGCTCGTCTCAGCTGAAAGCGGTTGCTCGAGTTCTCTGCGTTTGGTTTTCGGGCGCGAACGGTCGAGGACGGAAGCGGGTGAGGGCGTCGGAACCGGATAATGGACTGTCGCCGTAGACCCGCTAGGGATGTTTTTGAGCTGACCCGCATCATGAAGTTGAGGCTTAGACATCATGGACCGTATATCAGATGCTTTCGGGGCCACTTGGTAGTCGGATGGGATGCGTGTCTGATCCGTGACAAAAGGCGGCGGTATACCAGGTAAGGCCGAAGTCGTTCCGGTGGAAAGTACTTCCGTGGGCGACACCTGCGCCTTTGAGGCTCCGCTTCTGTGAAGCTCCGGACTGCGCGGCCGCATTTGGTCGAAGAAATCATTTTCTAGAAGGTAGCTGAATTCGGCTAATCCATCCTTGGAGCTCTGCGCGATAGACGGCAGCTCCAATTTGGCCGCAGCAAGTTGGTGTCGCTGCTGAGGCTGTCTTCCACTGGGCTCATCAAGAAGCTGCAACGCGGTCGCATGGGCATCTGCAACGTCAGCCACGACGATTGGGGATCGGTTCGAGCCTACTGGAGGAGACATGGCAGAAAGGGGTACGCCAAAGAGCCTCTCAACATCGAGAGGACTCATGAGCAGAGCTCTCGCGGTTCCGCCGCTGTTGTTGCTCAGCAGAGGCTGCAATGCAGCGGAAGCAGACAGCGCCCCAGAGAGAATCGGGGAGTCCTCCGTGATGCTCGAGATGATCGATGTGCTTCTATTCACGCCTGCCACGCCTGACGGCGGCTTGCGACCAATCGACACCTTCCGAGGGAGTACCCCACGCACCGCTTGGCGTCCGCCGGAGGAGACGCGACGACGGACGCCACCCACGGCCGCATGATGATGGTTGAAGCTGTTGACACGGGATGCAGCTCGGCTCCAGCTGCTGCCTACCTCTGCAACGGAAGCATCGTGCTGCGTACCGTCGCGCAGTGCAGGGCTGCGCAGCACGACGACAACGTGCGCTGTGGGACCTTGCCTTGATTGATGCCGTTCATCTGTCATATCTGCATCCTGCAAGGTGTCCAGCTGGTAAGACAATACGCATGGTGCTACGCTCTCGTCGACAGACCACTCGATGTCGGAAGCATTTGCGAGCTGCTCAGCAAGCGACGGAGCTGCCATCTCGATTGGCGCGCCGAAGTCGTCGACCTCAACAGCACCAGCGCCGCCCAAGCTGATGAGTCGTTTCTTTGGCTGCTGTTGCCGTTGTCTGGCCGCGCGACCATGTTGCTTGAGCGAGGCGGAAGGGGTTGCATGCTCGCTAAAGTCGCCTCTGAGGTTGAGGAGCTCCAAGCTGCGCCTGAGACGCAAAACCTTGGCTTGGTCTGCACCATCTTGTGCGCCCAAGCCCACTTCTTCCCCCTCCGTGTAATCAGCTTCAGGCAGTTGATTATCTTTGTACAGGTTTGCGTTGCCTTCGCCGTCATCATCCTCCCAAGCGTCTTCGTCGTACAGCTGCTCGATGCTGACTGTGCGGCGGTGCGGGCGAGCGAGCAAATCCTCTTGTTTATGACGACGATGATGTTGGACAGCCTGAGGGTATTGATCGGTGCCGATAGAGTCAAGGGGTGGGATGGCAGTGTGCACGGCGGCAACTTTGCTATAAGCGAGAGGCGCGACGCTATCGGTGACAATAGACGGTAGTGAGTAGGATGTTGGTATGCCTGAGGCGGCATGGTGATACTGTTTGACCAGAGTCCAGCTCGGATTTCTTCCGTCAATCTCCTGTTGTGCGCCGACTTTCGCACGTGTGGTGGTCGCGACATTCGCTGTCCGCACTGGCGAAACCTTGTTGTCCAACTTGAAGTTCGCATCGCCCCTGCACTCTGTGTCAGTCGGCAGTGTGGTGATGGACGTGGCAGTGCTCCGCCGCCGATCACCCACGTCACGGATGAACAAGCTGGTCTCGTCGCTTCCGCGCCTGCTGTCGCTCTCGTTGCTTTTGTCGGAGCTGAGCACCGTACTTGTTGAGTGGGACGAACAGCTGCCAGGAGCGGTTCGAGCAAGCGGCACGCCGAGAAAACCTGACGCGACTGGAGTGCGCTTCATGGACTTCTTTGGGAGCGCAACGCCAGAAGGAGAGGGGGCTAAACGGTCGGTGTTCGCATCCGTGTCCGTGCCAGCCGCTGTATCCGCAAAAGTACCAGTAGAGGATGAGGAGGGCTCACTGGTGCTGCACGATTCGACAGTGGAAAGGGCGTCGAAGTCTCCATCGGGCCTTGCACCAGCTTGATCGTTGCCCTGGGCGTGGGCGTAGCGCTCCGCCTCGACGCGCCACTGCTCGATGGTCCGCGGATGCAAACGCTCGTCGAGGGCAGCAACTTCAGCAACAGACTTGAGATGCGCCATGCTCAGTGGTCGTCGGAGGGTATGGCGCGCCTGTAGGCCCGTACCGAGCGGATAGGCGTGATCCACGGGGGGCTTTGGGTAGTTGGGTGGCACGGGTGCACCATATGGTGTCGCGGCAGTGCTCCCAATGTCAGTCGGAGGAAGAGGGAAGCAAAACGACTCAGAGTGGGAGCGTTTGTGCGCATCGGGCTGAGCGCGTTCTCGCGATGAAGCATGCTGGAGATTGGGCTTGGCTGCTCCGCGGCGGACCTTGCGCAAAGAAGACATGACATAGTCTTCGTCGTCATCGTCGCCCTCTTCCTCAGCATATCGCCCCCCGCGACCAGCCTGATTGCCAGGCGAGAATGGAATGGGTGAATCATAATGCTGCAGATAGTAGACTTGCGGGACGCCGAGCGTCGCGGGCGGCGCCATCGCAACAGCTGGGCAGATGCACCGCATCGGGCAACGAGAGGAAGCCCGTGAGCGCCTCGCGGTACCACTGCAATGACAACGATGACAGTGCGAGCTCACCTGCGACTTCAGTAACGAGAGCTTAAAGCTCACACGCCTCGGCGCGTAGCTTAGCTGTTTTCTTTTTTTGCCAAGAGCTGGATTGATGGTGACGCACTTGCGTTCCAAGGTATCTAAGGGAAATACTTTCAATGGCAACCGAAGGTCTTTGTGTAGCACGGATGATGTTTGCAACAAGAACAAAGCATCCTCATGAGAAGGCCCATGAGGAGACCAAAGGAACTGTGAGGCGGTCGAAGGATGAAACAGGTGTTAAGCAGAACCGGAAGATGGTGTTGCCAGATGGGATCAGTCGTCATGGACCACTAGAAAAGGAAGAAAAACAGAATTGCAATGCCATAAAGGGCAGCTCAACATCACATCTTTACCCGTCAACATGATGACTATCCAACTTAGTTTGGTACTGTCGTGGGCATGCTGGGATGATGATGTAACTGTGCACCTGTGGCCGTTTCGGGTACCTGAGAGCTTGTCAAACGGGCTGACGACGCGACAAGAACAGGTGTTTGCCTTGCTGTCCCTTTTCACCAGAGGCTATTTTCGATCGTTGTCACATACCCTCTGACCAGCTGGGCACTGACCCGCAAGCCTGACAGATGAACGAATGCATGACCTTCAGGCTCGAGGTTTGTGGTGCCCGAAGATCAACGAATGCTGCAGGTATAGAAGCTGCGTGAATAAACCGTTACTGGCGACGCTACGCGTAGAAAATGGACCAGCCGCCAACGGCACATTGAAGAAAACTATTCCAGTGCCGCTTCCTGCCGGCGGCCCTCATGTTGTCACTCGACATATCCGCGCAGCTGTTGATCGCACTGTTCACCCATCTCTACATCGACATACATACGCCTTTTCTCCAGTTGGCCCATCGGCCCTCTCACCACGCACCAAAGGCGTGCTTATGTTCACTTGACGCTTTTCCTCGTGCCCTATTCGCCTTCCTGCCGTCCCTGGCCCCCATCCGCGCCTCAGTGCGGCCCATCACACTTTTCTTCTCGAAGGCTTTGTTTTGAACGTGTTCCACGCCCGCTGGCCAAGCCAAGGACCGGCTCTGCTCTGACCGTGCAAGCGAACTTGAGCCGGGTTGTGCTGACTCCAATCAAACGCAGATAGGGAACACCCCACTGTCATCTTCACTGCAACATGCCTAGTCCCGTATTGGCAGCGACCAGCGCGGCAAGGAATCACATGCTCCCCATCGCATCTCGCACCTCAAGGTCCCACTGGCTGCAGACCTTGGTCTTCGGCATCTTCTTCAATGTCGCGATCATTGCGCTCAACACGAGCCAGTTTATCTTTCTGCCCCTCTCCTTTCTCCCCTCCACACAGCCGCTGTACGAGAAATTTGTCGCATACACCAAGCACAGCTTTGGCGTCCTGCTCGTCTCCATCAGCCAGCTCTTTGCGCCTACGACGATCGTGCTGAGCTTCACCGATGCGCAGGGCCGACCCATCGATGCGCAAAAGTTCGTCATACGCGATGAGAACAGACGTGGTCCGGATGGACTGGGTACAGTCACGCAGGTCAAGATGCCGGACCGCAGCGTCTGGATTTCGAATCATCAGGTGCGCATTTCTTCAATGAAAGGCTCCTCCGCAGTTGTCACGGTCATATGACTCTGAAACTTCCATGATCAGGTCTATGTAGATTGGCTGTACCTCTGGTGCGTCGCTTACTACGCCAACATGGCGGACAGCATCATCATCATCCTCAAAGCATCGCTGAAGAAGGTTCCCTTTGTTGGCTGGGTGCGTGTATGCTGCTCGCTGCCCCAGACGATGGTATTTCTAGCGCGGAACTGACACATACATTGGCACATCTCGATGTCTAGGGCATGCAATTCTTCCGCTTCATCTTCCTGGCGCGAAATTGGCAGGCCGATCGTATGCCACTGGCTAAACACCTTTCTTTTTTAGCCGAGCGCTCGCATTCGCAGCACGACAAAACCGACAAGAAGAGGCAAGACGATAATGTAGCAGATGCGAAGGCAGCACGTGCGTCGCCAGCCAAGCTGCTCCTGCTCATCTTTCCGGAGGGCACGATCTTCACCGCTAATACCAAGGCGCAGAGCGACAAGTACGCACAAAAGATGGGCTACAAGAACGAGCTGAAATATACCGTCTTGCCGCGCAGCACCGGCCTCTTATTTTGTCTACGTGCTCTCGCAGCTGACATAGACGACCTATGGCTAGTGGTGAGGTCCCAATCACGAGTGCTCCCATATTCAAATCTTGAGGCCACTAAATGTGCGCACATACTGACAATGTGTGGTCTGCGCAGGACTATACAATTGGATATCCGGGCATCGCGCCAACAGGCTACGGCGAAGACTACTACACACTACGCTCCGTCTTCATGCAAGGTGTCCCTCCTCCGCGCGTACACCTCAACTGCATCATGACACGTGTGACTGCTCCAGATGACGGCGCAAAGTCGGGGCCATCCGTAGATAGCATGGCGACGTTGGGTGGCAGCGTAGCGGCAGCAGCAGTTGGGACAGACGCCCTTGCCGATCACCCGCCTTTGGGCCGCCTTGCTTCCAGCGGCAAGGCTAGTGGAACAAAGGAGAACGAGCCGACAAAGGAGGAGCAGGAGTGCTTTGCTGCATGGTTGCGCGAGCGCTGGGCTGTCAAGGATCGGCTGATGGACTCGTTTAACCGCGATGGGGACTTTGTTCATGGCGCATATACCCGCCGCCTGCAGCGTGACGGCACGCAAGGGCTTGAGAAGCTCATAACCCCACAATTTTTCGAGATCCCCGTTGAGCTTCGTTCGCCGTTGGAACTAGGCCATGCTTTCGTCTGGGGCCTGCCGGTGTGGGTTGCTGCTGGCGTTATCCAAGGTTACAAGGCGCTGAAAGGATAAGGAAAGATTAAATCGTAAAAATAGGTGAGGAAAGTAAGTTAAAGGCACTACTCAGTCAGCTGTAGCGTAGTGAAAACCTGCGAAGGGGTTCTATTTATCTCGCGGATGGTTAGACCATCATCCTTCACCCACATAAACTTGAAATTTCACGGCCGAGAGAGCGATTCTGAAATCGGCTTTCCATATCCATTCGAACGTCTCGCTTTTTAAGCTGAGTTGTTGTTGATCCTCGGACCCAAAGGGCCTGCATTTTAATGCCAAGCTTACTGCGCGTGAACATCACGTCACCCCTCCGGCACTGCCTGCGAACGGCCGCGCAGGTGTATTATACGACAAAGATGTATCTGCATCGAAGAGACCAGCACGTCTTTTCAACCAACGGAGCTGGAGAACGCGCTGCCTCCCTTCCCCAGCCGTCGCATCAGGCGGCCTATACTTCGAGTTACATTCACAGTTACAGCCAAGGCCAAAATCAGAGTCAAGCCTTCAGCAACGCTGGAAGTAGCAGTACTAGCTTTCGCCTTCGCATCCGGACGCTCGAACCGCTTCCTGTACGCACATTCCTCATTGCTTTCTTCCCGGAGCGAGATTCGCTGCAGGGTGTCCGAGATCGAGTGCTCGATGCTTTGAGAAGGAGGCAAACGGTGGGGTCGCAGACTCCGCCTTATGCAGAGGTGGAAGATGAGGCGCTGCTGTTAAGCATTGGTGGATTTGAAGTTGACGAGGTAGATGTTCTGCGCGATGAGGACCTCATTGAGTGAGCATTTGATGCACCCTCTCAAGCATCGTGGAGAAGGTTACTGAACTCACACTGGCATGGACAGAGTTTCTTACCGTCCATCCGGGTCTCAAGCTCTTCAAGCCATGGCAAAATCCGAAATCCTAAGCAGCGCAACGTGCAAGCGGCCTCGGGAATCTGCGTACACACAGAAATCAATCTCTCCAAATGGAAGGTCAGATAGCCCTCTTCACGAGCATACAGATGACCTTGCCATGATGGCGGATGCGAGCCGTGTGATCGAACTGATGCGGTCCGAGCTAGGTGTCGTTGGGCGGCCTGAAATGTCCAAAGCCGCCATGTACATCGACACCGCATCGGAGTCAGACACGTCAGGATTGCCAAATCGCAAGCGGCAACGGCTGAAGCAATCGTCACTGCCGTCTTCAACGACAGGTTCATCGGTTCCGACCGTTAATGCGGCTCTGCAAGCTTTCGAGGCAGCGAAAGCAGCGCGTAAGCGCAAAGATGACGTTGTCAATTTTGAATATGCCGATGCTCTCGATCACTCACCTTCCGATGGACCTCCCTCTGAGGCCTCCCTCCACAAAGAAAGAAATGGAGCAGCTCAGCCACTCCAGCATTCGTCAGAAACAAATGGCGAGGATTCATCGGATGGGACCTCGGACGATACTTCGGACGGGACCTCGGACGATACTTCGGACGGGACCTCGGACGGCTCATCTAGCCTGGAAAGCGATTCTTCACTTTCGGCTGAAAATTCAGACGCAAATGAGCAGGACGCGGTGGGTGCGGCGCCTGCCGCTTTGTCGGTATCCTCTTCATCTTTATCGTCAACACCTCTATCGACCGAAGGCTCAACACCTTCGGTCGCCACATCCACGTCGGAGGCCTGCTCCTCTTCCTCCGCTTCCGCAGCGTTAAAGGCGACTGATGATCAGCCAGCTGTCCCCAAACCTCCGCCCCGGCATCGATACGTATCTCCGCCCCGGCCAGTGACTCCGCCTGGCGGCTGGGTACCACCGGGTTGTGGAAGTCTGCGTACCAAGAAGCGAAACAGAAAGCGGCGAGAGAGAGCTAAAGGCTTAGCGACTCCTGAAGTGCCGCGAGAATCTGTGACGCCACAAATCAGCGTAGGGTCGAACAATTCCGAATTGACTGCGCATAATCAGAAAGGAGAAACAGCCTCATTTACCCTTGACACTCGGCCCGACATTCAAGCACAGCCTGAAGAGTATCACACTCACCCAGCGTTGTGCCGGAATGGCCCTTACTCCGACTTCGAGATTCAACTGCCGCCGGGTGAAGGCAGCCTCGGTATCGAACCTCAGTCCAAGCCAAAAATCCATACGCGAAGAGCGGTTGCGGCTGCCAGGTACATTCCGCGTGAGTCGGACATCAGCGCCGCTGAGGCATCCCTAACGTTTGACCGGGGCAGTCATCCGGCGCCAGCACCATCCATGCGCGAACCAAGTAGCATTCCAACGAATATGAAGATTACCAGTATCGACTGCCCTGCGTGGTACAATCAGCAATGGGTAGGGGATGACGAACATTTCGATTCTGCTGCGAACGAAGAGACAACACAGGACGACGTGCCGAATATGACTGCAGCTATGGAGTATGATGGCGCATGGGAAGGCGAGATTGAGGTAGCCGACGCTTACAAACAGATGCAGGCGCAAACACGCGAAGCACTACAAGAAGAGAAGGGGCGCGAGCAGGCAGCTGAGCCTTACACTTTGCTGGGTGCGGCTGATATCGCGGAGGCCGAGGCGCGCGACATGCAGAAGTGGAGTCTCCCACTTGCTTTTGGCAAGACGTCTGGTTTTGCAACTTCAACGCCCTCTTTCGCGACAGATGAGCTCGACTATGGGTCAATTGAGTGATCCTTGCATTAGCATTCGTTGGCATGCAAATTCTTTTGTAGTTGTCAATGTAATGTGATTGGATGATTTGGCATGCGACGTCATCTTCTGTCTGAAATACTTAGTTGACATTCATATGACATGATGATTGAGATGACAGGATGGGCATTGTATTAGGGGCAGCAGAAGTGATACAATTTGTCGAACAATTATACCTCGCAATTTGAAAGTAGAAGAACACATCGTCTTGACACGCCTCAAAAACACTTCGGAGCGCGCTTTTCAAGGCAGTCGATACGTCTTGAAGAAATCGTCCGGATGCTGGCAAGCAGCAACGGCGCGCCTCATGTGCGTAGTCAAGAACGTCAGGCCAACTTGGTACGAAGCATTCATCCAGCCGAACCCTTCTCGGGGTACGAATTTGAAGTCAATGCCTTGGTTGCCGTACTCTGCGTCGACCATGTGGCTGAGCTTGACGGCGTCGAACCTGAGTGGAGCAAGTGTCAAGCACGGTTGAAAGGAGATATCAGCGTACGAAAACAGAAAACGCAGCCACGAGCTATATCACTCACTTTTCTGGCACAACACCGTTGAAATCTACAAAAGCGACCGTCATCATGTATAGCCATCTATACGCAAGCCTACGCGCGTCCTCCAAATAGCCATACCGTTCCATTCCGACCCAGGCGAGGATCTGATGGGGGGGCCATGCGAATGGATAGTCCCACTGCCGATTCGGCCTCTCCAGCGAGATCCTCCCGCGCGATTCCTCCGTACCTGGCACAAGCCCGCCAGTGACCTCGAACTTCCTGAGGGACTGATGCATCAACTTCTCAGCCTGCTCCTCGCTCGCCATTCCAGCCCACATTGCCCAGTAAGCCGTTACGCTCTCGTAGAGGTTCTGCTCCTCCTTGACAGTATCATAATCGTAGTATAGACCCATGCCCTCGTTCCAACAGTATTCATCCACTTGGTACTTCCGATGAGCGGCGCGCGCAAACCATTCGGCTGACGTCTGAGGCGCTTCGATCGACCGCAACGGCTTAGCGGGGGGTGCGCCCTTCATTGCGTAATTTGGCGGGAGCGGCCCGTAGAGCAAGAAGTCGTCATCGAGCGTCAGATTGTCGTCGAACAGCTCCCGGATGGCAGTTGCAATGTCAACCTCGTACTGCCGATTAAAAGATGAAATTAATCAGTCGAAGGATTTGACGTGAAGCAGAACAATTAGGCTACTGACCTTGTACAGCAAAGCGTTCAGATCGATTGTCGCCAGGTTACCACATTTCTTCTCCAGCCGGTACGACGTATCGTGTCCACTTTCACGCACTGCACGATCATGCATGAAGTATTCGTCCAGTGTCGGCTCCTTGATCTCATTGAAGTTGTACTTGCGCGTGAATCTGAGCAGGGTAATCGCAGTTCCAAAAGAGAAGAGTCAGTGGGTTTGTCGTGTGAGTATGTCATGCCAGCGACTCTACGACCGTCTGCAGCTTACTCGTTGATGCTGATGCCGTGCTTCTCAGCATATGGGCGGAGGACGTGCGTGAAGTGTGACGCCTCCGTCTCAGGCGGCACGCCGACGCCGGCAGGCCTGTACCTTGACAGGCCCGACTTGGGGTGGTAGCGGGGCTCGCACATCCAGACGGTGTGGTACTCCTTGATCGCTGCTTGGATCGCCTTCTTGAGCCACGCATTGTTCTCGGCCTCGTTGGATGGTTCCAAACGACTGTACACCTGTAGTGCCATGTCCGTCAAGAAGGGTGGCTGCGCACGCAAGAGATAGTAGGTTCTGTTGCCGTTGAGGATCTTGGCATAGTGTTTGATCTCAAAGATGAAGTGGTCGACGATGTCTTTGGCCATTTCGACCATGTTGTCAACAACGAGGCCAAGGGAGATGAAGTATGAGTCCCAATTGTACAGCTCGTTAAATCGCGCCCCTGGAACGACGAACGGCACGCCTTCGAGCTCTGTGCCTTCGGAGCCATCCTTCTTCGGGCGTTCGCGCATGGCGAGCGCAAGCAAGCCAGGAAAGTCGTTAAGGTCGCGCATGTACTCAGGGGTGACTTGCGCGATGGGTGGCAAGATTTCAACAATCAGGCCAAGCTCTGGCTTTTGCTTTGCGACATCTTGGTAGTATTCGATCATGCGCGGCTCTGCTGATGGAACATAGATGCGCGGGTGCTTGCTCTTCGATCGGTTCTTTGGATCCGAAAGGATGGCTTCTAGTCCATCGCCATCAATTCGACGTGTGAGATTATGCCAGAAGGTCTGCGAAATCATGCGCGACAGCCGGTCGACAGGGTTTTCGGCAAGACGCATCTCGTCGAGCACGATGCGCTTGCGGCCGTGCTCCTTGGCCAGAGCGAGCTCTTGCAAAAGGTTGGACAGCATGTAGGTGCCACGAATGTCGAATCCCTTGTAGCCATTACTGTCGACAGTCCCGAGCTGCACGACTTTGGGACCACCATCAGTGATGTTAATCTGAAAGTTTCCGTCCGTGTCCTCCTGTTCCAAGACCAGCCGCATCGTCTCATCTACGTCCACAATGAAGCGGCGAGGGTTCTCTTGCGAAGCGTCTAAAGGTACAGTAACGAGTAATTGTTTCAATATTCGACAGGTCACGGAAGCCAGAGGGGTCTTTATGAAGCTCACCGTGGCTCAGGCGACGTGCCCTCATGATGGTATCATTGTCCATCACGTTCGGTCGGCGCTTCTGCTGACCCTGCAAGGCCAATCAGATCGGATCAGTCAACTGCCATCAGATTGACGAAGGCACTTTCCTTCATTCTCTCACCATACTGTACGTTCTGACGATCCCTCGCGCCCGAGCCTGCACACCTTCGTGAGTGATACTGCTCCTCCTGCTTTGTCCCGGTCGTGAGTACTCGGCATCAGGGTCTGGCAGCGTTTCCTCCAGTTTTTTAGGGTTCCTATGGTCCGCACCAGCGGGCTTGAGTGAGGGATCGAACGGCAGGTCGGAAGCTGCATCCTGCTGGCCATCAGTGCCGGGGCCGATGCTGCTGCTGTCCTGCGCACCTAGTGGACCGAGCACGCCTGATCCAAGGGGTCCTTTGGGTGAGGTAGGGGAGACGATGGACGGAAACGGCTTGAGCTGGCTTGTAACGCCGTGGTCGCTGTCTTCGTCCTCTTCGTCGATCGCGTGGTCCAGTGCACTGGCAGAGGAGGAGGCGCTGATGCTGGACCTGCGCAGCATGCGGGACAAGTCGTAAGCATCCTGGTTGCGCGTGAACGGATTCGTCATGGGAGGGGTCGAGGAGCTTGTGCCTGAGCCAGCTGATCCAACAGTCGCCAGTGGCGAAGCGGGTGTGGGAAAAGTGTTGTGACTTAAGCCTGACATTCGGGCTGAAAGCTCGCGTTTTTGTGAATAGTTGGGCGATAGCACCTAGATGACTAAAAGGAGCTCCAACAAGCGTGCAGACTTTGCGGTGCACTCTCCCCTCGTGAAACGATCAGGACCTGGGCGTTTGCTCAAGATTATTTGAAGACTCCTGGACGTGGTGAACAAGTGCAACGATCACAACTTTGCAGGTTCGTCGATGATGGAACGCAGTTGGAGACCGAATCCATTGCTAAGCCTCTTGCTTGATCATGATGTTGCTGGCCGCCCTCACGCAAGATGCAAGCATTGAAAACAGCCAATCAGCTTTAGTGTGGTGGTTGGTCCGTGCGCGCGGCCAGGGTTCCAGACGTCGTCGGTAGCCTCCAGATCCTTCAGTGGTATGGATCTTTCTTGCCGTTTCGCAGCAAGTCATTTATATCGCAAGCAACACCACATGCGAAGACGATCACTGCTTAGCCGAGGCTAACTTATAGTGAAGGATGGTAGCGAACAGAAAAAACAAGAAACGAAAGTACTACAAACCATCGTCTCAGGATGGTGCACGCGGCGACCAAACAATCTCGTCTAGGACGTACAAGCGTGCACGCATTGATAACTCATTTGTAGGGCAGCCAGGGATATGGTTCACATGTCCCCGTAACAAAGAAGAAAAGGCGAGCGGTGACCTGAAAGCTATTCTGGAAGAGGTGAGAGACAATGCCCCGATCCCCCTACGAGTGCAGCTTGCTCCTGTAAATATTGGAAATTGAATGTCGCAACCATTATCGACCGCCTCACACCATCCCCATCTCGATCACTGTGAGACGAGGCGATAGGCTGTTGCGAAACTCTATCCTAAACGACAAGACGGATCTCACAAAGCCCAAAACGAGCAAGATGCACATGCATCGCAGGAGCATGCAGCCAAGAGCAAAGGCGATTTCATGAGTGAGCTCGAAGCCGAGCTGTCTGGTTTAAGGGAGGCGGGGAGGGCCAAGGGCAAGACCAAAGCCAGCTCAAATATCAGCATTCCTAGAGGCGACCTGACACTGGTGGACCTGCAAACGGAATCATGTGAGAACACATCTCCGCATTCTGAGGAGAGAGCATCAAGCATTCTGAGAAGCCGTCACGTCCTGTCCCCCCCCCCCCACACACTTCTTTCTCGCCGCAGTGGGATTTGTCTCCCTTGCTTCCTCCCTCGATCCTTACCGTATCGTTAAAGAAGTTCTCGAAAGGGCGCTGATTAGCGGCCTCTCGCGCAGCAGGTGCAGTTGCATTTACATTGCCAGTCCGGGTACATTTCATGCGCTGACACTTGTTTTGCATCTGTTATTGCAGATATTTGCAGCGTCTCACACCCGTCTCGCAAGTGTCCAAAGCCGATGCCGACTCGTTGCGTATACTGGCCACTGGAGTCCTGCATGCGCGCCTAGGCTTTGATCCGTCCGCAGCGCAGACATACAAAGTGGAGCCGCGCTTGCGCTCCAGTATGGTGCTCGACCGGGAGGAGGTGATCCGAATCGTCGCGGACGCGGTGCCGAAAGACGCCGGGCATACAGTCGAACTGAAAGGACCGAGCTGCTGGATCGTCGTCGAGGGCGTTCAGACATTTATTTCCATCGGTGTGTTACAAGATTACGAGCGGCTGGGAAAATACAACTATCAAACGTGTATCACGCAAGGTGTGGCGCGTGAGGACAAGACCAAGGAGCCACCATCCGTTACAGCGTCGATGGAGGCAAAGACAGTCGCAAGACCACGTGGCGATGGTGATAATGACGCAAGCAATATGACAACACGAGAAGTGGACACGGTGCCAGGAGAAACAGCCAATTGAACCTCGGAGCATAGACATGCTGCGATGTAGCATAGCAATGAATGCGACTACAGGTACAGATCTCGCAATCGCATCCTGCGAGCAAGAGCATCGTCGGCAGTTGCTCCGTCCTCGCGGCAAAAGTAATGCGTCACAATGCCCGAGATCGGTTTCACTGTGATACCGGCCGAGTTGCCGAGCTTCTTGCCACAGCGCGGACAAATTCTGGTCTCCGTAACTTTGACATGTTTGGACTTGAGAGACATAAGACCATGGTCCAGCTGGTGATCTCTCGCCTTCAACACAGAAGATACAACCCCCGCGTCGTGCCTTTCAGCCGTGGTGATCTGGAGGACGCGCGACATGAATGCCTCAAGCGACTGCATGGGCACCATCGGTGGCAGGAGCTCGAAAGCTGCGACCGCATCGATGCGCGCTCCGTGTCGTACGATGATTCTGATCGCTTCGTCAAGCACAGGTAGTCCTGGAGTCTCTGCTGCTGATGATTCTGATTGCGCTTGCCGAGATGAATCTTGCCCATTTGCTCCATCTGGCCGGAGAAGGACTTTGATCAAGGTCAAAAAGACGTCGTTGTCCGCTCGAGACTCTCGGGTAGTCCACACGCGCTTGCAATACTCTTCCGCCTGGTGGACATTCTTGAGGACATGCACATACAAGCTAAGTGCAGCGTCATGGTTGCCCAATCGTCCGAGCAAAGCTGCACGGATTTCATATAGGTCTTCTTGCGCCGGCGGCAAGCGCCCGAGCACACACTCCGCGCCGTACTGTCGAGAAATTTCCACGAAAGCAAGCAGTTTCTTCAGCAATGCGGCCCTTTCCTCTTGCTCTCCAGACTTTCTCAGTTCTGTTGCCCGACGAAGGTAGAGGAAGAGCAGCTTTTCGTGCAGAGATGGTTCGCTCTCGTTGAGGCTCCCAATAATAAATTCAAGGTACCGGATGCAGAGCAACGGTGAAAATTGCTCCAAATCCTCCACGATGGCGAAGCGTGGGAAGGATGAGACTTTCCCGGTGTCCGCCGTGAAAATCTGAAGGAGAGCACTCGAAGTGAGCTGCTAATGTCCGAGCGCAAAGCGACGGAAGAGCCTCACCTCAAGACCCAAATCTGTATCCTCATCGAGAACCCAATGAGCGGCCTCCAAGATGACATCGATGTGCTTTGGGTCCAAATTCTGAAGATATCGTATTGTTGGCCCCAAACGCTCCGCCTCGTCCCCTTCCTTTTGCCCGGATTTTCGAAGTAGCTTCAATGCTTTCATGTGCATGTCCTTGCCACCATACAGCGCTATCAGCTCAGAGACCTTTTTCCGCTCCTGGAGCAGCTCTTCAACTTCTTCAACTTTGCACCAATTCTCCAACCGGCACAAGGGGCCGATAAGAGCCGGCTTCATCTCCAGGAATGTCTTGAGTAATGCAGTGTCCACCACCTGGGCAACATCGGAGAGCTGATCCAATGTCAACGTCGACAATGGAGCGGACGGAATTGCAAGTAATTGAGATACGTCACGATGCTCTTGAGATTTGCTTTGAGCAACGTGCGATTCTGGGTGGGATTCGAGAAGTGGCTTGAAGATCCGCCGTCGATCCGCAAGAAACTTGCCGAGTGCATCCAACGATGCACGGAAAGCATCGTCCTTCAGGAGTTTCTTCTCGCGGCGGGTCGTCATTACTGAGTTGAAGGAACGGACGCTCCCAGCATCATCGTCCTCAGGAGCAAAGGGTTTTCCGATGACCTTGCCAGCCCTCGATGGACTTACTGATGCGATTTGATTCGGACTGGAACCCAATGGCGTGGATGTCGGAGAAAACTGTTGTGGCACCTGCTGCGTCAGTTGATCGCCATAGATGCTCTGAGGGCGTCTCCCGGCGAGTAACGAGCCAAGCCGGCTTCGGTCTCGCAGGATAGGCGTGCCTCGCGGTGAGGCTCGACTTGGTGCAGGAATAACGGAGCCAATGGTTTCGATCGAGGATTCCGTAGCATCCACCGTGCCCTTGGCTGTGGGCAGAGGATCAATCTCGTAGTTTTCTTCTGCGCCAAAGACACTGAACCACTGGGAGCGTGGATGCGACAAGGCGCCAGAAATCTCCTCAGGGTATAGAGTGAGCACCTGAGCTGGGTTTGTGTCCAGTGCTAGAAAGATCTCGATTGCATCGTCGAATTTCTGCGTTGAAAAGAGGTGGACGGCATAAAGGTTCTGGACCTGTATCCGCCGCTGCTCTTTGTCTTCAAGGATGATCTGGTCGATGCTATCGAGCAGGGCAAGGGCTTCCTCGAATCCACCTTTGCGGACTAGCTCGTCAATCTGAGTTCCCCAATGTTCCATTTCCAAGCGCCAAATCATGACGCCATCTTTTTCCAGGATGCTGCGATCTGCTGGGCTCGACACAATGTAGAGCGGAGGCTTGCCACCAGCAGAAAGTGTCGGAAGATGAATAAGCCGGACCTGGGTAGTCGCATCTTTTTCATCAGGAGCTCCAGTGGGTAGAGTAAGATTCTGCACTTCTGCTAACGTGCGAGCAGATAATACCTGGATTGTTGTCTTACTCGTCGCAGGCGCGCCCGCGCCATAATTGAAGGTCAATTTAGAGGAAAAAGACGCGCCCGTAGGCGGAAGCACTGAGAGAATATACGGCCGTAGAAAGACTGGTTGCGGTGGAGTGGTTGTAAGCACCAATCCGGTCGATCCCTCTCCGCGGCGTAGTGGTGCTTACCCGTGCTTTCTGGTGTCGTGGGCCAATCGATGCCATCTCGTCTGCTTGGCTTCCCTTCCGCAGTGAGAAATATTCCCATCGCTATGCAAGAAGAACTCATCAGCACACCTACTCGCAACATGGAGCAAATGAGCCCCAAACGTACTTTCTCTTCCAATCAAGAGCTCTTCTTCATCGATTGAGATGACCCTGGGATCACGCTGGCGGCCTCCGCTCATCCCCACGTATGCGCCAATCGATCCAAAGGCGGCACCTAGCCCTACCCCATATCCGCCAGCACTGGCTGTTGATATGTCCTGTTGTTGATTGACAGTGCCAATAGGAAGCGATGGCAAGGAGATTTCCTTTGCTTCGTCCCACTCCACCACGTCCACCAATTTTCCAGCCGTGCTCGATTCTGGAATTCCACGCGACGTGGAGATCGTATCTTGACGGTAAATCCAGGCAACAGATGACTCTGCAGCCAGAGGAACCCTTAGAGTCGCGTAATCTGTTAGAGAGTAACCGATGAAAAGGCTTGTGGGGGTCGAGAAGACTATCGACCGTGGGGAATGAGGGAGTGCAATCTCCTTGGTGTCCCAGAACTCGCCATCAACCCAGCGTAGAAATATCAGTTTTCGTCGCAGACCGATGGCAAGGACAGAAACGAGAGTCATTTCCGTGTCGTCTTCGATGCCAGAGTCCTGACCCAAGCCCAATGCACCCTCCCGGAGCTGTTTCTTTTTCGCTTCCTTCTCTTGCGCAAGTTGATCCATGCCTCTGAGGCTTGCGACTATCTTGGAGTTGAGCGTGCCGCCTTTTCGAATCGTTCCTCCCACGCGGTAGGCCGCCCCTTTCCGTAGGGTGCTTTGCCCAATTGTGCCGACATTGGCAGTATCATGACCCAACTTAGGGCGCTTTTGCACTGACGTATCCAGAGTGAATGTCAAGGCACCTTTGCTTTGAGGAATTGGTGCTGGACCTGAAGGTTCAAGATCTGTCAGGCTATGCATCCATATGGAAGCATCTTAAAGGCAGGTCATTAAGGTCAGTCTGGGTACACAACGCAATTCGGAACCGTGCTAGATCATGCTTACCGCTTCGGCTGATTAAGATATTGACTTCCTTGATGACTGCCAGCTGATCGATTGGTTTTCCCTTTGGCGAAAACGTCTTCTTATGCTCCACAACCTCAGCATCGCTACCATCTTCACGAAGAGAGTACACCAAAAGTGAGCCCGTCGAAGTGCCGACGAAGAGCTTGCCTCCTAAAATCAGCAACAATGAGCGTCAGCTGTGAGTGTAGGACAGGGCTTCATGCTGGCCATTACTTACCATGTACCAGAAGAGCAGTAGGTTGCTCTTTGAGCCCTTGCAGGACTAATTTGGGACTCAAGGCTACGTGCATAGTGATGTATGCAGCGAGGATGTCGAGTAGGACGTCGGGCTTGCAATTGCTGGCCTACCACAACAGAAGAACGGCCGGGCACTCCGGCAATGAAGCGCTGACCTTGTGTCACCGTAGTTGCATTGCTGCTTTTGCAACAATCCCCATGTCGTAGTGCAGCTCTGTGGGGATGATCTCGCCTTGCAAGGTTGAGTTGAAGACCTGACGCAATTACAAGTGAAGGCTCATAGGACCTATTCAGGGGGCCACTGGCGGCGCCGACACCGTGCAAAATGCGAATCAGGTCCTTGTGACGCTCGTGCTACGTATACTCAGCTCCGTAAAGTGGCCGACGAAAATTCAGCATTAGATGGAAAGAATGAAAGAGGATTTAGCGGTTGCTCGTGATGGCTCATAGGTCGATGTCATGTGGATACACAGGGACGTGACCAAGCACGCTGGTCGGGTGACTGAAATCTGGCGGAAGTCAAAGCCTCTCAGGTTCTACGCAAACTAGGACATATTTGACCAGAAGACCGCACTCGCAGACCATTTGTCACAGTCGCGGTTTTGATCGACCCTCGCGTTCTGTGCTCACTATGAACATTCTCAGTTAGCATTTCCCGTTTCCAAGTGGCTTTGGATTGAAGAGAATGCGCCCAAGAGGCATGGGTGTGGGCTTCTTCAATTAGGAATCATCGACCATGCCGCCAAAAGCTCCTCTGACGCCCGACCAGCGTCGGTTGCGGGTGCGTTTCCAGCTGGCCTCTCCAAACCCCTCAATCTCCCGAGTGCAGTGCATGCTGATGATTCCAATGGGTTACAGGTGATCATCTTCTCCTTTCCGGTCCTTGTCGCTTCTACATGTGAGCCGCGATGTACCGCTGTATGGCTGCGTCGGGGGCCGCCTGCTAACCGGTGATGGCAACACTCCGAACCTAGATGTCCTGTATCGGCGCATGGTTTTGGGCGAGGAGCAAAGACAACTTCCAAAACAGGGGAAGTTGATCCCTCCGCCAACCTGAGGAATTATCTTCAAGCTCTTCGCCTATTCATGCAGATCTAATGTGCCGGAAACTTGGGCCGCACAATCGCGCGGCTCTGCAAAGCGCCCCGGTTCGGAGAAGATCCCCGAGGATGTATGCTACATTGGTGATAAGATACAGATGTGCATGCAATGGCGCTTAAGGGTGTAAGAACGTGATGATGTCCGCTCTGAAGGCTTCAAGAACAATTTTAAGCTCCCTTCTCCGCATTTCTTCGCGGTAAGCGATTTCATCAAGGGTATGCTTGCCATTCAGGTATGGCAGCAAGCTGATGCGCGGGAAATGTCCCGTCAGAATCACAATTGATTGCACCCCGGGTCTGAAGTAAACTCACCGATTGAATCGCTGCGATAGCCACGGCTCTTTGTCTTCTGCCATCACTGCGATCCACTCATTTTCCTGCCTGCTCGCGCGGCTCGGCTCGCCTATGAGCGTGGCTTCAGTGCTGGCGGAAACCCATTCGTCATCGCTGTCGTCCTCCACGGCCGAGACCGATCCGTCTTCCTGCTCCTCCAACAACGGCTCCTTGCCGTTTCTCTCTCTGAGCTTTAGAAGCGGCGATGTGCGATCTCCTTTATTTTCCTGAGGTGTGGGCGACATTTCGGCCTCATCGTATGCGACTTGTTCGCCTTCTCCGAATCCTTTGATGGTCTTCCTTGCTCTCGAAGGACTCCTTCCTTTGCGTGACAACGCCCGAGCCGGCCTACCGACAGGTGTGCGGTCACGCATGGCTGGCTCGCTGAAAACAGTTCCGTAAGATCCCACGGCTACTTTTTCAGGGTCCTGCATGTAGCGCCTTCGACCTCTGACTCCCGCCTCCTTGGACACATCACCAAGTTGAAGTTCGGAGATCAAGTTTGACGGGGATCGCGATCGAAGTACCGCTCGTCTCTCAAACCGCAGTGCTTCATCTGGCAGTTTCCCGTCGCCAGTTCCGGATTTCGAAAGTGTTTCTGTGATTGCCACGCAAGAGCCTGGGGTCTGGAAACGGTCTGGACTTGCGTCGACGGACCGTGACCTCGCACGAGTGCGGCCTCGCACAGCGTGTACAGAATCGGAACTCTCGCCCGAGGGCTCCTTTCGGATCTTGCGCCCGGAATCCCCGCGGTTCTCTGCCACAGAAGATTGTTCTTTGTTCTGCTTCGCCTTACGTCGCTCCTCATCTGCTTCCTGTTTTTGCTGTTTCCACTTAACCTTGATCTCACTGCGCGCAATCAGACGCAGGCGGACGTGCATGTGCACTATGACATCCTCACGCAGAAGCCAGATGAGAGCTTGCAGGCTCGTCGCTTTGCTAACAGAACCGTCTTGAAAGTCCGGAAGCTTGCTGTATGGTTGTACGGTTTGCGAGAGGCTTGCCAGGAAAGCAGGGAGCGGCGCAAGTTCAGTAAATGTCTGGGCCCATATGATGCTGAGCTCGGGGAGACTGAAGATCGTGAATGAAAGATGAGTTGTAGGCCGTCAAGTGCGATCGCTGCTACACTCACTCTGAAAGCTCGAGCAGGGGTGAATTGGCATACATGCTCTTGAGGCGTGGCACGTCGACGACTTTGGCCTCGCCATAGTAGATCAAATGCCGCGCCATGGGATAGACGTCCTCATACAAGTCCCACCCAAGCAGATCGGCAAGCTCGGCAAACCTGCAAAGGGGGCAGGCTTGACGTTAGCAAACAATAACTTTTTGGAAACAATATATTCTTACTCACGTAGGAATGCCGGCCAGAGTCGGTTGCAGCAGCCTCGTAAATTTGCGCGCCCACGGTTCAAGGCCCACGCCGTCAGGACTTCGGTTTTTGCCATGTTCTGGCTCGTATCGGAAGGGTCCAGGAGGAAGGTCCACGTCGTTGTCATCATGCCAGTCATTCATGAGCAGCAACGTCTTCCATGGTAGCAGATAAGCGCCTGTTGTGCGCGTCCACTCTTCGTAGAGCAAGTCATCCGGCTCCAAGTCCATGAAACGCGCCAAGGACGCGGGATCCCTACCCAGGCCAGCGAAGCCGCCTCCGCTGAGGAAGAGCGGGTCGAGCGGGTCGATATCTGTCTCGACATCTGGCAATTTTAGCAGCTGGGCACTCGAGCGAAGAATGGGCGGGAGTTGTAGATGGACCTCGATGCTGTCATTGATGGTGACGAACGCGTCCGAGGAGGCGGACAACGAACCGTACAAGTCTCGAATGGAGCTTGCTAGCGATGACATGCCGAGGCATTGCGCAGTATAAGCGGAGAGTGATTGGCCTGCAGCACAAATCATCATCATCAGCTGTTGTCGTTGGGTACACCACGATCAAAAGTACACACGTACCATCGTCGATGCAGCGTTCTCTCAAAGCAACGAGCTTCTCTGCCTCTTCTGAAATATAATTGACGCGGAGCTGCTCCGCATACAGCGCGGCTGTCATTTTGAAGACGACATTGTCGTAGAAGAACTGAAGATAGGACGTGAGGTCGAGCACTGCCGTACCAGCAGACGGATCGGGCCGATCCACAACGAGGACGAGGTGGAACAAGTCGAGCTTGGTTTTGGGTAGCCGCCCTTCGCAAGCGCCTGAAGAATGCTCTTGCGGCGCACCAAAGTCATCGGCGCGTCTTCCTTCTTTGCGTCCTCGCTGCTCGAATTCATCTTCCGCCGCGTCCATTTCTGAATGATCCAGCGAGACAGGATGGCCGACAAACGCTAAGTCGTCGATGACCATCTCGAACTTCTGGTGGCAAAGGTCTTGCTTTGGACTGAGTAAGGATGCCAGAAAATCGCATTCGTAGCCGAGGTACATCTTGTGTGCGCGGATATTGCGCTCACGGTCCCGGTCACGTTCTCGACTGGCCGGTCTTTCTTCGTCGTTGGTATTGGGGACCGAGCTACCGCCGCCGACGTCTGAGCCTCCAGCATCCGATTCGCGGCGCGAGTCTTGCTCGACTTCCCAACGAGGCCGATTCGAAGCAGCCGGGTGCTTCGAGCGCGTTTGAGCCGGCGTGGAGCGTGAATATCGTCGAACCGCACTCGCTGAGCCCATGCTGGCTGCAAGGCCGGGCCCAGAAATAGAGACACGAAGACTGGCCCCCAAGCTGCCCACCGCAGTTTTTTCTTCTCCACTGCCGGTTTCAGCCTCGTTGGAAGACGATGAGATGGATGATTCAGACGGGCTCGTGATGCTGCCTTGATCGTCGCTCCAGAAAGCACCCAAATGTTCATGATGCTGCTCAAAGTCGACTTCGCTGACCGTGAGAGCTGCGTCCAAACCATTGACACCGAGGCGACCCAGCGTTTCACGCCTTCCTTGTCGCGGAAGATCGGCTGCTCTAACGGCTGTAGCTTTGTCCTGGACCGTGCTGAAGGCCTGGTTTCGATGTCCTCTTGGCAGAAGGATATCTTGATCGTGACTGTCGGGCTTGCTGAAATGTAACTCTTCCTCTTCCTCTTCCGCTGCATAGTACCGGACTCTGGAATGCCGCTTCAACACTCGTGGTTTGCGCGGCCAGCGAAAGGCAACGTGGGATCCACGGGATGAAGAGGTGACGAGCAACACCGCTAGCAGCGGCGAGTGTGAGGTGCTGCTGCGTCCACCGCCATTCCAGGGCACAATGGACTGTGGCCGAGGAGGGGCAACGCAATTATCGACAACTGGATGGGCATGGCCAGAAGCACTTGGTGAGGCGTCTGGATGGGGGCCGCCTCGCAAAATCTCGAGTGCATCTCCCCTGGAAGATACCATAGCGCATCATGCGTCTCGGCCAGCGACACACTTGAGAAGAGGACCGAGGCGTAAAAGCTTGCAGAGTTCTGGTGAGAAAGATAGCAAGCACGATTTTATATCATTGGCAGTCTTCTAAATGGGTGATGTGACGAGCCAAACCGACGTGTTCTTCCGAAACAATTGTCGGCTCGACCATTCTATGATCAGCGATTTATGTATCATACAGTTCGAGGATTTGCCACTCTCGTTCCTCAAACGCTGTCACCTCTTAGAAGCAGCTTTCACTGTGAATTTTGATCCTAACCTGGTCATCGTTGTGGATGCCGGATACTATTGGCCACATCATAAGTTAACGTGGTACGACCCGGTCCTGCACTGAACCCTTTAAGATGTAGACCCAGCTTACGTTGCAACACAAGTTCCTCGCACCGCGAATGGGGCGTGCATGATCGCTTCCATGATCGAAAGAAAGGAAAGCAGAGATGCAAAAATTCTATAAGGACTTCGGAATGCGAAATGTAAACGAAGATACAAAACCAAAGATGGAAGATGTAAGAAAGTTTTCGAAGACCACTTCCATATTATGATTGTCCACCGCAGGGTATTGCTCCTGCATGTGTGTCGGGCGACCGCGTAGTTTCTTTGTCAAGCCGATTGTCTATCTGGGCAGAGCGAGTGCTATCCGTCCTCTCGACGCTTGCGAAGCCACGGGTCCGGGCACTATGACCGCTTAGCGCTTAGAAGAGTGCGGCAGCAGCCATACCAACAACACCAGCGACGGCACCAGCGGCACCACGGAGGGAAGCCGCGCTGTTGGGCTTGCTGCTGCTGGAAGCCGAGGAGCTGGAAAAGTTCGAAGATTGAACACAGGTCAGTATGGTGCAAGTGAAAACGATGCTATGCTCGAACGCGAGCAGCGTGACTTACGAAGGCTTGGTGCTGGATGAAGCGGTGGATGAGCTGGCAGTGCTCGATGAAGCGCTGGTGGAGCTGGAGGAAGAGCTGCTGCTGCAGGTACACGAGAAGACACCCTTCAGAATCTACAAGAGCCTCGAAAGAAAAAAATAAACTAACCTGCCGGAAGAGCTGTTGGAAGCAACGACCTTAGCAGAGGTCGCGCCAGACTGGGCTTGTGCACCGTTGGCGTCCCTGAGGTCGAACTGGAGCTGCTTGCCGACCTCACCGGAGGTGGGTACGAAGGTGTAAGGGCTGCTCTGGATGCTCTGGATGGTGTCGAGGAGTCCGTTGCTCTGGCCGCCAGTGTAGTCGTTTACAAGAAGCGTGTAAGGGCTTTGGCCACCCGAGAAGGTGATCTGGACCGGGATGCCCTGCAGGTTAGGGTGGGTGAAGGCGAGTGTATCAGCAACTACATATTATCCAGAAAGGCGAGCACGCTCGGCTAGACCTGGCCCTGCAAGCGAGATACACATACCACGATCAGCGAACCGGTAGGGGTGTTGATGCTGATGCCAGCGCTCTGGGCCCAGACGGCACCAGCGAGGAGGAGGGTGTAGGTAATCTGAGAGAGCTGCATTTTGGTGGGACTTTGAGCAGTGAAGATGGGAGGCTGATTGGAGGTTATACGTGAATGACCACGAGTGTAGAAAGAAACAGAAAGAAGATGTGTACAGTGGAAGGGGATCCAGTTCTTTGTGGTGATGGCAAGAGGGAACGATATTCATATACTCTCAGCGAGAGGGGGGAGGCAACACAGCAATCTTGGCCGCGCAGCGCTGCGGTTTTCTTAGCTGGTTGTTGTTCTAAATGGAACGAGGAATCCAAGCGCGAACAGCGCAGATAGGAGGCGAGATTGCACAGACCAGCAAGGTGCGCACCAGAGCAGAGGAGAGCGTACTCCCCTGCTGGGTGCCAGTGCGCCTGTGCGCCGCGGCGGTTGCCAACTCCAAGTTGCCACAACTCCTCTCCTCGCGAGTGGTGACACTCCCCTCTTTAGCGCCAAATGGCCCCGTGGAGCAGGCAGGGGGCCCACACTGGGGGTCACGGGAACAGTCACACACTCTCTGCAACTGCAACAGTCGGCAATCGGCTGCAGCCTGCGACATTCAATTCCGCCCATCCACCACAACGAAAGGGATAGGAGAGACTGTCAGATCGAGGCAAGTTGAGCCTTGACGTCACGCTTCATCTATTGCAATGACTCTTTCTCTCTGGGTTCGTAGGTGTATTCAGGACTAGCTATTGTCTGCTTTTCGCTTGCTCCAGGAGCGAGTGGATGAGTTTTAACGAGATACATGAGCGTGCTCGACGGTCCGTCTCCAACTGTCACATGGGAGTCGATCATCGATCATCCTCTGTTTGTCCAGAACCAGGTAGCATTGTCGATCGTTCGCTTGATTCGAACGATATAACCGAGCCCTCTGGAGAGTGGATCGCCGCCGGCATCCCCGGCACTATCTTTTCATTCTCCGCACCGGTTACATCACTGTAACAGAATCCATAGGTCGCAGCAATCTCACTTCCCAGCTCCAAGCCTGTGCCTATCTGCACCAACTACCAACTACTACCTATATGTGCTAACTAGGACTGAGCGACTGGCAGTTGACCACTCCCGAATCTGCTATACACTTTCCAGACATGTGAGTTTTGAACCAGTCTCAATCACTCTCAAACCCAGACTAGGAGATTTACCAATAAACGATTGGTCCACACTGCTGCCTTTGCTGCGCCCCGGTGTTCTGGCGACTTGATATGTCATCCTCCGACCACACTCTACCAGCTGCCACCTGCGAAGGCGGAAAAGCTGTGTCTCTTGGCAGCTGCTAAAGACGGTCTCTCCATCTCCAGTGCGATTCGCCTGGCTTCTTCAAGTACGGACAACACGGTTTCATGACGTCACAATTACGTAAGCATTGACTCTGTCCAGCTTCGCGGAGACCCTGCGAAACTGAATCGAGATGAGGTAGAAGTCTCGAAGAACACTGCCGCTGTGGGATTGAGGCCTTCACAGTGTGTGATGAGAAGTCACCGGTTATACCTGGCCACGATGCACGCTTGCTCCTGCTTGCCATAGTCGTCCCAAAGTGATCTTCAGAGTTGTGTAAGGATCTAGCGCGTTGCGCGTAGTCCCGACTTCAGCTTACGAAGGTATTCACGAAGGGATGATCGCATTTATGTTTGAATAGAAAGACTTGCTTGAGTTCATCATGATCTTCGTTGTCGTCGTCGTCCCGCGAGTCGCAGGATCTCATTCACAGTGAGAAAACAAGCACTGTTCTGTACAGGTCCAATGGATGACAACGCCAAAGTTATGCTCCCCACTTACGCTCCATTCCACCCCAGCTCGCATCTGACGCCTAAATTGGTTAGGTCGGCCGCCGGGGTGTCTTCGATGCGTGCGACAAGCTTGAGCGCGCTCGGCGCTACTCCATCCTTGAGCATCTCAAGACCCTTGCGCACGCCCGCCAAGCCGTCCGGGATGGGCAGTGGGTGTACCGGATGCAGCTGTCGAGTAGCGAGCAGCGTAGTGAGCTCGGCGAGGATGCGTCTAGACCAGGGAGCTGAGCCGTAGAACTGTTGGCACGGTAATCCGAGGTCAGGTCATCATCTCACAAGCGACTCCATAACCCTCCTTCTGCTCACCGTTGTGCTAAAGCTGATGCGATGGATGATGAGCTTGGCGTCCTCCGGCGGGACTTCCTTTGGATTTCCCGCGAGACCGACAAAGTGACACTCTCCTAACCACCCTCGTCGAGAGCGGCGCAACACGTTCGCGCAAACGCCTGCCGTCTTTGAGCCTACGCAGTCAAGTGCGAACCTGATGCGGCCGCTCTTGCCAATCCGCTCGAGAATTTGCGCTTCGATTTCTGCAGGCGGGAGGAAGCGGTCAACGCACACGGCGATGCCGCACGATGTTTGCAGGTGCGTAAAGTTGGACGGTGATGCAACGGCTAGCACCTTGGTGCCTGATAGAGAGGCAAGCTGCGCAGCAAAAATGCCTGTGATTGCACCGCCGCCGTAGATCCTGGGCAGTCAAGTTCAGGAATGCATGTTAGATAAGAGCTGAGCATGCAGTAGGTAATCTCAATGTTTTCTCACAACACCCAGTCATCTGGGTCAAGCGATGAGTCAGTTCCACTCCCGGGGGCTCTAGATTCAGAGGGGAGCGGTAGCTTGAAGAGCCAGTATAGCGCAATCGCAGCTGTGACGAGTCCTGTGCCGAGGGTTGCGGCTTGGTCATCAGACATATTATCTGGGATCTTGCCAACTGTCGCTGCTTCTGCAATGCTCCACTCTTGATATGCGCCGCAACGCACATCGCGCGAATCGGCACACGTCCACACCTGAACATTCAAGTCCACAATTGTATTGAGACGGATCAGCACAGAATGTATTTGATTTCCCCAGTTTAGCTTGTCGCACAACTCACCCGATCGCCTGCTTTCAGGTCGTGCACATCCGCACCAACATCTTCGATGATGCCTGCGACGTCACGCCCGAGCACCCACGGAAAGCTCGAGATACCAAAGCGAAAGAGGATACTCTTAAAGTCGACTGGGTTGAGCCCGATGCACTTGTTGCGGATGAGCACTTCCGTCGCCTTGCGCACTGTGGGACGCGGCCATGCATGATGCAGCTCGAACGCGCGGTCCCATCCTTGGCGGAAGCTCCGCACGAGGAGAGCCTGCATAGTCGAAGCGGATTGTGAGACCGGCGAAAGCTCACCGCTGCTCGCCGGTGTCGTCAAGTTAGTCGTGCTGCTCAGCGGACTGGACGAGGACGAGTTGCCAGCTGCGTTGCTGCTGCTGCTACTACTGCTGCTACTGTCCATGAATCGTTGTTGCCCGCCAGCGTAGACTGTCGCATCGTGGTAGGCAGCAGAGAACACCACGTCCTCTTGACTCCACTGCCATGGGCTCTCGGGGGGCGTGCCGGCATTGAGCGTCTCGAGCCAGTCCGGCGAGCGCTGACCGGGGTTCAGTTCTTCTTCCCAAGCCGTCGTTTGCATTGGATCCTGTTGGGTGATTTGAGTTTGACGTCTTCCAAGGATGAGGGTTCGGACTGCAAAGCATCAAATATCGATCGTTGATGAGAGTTGTATGACAGCTACGGCTAGCAGAGATGAAAAGGGTCGCAAGACTTGCGATCCTCAATACAGCAATCGGTACGGTAGTCAGAGACCGTCTCTCCAAGGATGCATCAGACCCCGAAAGTCGGAGAGTACAGAGGGGACGGAGATAGTTGGTAAAGGCAAAGGAAAGATGGAGTGAAGGCGAAAGAGGTCACGGTCTCTGGAGCCCGTGACATGGTGTGAATGGAGGGTATAGCGACGTCCATGACATACAACATTGGCCACGACGCTTCGCCCGTCATTCTTTCTTGCACATATTCATATGACATGAGAGTTGTGCGCCATCCGCGAACACAGACTTCAACTATCCGGCTGTTGCCCGATTGTGTCCAGGCCTCGCGCACCGACAGGTTGTGGTGGACCTACTCGCGAGAGTGCCGCACAGAGACTTCAATGCATCGTAACGTCACATTTCGGCAAGCGCTAGGGCGTGACTGCTTCTCGCAAGGTATTGATAGCGTCTCGCAAAGCACCCTTCGTGCACGCTCTGCGGCAAAGTAGGGGGAACGCTTGAGGTCCCGTGATATGACGGAAAGGGTCGAATATGGTCGGTCACCTGCAGCCAGCATCTTAGGAGTTGCGCAGCTGCAGTAGCTTGTTATGCGCCAGATTGTTATGTAGCGATCGAGAGGCAGAAGCACGCCATCTGTGAGTGTGGAGATGAGAGTGAGAGATAATTTGAGCGATAAGATGTTGGAATAGCAGTGGTAGAATGTGCATGAATCATACTCTTTCGCAAGTCGAGCTTCTCGTCGCGTGATTGACGAAGACCACTCTTCTCTTTGCTGTTGTTCTCCTCGGCCACCGTCAGCTCTCTTCGCAGGCATTTCTTTGTGCTGTTCTACAGATTGGACCCTTGACGCGGCCCGTGCTCTGCGACCGCAATAAAATCAAGCACGCCGCAGCGCCAGCAGAGGACAAAGTGCGGTGCAGTAGATTCTCAAATGCAACCGCGTTCAAGGAGCCGAATCGCGCGAGTACTCCAGAATGCCGGCAACGGAACGTTCGGCCCTTATCCTTGTGCGCACTGCCACTCTTGTGTGGCAGGCTGTGAAGCTGGCGCCTGATACGAGAAGTAGGATTGAGAAATCTCATCACAGGAGCGAAAGGAGTCGAACACGCGCCCGCTTTTCGCAAGATGGAACGCACATGTCGTTTGACATTCTTGAGCTCGAAGAAGCACATGGCAATGGTTTCACACCACTTTGCCACGCCATGGGGCCTCTCAATGACTATCCCCCCTGCTGGAAGGCTCGCGCGCGTCCTGTCTTCCTGAAGTGACATCCCTCGCCCTCCTTGAGCTAAATTTGGCAACGAACGTGTCACGGCTCTCCTGTCGGCCCAAAGCCAGAAGAGCATCCCATGACCTTTCTCTGAGCTACATAATGGTCGTCTCGTATAAAGGGAAAGAAGACCTCTCGAGTGTTCCCAACGAGCTGTTCCTTACCCAGCACTCCAAAGAATCCTTACCCAGCACTGGCTGACGCTTGACTAGTAATTCAAAATGGCTCCTGCTCCAACTTCTATTGCGGCTGCTAACGGCGCGAATGCTTCACCTGTGAAGGCTTCATCGAGGATTCAACATGATCCGCAAGTTGTGCAATATCCAACGTTTCCCGCCGAGCCGCTGACTACGCCAGAGCAGTTCTACGCACGTGCAGAGCAAGTTGCCGACCTACTCCACCAAGACGAGGCGATCCGCGACCGTGGAAATGTCGTGCCGTATCGCCAAGTGCAGCTCTTGAAGGATGCTGGTCTCGTCACCCTCCTCGGACCCCAGGAATCTGGCGGCGGAGGCCAGACGTGGAAGGAAGGATACCAGGTCATCCGACTCCTTGCTCGCGGTGATGGCAGCATTGCGCAGATCTACGGCTACCATTTGCTCTGGTTCTGGGCTTTCGCGCTCGTCGGCACCGACGAGCAGAGAAAGAAGTGGGAGCAATTACTCACCGCAAGAAAAGCTTTCCTCGGAGGCGCCGTCAACCCTCGCGATGCAGACTTGTTCGTCTCGGAGCACCCGTCTGACCCAACTAAGCTGGTATTTGATGGTCGCAAGACGTTCTCGACTGGTGAGTCACAAGCAAACCGAATGCACCATTGCCGCACGCTCATTATTTATGCTCCTTGGTGTTGTCCGCATTTTATAACCACAGGCAGCAAGATCTCCGATTACACAATTCTCGAAGGCGCTACGAAGGAGGGCGGCCACATCTTTGCTGCTGTGCCGAGCAAGCAGCCTGGCATCGTTTACGGAGACGACTGGGTCGACACGCTAGGCATGCGAGGCACCCAGTCGGGTAGCATCGAGATCAAGAAAGTCGAGGTGCCGTGGGAAGATGCGCTTGGCTTTGTCAACAAAGAATTCCAGCCACTCGGCCCCTACAAAACGCTCAACCTGCCCACAATACAGTTGGTCTTCACTGCCTTTTATCTCGGTATCACTGAGGGCGCGCTCGCCCGCGGCCTCGAGTACACCCGCAAGAACACCCGCGCGTGGCCTTACGTCCCCGAGGCAAACCGCGTTTCTCGCGGCACGGATGAATTCTACATCCAAAGCGACTACGGGACGCTGCAGAGCAAGGTCTGGGCCTCTGCCGCTCTCATCGAGCAGGTGATCGACTTGGGTGCTTCGATCCTGCACAGCGACCGCCGCTCCGTCACGGCTGAGCAGCGCGGCGAGTTTGCCGTCCGCGTCGCGGCGTCCAAAGTCGGCATCGTTGACACGGGCCTCGAGGTGACATCCAAAGTCTACGAGCTACAGGGCGCCCGATCCATCGCGGCCAAGTACGGATTCGATTTGGCGTGGAGAGATCTGCGCACACACTCGCTGCACGACCCCATCGCGCACAAGAGAGCAGAGGTGGGCAGGTACGCGCTGCATGGCCAACCGGAGGGCCACAGTACGCCAACCTGGTACACGTAGAAGAATCGCAGCTTGAATTAGGTGCAGGGAAGCAACGAGGGTGTGGGGCTTGAGCATGTATTTTGAGGAAGGATCAGGTTATGTACCCAACGGCATGTGGACACGTTTGCCCCTCTTCACTTTTCGCTTGCGCTATCGCACCATGTCCACATTCATCCATTCAAAGTGTCTTGTGGAGTCCAGCTGGACGCTGTGCGGTTCATTGAACGGCACTTCGACTATTATACACATTCTTGGACGCAATTAGATCATGATGTCTCCACAGTAGCTTGCTCCCGCTTATGAGCCTCAGCTAGAGCTATTGCGGCACGTCTAGCCGTCGCTAGAGCGCTTCGAGCCCTGCGCTTGAGCAAAGATCGCTTCGCTGCCCTCCTCTGGTTTCTCTCCAAACGCCCAGAACCAGCATAGCTGACACCCGATACCTGGATGACTGAAATATTAGCTCGTGAAGAAGAGTTCTTCAGGTTGGGTGCTCGCTTCTGAGCCTGCGGATCCGGACCGCCAGTGGGGAGGCCGATACGCAACTTGGCGGATTGCCTGCTGGCTGCTGCCAGCGATTTCCTCAAGACAGATTCACCCTGCAGCGCAACAATGGGACATGTAAGCAACGATAGGCTGTGCGCACTGCAAGAAAGAAGTGCTCACTTTATCCGATTCTGCAACATCCTCAATGATCGCAGTACGTGGGGCAGATGTCGAAGAATGAGGGACGGGGTCCAGGTCGCTGATGTTGCGCGTTGTCGCACCCAACAAGCGCTCCATATGCTTTTGAAACTCCGACTGTAGAGGTTGTCCCTGTGGTGATATACAGAGCAAAGGGGCGAAGTGCGTCAGTTAAATGTGCTAGCTTTTGCGAGGTCAGGAGCATCAGAATACATAAAGAATTTAACCACATTGCTGCAAAGCAGCGCGTCTTCAAGACTAATCGATTTTGTTTACTCATCTTCAAACGTGCGATTGATTGCAGCATAGTAACTTACTCTCTCAGACATTTCCTTTTCCAGAGCTTTGAGTCGCAAAATTGCGAGTGTCCTATCTAGACCGATATTAAAGCGAGCAGATAGGGTTCGCACAGTATTCGTCTTGGGATCTTTTGAGTGTAATTTCCATAGCTCGTCTCGCAACCGGTTGGCAATCGGCGGTGGTGGATTGAAGGCAGGGTTGAGCGGGAAGGGCTAGATTGCAGAATAGGCTTGGGTCAGATCGCTTAGAAAGCTCAACAGAGGGGTGAACTTGAGCTCACAGTATCACCGATCCAGTTAGGACCATTTCCAGGCTGAGGATTCTTGAAGCGATCCGCATCAGAGGATTTGATCCAAACATCGAAAGGAGGCAAATTGGTTCTTGAGCGCTGTCTCTGGTCGCTTTCACCCCGATTTTCATCTCCTCTTCGACCGTTGCCACGATCTCTCCGCTGAGGAGGCCCATCTACGGCGTATCTGGATGATGAGCTTGAGAAGCACCGAGTGCATATAGCCACAGAAGAAGTCGGCCCTGCCGCGCTCAGCCGCGAAGGACCGGCTAGCGCAGGCCGAATTGTCCTGTTCAGCGACATTGCAGCTTCTCTGATTACGTGACGCGCGAAAATCAGGGGTTCAAGGAAGACTCGGGCAGTTGATGGACAGGCTAGTAGTATCAGAATGGTGAGGCAAAAAGTGATGGCTATCGGAAGAAACTGTGTTGATCGCCAACTGAAAGCAAGTCTCGCACAAAGTGGAAGGCAAGAGAGAGGAAGATGCCTTCTCGGAACTCGGGATTCGGGGCCTGGACAGAAGTGGATGGATGGCGCAAGTGGGGGGTTCGAGTACTGCCACCACAGTCGTCTCGCGTTCGTGACGCGCCCTGCATCCAAAGCAGACCAACACATGTATAGACACATCATCTTTGAAACCCAGCATCCGCCCTCGCGTTCAGCTGCATACATTACAGCCCCATTCGTCGCTGTTGGAAGGATTGAAAATATGCGACTAATCGTTCTATGTGGGGGTGATTACATGGAAAGACTAACACCATGAGTCAGCCAGCTGCGCCGAGGATATGCACCAAGCTGGCCTTCCACGGTCGTGCCAAGCAACGCGGTGTCCTTGCCACGCTCTACCTCAAAGTTGCTTTGCCAGTCTCGATCGAGGCGCAGAGATACCCGCTCATACCAGCCCGCGGAGTCACTCTTCAAAGATGGCACGTTCATGCACTGAATGTAAATCAACAAGCACCAGCTCTGGACGCCTCGGCAGCATCGGCAGCCGCTGCACTGAGGATCGCCATATCCGCGGATGACGACTCTTTCAACAAAGCAAAGCCGCCAAAAGTGGTGGTCGCTGACTCTCACATCTTGCTATCTTCTCCAGCCCAGCCTTGCTTCGAATTAGGCTTACCCTCAACATCAATTAGCAAATCATCAAAAGGGTTTCGGAACGACAAGCGATGGTTTATGATCACACTGCAGATTCACATTGCGTATGCTCTCCAACCTCCTGCGGATCCTCATCTTGTGAGCATTGTCAAGCGCGCATACACCCAGCATTTAAAATACTGATAGAGCTGCGAATGCTTCTAGGTACGGGTACCACTCCCCAAATGCCTCAACAATTATTGCCGGTGCGTGGACTTGCTTTGCTATCGCGACGTAGTAGCGAAGGTTCATCTGTAATGCTCGCTCTCGCAGGTTCGTTATCGAGGACGACGCCCAAATCGCCCCATCCGATTCAGGGATGGTAGTCGAAGTAGATCCACCTTTGCTCCCCCGTGGCAAGCGGCCTACGCGCGAAGAGATCGATTTGGACGACGGCACAGCTACGCAGCGTGCTGAAAGCGAGTACGGTAGCGACGACGAGGATGATGACTACGTCACGTTGGCTGGCCGCTTTTTTGGCGGCTCGGGCGGCATCACGATACGCTGGTCGCATGCAGCTGAGACAGGCAAACAACTGCCAGTGCTCTCAGTGGATGATGCGAGCACGCTTATCAGTGTTTCCACTCTCGATGGAGGGCCATGGCCGGATGGGCTGCGCATTGTTCTACGAGGCCAGATCCAACTTGACGGTATCCACCTACCAATGTTAAGTTCCGCAGCACTTCTGAGGTGTGTTCGCACGGAATTGGCTGCTTCCAGGGAGGAGTGACTGACGGCTTTGCTCATTCAGTATTGATATGGAAGCAACTCAAGTAGATCAAGTTGACACAGTCATCGCGACCGGTGGCTTGCTAGATTGGCACGCCCGCACAGCTGCCGTCGAGGAAGACGAGAAATTCCGGACCCAACGTGAAGCAACACCTAAATCATCGCTGTCACGAGCGACTGTAAACGCTGCACTTGACACATGGGCTGTCGAAAACCATGGGGCAGATGAGAGCGACATATGGCGGATCAGTCCTCCGGTGGATTTGAACGCATCCGAATTCGACATCACCGTGGAGTCAACTGATCGAAGGCGGGCTGTTCTTGCAAGCTGCACATCACCCTTTATGTGGTGGCAGAACCCAGACCAGCGCCTGCGCGAAGGTAAAAGGCACGACGGCATCGATCTTCTCTTTGATCCAGGCGTGGTATGCGGCCACTCAGGTGAACTTCCGCTACAACCTCTCTGTATCACCTTCAGAGCGATTGCGACTGTTGCAGCCTCCGCTAGCAAACAGGGCATGGGATTCTGTGTGCCTGCAATACGCGTGCGCAACGCGATCAAATCGTCAGCATCACCTGCAATCACCAGCGATAGTGAGCATCTTGGTGTCGACGCTGCAACAGCACCTCCAACTCTTCTGTGGAAACCTAGAGAGCCACTTTCCACTCCTGGAACTCACCTGCCTTCTGATCAACCGCTCCAGACACATGATGAGCCATCCTTATCACAGTCTCAGAGTATGGTGATCCGTGCTCCCCAGACTGGTCCAGCGTCCGACGCTTCGATCGAGAGCGCTGTCCTGCGCGCTGGCAGTCCCGATTTCAAGACTGCACACTTTGTTTGCTCCGGGGTTGCAGCTGAGGTCTTCGTTGATGCCTGCAAGCCGCACTTTTACACGATGACGGTTGACCTTCCCGAGGCCATGTTCAAAGGCAGTGCCCTCGTGCTCACCTTCATACGCCATGTCGAGAATGTGCAAGTAAACGCTGGCGGTCAGCGCATGTCCACCAATGTCGAGACGTCCAAAGATAATCCATCGAACGCACAGATCACTTTAAGCATGCTGCCGCCAGGCGTTGCTCAACTCAAGCTACAGTGGACATCCAATTCTATCAAGTCTTCAGGTGTCATCGCGCTGCCATCCCTGTCATTTGACATCGACCGCTTCGAACTATCAATTCATGACACAAGTGGTCAGACATGGTCTGTCCAGCCTAACGGACCTGCACCGCTATCCATTTATGCTCCTTTCTCCAACGCGAGGCTCATCTTCGGGCTTCGAGCAGGGGTCGCCCTGGTGTTCACGCCATCAGGAGCTACAGAACGACATGCCCTGGCTGAAAGCAACCCACCAGGCAAGGCTGGGACAATTAAATTGGTACATGCAGATGTAGCGACGCTTGCCGAGAGAACAAGCCGTCCGGCGTGGACTGCATTCGCTCCTTGGATCCTCCTCGCTTTCGTCTCTTGCTCATCGGCGTACTTAATAAGCACACTACAGCGAAATATGCAGCGTCTTGAGAGCGAAGTCCAGCTGCTCAGCATGGCGGCAGATGTCGATTTTAGCCAGGGATCGTGGACTGAGCCAGCAGCATCGCATGAGCTCGACACCACGTACCGGCCGCTCAAACAACCATCGCCGTATTCCTCGGATCACCAGTCCGGTGTCGGCAACGAGCATCTACCTTATGACTCCATCAATTTTGAGATGCTGGCTACAAAGCTTCAGCAAGACCCGCAAAAGAAAGCGGAAGATGCCCACCCGATCGACTTCTCTGACAGCCACGCTAATAGCATAGACCACCCGCGGGCATCTATTTTTGCAGCGCTGTTTTCGCCCCTTTTCTTCGTACTCGACTCGATCAGAAACCTGGCATACCTCTTCGCACCTTGACCCTCCAATAATGGGTCAGTCGAACAACGGCTACTTCAATAAAGGGACCGAACCTAATCTATTCAAGAATAAAAAAAATAAAGAACATTGGGAATGCTGGTTACTCGAAGTGCCGATGGGTGGGGTGCTAGTCTATGGAACGCTGAACAGCGTATGATTGCGTGCGAACGTTCAGCGGGCGGCGCGGGTGGCCATTAGCGGTAGCAGAAGCGATGAATGCAGCGATGCCAAGCTCTGGTTTCGCCTCCTTACTCTTCTTTTGAGATGATGAGCATGTGGGTGACTCGAAGTGGAGGATGGACTTGGAATTGCTCATACCATGATCCGCCGTGACATTGAAGGCGTCAGATGGCGCAGCGCGAGTCAGGATAGGACGGAGTGGATGCAAGGTCGTATTTGGGGCTTGAGAAAGCGGTGCACGTGCATTTGAGAAGGACGAGGCAGCGCGGCCCATCGACCCTGAGCCCGATGGAGGGGGTTGGAAGCCCTTGGCGAATGTATCTAGGTTGAAGAGCGAGTGTTCATCGGCCATCGTTGTCGTGGTATGACTTCCAGGAGGTCGGGGCGCCACGCGCGAATGCGAGGGTCGCAGGGCTTTCTTTGTGGATGCAGTGACGCTCTTGATCGCTGAGGCTGAACCACGAGTGACGGCAACGGTCCCAGCGACCGTACCTTTAGAAACCGCAACCGTCCCCTTGTACGCAGCCCTTGGTGAGTTCTTGACCGCTTGTGCGCTGCTGGCGATCATCCCAGTGAGCAAGCCTTTCTCTTTAGGTGCCACTGACGGTGCAGCAGCTGCGCGAAGGGTGGAACGGCGGGCCTCCTCCACCGCAAGGTCTAGAGCTTGCGTGTATCTCACGAGCAGGACGGAGAAGATCATCGCAAATTTCTGGAGGTAGCGTAGGTCCTCAATGCCGAGAGCTTTTGACGCGTCGGCCGAGAATGCTCCAAGAACAAAGCCCACCTTAGCGGGCTCATCTTTTGAAGATTCTGAAGATGCGTTGGTCGTTGCCAAGAAAGTGCTCTTCACATGATCGAATTGAATTGGTACCAGAAGACCTGCTTGAAAGACTTGCTGTACCGAACCTGTCGAGACCTTCGCAGGGCCTTTGCCTTGCTTGATGGCTTTTCGGTCGAGGTCTTGGATGATGACTCCTTCTTCAGCGCTGGTCTCTTGTGCAGCCTTGGCATGTATAGCGTAGTCAAGATGCAGGTCAGAGGTTGAGGCAGCACATCCGTCGCTCGCGGCAATGATGCAACGCTGACCAAGTGGCGAAGGAGCTTGTCCAGGGTTGGAGAGTGCAATGCCAGCCAGGTAGACGACCGACATGTCAAGCGTCGTTCTGATAATCCTGACGAGGTGGTTGAGTAGAACTGCATCTTCCTGGTCAACAAGGAGGCCCAGGCACATGATCTCTGCAGGTGGTGACTCGCATAGGTTGATGTCTTGCTCGGGTGGTATTCTTTCGCTGTTCGCCGATAAAGTTGGTTGTGAGCCGACACGACGCAGGGCGCAAGAACCAGTATGTCCAGCCTTGCGGACGCCTTTGCCACGGTTGGCGATGACTCGATGCGAGCGATCCAGAGCAAGAGTAACCAGCGCTGTATCCTGTTTCACCTTTTCCTCTTTGGCTTGGCGTAGCTCTTCGCCGAGCAGGGCGAGGCTCTTGAAGCTGTCATTCATACGGGCAATCTTGCTTTCAAACCGGCGCACAAGGAATGCTTCGAGCTCTTTGCCAATGGCTTTCGCGTGGACACGGAGGATGTTGCGCTGATCATCCTTGATGTCTTGCCACGGCTGCGAGTCCCACACAGCAAGCTATTGGATGATGCGAAATGGAGAATCAAGAGAATCAGCAAAAGATACTGTCTCAAAGAGCAACCGGTACTCACACATCCAATTGGCATGCCATTTGCGGTAGTCACTGGTGCTCCGGCGTAGAATCTGGTCTGCAGTAGCTCCTCAGCATCCGGAAAGCGCCAGTCTTTTTTGGTATCCAGTACGACCATGCCGCGATTACGATTGAGGATGGTGTGCGCGCATAAGCTCGAGTCTCTTGCAAATGGCTCCTGCAGGATCCCCGCGGCCGTGAGCGTGACGAGGCAATCCCCGTCGATGATGGCGCAACGAGCTGAGGGGGCATGCAGCGCAGTCTGTGCAGCTGTCACGCAACGCTGAATTTCCTGCAGCGCCGGAGCATCGAGCAGTGCAATTTCTACGCGCCTCATTGCTCGTTGCCGATCCTGTTCCCAGAGAGGCTTAGGCGCGCGGAACGGTCCGCACGCGAGCGGTGTGGCGAACGGACACAGCGAAGGGTCCGGCACACCGCGAGGAGGCTTGCGGGGAAGGCCATTGTTGAGGTCGATCTCGCCCGCAGCGTACGCTTCAGTGAACCGTGACCAATGTGCGATCTCGGGATCGTCGGCATTGAAGACAAACGGATCGAGTTCTTGGCTAGGGATTCGCTGCAGGCCATCGATCATATCATCATCTATGTCCGCGATGGAGAGACGCTTCTGGCGGTTTGGTGGGTGATCAAAGGCGCGAGCGGCTGCGGCGCCCCATGTCCAGCCGACTTGCTGCAAAACTTGCATAGTCTGCTCTTGAGAAGGGGGACCTGTTGATGGGTCCGATCCAGGTGACGGCGGTATGGACCTTGGAGCGGCGTTGTTCTCTGCGCCACGCATGATCGGGAAGCCAGTGGAAGAGACATTGACCTCCTGTGAAGTCGGAACGGCTTCACTCTGCTTTCCGATAGAGTTCGACGACGAAGCAGGGATCGGCATGAAGTACTCTGTCAATTGGGGCTGGTTGCTGGTACCGGCATTCTGCATCGAGGCTGAGTTAGAAGTGATGCCCATTCTGCGAGCAGTTGTCCTGGAAGCATCTTTGACACTTGTGAAGGCAGCTGATGCCGCCGTAGCCGTCTGATTGACCATTCTCTTCGAGCCAGGCGGCATCAGCGCGGAGCCAAGCTTGGCCGACGCCTCGAACGTCGTCTTGAAAATAGCCGTCGTTGCGGCGCCTGCAGCATTCGCCATACCACCCACGGCTGCATTGAAGGCCGCCCCGCCTCCGCCGCTAGTGGCAGTGCTTAAAGTGCTGACGGGTGACCCCGGAGGAAGCAGCAAGGTCGGTGTTGTGGGCTGCGGAGGTAACTTGAGGATCGGTTCGATGTCCAGAGGCAAAGGCGGCTGGGCAAGATCGGTCACAGAGGTACCAAAGAGAGAAATGGTGCTTCTTCGTGTGTGCAGTGAGCTCGCACATGGGCGGCGGGTCCCGCCTGCTGAGGTGCGAGGTCGCGAAACACGCGTCTGTATCTCTGGGGTGCCGCTTGTACCAGCTGGAGAGACAGTTGTAGCCGTGTTATCATTGTTTGCATCTGGTGTCCTTGGATCCGGCGAGGTTTTACAAAGCAGAGCACTCTGGTCGGTAGCGTGCTCGAGGACTGTCTGTGGCTTGTTGGTTGCAGGAGAGACACCGGTGTCCGCCTGCTTGTGGAATAGTCTGTGCCTGCCGATGCTGTCCCGTCTTCCGATCAGAGTCTTGGGGCTGAAGCAAAGAGATGCAAAGCTGAGAATAGAATGACGCCTCTTTCTTTTTACCTCAGGAACGACATTAGCCTCTGCAGACTGCCCGGCTACGGGCGCTGTTTGCCCTGCTTGCGCTGATGAGGTCGACGCCGTACCGCTTTGGATGGTAGGATCGACCAGCGATACCCTCCGACTGCCGAAGATGGATCCACGAAGGTGCGTGGACAGGTCCGAAGATCGTCGACTGTTGAATGCGCTTTCCGTTTCGCAATCGGAGAGCATCTGGTCGCTGTCTGACGCAGCGCTTTCATCCTCGGTGGCACCTTCGTCATCGCTGACGAATACCGGCCCGAAGAGCTCGTCCTTGTGGGGCGGCACAAGCGGAAGCAGTGATAGAGGTGGAGGTGAGAGGAGCGAAACGGCGGATCCACGCTTGGCCGTCAGGCAGGGAGGGCTAGACGATTCGGGCAGGAAGGAAGAAAAAGGGCTGGTATCCATGTTGCTGCTCAGTGCTTGTAGTGCTTTCCGCGCGCAGCGTGATCAAAGCATGCTCGCTAGCGATTTGCGATGAATGGCAATTGTCCACGTCCAGCGTGGATGGAATGTTCTTGGGTTACTACAAGGGGAATGATGACGACGGTGGAGAGAAAGAAAGTTGATCATGGTTCGGAGTATATCAGGAGATTTAAAATTTACCGAAGTTACTTTACCAGGAGATAAAAGTATGCCTGCTTGTAAATGGGAAGAGAGTGCATGATATTCGAAGCTGCTGAAAGCAAGCATCAGTGTAACCAGCATGTCAGTCAGCCCGCGATCTGCAAGTAGTCGACCACAAGCAATGGCGCATGAAGTAGTCGTCCACCCTGACTCGTCCATCGAAGGCCTGGCACTGGTCAATCTATGCTCATCATATGGCTTACACTACTCTCCCAGGCCAACTGACGAGATCCATCCCCAGTCGGCTGGCTATCTGGACCACGCAGGAAGTGCCAACAAGAGTCGGACTGGTCTTCAAGCCAGACCACGGAGGGATAGACTTTGAGTCGGTCGTCCGGGCGCGCATGCTAGAGAAATGGTTTCAATGACTCTTCAAAAGCGCAGAGAGCATGAGCAGCTGCTGCAACATAGGCTGTTCAAGGGTTAGCCACAATCACGCATGCCTCTGTTTGACCTCAACCTATCGTAGGGTGCCAAACGAGGAAGATGTGCGTGACCAGCGCGCTGACATCAGTCAACTGGGTCGTTCTTGGCTTGTCGGTTGTTGCCTGATGGTCTATCTCACAAAATAGACATAACCCTATTCGAGCACACTGTGCGATCTCGCCATCAACCCCACCGGACATTGCGTTGAACCGGCAACCGAAATTGCGGGGGAAGGGAGAGAGATGCAATACAGTTCCGCGTTGTCCGCTAACACTAGATCCATGGAACCACGACGGTCTGCCCGAGTGCGGAGGTGGGGCTTTCACCCTTGAGATAACCTGTACGCGCTTGGGAGTTGGAACTTCGAGTCCAATGCAACTTGTACATCTTCGTAAATGCCTGATGTTCGCAACATCTTGGCCATCTAAAGTGGGATTCAACCAAGCGAAAGGGCCGCCATCTCATCCCTGCGATTCAATCACAGCACCTTCAAAGCAGCAGTAGCAACCATGACAACCTTGACCAAGCCCACGATCCCCTTCAGCGAGGCGCCCTGGATCTCCGGCCTGCCCAGTCCCTACTTTAAGGAGTCGCATAAGAAACTCCGCGAATTTGTGCGCAGATGGACAGATCAGCACCTCTTCCCCAACGCTGCACGTCTTGAAGAGAGCGGTAAAGCTGACCCAAAGATCTACGCCCAAGCTGCCAAGGATGGCCTGCTGATCCCATTTGCTGTGAGTCGAAATTTATGCAAGCGCTGCCCAGGCGTACCACGATGTCTTTGCCGCAGTCAGGGAAACTCAGACATTTCTCTGCATCGTGTGGCCCCGAACACTCATGTTCGCCCTCACAGCTCGGAGCAAAGATACCACGCAAACTCTACGATGAATTCGCCGAAGGTATAAAGCTGCCGGCCGGTATCGAACCCGAGGAATGGGATCACTTCCACGACTATGTGCTCTGTGACGAGCTGCACCGCGTTGGCAACGGCAGTGCGATCATGTCCATGGTGTGTCATTCCAGAGGTGCCTCTCTGATCACCTGTGCTGAAAGTCTGTCTTGACGATCCCAAACTTTCCTTCATCGCCCTTCGGACTCAAAAGTACGGCGGGTTGGCTTACGGAGCAGGACCGATTGTGAACTTTGCGAGCAAGAAGCTCCAGGAACGCTTCCTCCCTGATCTTCTGACGGGTAGAAAGCGAATTGCCCTCGCCATTACGGAACCAAAGGTATATTGAGGTCCGGCACTTCCTCCGAACGAATGACGGCTAATCTGTTCCCATGGGGATGGTTTGGCACTAGGCAGGGTCAAATGTCGCGAACCTTTCAACCACCGCCGAGCTAACGCCGGACGGCAGACACTTTATCATCAACGGAGTGAGACTTAGCACCAAACATGGGATTTCAGACGGATTTGATCGCGTTGCTGATGTCGCCCTTGGGCCATATGATCCAGACCAAGAAATGGATCACAAATGTGAGCACTTTGCCAGGACTCTCAATGGAAACCCTCTTTGTATGCTCACCAGCTTTGCACCTTCAGGGCGTCTGGTCCGACTATTTGACAACGGCAGTGCGTACTTCTGGAAAGGCAGGTGACTCCAATGGAATTACCTTCATCATCATCCCCGTTCGTGGTCCGGGATCCGAAGGCGTGGAGTTGAAGCAAATGAAGATGACGGGTAGCAGCGCGAGCGGCACGACGTTTGTCGACTTTGACCAAGTCAAAGTGCCACGGGAAAACGTGATTGGTAAGGAAGGTGAAGCGCTGAAGTACATCTTCTACAACTTTAACCATGAGTTAGTAGCATTGACAGCACGGCCCAGAAGAACTTTGGAAAGCACGTATCGCTGCCACTTGAGGCCGTTTTATTTACAGGCGTATGACGATTGCTATCTTCGCCAACCGTTACGCCCGAGTATGGTGAATAAACAAGGAAGGCACTAGAATTTTCTGGGAACCAATGCATGCTGATGCTTGACGGTGTTGGATGACTTCAATGCCCCAGCCTTGAAGACGCGATCGCACATTCCATACGCCGCGAGGTATTCGGTAAGAAGCTGATTGAGAACCCTGTGGTCCGCTACGAAATTGGTCACATGGCACGGCAAGTCGAGTCTCTCCAAGCTTGGATCGAAATGCTGCTGTACCAGCAGAACAACCTCACGTGAGTTATACGTGCTTGCTAGCATTTCGATGGACTTATCGCCAATCTATCGTACTGACGAGCTGCCTCAACCCCGGTGTCTCCATAGCGTCGAGCAAGCCAATGTCCTAACCGGTGGCCAGACGGCCGCTTTAAAGGCGCACGCGGGAATCGTGCTCGAGAACGTATGCAGTGGCTGCACACAGCTGTTGGGTGGCCTGGGCCTGACGCGCGGTGGTACCGGTGCGCGCATTGAGCAGATTTGGAGGGAGGTCAAGGCGTTCACCATCCCCGGTGGATCCGCATCCGTGATGATCGACCTTGCCGTCAGGCAGCAGCTCAAGCTTATTCAGTCGCTGGCGCAGGAGGGACGCAAGAGCGGCTCCAAGCTGTAGTTTCACTTCCCTATGTAGAAGCAGAACTACCTCCCTAGCCACTGCCTGCGGACCACAGCTGTGCCTGAACTGGCCTAAGATATGGGCCCTTAAGCGTACTATAAAGTGCAACCCCGTAGAACATCAACAAACTATATCTCCATCAGTGACACGAAGGCACAACAATACCAAAAAAGGCATAGGACTTGAACACCTCGGATCCCATTGGTTTGGTTCTCTCCTCCTTCTAATGTCTTCTGATACACTGGACATGCATTCTCTACCGCATGATAGGTTCGGACTGAGTGTGCTCATTGACATCTTAATCTAGGACTTCAAACTGACAGCCTGTCCGTTGCCGTAACAAGTGAAAGACAGTGATCGAGAAAGCGCTCAATGTCGCGTTTGCGCCCCTTCCGCGCGAAGGATCTGTTCCAATTCAACAATGTCAATCTCGATAATTGGACTGAGACTTACTCAATATCTTTCTACCTCAACTACATTTCGCAGTGGCCCGATCTGTGCTTCACACAGATCGCAGCCTCAGGGAGGACAATGGGCTATGTCATGGGGAAAGGTGAAGGAAGGGATGACAAGAAGACTAGAGTCAAGGAAAGACATGGACATGTCACGGCTATCACGGTGGCTCCAGAATATCGAAGGCTCGGTCTCGCGGATGGCATGATGAAGCTGCTAGAAGATATCAGCGCAAGCGTATATCAAGTAAGCTCATTCTTTCGGCGCTTCCGGCTTGTTCGCCTCCACTCACGTCCACGTTTCGTTTGAAGGCCTACTTTGTCGACCTGTTCGTCCGGCCGAGTAACAAGACAGCCGTAGGGATGTATGAGAAACTAGGATATAGCGTCTACAGAAGGGTCACAGAATACTACCACGGTGGAGGATTGAATGGTAAAGACGAGGATGGCTATGGTCAGTTCTTCCACATAGAGGCGACTCTCGACGCACATACTGACTATAGAACAACCCCTGCATGAGGACAGATATGCGAAAAGCCATGCCCCGGGATACAAAGAAAGAGACGGTCCGAGACAACGGACGAGATTATGCGATCAGTCCCGAGTTAGTGTGCCTCCAGCGAATAATTGCAGTGATGTTGCTAAAAGCTGACCGTGCTTCGTGTGCATTCGACAGGATGACCGCCTTCCAACCTGCCCGGCGCTTTGAGTTAGAATAACTGGCTACATGTCGGCCAAGCCGATTGAGGCTTAATAAGCAGCCTGGAGAGTATGTATCATACTGTAACAACAGCTCCACTGGGATCACGCCATGATCTGATACGCGATAGATCTTAGTAGGATACAGTCCATAGTGGTGCCAGTGTTGATGCTATGCAAAGAGTGTGGTATCTAGCCCGTGTCCAAAGTTGCGCACGCAGACGCTGCGTTCCTTGCCCACTGTGATGATCCTCGAGACGCCGAGAGCAACGTCGAGTACCTGATCTTGATGCCGCTGCAGTGTGAGCACAGGCTGCTCTGAGTCGCTTCGCCACAGCTTGACGCGTCCGTCGTAGCCGGCGCTGGCGATGAGCTTGCGACGGGAGTCATATGCGAGAGCCCTGACGAGCTCTTCATGCCCTTGCCAAGAATGCTGCAGCTCCCCCGTCTCGACGTCCCAAGCGTACATCAGTGGATCTTTTGTACCGACGATGATGAGACCCTCGACAAAGAGGACACAAGCTGGGCCATGCTCGGTCTGGAAGGCGCGTATTGTGTCCCCGGTCGTGACGTCCCATAGATGCACGCTATTGTTGCCTGCGATTGTCACGATCCGATCTCCACAGAGTCGCCCAGAGTTCACCGGGCTGCAGTGGGGACTGTAGCATAAAATGCAGCTGAAATCTTTCTTGTTCCAGACTCGCACGCACCCATCCCGACAGCATGTGATGAGATGCTTCTCGTTGAAGTCGATGTCAAGCACACTCCAAGGATGGCTCACTCGTGAGACAATGGGAAGATCCTTTGTCTCAGCGATTTGAGGGTCCCGGTCGTCAGACAGTGGGGCGACTAGCTGTGAGTAGTCCCATACAATCATCAGGCCGTCGGAGCTCCCAGTATAGAGTCGATCATTCTCCAAGCGTATGCAAAGCACACTGCCGCTGTGGCCTCTCCATGTCCGAATGCACGATTTTGTGTCACAACTCCAAATTTTGATGGTGTGATCGCGCGAGCCCGTCACGATGCGGCCGTTGGTGCCGCTGTCTTCCGCTTCGTCATTTGCGACGCAGTAGATGGCATCTTCATGCCCGATGAGGTAGGTGTAAGGAGGTAAAAATGGTTTACCGTCATTTGACGGACTTTTGCCTTGCCACCTCTGGTCAAGGACTAAGCGTGCGGCATACAGCTTTCGCCAGTCGAGCCGGGCGAGATGCTGTTTTCGAGCAGCAGGTATTCGTACTGGCGAGGACGTCAGAGCTACTGTGGAAGGAGTAGCCAACCCGCGCTGAGCAGCGCGTCGCACCCCAGCTGGAGTCGACGGGTTGGAAGTGTCGTAGCGCTCGTTTCGCACAAAGTAATCGTAAGTCACATCTGCTGAGTCGTCGCCCAGACCATCCAGGAATACTGTGTACTCGCTTGCGGGCTCGTGGTCGCCAAGTAACCTATCAGAGTCGCTGCTTGCGTCATCGGTTCTCCAAGCTTGCAAGCTCGGTCGCGCCGCCCAACCGGCTGGTATCGAAAGCACCTAAAGCTGTGAGCCGCTGCAACTGTACCCAAGGATTTCACGATCACTCACCTCGGCGCCCCCTGCTGGTCTCGTCCATGTAATATGGGAACGGCTTAGAGCTTGGATCTAGGGCTCGTTTCTCCAGGAGCTCATTGGCATCGGAGCGGAGCGTCCACGACTCTTGGGCCTCGAATGCAGCCTTCCAGATGATGTTGTCTGTAGCCATGACGTACCAGGATTTGCACACCAGGGAGACATTGAGAATTTCTGATGGACTTTTGAGGTGCAGCAATACGCTGAATGCAAGCTCAGGCGGGAGCTCATTGAGAAAATCTGTAGAGATGGAGCAGGAAAGCGGGTCAGCTGATGCGCGCTGGACAACTCCGACCACCACCATGAGTCCTACCGATCATGACCTCGCTGGTCTCAGACTCGTCTGCAACTCTGGTGTTCGGGCTGGATACAAGAAACGCGCTGTCTTGGCCCATGCTCTCGGCTGCCGCGTCGCCGTGATTCTTGGGAAGGACAGCAGCTTCGTGGGATGTTACGTTCAAAACACCACTCCTCAAGGCGTCGTCGTGCAGATCGTGACTCTTGGTAAGTGGCGAACTCCCGCTCCAGACTCTGGCTGCCACCGCTGCAGCTGCATTTCGTGCTCGCTGCATCTTCACCGACTGCATCGTATTGAGCGAAACGGTCAATCAAGATCCCTTGTGTAAACGCTGTGATGTAAGCGGACTCTATCTTGTGTCGTTGTCCACAGAGCCCATCTGTGAGAGCAGTACCATGGTTCCTTGTAGAGAGTAGTCGCTAGCATGCGCTAGCCGTTCACACAGCCAATGCGGATACACCGACGACATTTGTAGCCAAATCCATAGATGAACATGGTGAACGCCATTCAATTTAAGTTCGTCTTCTTCGTAGACAAAACATCACTGGCCGTCGTGTCCATTAACAACAACAGGCGAAACCCGCCAGACACGCGACGCGCCTTGTGCTAGCTCGACTCACATCTCTCACCCCTTCCCCAGCCTCTCAGCTCTCCTCCGCACAGTCCACATAGAGGGGCTCCATTCAACTCATGCAAGCTATACGGAACTCCTGCTGGGGTGTCCATTCAAGTCGAGAGAAAGCTATTGGGCATGCAAACTAGGCGCTTCCCAAGCATTTCCATGCTTAAACTACTGCGCCGCGAGGGAAGCAAGTAGTAGTGGAGACGCAGGCGCAACCTCCCCAAGAGCTCGCGAAGCACACTCTGCAATCGGATCAAACAACATTGACCAGTATTCGCTCCTTTTATCAACTGTATTATCTCAGCACAGTAACAATGCGCTATGGCGCACGCCTTGCTCATCACGCCTCCCAGTGTGGATAAGTGTGAAGGGGAGCAAACAGAAAACGGAACATACCAAACTTGCCGAAGTAGGAAAAGAGAATACAGTGCTTGCGCACTTATAGAGGCTTTCTGATCCAGAAGAAGTAGTTACATTGCTGCGCAAGCTCGCTACCACGCGGGCCAAGCTCCCAGGCACTCTTCCACGGAAGATACGCTACACCGCGCGTCTCGTATCGCAGACGCTCAGGCAGCGTTGACTGCAGATCTTTCTGTGTTGCTGACAGTGAGGAAGGAGAGTGCCAGCCAACATCCTCGCGGAAAAAACCGACCAACTCTTCGGGTTTGATATACTGTGCATATGTATGAGTGCCGGGGCTGACCGTCCGCATCACCTTTTCGGCCATGAAAATGGTTAGAAAGTACGCAAAAACGTTGCGAGAGATGGTGGACATGAAGATATGTCCTCCGGGCTGTGCACCAAGGCATGTGGTCAGCGGTATGCCATTGCCGGTGGGGACGGTGAATCAAGCCTCACCTTGACCAGGTCACCGAGACATCGAAGAAAATCGGCAGGCGCATTTACGTGTTCAACAACTTCCATGGCGGTCACAACATCAAATGTCTTTCCATCTGCTCGAACACCTTCGGCCGTACCGTGCTGGTATTGTAATGTATGTTGCCCAGAACTGAATGCTGGATCTTTGGCTGCGTGTACTTTAGCGATGGCGATGTTCGATGACGAAGCGTCCAATCCTGTTGTACGCGCACCTAACCGGGCTAGAGACTTTTGACAGTAAGTGAAAAAAAATTCATTAGATCTTCATGCAGAGACTGGTCTGGGCATTGGCTCACTTCGCTAAGTATGCCGCCACCACAGCCGACGTCCAGCACGTCGAGTCCCTCCAGAAACCTCGGTGGTAGCGGGCGATCTTCCCCTCGTCGACCTTCGCGGACCGCAAGCTCTGCATCCTTCCATTGCTTCACTTCTTGCATTTTCTCCCTCATGAATTGTATTCGCACTGGATTCATGGAGTGCAATAATCCAAACTCGCCTTGCTCATCCCACCACTGGGATGAAAGGCGCGAAAAGTGGGAGATCTCTGACTCGCGAACAGAGGAGTTTCCTGAGTATTGCCTGAAGGAAGGGGTTGCTTCGGAGGTGCTTGCACTGTGTCTGTCACAGAGAGGTGCCGAGCAAGACTTGAATTGGCCATTTCGCCTGCGAAACCCCAATCGTGGCGACTTACACGCTTCGAGAGGACTCGCCGCGAACAATCGGCATAAAATTGAAGCCGGCACAAACACCGCGGCTGGGTGCACTCTTATGGGCCATATGCGGGATGGCTGGGGATCGTAAAGACTTCATGATCGGTGCTGTATTTCAAGCGGGAGTCAAAGGGTGTGGTTAGTCTTCTGAAGGATTCTCAGACAAGTATGCAAGAACGCTCGTATATCAGGAGGCGACATAGCGTATTAAGAGAAGCCTCGGAGAGTGGTTGTCGTCCCAATGCTAAAAAACACGTCCGACTGGTGCCAGCAAAGTCTCATCCTAAAAGAGGAGGGATCCAGCTAGCGCTGGATTCCCTGCACTCCTTCCAGCTTGCAGGCTGGTAGCGGCATGGATTTATGACTCACATATGCAGTTGGACAGGGCCTTTCAGCTGGCGCTGCGCAAGCTTAGCCCTGAGAGTTGAGCTCAGGCCATGGTCTTGAATTCAAACCTTCTCAGCTGAGTGTCATCTGCCTTGGTTGCATGGAGGAAGAATTGGAAGGAATGGCAATTATTCAGTGGAGGCTTCTGCAGTTGATTTCTGCTTCTCTCTCTTTTTCTCCCTATCACTTATTGCTGCTGTCTAGTGCTGGCGGCTGGGGACCGCGGTTTCCCGTTCCGCTGGTCGCGGGTGACCTCACGGCTCACGCAGTCACGCTGTCGAATCTCACCTCGCACCCAAGCTCAACCGTGACAGACCGTTACACAAAGTGAGCAGGCTGCGCTAGCACACAATAGCCTTGAGCGTCAATTCGAGTGCTGGCAGGTTACGATACATCTTCATGAGGGCATGATTCTTGGACCACGGCGCGCTCACGTGCTTTCGTGACTATCAGCGATCAGAGCCATCAGCAAACGAGCACTTTCGAAAGTCATCTCTGTCTGCGGGGGGTCCGGACCTATCAGGCTGACATCTTGGCATGTATTGATGTCTGTTGTTTGAAATAGAGTTACAGCGTTGTAGTGAGATACAAACAGGTCGACACAGCTAAGAGTCAAGCCTTCGGCACCTTGTTGTTGTCCTTCTCGCGATTCCGCGGAGGCATCGTCTTCGCTCCTTTTTCAGAAACCTGTTCCTCCTCGGTACACACAGAAGCTTCGGGAGGCTTGGGGAACTTTACGAAGGAGTTGTGACCGTACCTCTCCTTCACGCACTGTCTCAGGCGGTCTCTGCATTCGCACCGTTCCCTGCAACGTTGTCCCCAGCGCTCTCGTTGCCCTTGTTGCAATTTCGCGCGTGCGCTTGTTTCCGCCCCAACTTCGCAAGCCTCCTTTTCGCCTGATAAATTGCTTTTCGGCCGCTTTTGCTTAGGTTCTGGATCTCTTCTTCGTTAAGTTTTCCGTTTAAGTACCGATCTTTGAGCTCGGATAGTTCTTGATACCGCTTCTGTTTCCCGGAGATCTGAGCCTGTGTAGAATCACCGTCAGCATCACACCGCAAAGCACAGACTCTGACAAAACAGAGAGCTCACGACTTTTTTCCCAGTGCTGGTGGTGTTGAGGGCTCGGAGTTTCGCATTCATTTCTGCTACCAGGTGTCTCGGGTCGACCATGCCTTTACCAAAATAATCCATTCTGTCTTTCACGACTTCTTTCGCATAGCTTTCGAACCTTTTTCGAGAGCGCTTATGCGACTAATAGTTGGTCAAAGGCGATAGTCAGTTCATATTCATGACAAATAACCCCAAGGCGCGCAGCATCACGATTACTCACGTTGCTAGCCAAATGTGATTTGAGCATGTCGTCGTTTTTTATTTCCTTTCCAGGACAGAGGATACAGCTCCTCTGTTGCTGGCCTTGCTTGAAAGGTGCATCAGGCTCGGTGTAGATTGGATCTACCAGCGCTTGCGCAGAGCTCATAGGTGGAAGGCTACTTCGCTCGTCTTCGCTGTCTTCATCTATCTCCTCCTCTTCAGAGCCCGAGTCCTCATCTGAAGATTGATATGATAGTCCCGAATCTCCATTTTGAGACAACCTTGCTCGTTTCCGGATGCTAACATCGGTTTCTGACTGCCTTCCACTACTGTCATGAGAGTCGTCACTGTCATCGTCTTGCTGGGGTCGCTGCCGCTTAATTCGCGTCAGACCTTTCCCGTCCCCTGATCGTGAATTCTGCAGCTCTGCTTCTTCACTTGACGCATACTCTGCCTCCGAATCAGAGGAGTCGTCTGAGTCTGAATCATTGTCGTCCGAGGAGTCGCCTGAAGAAGAGCTGCTCTCGTCATAATCGGCTGCAACCTCGGCCGCGTCCATGCCAAGCTCCTCCGCGAGCTGCTTTTTCATCTGCTGGTTCTGAAAACGCTTGATCATGTTGGTCGCACGGAAGTTACACGCCCTGATCTCCGTATCTCCCTGCGCTGTCTTCAGCTGGAAGATGTGCTGCTATCGAGGTGGAGAGACATCAAATGAACAACGAATCAAGCGATCACCAAGGACTGACAGTTGTGCTTGTTCGGAGTATGTAGCACAGGGAGGGTTTGCTGCATCTGTGAGTCTTGAATGTTGTCACAAAACATTTTTTTTCGGTGCAATTTGAATATCCACCCCTGTAGACTCGGTGCAAGTAGCTATCTCATACCGCCATTCACCAAGAGCAAAAGTATCATCACGCAAGCCTGCGCTGTTCGAATCTTACCCAAGTATCCAGACTCCATGGGCGCAAACAAAAGCATTACCATCAGGGAAGCAACAGTATTCTATAAAGAAACCGAAACGAATGTGATGGATTACACGGCTTTCGGAGACGTAATTCGGGAAACCCTGAAGAAGATGAGGATTGTCCGCACCGGCTTCGTGAATGCGTGTCGCATGGCATGGCGGAGGGGTCAGCATGCATGTGTTGGTGCACTGCTCCCGACGACCCACAAGCAATGGTGTTCGTTCAGGGCAAAGGGGCAGGAGGTTGGAAGGGAAAAAGACATGCAGGACGCTATACACTGTTCAACATGATCATTCTGGCACAGGCGACTTGCTCTTCTGCCTGCCAAAGCGGTTGAACAGGCTACCGTTGCGGCCGACATTGGAGCTCTTGCCGGACGTCTGCGCCTGCTGCCCACCGTAGGTGGCGCCGACGCCCGCGGCGCCTGCGTTCACGCGCAGATCAGTGTCGAGCGCAAACGACGAGGCCTGCGCAATCAAGTCGGAGCGATCTGCACTGTTGCCGTCCGCGCCGGGCGGGGGCAAGGGGTGCGTGTCTGTGGGCGTACTGTCGGGCACTGCGCGTGTCAGTGACGGCGAGCTGGACGAGTACTTGTGTCCGAGGCCACCGGCGCCCTTGTTGCGGCGCGAAGCCAAAGGCGGCGGCGGGCGGTCGTTCGCCTGGTCGTCGAGCATGGGCACCTTGGGAGATTCTGCGACGCACAACACAACACCCCATAAGCGCAATGTCAACGATACTGCTGCAACGAGAAGGGCGAGGTGCACCCCGGCCCCGGCAAGGGCAAGCGAGCAATCACTAACGTCTGACACTCCTAATGCGCTTGATCAGAGATTTGCTTCTCTTGGGTACCGCGTCGCCCCAATTGGGCTCGGGGAACGGGCTGACGCCACCCATAGCGTCTGGGCCAGCAGGGCTGGGGCTGGGCCTGCGGTTCTTGGAAGTGTTACCAGTCATGATGGCCTCCATGTCGAGCACACTGCTCGCCGAGCTGTCGACGCCACTCCTGTTGTCCGTGCTCAGCCTTGCGCTGGCGCTGCCGCCCACATGCGGCGAGAGCGCGCTGCTGGATGGGGGGCGCGGTTTGGGGTTTGCGAAGTCCTGCCATGGCTCGGCGCTGACGCCCCAGATGTCGGCATTCGGGTTGGACACGTCGTACCGCGACGACGGAAGGTTGGATGGCTGCGTCCAGTACCCCTGCTCATTGCGCCAGTTCCGCTCGGCGTCCGCGTTGTGGTCTGGGTGATCGGCGAGGGAGGGCGAAACGAATGCGGTGGCCGAGGCAGTCGAATCATACATGCTGAGTGCGGGAACGTTACCGTTGGACACGCCTGCAGCACCGTCATTGTGGTCGTCTGCGCTGTCCATGTGCGCGAGCTTCGATTCCGTCGGCGGGCTCGGGCCCGTGCGCGAACTGCCGTTGCTGTTCCGCAACGCGGACGGGCCCTGGCCGTGCTTCCACGGTTGGCCGGTCATCGGGTCGATGCTGGGGTCGAACGCCATGACAGGCGCGCGCTTCGAGTTCTTGTTCCGATGCTCCGAGACGGCGTCGTACGGTGAGTCGTGGTGGAACATGCTGAAACCGTTGATCGCGCTAGCGTCGAGACGGTCGATGATGTCCATCCTACTCAGCTTTTGCGAGCTTTTGTTGATCTCTTCGCGCATGCGCACTTCCTTTGCTTTGCGCTTGTTTTCCTTCTCCTCACCATGTTTCTTGAAGACCTGTGAGAACCTCCCGCCAAAGCTTTTGGGCTTGTTCGACGCGGCGGCGCCGGAGCCAGAGCCGCTGCCGACGTCGACCGGGTCTTTGCGAGGCAAAGCGGGTGGCACAGAGGACGAATCGAGCTGCGACGCAGGGTTGAGCGGTGATGAACCTGCCGAGTAGTTCACGCGGGCGCTGCAAGCAGCGCCCGCGTGAGGCTGTGGGCTGGATGACGATTCAGGCTGAACCTGCACGACATCGCTTAGTGCCGCCAGGACCGCGTCCTTGGCGGCGTCTTTTTGCTCTGCTGATCGAGAGGACGCTGAGGTTACCATGACGAAGCCCGTTGTCGTGTCGGAGGTGTGGATGGTGATGGTGCCAGAGAGCGCCGAGGATGCGTCCATACAGGGTAAAATTCCATCGTCATCGTCAGTAGGGAGGCATAGACACGCATCGGCAAGTGGCGAGGTGGGCGGCAAGATCACAGTAGACGCGTGCGACGATGAGCGCAGAATGCCAGTGACGGACGAGTCCAGGTCAGTGACAGCCAAGGCGGTGGAGGGCGCGTATCCAGCCGCGATGAGGGAGAGCGGATCGGGTGCAAATTGTAGAAGCGGGGTGACAGATGCAGGTGATGGGGCGAGACGTGGTTTGTTCAACACGGCAACAGGCCCGGTCGCATCGGTCCCAGATTTGTTTGTGCGAAACGGGTCAGTGAAGACCGCAGACGGTGGCGGTGCGGCCGAGAAATGTGGTGGCGGAGAGGTGTGCCCCACGGTCGGCGTCGTCATGGGCGTAGACAAGCAATCAGACGGAATGGCCGCAAGGGCGACGTTGAAGTATATGGAATCAAACGAAAGATGACGCATGACCGGAGTCGTCGGAGTGGCGGGGCCGTCCGAGTCGTCCGTGTCCGATTCAGCAGTGAGCAGCGGCGACAGTTTGCCCATCGCATGGAATGCGGACGCACGTGTCGCATGGTGGCAGGAGTTCCGTGTAGTCGGAACAACAGTGAGTGAGGCGAGTGAGCGGAGGTATTCATGCGCAGAGGATGAGCGCCGGGGGATAACGACGACCGACGGAAGGGGCGACGAAGGCGATGATGCCCACATGGTTGCGATATGGAGAGGAGGTTGAGGGGATAGAGCAAGAGCAAGACCTTGTCAGAAGTACCATTCTCTTTATCCTTCATAAATTTGTTCGAGAGAAGCGATCAAGTTTGGCACATCGGTGAATGGAGACCGTGTTCTCATTCTACGATGCCCACAGAACCCCCGAGCAATGGCCGATACGGAGGTGACACCTTGCCGGCTGCCGCCTTCTCCGATCCCCTCTTTGCGCTTGCGACAGAAGTCAGCCACTCGGCGGAGATGAACGAGACCTGTCAAGCGATCCAAGTCGGCTACTCGGCCGGCTGCCACAAACTATGATGATCCTCGAGAGCGAACCATCCCTTGACAAGATGCGTGTGCTGGGCGGCATGATTTTGCCCTGCCTATATGACGCATGAAGCGACCTAGCGCACGGGGTGACGTCCTGGCCTGTAGCAGCCCACCGCTTTTGCTATATGCCGATCTCGCTGTCATCACTCCATCCCCTCGTCTGAGGCACAATGTATCACCTTTGCATGTGCACATGCAATCCATCGTCCCAGAGCCACGGCGGCCACCTGCCGATGGCAGTTCTTAGGGACCTAGCCCATCGCTGCGCTATTGACCAGGACAAAACAGCTTTACCGCGCGTCGACGCGCCGATCATCATCATCACTGATGCCACCAGTTCATTCATGCACCGTTGCATCGCATCACCATCGCCTTCCATCTCGCTCTGTGAATCCTGATGAGTTGATTGCCTCAACCCCCTGGCAGCCAGGCGTGCCAGCAATCGCCGCCGAGGCCGTTGTGACAGGCGCGTGGGTGGGTGTCCCAACTTTCGGCCGCGCGCGCATGGACCTCTGCCAGGCGTTTTTGGCGCGGGCCCGGTGCATCGCTGATCCTATTGCGCTGGTACTCACCCATGAAGACAAGAGACAGCTGTGTTGATAAGTAGCCGAGAGCCTGCCTGCTGTCCGGTGTCGACGGCCAAGATGGTTACCGCTGAACAGTGGGCGAAGTTGGAGATGGGAGAGGTGGATGATCAGCGAGAGGTGGGAGAGAGCTGGTCGGCCAGGTGAGTTGAATAGGAGATAGGCGCGGTAGGAGAGCGGGTGAGTCCAAGTAGGTGAAGCCTGGTGCCACACAGATGCGGCATGCCTGTAGTCGAGTCAAGTACATTTAGGCGCGGTACGACAGGCAGCCGATGCCCAGCGAGAGTTTAGGTGTCACGGTGGGGCCAAGACATCTGCTCTGCATCTGGAGGCTGCAGCTACCGAGTGAACTTGCCGTCAGCACTGGGCGACAATGCGAGAGAGAGTACATTGTGACTTGAGGCAGTGGAGGTGGTGGCCCTCTTTGTGCATCACGTGATATTTGGGCATGTCTTATCGTCACATCGGTCCGAGAGCGCGAGCGAGCAAAGGTGATTGACAGAGTTTGCACGCGAATCGACGGCAACAGGCAGTAATCAATGCACGTGCATCCGCCAACACCTCCCCAGTCGACCAGCTGCCACCCCTTCTCGCTGGAATCGATGGTGAACGGCCCAAAGCCTGGATTCGGAAGTGTTCCACCCTCTGCCGCTCCAAGCAGAGCGACAATCAGCGCAGCGACGCAAGCTCGCAGATCAGACCCATGAACAATGACACTGGAGTCGGGTAAGGATATGCCTACTGCGCACAGCGCGTCGCGCGGCTGCCTTGCGCTGCACTGCCTTCCATCGAAGCTCTTTACATGCAATCTGTCTAACACCGAGCTCTCTACTTCTCTCTCTCTCTCTCTCGGCGCGGCTGCATTTACCAGATCACGAGCTTCCGGCCGGCTACCAGTGGAAAGACGGTGAGGAAGACTGGCACACGATGAATTCAGTCGAATGCGTGGGCTGATACGTTCCGGCATTGCAGAATACGTCCAATGCATACAGTACATTGCCGCCAACGATCCGGATGACGACTACTATCGACCCACCTCAGCCCTGAAAGCCGATGATGGTGCTGCAAGAGAAGCAGAAGCAGAGGCGGTGGCGGGACCGAGCCGTCTGTGTCCAGCAGGAGAGCCGCGTATTACTTGGCCGGAACTCAAGAATGCGCTCAAGTATCAATTGAGATGCATCATCTTCGACGAGCAGTCCCCTTTCTCATTGCACAACACAACGAGCTCTCTATACCCACCGAACTTGTACGGATGGCAGGGCAACCCGGAAGAGCTCGGTGGGTTGTCTGTAGAGGAAGGCACCAAAGCGAAGGGCAAAGGCTTCCCCAGAAAGCCTCTACCTACCCTCCACCCTGCAGCATACAGGCTACCCTTCAACAAAGTCTTCTTCCCTCCGTATCCGAGACATTCGACGCTGCCCGCAGAGGAAGAAGAGCCGGCACCGCCCCAGCCGGAGCGAGCGGCGTTGCAAGAAGAGAATGCACTCAGTCTCGACCCGGCTACAGCCTCGTTCCGCCTCAACAGTCGTTTCACTACTGCGCTGCACAGCGACGCCAGCGAGTTGGCTGCCGCTGCGAACGCGAATGCAAATGCGGACACTTCCGCTGCGAGGTCCATGCCTGGCGATGCGTCAGCATCCACACCAGAGACGGAAGCGACGGATGTCTCGTGGCGCTCGACAAACGCGTCCGGCACAAAGGACGGTACGTTCCAAGTGAAGCCGGCAGACGAGTCGTCCTTCTTCCCGTCCAAAGCGCCGCCGCCCGGAGATGCCTTTGGTAGCTGGGGCAAGTCGTACGCGAGCGAAGATGAGATCAAGCGAGAGTATAGGCTGCTGTGCAACATGTTGGACGAGTTTGACGAGGTCGCGCCGCCTGGCCCCGAGCTGCCTGCACAGCATCGCACTGGGAACGGGAGGGGCGCCGGAGCCTCCACATTAGGATCTGCCGCTGCGAATGGGACCAATCGCGCTTCAGCCTCAGCGGCGGCGTGGCCTTCGCCGCCTTTCACGGTCCAGAGGCTGTGTGAACTCATATTGGAGCCGCACAGACACTACACCGCCCTGCCCAAATACATCGCGGCCGTCAAGCGCACGCTCTCTGTGACCGCTGGGCGCAGGGACTTCCCGGCCGCGCCGCTGGACACAGCAGAGGACGAGGACATGCTCAACATCGAGGATGACGCGGGTGCGGATGCGGACACATCAACGCTTGCTCCTGCAGTGTCCGACCAAGGACATACAGTCACTGACCCCGCATCAGTAGACGGCACTGCACCGGACGCAGGTACCGACACTGTCATGCTCAATGGCGCAGCAGCAGCCTTTCCGAGCGCTTCCTTGGCGGCGGCGTCCGCGACCGTTTCACCCTTCTCTTCTTTTACGGCGGACACACCGCGAGCACGGCGAGCCTCTTCGCACGCGCGCTCACGAAGCGGCACGCCCGCATCGCCCTCATTGCGCCCGCACGAGCCGTTGTGGAGTCCGATCCCGTTCCTCTTGCGCCAAGAGGCAGAGGACAGAGAGAGAGAGAGGCTCATTAGCGAGGATCCTTCAGAGTGCGGCGACGAGGCAGCTGCTGGCACCAAACATGGCTCTGCAGCCGCAGCTGGGCAACCGCAAGGCGAGAGCGAAACAAAAGCGGATAATGGCGGCGGCGGCGCGCTGCCAGCCAGTGACAGCGTGGAGAGCATGGACCTGGACACTTCAATCGCAGATGTAACGCAAGAACATTCCGCTACAGCTCTACCTTCAGATGCGGACAACAGCGGGCGGGAACTCGCCGCACCTGCTGCTGCGCACACAGAGCGATCGAAGTTAGGGTCTGCCGCCATAACATCCGCCGCCGCCGTGCAGCCGCAGGATCCCTCCAGCACAGTGGCACCCGCCTCGGCACTGTCAACAACATTAGCACATCTGCTCTCGCCCACCTCGACGCTCGCTGACCCGATAGCAGGCTCGCAGCAGCCGCTTGGTGTGCCAGACGGGCGCGTGGACGAGCTGGACGATGCGCTCTGGCGCGGGAAGAGCAAGACCGGTCTCCCTCGTTTGGATGCGGAGATGCAGCCGATCAGCGTGACGACCACTGGCACTGCGCTTGCGGGCGGCCCGCCAGCCAGAGGCGGTACAGGGGTGGAAGATGCCGGGCGCCAGGTGCAGGGGGAAGGGAATGCGGAGAGCGAAAGTAGGCAACTGAAGCGGCTCAAGAGTGAAGACAGCGTCAAGCTAGCTACAGCTGCTGACGCACAGGCTGCTGCGCCAAGTGCAGCAAACCCTGAGGCAAAGTCAGGTGCGCAGGTAAAGGCAGAGGGGCATGCTTGACCTGGCTCATGTATCAGAAGCATTTAGCAAATCTTGCTTTGGCACCCTTTTTGGCAGTGTGCGTGCATTCGAATATGGCATATTGTATTGGATTTCGATATGCTATTACCAAGCATCCCGCTGCTGCGCTATCAGAATTAGCCATCCGCGACTTCCTCCCCGCGTGCAGCGAGTTAAATAATGACCATTGCGCTCCACATCAAGCACATATCCGCCGAGCTTGCACCGTCACCTCACTTTTTGCCGGCTCGACATCTCCGTGAGTCCCGCCAATACCTGTGTTTGCGCTCGCTGTCGCTGCCGATTCCGACGCCGCAGGAAGTCCCCGTAGCGCACGCACGGCAGCGAGCACCGCTTCCTCAGCGCTAGCGAGCCTGGTTTCGATCGCGTGGAGCGGTGCCAAGCGGGCTTGCTCATCCTCTCGTTGCCTTGTCTGTTCCTGCGAGCCTTGTCTCGTACCTCCACCCTGAGGCTCACCACAACCCGTGCCTACCTCTGAAGTGTGTTCGGCAGAAAGTCCCCCACAACCCCCTAGCTCGCTTTCCCGCTCGCGCTCGTGCTCGCGCTCATGCGCAAGTGCCTCCCAATCGGGCGGCGCGATCTGCTCGAGCGTTAGCGCGCGTGTCTCCGCACTCAGCGAGTCGAGTGTGGCGCATGCATCGCGCAGCTGCGACAGCGTGAAATCGCGCAAGCCGCCCGCTGCCGATGGCGACGCCGTTGGAGGTACGCGGGAAGAGAGCGAGATGAATGGGAGTGCTGCGTATGACAAAAACGGGCCGTTCGCTGCTGATGCAAGGTCAAAAGCTGGTAATACTCGGCCCTTGTGGCGTGGAGAATTCGCAGCTGAAGAGGCCGCTGAAGTTGAAGGTGAAGCTGAAACCCCTTTCCAGCGCGTTCTAACAGCGGCGAGCGGTGCATCCTCCAAGTCTGAGTCCAATGCTGTTACTGCTGCTTTTCTTGCTGACGTAGACAGAGATGAATCTCGAGATCTCCAACGCGAAGGCCGTGCATCATCCTCAAGCGAGAGTTCCAACTTTGGTGCAGCGGGTAGCAGCGGCGAGACTGACACTGTTGCATTCGACTGTTGTCCCTGCTCCTGCAGGTGTTGTTGATGCTGCTGGGTTTCACACCTGTGCATTTGATGCGATGCCCCCCGGTCTTGTGCGATTCCTAGAGCATCGGCCATTTGAGCTGTAACGAAGCGCAGAACGTCCAGCCTCCCTTTCAAGCTTCCCAGCCGTCGTCCGAGCGGCACACCAATATCCGCGAAGGCCTCATCAAATCCTTCCTGCAGTGTCGAGAGCTTGCCTGCTGTAATACCCTCTCGGTAGCCGGTCTGAAAGGGGGGGCAAAGAGTGAATAGCAGGAGCAGGACAGAGTCAGCAGAGACATTAGGAAGGCCATGGCGCGAACGCGGAGCGACTAACATCTTCGAATGTGGCCATCAATTTCCTGCTGTCCCTTTCTTCCATGCCGATAGCATGGAATGGGCGTTCAGTACTGTGCGGATCTTCACTGGTTGACAGCTTCAAAGGAAACGTGGGCGGCGTAGCCTGCAAGACTCGCGCAGAGTCGTCTATGTCGCCTTGACCCATGCTCCTTGCGTCGGAGCCTGGGTCATTTAGAATGCGTTCCGAGTTGGCAGCGTTGATGGGATATCGAGTAGAGTGGTACATCTGCCGCTGCTTTTGTCGTTGAATACCTTGACCGAGATGCGTGATGTCGGTATCGCTGAAAAGCCAGTCATCGTCTTCGACTTCTTCATCGTCTTCCACTTGACCTTGGTCTCTCCTTTCATCAGCATCCATGCGATCCGCATCGCTAGCAGCATTGGGCCCTGCACTGGATGTGTCTTGATCTTCCTGCTGCTGTGCTGTCTTAGCGGCGACTTTAGCTTCATGATTGGCTTGACTTGAGGTGCCGAGCGATGCGGCCCCTGGCGCAGCGGTATCCATGCCTGCTACTTGTTGGGCTGAGCAGTTCGCCTAGCGGGTCTGCTTTTACACTCTTGTCAAGGGTCGAGTCGTATGGAGAAAAGGCCTCGAGTGTTCAAAGGAAAGCACAGAAGGCCAGGGCCACTACCACCTCACGTAGCCGTTGCGCTTCTCAGTTAACAGTGCTTGCACAGCAGAGGAAGATGGGGCCTTGAGCCAAGCCGTTTCCCGTTTCCCTTCGACGATACCCCACGACGTGCCACGCTGGTGTGTGTGATATGCAGGCTACAATCATCAGCTGCGGGACGCGGGTCACAAGATTAGAAGTATTGTCACCACGCAGCACACCGGCGAGAACCCCGTTCCCGAATCCCGATCACGAAATACTTTGTGGTAACCGTTGGTTTTAATAACCGCAGATCTTTGCGGAATTCGGGTTCCTCTCCGTCGACCCACCCCACTGTGACACTCGCAAGCGTGGCATGAGCATTGCAGGTTGCGCCCCTTCGCCGCAGACCAAAAGCGGATTGTGGACTTGCGTACACCCGGTGAACAAAGTAATAACAACCGCACAAAGAGAGCAAGCTTTGTTTTAGCACGTCATCTGCGTCGCACACACTCGCCGCATCGGGCGCATTGTCCCTTGGGGGATATGTATGTAAACTTGTGGCTACAAGCTAGGCCCGCGTCCGCTCGCGCGCACGCTTGCGATCCATGATCGAGTATTCGAGTTGGAATTTGCAATTCGAATCACTCAGATACCTGCTGCGAGCTTGTAACACGCACAATGCAAGGCTCCGTCAAGTGACATCCACAAAGCTGCCTCTCACCCCACGTATACAAGAACATAGAAGATCACAGTCTCCCAATGGTAGCTAAAGGCTGTATTATACCATCCATGTGTATGTGACTCTCGGTGAAAACGCGCACTGAGAGCTGCCACGCTCCAGCGCCCAGCAGATTTAAAGTTCCGAGTCCCGTACATCCGCTCAGATGGCACTCGCTGCGTTTTTCGTTCGGTGCAATCATGACCGCATGTGCCATTGCTCTCCTCGCCTCTTCGTAACACGCGGTAAGCCTTTTGCAAGGCATATGAGCGTATCTCATGTAAACTCTTCGCCAGCTTGTAATTTTGCACGTTGGGCTCACGATTTCTGGTCTCTCTGTCGAAGTTACGGTGGACACATTTCGCGGCTCCACAGGAAATACGGTCCAGCTCACGCAGCACGGTCCGTGCTGGGGTATTTCAAGGACCAAGCCCCTCGCTAGACGCGACGACGACGACATAATCTTCCTGGTGTACGCTGGGAAAGCATCAGGACACCGTCATCCAGTCCGAGTCAGTGACTCGTACAAGAAATTGAAGGGACGAAGCATACCCTCCGCGGTGCACGTACGATGGACGGCGACGTCCAAGATACCACAAGGTACAGCGGTACGTCCAGCGCCCTTCAACCTCGTTCACGTGTGCATCGAATGCGCTTGCTTACGCAACTGTTGCCACGACTTTTTCACAGGGTGGCAGTACAGCGGAAAAGTCATGATCCCGCACGAACCATCCAGCCTTTCGCCGCATGTGTTTTGGGAAAAGTACATTAGTAAGCGCCGGCCCGTCGTTCTTGACGGTTTGCTGCCAGAGCCTTCGTTCCAAGGGCAAAAATGGGTACGTTTCCGTGCCTCCCTCACGTCTTTGTGATGATCCGGAGCAACATGATATGCGCGGAATCTGATGTTGTACTCGCTTTGCATGGCGCGCCAAGACGGACCTCAACTATCTCTCCACAGTGGCAGGCGATGCACGCGTCAAGATCGAGCCCATGCATCCCGAACTGCAGCGGTTCGGAACAGCCATGACACGACGCACGGTTCATCTGGCAAGATTCATCGACATGTTACAACATCCGGACGCAAAGGAGAGAGGCGCATACTACCTTACGACCCAGTACGACTCAGAGTCTGAACTAGACGGGTCGGAAGCAGAAGTGGAGGAAGAGGAAGAGTCTGAGGGGGAGATGGACGGTGCTGCCGGTACTGGATTAGGCAAGCGTAAACGTCAGGAGCAAATGGCTTCTTTAGATCGCGATGATTTATCTTCGTCTTCCAGCGAGTCTACGATGAGCTCCTCAGAAATAAGCCTGACACCCGATGCATCCGACTTGGACCCGGTTCTGCCGTCGCCCACCCATGCGCTCATCCGTGACTTTCCGGCTCAACCATCGCTCATGGGTGGCCTCGTCCTACAACAGTGCAATCTGTGGCTCGGAGCTGCTCCAGATACAACGCAGCCGAATGGAAAGGTGGCAAACGGCGGCATGAGCACTGGCGCCACTGCTGCTACCGGCACCAGCTCCGGCTTGCATCATGATTTTCACGACAATCTCTACGTCCTTCTCTCCGGTGCGAAGCGTTTCTTGCTTTTTCCGCCTACGGCACACGAACACTTGCATATCCGAGGGAAGGTGCAGACCGTCCACGAGAACGGATTGATTGTATACGATGATAAGACTGATGGGAGTGAAGAGGAGGACCTCGAGGACGATGAAGACTCAGATGAAGACTCAGATGAAGACGAGGGGATGGACATTGATTTTGACCCTCATCGCTTGCGCAAACACCTCGCCTTCCTACGTCGCGGCTCTCTCTCGGGTGGGGTTGGGACTAGCGCCTTGACGCAAACGATCAGAGCCGATGGCCTCCCGCGCGTTCAAGCGGCGCAGTGGCGCCTGCGCGCGCGGCTGCGTCTGCTGCGCGAGCTCGAGGAGCTCGCAGCGCAATCTGCTGGCGAAGCCGAGCGCAGTCGTGCGCAGCGCAAGGGTAAAGGCAAGATGAGTGCCGCGATGGAGGATGCTCTGAGGCGCTACGAAATCGCCAGGAAGGATTGCGAGAGGGAGAAGCGCATGGAGGCTGGAGAACTGATTCTCAGCGACGACGACGAAGATGGAGAGTCAGATGAAGACAGCGATGAGGATGATTCAGACGAGGACACCAACGATTTTCTCGGATCCTCAGATAGCATCTCCATCGACTCGGACATCCTCGCGGGGCTCGACGATACCGGTGCAAGCAGCAGCGATGACGAAGCCAAGCGGTCGTCGCCACATGCCCTGCAGCAGTCTCAGCAACTCAGTCCGGTACCCAAGCGCAAGCGAAAGCTCACAAGCAGAGCCGCCAGCGCAGGCGGTAGCTCTAGCAACATTCAGGTCGAAGACGTCCTGCCCTCTGGCGGTGGCGGTGATCATGAGTGCATCGACAGCGGAGGCGACGAGGAGGATGACGAAAGTGGATCAGACGTCGATGAGGATGAGCTTGCTGGGCTCCTCGAGGATGCTACGGCGCCGATCGACGAGGCGCTCGTGCGTGCTAGGTCCGCCGGAGCGAAAGTTCCATCCACCTCTTCCACCTTTACAGCAGTCATCGCAGCGCAGCAGCGAAGCGCTAGCAGCGGCAACGAAGCTGCTCTTGGCGTGGAGGGCGAGGGAGAAAGTGACACTGAGCGTAGCGAACAGAGCGTACAAAGCGCAGATCGCTTTGGCTTTTTGACACCTGCGCAGCTGCGTGATCTTCAGTGGCGATTTGGGAAGGCCGGCGCGACGGAAGGTTCTAGCAAGGCGAAGGCGCAAGTCGTCAACGCGGAACCAGATCTTGATATTCTCGAGGAAGATGGAGTGGAGGAGGACGGCGAAGATGAAGATGAGGAAATGCAAAACGCGCAAGGAAGCGACCACAGCAATGGCGAGATTGACGAAGACGACCTCGATGCTCAACAACCAACACGTTTGTTTCAAGGCAGTCTCCTTCCGCCGTCCAAAGTGCGTCTTATCATCAAACGCGCTACTGGCAAAGCGCTGTTGGATGAATTCTCGGACCAGGATCTTATCGAGCTGATCTATGCCACACCAGTCCAATGGGCGGCCAAGGGATGCAAGGCCTTGCTGAGGGAGGATGTCGCGATGAAGCTGCGACTGACGTGGCGTATCCTCGCCGAGGTCGAGCGCAGAGACGAGGACCACACCCCTGGGGAGGATGAAGAAGGGGAGGAAGACGATGCAGATGATAGGTGGCGTTTCTTTGATGAAGACGAGGGCGAAGACGAAGGCGAAGACGAAGACGAAGACGAAGACGAAGACAAAGACGAAGACGAAGACGAAGACGAAGACGAAGGCGAAGACGAAGACGAAGGCGAAGACGAAGACGAAGGCGAAGACGAAGAGAGCGAGGCTGACTCCCATGAAGTCGAGGAATGTACTCTTGTCTTCTCGGACGCGGGTTCGATCGGCACCGAAGACTTTCCCGGCATCGAAGACGGCGAAGCAGCGCTTGCCGCACTCCTAAGAGACGCCGAGCGAGGGACTGGCGTAGCATTCGAAGGAGCCGCTCGTAACGGTGCTGGTTCCGAAAGGATCAAGAAGGAGCCACAGAGCTTTTCGCGTATAAAGCCAGCTGTGCTGCATGCGCATTTCGGCATCGGCCTGACTGCGGAGGAGAAAGCGGCAGCGAAGCGCGAGCGCAAGAGGCTGAAGAAGCAGCTGCAGCAGACAAATCGGAAGCAGCAAATGAAGCAGAGGGCACGAGGTAAGTTCGAGAGCGACGATCTCGATGAAGATGACGATGAAGATGATTTGCGCCCGCTGCCTGGTTGCCCGCAACCCATCGAGGTGCACCTCCAGGCCGGCCAAATGCTGTATCTGCCCGCGTCTTGGTTCCACGAAGTCACTTCATACGCGGTCAATCCGCTGGTGGGCGAAGCAGGCGACAAAATGCTTGAAAAAAACAAGAAGTACGGTAGCAAGTGCAACGGCAAAAAGAAAGCGCAAAGTACCAATTTTCACATGGCGCTCAACTATTGGTTTCACCCACCTACGCAGCTGGAGCCGCCGGCCCAACCATCCAATGTGAAGCAAGCTGTTGTAGCTGCGGAGGGAGGCAGTGCCGGCATCGCTCGTGAGGCAGGCGGTGCTCCTCCCGCGCCTGCTGACTCCCTGTTCACGGGGACGTACGACAGGCCGTATGCGGACCCGGAAGTGTGGGACGAGATCGCGCTCGCTGTGCGCCAGCAGGTCGACGCTGCAGCGCGTGTGGCGGCGCAGCGCGCGCTAAGGGAGGCGGAGTCGAAACGAGAACAGGAGTTGCAGGTGCCAAACGTCGCGGTGAAGAGGCTCAACAAGACGAAGACGAAGCAGCAGGTGCAACAGCACAAGCATGGGCTAAGTGGTAAGGAAGACGAGCGCCAGACAAAGAAGCGCAAGGCCGCCTGATGAGGCCTACACAGCCGATGGGCCGCGGCTATGTAAGAGCACATGTGCATGACTACCTGCCATCACCCACAAATTTCAATCAACCTACCTGCTGCTCTGACGCTCGACTCTGTGCATGAGTCTGAGTCTGTGTCCGCGCCAGTGCTCGTGTGTCGGGGACGGGCGCTCGATGATACCATAGTGCAAAAGTAGATGGCGTCAGGGGAAGCACAGTGCGAGACGACGTCGGTGCAACTTGAAAACAAGAAAAAGCTGCGGTGGCGGCGGGCTGGAGCAAGGAAGGGGAGAGTATGAGAGGGAGCAAAGAGAAAGTGTCTAGAGATGAGGAGATGATAATACAGACAGACGGAGGTGTGGGCCATGTGCGTGGGGGAGACCAACGAGAGCGAGAGGAAGCGAGACACGAGCGAGGCAACAAGGGCAAGCGCATGCGCTCAGCAATTGCACGCGTCCTTGCTCGCCTGCGCGCCAGCATTCAGGTCAACATTCCCCCCTGCGCCGGCGCCGGCGCCCGCTGCGCTTGGCCGGCCGGCTGTGGCGCCAGCAGCGGCCTGCGTAGCCTGGCTGGCGAGGATGTCGTTGATGGGGATCTTCTTTGCAATCTCGGTGAATACCTCGATGATCCCCTCGCCCGTTTTGGCAGACGTCTCGAAGAAGAGCAGGCCGGCCTCCTCAGCGTACGCCTGCGCCTCTTCCTTCGGTACCGCTCGTGTTGGCGCCGCACCGCTGCTCCCGCCCGCTGCGCCTGTGCCTGCTGCGCCAGTGGTGGTGGCGTTGTCATCTTCCTCGTCCTCTGCATCGCCGCCGCTGGAGGAGAACGAAGGCGCGCTGGTGGCGCTGGCAAGCAGATCAACCTTGTTGCCGACGAGGGCGATGACGATGTTCGGGTTCGCCTGCCGTTGCAGCTCCTTGACCCATGACTTGGCCTTTTCGAATGAGCTCTTTTGTGGCATACAAACAGCTCGGGTCAGCTACTTTCAGCTCATCTCAGCAGTCACAGGACGCTTCGAAAAATACAATGACGCACCGTTTTCGTCACGTCGTAGACGACTGCACTCGCCTGGGCATTCCGGTAGTACATGGGTGCCAGCGAGTGGAAGCGCTCCTGGCCGGCCGTGTCCCAGATCTCAAACTTGATGATCTTGTCCTCCAGGCGGCATTTTTGCTGTGGAAAAGGACGGTTTGCTCGTCAATCTCCTGAGCGAGTGTCCTCCGGCAAAAAGAAGGGTGAAGAGCCGGTGTCAAAAGAAGTGAAGGAGGAGAGACTCACAGTGAGAAACGCTGCGCCGATGGTGGGCTCCTTATTCTCCTGGAAGTCATCGCTGACGAAGCGCAGCACGACGGAGGACTTGCCGACGGCCGCATCACCGAGCAGAACGAGCTTGGTCTGGAATGGTTTCTGGGCGGCGGCGATGGCTGCGCCTGCGCTTGGCGCAGTCGCCGAGGAGGTGGCCGCGCTGTTGTTGGACATGTTGGGACTCGACTGGCCTGGCGGGGCGGCAAGCAGTTTGGCTGTGCTAGGGGTGCAGGTTGCGGATATAGGAAATGCTTGCTGCCCCCAGTATGATCTCAGAGCGCTTTGAGTTTGCTACTGATGCCACCTCTATGTGTGTTTGTGGGACAGGTGTGTGGGTGAGGTTGTCGAGGTCGACGATTGCCCACCATGTTGGAAAAGCAGACGGATGGGCGGCGGGTTACGGGTGGCGCGTAGCGCGTAGCGGAGCACTATGGCTGTGTCACTGCTCAGGCACTGCGCCACTCAAACGCTGGGCAGTGCATGCAGCGTCAATACAAGCGTGCACCGAGCGTGCATACATCCACATAAGTTGTGCTCGAAAAGGACCAACCATCGCAAGGGACACCCGTCTCCCAATGGACGAGAAGCCGATGGACAGGTCGGATGGTTAGTTACGTTGCCATAGATAGCCACACGTTCAGAACGCCGCCCGAGTTAAAGTCCGACGGAGCGGCGTGCAATCAATCTCCCTGCTGCGCCGAGGCGAGGCGAGGCTAGGCCTTCAAGCATGTCCGGCTCCCATCAATGGACCGCTTCAAGCAGTTGGACGCGACCAACTCGTCCATCGGGACCCTCCTCGACGATGACGAAGAGGTCATATCCATCCAGGCTAGCGTAGGCCTGTACGATGGAAAGGATAAGGCTCTCCACCACACCGCCGGAACCATCTACCTCACCTCCCACAGACTCATCTATGTCGATGACGCCCTCCCGCACAGGTACAGCTGCCACCTGCAGCTTGCGCTGATCAAGGCAACAGAGCACTACACCGGCTTCTTCAAGAGCTCGCCCAAAGTCACCCTCTTCCTCGCCGACGCGCTCGCGGATGCGTCCACATCCGCCAGCAGCAACGGTCCTCTCGAGAGCATGTCCTCGTCCTCGCCGCTGCTGCTCCCAGATCAGCACCTTACTGCTGCTGGTGCGTCATCTCTGCACCAAATTGGAGAGGCAGCTAGGCAAAAGAGCGCAACGCCCTCCTCTCGCAAGTTAGGCGACTGGCGCGCCTCGGTGCAGGCTTTTGACACGGGCAGTGACCAGTCGCAGCTGCAGCCTCCATGGATCTGCCGTATCTGCGGCTTCAGCAATCGCAGCAGCAGTGGAGGCAGAGCGGAGACCTGCCAGTTGTGCGGCGTAGCGAGTGGTCTCAACAACTCGCCCTCACAGCCAGCCCCTCTGACATCTGCTGCCACCCATCATGCCACAGTCTCAGCATCTCCTGCGCCTGCTGCGCGCAGCGCGGGGGACACAGGCGTCCCGTGTCCGGTATGCACGTTCGTCAATCACCCTTCCATGGTCGTCTGCGAACTGTGCGAAGCAGCGCTCGGCACCCATTTCCCACTGACACAGCCGCAGCAGAAGCAGAAGCAGCGCACAAATGACTCCGCAACAGCAGCTTCGAGCTCCAGCACAAGTCCGAGCCCAAGCCCAAGCCCCAAGCCCAGCCCAAGTACGAATCCTACTGAACGGCATGCAGAAGGCTCCCTGCCGGCCCGGTCGCCCGCACCGGCCACGCCGCAGTATCCGTGGAGCGTTACACTACCGCTGCGAGCGGAAGGAAGCAGCGGGAGGAGCCCCGCTGGCGTGTCTGCCCCACTTCGCATAGCAACAGCCGCAGACCACGTCAGGCTGAGCTTCAGGAAAGGAGGCGATAAGGAGTGGTATGAGCACATCAAGTCAACGCTCAAGGCCAAAGCGTGGGTCGCGTCTACGTCTTCCTCCTTTCTCTCGGGGAGTGCCGCCTCGAACATTGCCATCAACGGCGAGGTTCCTCGCACATCAGCAGCAACGACATCGACGACCTGGCGCGCAAACGGCCGTTCGGCCGCCGCGACAGCGACGACGGACATTGATGGGCGTGCGGCGGCGATGCGCAAGGCAGGCATTGAAGGAATTTTGCGTGCCGCAGACGACACAGCGCGCGAGCAGCACGCTGGCATGGCGGACGCGCTCAAGGATCTCGAGGCGCTCATGCACAAGGCTAAGCAGATGGTCCGCCTCGCTGAGACGCTCAACGAGAAGCTCGTCCGCCAGGAGGCCCAGCAGCAGCAGCAGTCAAAGGGGGAGGAAATCAGCGTCGAAGGTCAGGTTGTCACACAAAGCTCAGAGGCTGCGACACTCATCCGCAGCTCGCTCGTCCGCCTCGGCCTGCCAGCGCCCGCAGTGACAGAGGACATGGCGAAGGATGAGATGGAGTACCACATGGAGTTGGCTAGGGAGCTGGCGGGCTTGCTGCTCGGCACCAGCAGTGAAGGTGGAAGCTCTACCAATGGTGCTGCTAGAAGTGGCCCAAAAGCTACAACAGGGCTCATGGGCAGCGGGACTGTTCTTCGCAAAGGCACAGCCTCTGCTCCCACATCCACCATTTCCACCTGTGCATCCGCTACAAAGCATCAGCAACAACACCAACGACAGCAAGGCCTCGGCCTCGTCAACCTCGACGAGGTGTGGTGCCTCTGGAACCGAGCGCGTGGCGTAGCGCTCGTGTCGCCCCTCGTCCTGCGCACCGTCACGCGCTTCCTGCCTCAAATCACCTCGCCGCCGATCGCGCTGCGCACGTTCCGCTCCGGGCTGTGCGTGCTGCACACGCCGTACTACAGCCTCGAGGCGTTTGAGGCGCGGCTGCTGTGCGCGCTCAAGGCGGACACTGTACCCCGAGACGAGGCCGAGCCGCGTGACGCGGATTCTCTGCCGTGGGGGACAGGCCGGACGAGCGTCGAGATTGCGCGGATGGAGGATGTGCCGATCCTCCTTGCCACGGAGATGATCGAGCTGGTCGAAGCGACGACAGGCACCGTTGCACGCGATGATGGCGCAAAGGAAGGGACCAGGTGGTATCCGAACTTCATCTCGCCTGGCTCTGCCATTGCAGGTTGAGTAGAATCCGATGAATTTCAATCATGGTTACTCTATCATAGACTTCATTGAAAAGCATGTGGCCAAATATGCCCAACCGAATCTAGACGGGTTTGGACGCCGCTGCTTGCATATAGTGCACAGTGATGGTGATGGCTATAGTACAGATTGAATGCTGTTGATGCGAAATAACCCATGATCCCAACGTCCTAAGGGGGGACGAACGAATGCGAAAGTTCGAAATGCCTGCTGCTGCGATGTCAGTTAACTGACTAGCTGGCGAATATAATGAATGACCTGCTTTCGATGCGGTAATGAGTGTTGCTGGTGAAACCGCACCTATCAAGTCCCAGATCTATCGCCGCTGACGTCAGCAGGAGAGTCCGCGCGGAAGAAGCGGTCCATCGTCTCGGGCGACACCTCTGATCCGTCCGCGAGGCGCGAACGCTGCGAAGCTGTCTGCGGGCCATCAGCACCGTCTCCATTGCCGCTTCCCATCGAGTCGAGGGTGCTTCCATTCGCCATTCGATCGTTAGGGTCGATGGACGAATGCGAGCGCTTCGGTGCAGGAAAGCGGCCGACCATGCCTTTGCTATCCAACAGCTCCTCTTCAGCAGGGCGTTTCTGTCCCGCAATGGTGCTCGTAGTCATTGGTGGCAGCAAGATAGCAGGCTCATCATCGTCACTGTCGGCAGTCAGGTCGATCACATCGCTCGAGCGTCCTGGAGTCGACACGCCACTCCCGCTCAGCCTGCTTACTCCTCCGAGACGTGAGATTCGCGCCGTTACTGGATTTGGCGGGGAGTCTTCAACATCGCGCAGATCGATTGCAGAAGGGTTGGCGTTGGTAGGCTGATCCATAATGACCCCGCTGTCCTCCTTCCTGCGTGGCGTATTCGCCTCGGGTGATTCTTCACCCTGAACGTGCCAGCTTCCGTCTGGCTCCACGATGACCAACTCAACATCCTTCCCTACATTGGCGATGATGTCGCTCATGTATCTAGGTGGGCATAGGGGTAACATCATATAGTCAGCCTCCAGCACTTTGCAGCGAGTTGTAGAGACTCACTCATCGATAATGACATCGGACCACCTAATCTTGTTCGAGCAAATTGGGCACGACCACGAAGGCGACTGCTCGTGCGTGCGCAAAAACATCATGGGATCAAAGCATTGAACGTGGTCGCAATTCTTTGACCGTGCGGGCTTCGTCATCTTCATGAGACTCAGCTGAATGGGCGGCGCGGCATTCAAGTCAGTCAAGCCCCATCACCAGCATGTAACCCGAGGAATACTCACCGGATCCTTCAAGCTGACAGTCGCAGCTCCTGCAACGATGTCGTCATCCTGTGCTCTTGCTTTCACTGTGAAGACACTGAGCGTGAATAAGAGCTGTGCTCGTACGCTGTAAGAGAAACACTCACTCGTTGCCAGGACGCTTTCCTTGGAAAGAATGTTATCTTGCAATGCTGCGACCAGCTTCTCGACAGGTATCTTTTCGACATGTACAATCGCACAAGCGTAATCTCTTGTTGCGCAGACGTACCAGAACTCGATGGTGTTCAATGGAATGGAAAACACATCACCTAGTGTGTCTCCGATATTCTTGAGGTCGGGAGGAGCGACGCGCCCGGGGTATTTCTTTGTTCCCTTGAAACTGTGAGTCAAGGTTTTGTCGTTGACGCGAACTTCGGCTTGTGAGGGAAACTCTATCGGAGCTGGGCAGGCGACCGAGCTAACGCTGTATTGTTCAAATGGCGAGCAGAGCAAAAGCAATGTGTGTGTTGCGCTGTAATACCGTGCTTATCAGTAAGCGTCCGCTCGGTGCGGGGCAGAATTCTGCAGCTCACTTAGGTCCTTTGAGGCTCTCGAATTGTTGAGTGCTAAGGGTGATACGAAAAGTGACACGTTTCCGCTCATAGGGGCCTCCTGCAGCGTATCGAAGCAGAACATTTAGTAAATCTGTTTGATGTTGAGGTCAGATATACGCTCACTCGTAGCTTTTGCAATTTGACCGACAACACTTTTAAATTGGTAGAAGGGAGAGATGGCGAAGCTGCCGGTTTGTGGTACTGAGTGCCGTAACACGGAGGCATTCAGCGGAGAAAGAAAGGCGAACTTCGGAAAAAAAGCGTCTTACCTGTTGCTGCATATGTGACATCAGCGCTAGCGCCGAAGGGCCGCTGAAGAAGGCAAAAAATGCTATGTGAGGGATCGCAGAAGCGCCGATCATTCAAAGCGCAAGTCCTTACCGCATAGGTCGATGTGTGATAGGTCGGTTTTGGTGGAATGTAGGGCGGTGCGACCGGCGTCGATGATGCACCATAAGTGCTAGCAGCCGGCGTGCTTCCAAGCGTTTGAGGGATTTGGGCACCGTTGTAGGTCCTGTGGTTGTAGGAATAGCTGTATTACAAGTTGAGAGATTATGTCAGTCCGTCTTACTTTAGCGTACCAGACTGTTCGCCACTGCAAGCGCACCCTGACGACACGAGATTCCTTTTCGAAGCGAGCAGATCACAAAACTTCTTGTAAAAGATGGTATTCTCAGGCGTTCTGTTTCTCTCGTAGGCATTGGCAACAGCGAGCAACTTAGCGATCAGCTCTGCCTTGCGTCCTTGATAGCTAATCCTTGGACCTCTGTAGAAGTGATGCGCCTCTTTGATCATCGATTGCAGCTCAGCTACGCGCAGATAACTGAGATTCGACTCAAGCATCTAAAGAACACGACATGGAAACAGCCATTCAATATTTAACTTCATCCACCAAGGTAACAGTAGTAAACAGGCGAAGTTGGAAGACAGATACTCACATGGTGCTGGCTAAAGGGGTCGCCCGCAGAGGCGCCAGATCCTAATGCAGCGGCCATAGCTTTTCCAAATCCAGATGCGTCCCTAAGACCACTTAAGGGTGCTCCTGCGCAGCTGTACGCGCAGGCCAAGAGATTGATGGCGGGTGGCTGCCTTCTTTGGCTCCTTTAGCCGCGTTGGGTCCTCGTCGCGATGCAGCTCAGTGATCTTCGGTCGCCTTCGAGCCGACGCTCGGCTTCCGCATGGACGATTTGGCCACCATGAGATACCTGCTGCGCTGCTGCAACCGCCAACCGCGCGAGGACCATCGGCTGAATGATTTGATGCAAGAGAACCACTGCGAGGGTAAGGATGAAGCTGAAAGAGAGGCAGGCGTGTACATGAATCGTATATGACCGAGTGACATAACGCGATGTAGTTGATTCTTTTTTCGAGACGAGCACTCACCTCTTTTTTTAAGGAGAGTCGTGTTGCCGTGGCTTGCCGTGGAAAAAAAATGGCGGCATTTTCTTTTCGACCATAGCAAGTCTCCAAAACGCCCAAGCCTCAACGTCCAACGAGGTACGAAGGGGTTTATGGACTCGGAAGAACCTAGTATATGAGTAGCGCCCATATAGTGCAACACCTGGAAATTGCGGTGATGACTACCGAAGAGACTGCTCGCGAGAGCAAGCGGCCTCGCCTTGAGGGTGCCTCCAAGGAGCAAAATGGCGACGTTCGGAAGGATGAATCCTCGACGGCCGCCGCTGCCGTCCTCGCATCCGCCCCAGTCGTCCTCCAACGCAAGATGCTGAAAGAAGCGGACGTAGGTATTACTGAATACATGGATGCAAGTGTGCCCGCATTCACAGCTATCATCAAGCAGAGGTGAGTGAGGCTACAGTAATGTTGGCAAGTGGACTTGCTCATCATTGACATTTCATTGGTTGCAGATTTTCAGATTTCCAGGTTCGAGAAGTCCGTCCTGACGGTACCGTCTGTCGAATTCTGTCCTTACACCCTCCCGATGGCCCTCTCAAGGAGTTTCTGAACCAAGAGACGGCAGAGGAGGAGAACCCTGAATTAACGCGTCATCGGCTTGAGAAAGAGCGCGAGGAGGCACAGCAAAAGAAGCGGGATGCACAAGAGCTAGAAGACGATCGCACATGGCCTGACGGTGCCGACAACAGACTGGAAGGGGACGGCTGGTCAACGGAGAAGATTGCAGAGATTAGAACACTGTGGGAGGCAGGTCGCGCCGTTCCCAAGGGACTTCCGCAGCCAAGCTCTTCTACGAACCCTGAGCAAAGCTCATCGAAAGGTGCCCAGCCCCGTGACAAGCGCAAAGGCGATCGAGATGGCGGAGCATCGTCTCGAGATTCGCGCTTTGTTCTGTCCGAAGGGAGCAGCGATAAAGCCCAGCGCTCTAAAGCGCACGCCTCGATTCGAGAGCTATTCCACGGGCAGCTCATCACTGAGACGGTGGACGCTGCCAAGGCAGCGCAGATGCGGTCGATATCAAGCAATGGCGCAGCTCCTATGAGGGAGAATGTCAAGGCGGACGACGATGACGCTATGAATGCTACGACTGACATGTTCGTCGTTGTACGGTGGGGAGCCAAGGGTTCAGGGCGCCGTGACCGTGACAATCGCGCCCCTGGTGGAGCCGACAACAACCCACCTTACATTCAATTCATGCTTCAAAAGACCAATCGCGACCTTTCGGATGCCCTTGGGATCTTGACGCGCAATCTCGGTCTACATGCAAAGGGCGGATCTGTCAGCAAAGACTTGAACATGGCTGGCACCAAGGACAAGCGAGCCGTTACTGTACAAGCCATCACCCTCAAACGTGGGCGTAAGACTCTAGAAGATGTCTGGCTGCAGGCTCATCTGGTCTCACTAGATGGGCGTGGACAAGGCGGTGGTCGGGGTGGAGGAAGAGGAGGCCGTGGTCGGGGAAGAGGGCGGGGAGGCGGATCATCAGGTGATCGGCCAGTACGAACACGGGTTAGCGACGCCCTTGATCAACGCGGAGAGAGGGGTATCCGAATCGCGCACCTTGAATACGTCGATGTACCGATGCGTCTTGGTATGTTGAAGGGCAACGAATTCGTTATCACTCTCCGCAATGTCAAACTGGCGCAGAAGTCTGACGCGGAGGAGCCGCCAGACTTGCAGCAAACGCTCGACCGAGCTGTCGACGTTATTCGACAGAGAGGATTTATCAACTACTTTGGTCTTCAGCGCTTCGGGACATCTGACGTCTCAACACATTCGGTTGGTGTCGCTATCTTCAAGCGCGACTACAAGCTTGCAGTCGAGACGATCATGGCTGATCGGTCGGGGGACAGCGAGGAAGCCACCAGGGCCCGCAGACTTTATCGTGAAGGCAAGTACGGACCCGCTCTTGACGTCATGCCGCGACACTATGTTGCTGAGCGAGGCATCTTGGGCAAGATGGTACAAGACGTGAAGAGGAAGCCCGCCGGTACACCCCTCAATGACTGGGTCGCCTACTTGCAAGGAGCCCCACGCACGTTGCGTATAATGTACGTGCATGCGTTCCAGTCGCTCGTCTGGAACACGATGACTTCGCAACGGATGCGTATGTCGCAGTCGCCAATGCCGGGGGATCTCGTCATCATGGACGGTCCCGAGGCTGCGGGCGGGGACGCAACAGACCTGCCACAAGATAGCGATGAGGCAGACATTGAAGGAAGTGGTGAAGGTGAGGGCGAAGAAAATGCATCCAAGGGCCCACCGCGAGTGCAAGTCAAAGTGCTCGCAGTAGAGGACCTACCCAACTACACCATGCATGACATCGTCATGCCGCTGCCAGGCTCAGACGTGCACCTCTCTGGCTGGCTGCAAGGAGCATATGAGGACTTGCTCGCAAAGGAAGGCTTAAAAGCAGAAGATATATACTCGTCCTCGTATCCGTGAGTGCTTCACAGGCATGGTTGTGCGCAACTTGGCAAACTTTACTGAATGGCTGCTGCTCTATCGGATCCGCAGGGAATATGCCATGCAAGGCGCGTACCGCAAGGTCCTTGGCAAACCGAAGAATGTCCGAGCGTCCTTTCTACGATACTTTGACCCGGACATCGACCTTGCCATCTCTGACGAGGACCGGCTGCTCGGGTATCCTGAACCGCAAAGCGATCCGAAGGGCCCTTTTGTTGCCCTGCAGCTCACTTTCGAGCTCGGAGTCAGTGCATATGCTACCATGGTCCTGAGGGAAGTGCTCAAAACGGACACTAGCCCGGAGAGTCAGAAAGCCCTGACGATGCAGAGCGAGGATCAGGCGTACAAGGGATCGGGGGGCGGCGGGGGGCGCAGGGACGTCAATGCCATTCAGCCAAAGCGCAAACGCGCCTGGGGTACGTCGGGTGTTGCGGCTAGTCCTGCGTCAAGTTCAGCAGAACACGCTGCTGGCGCCGACAGTACCTCAGCCATCGAATCCGGCGCGCGGGCTGAAGCCCCTGAGGAGCAGCCCCAGCCTGACATGTGCACTTGAATTCGCACGAGTCTGTCAGGAACAAGCCAATCTGCTAGACTCGGTCGCTGAATCGAAATTAGAAAGTACACAAAGTGATGCCGGGGGAATCTGCTGTGTCAAATGAGTGTGTATCTGTGTAATGGCAAGTGCTCGGAAGATCGTTGGCTGAGTCCGAAGCCTTGCAGAGATGGTGGTATGCGTGTGCGTGGCAAAGACATTGTGTGGTGTGAGTGTCAGTGTGGGCGTGAGAGTCTGCAGGAGCCCTTGCGACCGGGTGTCCGGTCGAAGTGTATTCGGCGCTGTAGCTGTGTCTGACGCCAGGGGGGGGGCGTGTCCTTCGCGCGCCAACGAACAAGAGAGGAAGGTGCAGTGAACGACATGGTCTACGTAGCATACCCTGACTTCTCTGGATCTGCAACATGTCCATTGGACCGAGCGTCCGAGATGACCTCCTGGCCGGCGTCCGCGCCGGCACCCTTCTCGCTCCGCAGGCCGACAACGGCGACCTTACCTGTAGCTGATGCGCTCCCCGGCCTAATCGTGTACTGCGGATGCGCTTGCCCGTTGCTCCCGAGTGTCAGCGAAACATTCGAGGCGGCGACACTGCTGGTCGAGTGTGGTCGCGGACAAGGACCTCCCGGCGCGTCCATCTCGGCCAATGGCTGGTCGGCTAGTGCGACGCCAGTGCTCCCCGAAATTTGCGAAACGGTGCCCACGTCGTTAGTGCCTTGTCTAGGCGTCTTGAAGTAGGAGCGTCGCCGTTGCTTGAGGTGGTCGAATGGCAAGAAGCTGAGGGGGAATGATGGGAGCGTATTCCAGGTTATCCTCATTGAGCTCCCATCTGGAAGCGCACCATCCACTCACTGATCTTCCATCAGACGCAATTCTGGCGGAAGAGAATTAATGTCTACATCCTCTTTTCGTTTCCTGGCTTTTAGCGGATTGTCCTCGAGCAGCAGCTCCTCGAGCTCGTGCGTTGCATCAAAGTTCGCCTTCTTACTCTGCAAGGCGCAAAGAAGAGATGGTTGAGGTGCTTGTTCAATTGTGAATAGGATCGCCTCTTGTGAGCGCGACTCACATCTGGTTCGAATGGCGGAATCGCTTCTTTCGCCTCAAGCGCTTCCCAGTCCATGCCCGCAAAGAATGGATGTGATTTGATGTCTGTGATGCCCCCTCGGCACCCGATCCTCTTCTTCACGTCCCGCTCCAGCAAGGCATTGATGAACGACACCGCCTCGGCACTAACCATCTTGCCGACATTGTCCGGAAAGATGCACTTGTCGTGCATGATGCTGTGCGTGAGCGCACTGTTCGTTTTCCCGCGGAACGGCCGTCGCCCAAAGAGCAGCTCGTACGCCATCACGCCCAGGCTCCACCAGTCCACTGAGTTGAGGTAACCGCGCTTGGCAAGTACCTCTGGCGCCATGTATGCCATGCTCCCCGCGACGCTGGTGAGAGCTCGCCGCGTAGAGAAGTGCACTGCGATGTTGAAGTCGGTTATGTGCGCATGGCCCTTTTCGTCGAGCAGGACATTGTCTGGCTTCAGGTCGCGATGCACAATCTGAATCGAGTGCAGGTAGGCGAGCGCTAGCGAGATCTCGGCAACATAGAAGCGCACAATGTCTTCACGCATGTTGCCATTGCGGTCCAGGTGGAATCGGAGATCGCCACCAAGCATGAGATCCAGCACCATGAACATGTTCTCGTCATCTTGGAATGCGTACTGCAAGCGGTGGCGACGAGTTCGTCAGCATAGGAGGCTCGCCCCTCTGGACCAAGTTGCTGCTCTCACTCGAAGATTGCAAACAAATGGACTCTCAATCTCTTCTAATAATCTGCGCTCCTGTATAATGTTCGAGACCGCTCGCATCTTGATGCATTTTGCTTTGTTGATGTACTTCAGCGCATACAGATTCTGTGGGTAAAGACATCGCTTCAGCGCTCGCACATCGCAGACACGGACATAATGCAATCTGCTTGCCGATCACCTTTGTCTGCTTGTGTTGCACGACCCGCACCTTGCCAAAAGCACCCTTGCCTACGGCTCGAAGCAGGTAAAAGTGGTACAAGTCCACCGGGCCATCAAAGTCGACCGGCTCCGGCTTGCAGCACAGGATGCCCATCTTGGCGATACTGCGATGGTGCGGACTTTCTGAGGTTTCTCCAGTTCAGACGCCTGTCGTGACGGATGAGCGGAGTCGCACCTATATGGGAGCCTCTGTGCTCAATGTCCTTCGATGTGCCCTTCCGATTATCAACGGCGCAAAAGTGCTGTTTGCACAACGCAGACGATGGCAGAATGCAACGTTTGCTATTGGTGTGTTTGCAGCACAATCCTCGCAGCCCTTCTCCGACCGCAGCCGTGATCCTTTATCAGGCTGCTTAATGTGAGCCCAGCGCAATCAGGCTGAGAGGCAAGCGCGTTGGTTTTGATTGGCGCCCTCTCGGGCGACTGGTACGGGTGCCTTTCGATGAAAGGCTCAAGTGCGTGCCGTTCCGATGGGCCAGGCGCGGGGTGAGTTGGGGACGACAAAGCTGCTGGGAATGCGAGGGGTCCACAATATCCAGGCGTCCAGTCGTGAGCCTGTGATGCAAGCAGGGCATGTACTCACTTGGGCGACCTTGGGAAGCTCTCCGCTGACAACCAGGCCCTACTGCTGCACAAAGGTAGACCCGTCTTCCAATCTGCTCTGTTCTCCCTTGATCCACGCACGCGCTTTAGACGTCCAAATCCGCTGGGCGCTGGCTACTTATGGCGTGAACTTTGGAGCCGGTCGGTGGGATCGCACCCAAAGTGCAAGCCGCTATCGCCTATGAGCAAGTCTGTACTTGCGCTCGCACAAGCCCAATTGCAAGGCATGCCTGAGACTTGAGAGGAGATTTCCATCATGTTACCAATAAGGCCAGGAGATCAAGAGCATGTCGACCAGCGAGAGCGAGGTTGATTGGAAAAAAGTGTCCTCGTCGCCCTATTGCAGTCCAGAGTTGGCGGGCGCTGGGCTGGTTGAGGGTGAGGTGGCGCGGCGACGCAGGAGCCTACAGGACACAGGTGCAGGGGCATCGGCCAACGCAATGTCACGTAGTTCGGACGTCCTATTCGCAGGCCCCTTCTGCCTTCTGCCGCTGCGCCTCTGTACCACAGTGTCTCCCACCCCACCCAAAGCCAGCCGGCTGCTGCCAAGTGCGGCTCTCCTGGCCTCGGCGACCTTTCGCAACGAGACGGCTGCGCTCTGCTTCCATTTGTGCGCAGCTCTCCATCTGTGGCCACGCTCTACATTCTGAAGTTCTGGGGCCTAGAGCCGTGAGCCCGGAGGGTGCTCTCTCGTGCGCCTGTCCGCCCAGCCTGCCGCAGGCTCGCTCTTTGCCGCCGCACGCCACCAAGCTCACCAAGATGCCAGACGGTCACAAAGATGAACTGCGTGCCGCACGGTGCAACTCCGCCAAAAGCATTGGAATCTATGGCTTATGTTACTGCAAAGCCCTCCAAATGCCCCGTTTTTGGCCCTCGTCTGGCCTCGCATCCCGGCTTGTTCTCGACACTGTGACATCACTTTCCCGGGACGCGGGGTTCTCTGCTTGTCTCGCCCTCGTCCGAGTCTTCCAAAGCTCCAATTGAGGCACCGTCGTCCTGCTGGTCTCATGTACATCACGAAAGCGGATACGTACGGGTAGGGGATGATCAGCTCATAGGCCATCATCGCGGAGGAGCGCGGTATCGATGTCAATGTCGCAGCAAGTGAGCTACGATGGTCGCTCTGGTCTACAAGACTCGAGCCTGCAGCCGGTTGCGGACGAGAATGCGATAAAGAACAACGAGCCGTCGCAGCCGGTGCCGCCTCCATATCACTTCGACTTAGGCCGGCGCCCGCCCACCTGCCTCGCGTGCACACCTTCGCCCAACGCCGCACGGGTAGTGGACACCAGGCCTCGCCGCGATATATATCCCAACAAGAAATGCAGAGGCACCGAGCGGCACGCTCAGGCACCAAGGCGATGCGTCTTCTGGCGCAGGGCAAGGTGGTCGCCAGATGGTGGTTCGCATATCCTGACGCAGTCTGAAGACCACCGGATTGAGATCTTCAAGGTGGTCAACACTTCTGCCGCACTACGTAACTTGAAATGCGAGACTCTGGTCAACGGCAAAGGTGACAAGAGCAACCCGAAGGCTGAAGGTGTGAGTGAAGTGGGGCATGCCTTGCAGCTCGAGCGCACCCTAGAGTGGATCGCGCCAAGTCCCATTGTTGAGGGGGCCTGGTACCCTTATGCGGCGTATGCTCCTCTGCAAGAGAATCAACCGCAACACGCTTCGCACCCGTGGCTGTTCATCGTCAGCTGTCGTGATACTCCAATCAAACTCGTTGATGCGCATACAGGCAAGGTGAGCAGCGCTGCACTTCACGGAAGATTTTCCTACGGGACTATGGAACTTCTGACCTTTGCTCTTGTCGCCATGCAGACACGCTCGAGCTATAGCCTCGAATCACACATCGAGACATTGCTCTCGGCGCACACTTTGGCGTTCTCTCTCTATCCGTCCATGACCTCGTCTGAACACCCACCGCAGCTGGTCATGTACGCCGGCCTCTCCAGCACCGCCCAGCTGGGGCTCTTCAACTTGGCGGAAAGCGAAGGTATCAATCGGGCCGGACGCGTGAGCCTCGGACTCAAGGCAGGCCATTCGGCAGCTAAAGCTCTCGCTGCTACACGCCAGGAGCATGCGGCGCACGACCGGGCAGTCAAACGCCGAAAACGAAATCAAAGCATCACCTGCAACGCTGTTGGTGGCTCGATCGGCCAGCGCGGTATCATCTCTTGCTTCGACATTGCGTTTGACTGCGCTTCGGTAGAGCGGGGCGGCGATGACCCATCAGCCAAGGCGGGCGAGGAGATCCTCGCGATTGCGACGCTCGACGGCGGCATCGGGCTCTACTCGACAGCTGCTCTACGCTATCTGGCGGCAGCGGACGGTGCTGCTTGGGATCCGCACAAGATGGAAACGCTAGCGGGCATCGGGCTGAATGCTTGTCTTTCTGGTTGGCGCGCTGGACTGCCTTCAGCCAGTAATGCCGATGATGATGATTACAATCACGGGGTTCAAGGCGACGGCGAAGAAGACGCGGCGGCCTCGCAGATCCTCTTTCACCCGACGATACCATACCTGCTCTTCGTTGCGCAACGACGACACAAAGGAAGGATCATCGTGTACGATACTCGCTATCTCCCCAGACGGAAACATAGCACCGGCTCGTTCGACAATCAGGGTCTGTCGTTCGACGAAGTCGACTTTGAACGGACAGCAAGCGCCCAGTGCATCGCTGCTGTGCTTATGACTGGGCGGGTCGAGCGCTCTGCGTCACCGTCACCAGTCGCAGCAGCGGCGGCGGCAGCACGTTCCAGCACGCGTACAGCTCGGCCGAACAATCAGAGGGTCTTTTTTGATGTCGACTGGGCGGGCCGGTGGCTCGTCTCCGGCGGGCCCCCGCCTGCGTCGCTTATCGACGGTAAACAGGAGGAGGGAGAAGGAGGGGGATGGGTGCACGTCTGGAATATCAGCGAGGATGCGCTACTCAGCGGGCCTTCAGGGCCCAACAAATCCGAGGCAACACAGGGAAAGGACTGGTTCAAGTTGCCTCAATACAGCTTCCACTCTCACGAAGGTGTGTCGGACTCCTTCCCTTGCGCTACAAGCTCCAGAGCTTTATCGGAGCCTGCGACTAACATGATTGGTTTATTCGCATGCTGCCATTTGGACTTGCTTATCATAGATGTCGTTACGAGCTGCGTGCTGCACCCCTACTATCCAATGTTACTCACGACTGCAGGCTCGCGGAGAGCACTGTTCGAGGCGCAGCAGCTGGTAGACGATGAAGAGGAGAGTGACAGTGACGAAAGCGGTAGCGGGGAGCCTTCCGGCTTGTCCTCACCGTCGTCTTCACCGTCATCTTTATCCGCGACTTCGACTTCTTCGCCAACGATGAGCGCGCCTTCCGACGAAGGCGGAGATGCTTCTCCAACAGCAGCAACCGCTCCTGCCTCCAACCTTATGTGGGATGCGAGCATGAAGCTGTGGGATCTCCGCCGAGGATGATGACGACGAATCACGTCTCCGCGCGAGCAAGCAAAGTGACTGAACGAGGATGTAGCACGAGAGCATTGCGCATGCGCGCTGATGAGGCTTTCCTTTCTGCTGTTCTACGTGTCCCTGGCGCTAGTGTTGTAAACGTCGAGCGAGCTGAAAAGAATTTTGAGAACTCGCTCGAGCTGTGCACGCACCGGCCTGAAAGCGGGCGAAAGCAGCTCATCTCTTTCGTGAGCCAGGCATTCTGTGTACAGCGTGTAGCTTTCAGCGGGGACCCCGCACTCAGCGCTGACAATTGAGACCTCAGAAATCGAGTGCCACAAAGCGCGGCGCCCCGCGATGAGGGTCGCCGTGGCTGGTGAGTCGGCCAGGCAGAAAACGCATGGCCGTGAAAGGAAGCACGTTGTACGCACCTGTCGCATATAGGACGTGCAGAAGCAGCAGAGAACAGTGAGTGGGCCAAGCGATGGAGGGAATGGCAAATGAGCTTCCCAGCAGCCAAGTCGACGATGACGCCGAGCGCTGTCCAGTGCATGGTTGCCTCATCAACACTGATCACGCATTTATGAATATTAATAATATTGGTATGTCCGCAGAGAGAGGGCGCCGAGAGCAGCCTTCGATCTTTGGGCTCCTCGGTGATACCGTGAGCTATTATTATTAGCAAGCACATGGTTTGCCACGGCCATTAGCGAGAGTGGGCACCGGTCGCCCCTGGGGTCGCAGCGGACCCGGATGAAGGCACGTCAGGCCCCCGTGCCAAAAGTAACGATCGTTGTGATCTTGGCCATCGGAAGAGGAGCGGAAAGACTTTCGCCGTCGTATGCATGGGCAGCAGCAGCGACGACGGCAGCGGTTGCGCTGAGCTCTCCCTTATATGAGGGAAGAGAGATGAACGAGCGCTGCGTGATGATGTGAAGCTGGCACTTCTCGAACTCCTGCCACCAGGATCTATTTTCCGGGGCAGGAAATATTGCATATTTTCGGGGAACACCCGAAAATAGACCGAAAAAGAAACGGAAATTTATAACGAAGGCTTGGGTTGGAGGCGCTTCCTTTCTTTCTTTTTGGAGTGCTAACACGACAACATTACGTCGGCTGGCTCTCTGACTGGCTGATCTGCGCACCTATTGGGCGTATGTACGTAGTCAGGGTGTTTGCTGCTGAGGAAAGAAACCCATTCGGATGGAAGATGGAAAGGGAGATCAGAGTTGGATGTGTATGCTGCTGGGAACCTCTCCCTTGGCGGGGCAAGCTTGACTGATAGGAGAGAGCTGACTTGGACATAAAGGTGTGAGCGGCTTGTTCAGCTCATCTTTGCAAATCCTCCCCCTGCCCACGGATATATGCCAGTTCAAACATCAGCCTCTGCAACTACCCCTTCGTGCTTTGTGACGCCGACTTCTCTGCATATCTTCACTTTCGGTTGCCATCGATAACCTCACTTGCCGAGAGCAGGATCTATCCCCATCATACCTCAAGGCCCGGGAACTAGACGAGGGATTTTGCAGCGCCATGTCCGCCGCGGGGCTTCACAAGATGGAATCGCGCAAGTCGCAGCGCTCCGTGCTCTCCAGCGTATCCCCATTTGTCTCCGGACACGCTCGCGCATCGACCGAGTCGGCAACAATGGATGACGGTAGCAGTAGCAGCAGCAGTTACCCCAACGGGAGCGCCAACGGCAGCGGCCATGACGGGCGCTCTCGTCCCTCACTCCTCACACGCGCCAAGTCCAGGGCGACCCGCAAGCGCCCTCTGTCCTACGTCCCGACCAGCGTGTCCTCCCTGCTTGCAGATCCAGATCCAGAGAGCTTTTCCGACAAGGAGCTCAAGGGCTTCAACGGTGTTTTTCCACAGCCGGAAGAAGGCTGCCTACCGAAACTGCCGGCACGGCTGACCGAGGAGCAGCAGCACAAGTACCAACAGATCCTGGAGCATTTCCAGGGCGTGAAAGAGTACCCCATCGTGTTGCCAGACAAGCGTGCGACCGGAAAAGCGGCCGAGACGCGCGCACCGAGCGAATGGGAAAAGATGCGCATGCTGACGCGCGACAGCATGCTGCGCTACCTGCGTGCGGCCAAGTGGGACGTTGAGGTGGCCAAGAAGCGACTGACGGACACGATTGCCTGGCGCAGAGAGTACGGCGTCGACTCGATCTCGCCGGAGGAAGTCGAGCCGGAGGCCAAGTGCGGCAAGGAGACCGTGCTCGGTTTCGACCGCCACTGCCGGCCGTTGCACTACATGCATCCGCACAGGAATGACACGGAGGAATCCCCGCGCCAGATGCGCTTCGCAGTCTGGATCCTCGAGGCGTGCATTGACATGATGCCGCCCGGCGTCGAACAGCTCGCTTTACTCATCAATTTCGAGCACAAGAGTCGCAACCCGACAAGTATCAGCAACGCCAAGCTCATGCTTTACATCTTACAAAATCATTACGTCGAGCGCCTCGGTATTGCGCTTTGTATCAATGGTGAGTCCAGCGGGTAAATGGTCGTCGTGCATGCATATTCATTCTTGAGGTCATCCGCAATGTGCTGATCGCGCTTTGGACTCGTTGCCTTGGCAGTCCCGTGGATCTTCAAGGCCTTCTACAACGCAGTTCAGAGCTTCATCGACCCAAACACCAAAGCCAAGGTCAAGTTTGATGCGAGCATTAAGGATGAGGTACCGCTTGCGCAGCTGAGCGGGGACTTGTAAGTGGCCGGCGGGCATGTTAGCAGACCTGCATTCATTTTATTGACCTGTGCTGGGCTTTCTCTTTTAAGTGGTGGTCAGCTCGACTTTACATATGACCATACAGCCTACTGGCCCGACCTGGTACGCGTCATCAAGGAGCGACGCGAGCAGATGCTGAGCCGCTTTCTGGAAAAGTGCAATGGTGAGATCGGAGCTGCCGAGTGGGTCATCCGCGGCGGGGAAGATTACGCCGATGCGCCGCTCTCTAAGGAGACGGGGAAGGAGCCCACGAAGGAGATTGTGCCGGAGAGCTTGCTCACGGGTGGTGCAGCTGCAGATGCCAGCGCCGATGCTGTCGCCCAGACGCCGACGCTGATGGCGGCCCAAGCGCCAGGCTCAAGCGGTGCGGATCAGGAAGGGCGACAGCAAGCGATCGAAGCTCCACAGATGCGAGAGACACTCTCCGCCTCTGTTTCTGCGGCATGCATCACAGAACTGGCCACATTGTCCGCCACTGTAGGGTCCACAACGAAGGCCAACGGCCACGCTCAGCAAGCCAGCGGCGATGAACGTGCCGACGGTGGCGCGAATCTTGCTGCTGCAGGAACTGCTGATGCACACGTAGCAACGCTTGGAGAGAATCGAGGCATGTCCGAGCTGGACCGGACGAGCTCTGTGGTGATGAGCGGTGGCGAGGTCTTCGCGACGCCGTCCACGACACTCAGCGACAATCCGCTCGAGCGGCAATTCAGCATCGCAACGACCACGGGCACACGGGAGGACGTACAGCTGGAGAGCACCATCGAAGAGCCCGCTACGATCATAGGGGATGCCATGGTCGTCGCCTCTGGGATTTCGCCTTCGCCGTCCATCTCGGTCGCAGCCACGCCCGAGACGCCCAAGAATAGCAAGCACCCGTTCATGGAGAAGCTGACCAAGCGCAGCTCCACATCGCCGAGCAAGGAGAACAAGAAAAACAAGCATGATAAGGACGACTCGGTCAGCTCTGTCCCTGATCCAGAGACGCCGCGTGATGCGCGACACTGCCTCGGCCACGAGCACGATGATGCTCAGCACCACAGTGGCCAGTTCAAAGACGGCTTCCAGGACTTTGTCCGCGGGGGCTCGCACTTCTTCAAGAACCTTAAGGCCGGCGTAGCCGGCGTTGGGCTGGGCCATGCAGGCGGCCACCATTATAAGCGCGCCGACAGTCGAAACATCAGTGCTGCGAGCACGGTTGTCGGCGAGGATGACAAGAAGCCCCGGCCGCCGTCGTCATCATTACACACCTCGAGTCCGCGCAAGCAAGGGTCCGCTGATTCGCAGAAGACTTTTCCGATGGCCAATGGCCATGCGCACGGCGCGGATGTTAACGCTGCGGAAGGGGCAGGCGCGGTGGGCGTAGCAACGGTCAGCGCATCAAAGATCAACGGACACGCACACGAGCCTAACAGCGCGGAGGAGGACTCGTCAGCAACGGTGGCAGCAGCGCCTTTGAGCGGGAAGACGGTTAAAGTGCTCTATTTTGCTGGCGCACGAGCGGCGATCAAGAAGAGCGAGGAGGACGTCGAGCTGCCCGAGACGCCGTTTGCACTGGCGCAACTGACCGCAATGCTGGTGAAGAAGCATGAAAAGGAAGATCTGCTCGGCGATTTCGAGAGGACGGTCAAGGCGTCCAAGTGGAGCGTCGATGAAGAGATGGTCGACGTCGAACATGCAGCGTCGACGATGCTCAACGGAGGCGAAGAGGTAGCTGTCATTCCGCCCGTTAGTGGCGGTTGAAAGTACATCTCGGGCTACGAGTGAAGAAAAGAGTCGGCAAAACAATGATGTCTCGTCTTCCCGTTCGTTAGGCCCTTTTCAATGGGTCTGCGTGTGGCTTCCTGAACAGGATTCGGGAGGGGCTAACGTGTCACCCTGAGGTCCGCACTATCATTCCCCGTCAACATTTGTACCCACCCTGCAATACTGCGTGCAACGGATTCCCCATTCGTCCGTTTCAAGCGACGCTCACTGCTACACGTAATTACAGTACATATTCAACTATGACATTTGCGTGTGCGATCACTGCGAATGAACAGGAGCCGACTGGTGCTGCGGTGGCCGGGCTCCCCCGCGGCCGCCCCGATGGCCTCCGCGGTGTCCCCCACGGCCTCCGCGTCCTCTGCCGGGCTGTTGTCTGCCAGCATGACCGTTGCCGAGCCCAGCGTTCAGAACAGCAAGATGAGGGTTGACGTTGGCCTGCGCGCGAGCCTGCGCCTCGCTCGGGCGAGCTCTGCCTGCAGCGACGCCTGCAAAAGGTGCTTGGGGCGTCACAGTGGCATGAGGCGGGCCTTGGCGCTGTAGCAACCTGACTGGACCTCCGCGTCCGCGTCCGCGAGCGGCTTGCGGCGCAGGTGTAAATGTACTCGGAGGCTTAACGACGGCTCCGCGTCGTCCTCCAGCAGCCTCCTCGCGCCTGCCTGAGCCCCCAATGTGACCGGCGTGTCCATTGGAAGGCGAAGACCCCTGGAGGCTGAGACCGTTGAGAGCACTCAGCGTTCTCTCGAGCGGGTCCTTGGCAGCCTCAATAGTGAAGTCTTTCGTTGTATCCGTGACGAATTGTGGCATGCTCAGGTTGAGGGCAGAGTGGAAACTAACAGTACCGCCGCGGTAAGGGCTGCACCTTCCTGATAATGTGCTGCCAGATAAGAAGGGCACATCGAAGACGACATCAATGTTGCTTGTATTGATGCCAACAACGACTCCACGAGCTGCGAGTGGCACGTTGCCACTGTCCTGCACGACGACGACACGGTCGCCCAGCCCGAATTTCTGTCCGCGCAGACGGAAAGGCGCATGGTTCGGCTTGATGAGCGCCATACGTGGGATACCTTTGATCACCATGCGCTTGACACTGGCAGCACCTTGGAGGTTTGATCGCGCTTGTGCCAACCGTTCCGTGAACCCTTCTATCGTCTGCACGACCTCGCGACCAAGCGACTCGGCAAATAGAGGCACCGCCTCCAAATCCCGGACACCCTTCTCCTTAATCCACTGCTTCAGTTCCTTCATGCGGCCATCAACAACATTCGGGTCAGGTCCAAAGAATTGCTGTGCCGACTTCAGGTCGTCTCTGGCATTGTTTTCCAGCCTTTGCATGATCTCCGGGAACGCATTCTTTGCAACGAAGGCCAAGTCAGTGGCAGCGTCTAGAGTAATGCCTGCTGCAGGAACTCACCTTGAACTCTTTGATGAGCGCCACTGCTCGATCGCTATACTCCCATCCGTGAATGTTCTTGCGACTATACCCCAGGACTTTTTGACTCTTTGCCTCGAATTTGAGGTTCAACCCCACGTGGACCTTCTGGTCCTTCCACTGAACGAGCATGCTGCTGGTGACCTTAGCCAGCGTGAGTCCATGCAAGCCGCACATCTTTGCGACGACGTGCGAAGGGTAGAAGACTTCTTCCGTGCGTCGTTCGATGAGACTACGTAGCGCGGCGTTCTCCTTTGCCTGATTCGAGTAGACTGCCAGCTCGATAGCAAGCGAATCCTTAACAGATCCAACAACGCAGGCTGGCGTACCGTACAAGTCTTTCCCGAGGAAGAAAGCTTTGGTGCCTGCGGGCAGCTCGTGCCTGACGGGTATGGCGGCTTTTTCCAGGTACCGCTCGTCCTCTTGTACGACTTGAGGCACGGAGAGCTGCAACGCCTGGTCGAGCTCTTTCTCCGGGCTCAGTTCGTACTCCTTGATGAACGAGCTGTCCTGCAAGCGCAACAAGCCTTTGAGGGTACGCACGTGCAGCAGCATGTCGATTTTGCCAATGATGACACCGTACCTGCGACTGTAGTGCTGCTCGATGCGCTCAGCTTTGCGCCTGAACGCATTAGCCGCCTCGGGCGTATGCGGATTCGAGACGATGCGCTTAGTACCGCCGACGGAGGCCATCTCGTAACGGAAGAGCTCGTCGCTGACGCCGACAACAAGTGCCTCGGTCAGGTACGGCCAGCCGATGAACGTCCGCTGGCCGATCGTCTGCGCCGCCAGGTCTTCTGATTTGGTACCTTCGAATGTATTCTCCACGTGAATGATCATGGAATCATTTCTGCTCTCGCTCTGGAAGACGCTGACACCGTGGTGGCCGAGCTGGGCAAAGTGCGGGAGTGTCTTAATGCTTGGGAAGCCGGCAAGTGCATTGACACCGAGGTGCACACCGTCGCAGAGCCCTTGTACAAGGTGCAGTCCGTCGAGCGTGGGTAGATGGAAGTCTAGGATCTTGGCTTTGGAGTGGAGAATGTCTGGAAAGCTGCCGGGCAGCGAAGAAGGGTGGAAGTATTCGTTGTTCGCATCAAACGAGAATTTGACTGTCGGCCCGAACGAATTGCGGAATTTCTCTTCTGGGCTCAGCAGGCCATCACGTCGCTCGAGCGCGTCGAGCAGGCGCTTCTCTTCGATGAAGGGGATCTTGACGACGGCCTCCCAATCCTGCTTCTTGCCGTTCAGGTCGGCCTCAAAGTTGAGCGGGTAGAAGTCGATGAGCGGTGATGTCGGGTCAGTCATTAGGTCGCGGAAAGCCTCGGGGACAAGCATCTTGCTGAGCGAAGGCAGGACACCCATCAGCTGTGCAAAAGGCTTGAATGGCTTGCCGAGATCGAAGCTGAATTTCATCGTGCCGATGTCATTCAGGTCGGAGATACGCGGCGCGTAGTGATAGTCGTAGAACCAACCCCAGGAAGCGACACCGCCATAATAGTAATGTAGGACCCATTGTAGCCCTTCGACGTATCGGTACGCAAGCTGATGCATCTGCTTCTTGTCGCCAGAATCCAAGCCCATCTTTTCCTTGTAATACTGCTTTTTGGACGCCTCGATCTTCTGGTGCATCTTGCGGCGATACTCATCTTCGATATCCGATGAACTACCCGAGTCGGATGCACTGTTGGCGCCCTCCACTTTGGCCTGCTGGTACTTCTTCAGAACGCAGTCGACCGCCGCGGCGCTCTCCGCTGCGGCAATCGCATCGCCTCCACCCCCTCCTCCATCATCATCTTCATCGTCATCCTTGTCGATCAACGATGGCAGCTGTGAGACTACCGTGTGCGTTGCGTCGCTCTCTGGGTCGTAATCGTCAAATGACAGCTTGAGATGGAGACTGGTCACGAGATCCTGCAGGAAGCTGCGATCCGCTTGCGACGCGGTCTTATCGCTGGGTAGGACGAGCTCCTTGGGAGCGGCGCTCGCTTTGCTGGCGGGCTGCCGCAGCGCAAGCACGAACTGTGCGACCTGCTCGAACAACTTCTTCTGCCCAGGCGATAGCACCATTTTGCCTTTGGCCTTGGCGCGCTGCACAGCCTTGGTATTGGTATTCTGCACCTTCTTGCTATTCAGCCAGTTGGCATCGCCAAACTCCTCCTTGAGCTTCTCCAGTTCGAATCTCTTCAGTTCGTCGATGATCATCTCGAGTCGGTCAACGCGCAGCGTGCCCGCTTCATTCAGGTATCCGCCAGCGCTTGGGAGGATGCGCTTGTAGATACCAAAGAGCAGATTCAGCGCTCCTTCGTTAATGTGCAGATGCGGCAGATGCGGCAGGAAGTCGTTGCCGACAAAGATGTTGAGGAGAATGAAATCGTCGATGATGCACTCCAACGAATACTCGAAGGGCAGTGTCGAGCGGATATCTTGGAATTCGAGGTCGAGATACTCGCGGAAGAGGGAGAGGTGCAGCAAGAAAAAGTTTTGTGACTCCAAACTGAAGTGATGAAAAAGCAGAGATATCAGCATCACCAGAGATTAAATCGCATGTTGCTGCCGTGGCTATTGCAATTGCTGCTCACCTTCCCTTCGCCTTCTTCCTGGGGCCGAATTGGACCTCTTCACGCAGCAAGCAGAAGTGAGGATCGTGGCTGACGAGGCCGAGCATGATCAGATCTGCGTCGAGGCCGTAGAGACAATGTCTCGTGTTGGGATTGTATCCAGGCTGCGCCTTGCTGAGGCGGATGTACTCCATGATCTTGTGTTCTCCCTCTCCCGGTACGTCGTGCCCAGATAGAACGACAGTGACGTCCCTCCATGTCGAGTCCTCTGTGATCTTCTTTGCGACAAAGTACTTGAGCTGCAGCGACAAGCGTGTCATGAACGGTGTACCCGGCGTGATCGCGTTCGAGTCGAACGCGTCCTCCTCCGGCAGAACCTCACCCTTACGCAGCGCCTTTTCCCGCGTCTCCTTCGCCTCCTTGGCGGTCCGGAAGCGGCGGCTGCGCTGCTGATTCATCTTGGCTCGCGGTGCAACGCCATCGATAGCCATGAAGAAAAACTTCTTGGGCTTGATGATGCTGAAGAGATGCTCAATATATGCGAAGATCGCTAAGAATAAAGCCGCTTCGGACTGTCGGAAGGAGGCATCGTCGTCGTTGGGATGCGAGCAGTTGTGGATGATGCCGTTCATATCAAGATAGAGGTTGTCGAACTCTGGAATCTTGTTCCCCTCAATCAGCTGGGAGATCAAAGGATACCGCTCCGACATGAAGCGGAAGAATTTGGGGATACCTGCGATGGGTTAGATGTGATGAGCTTTCATCCCATTCAACTGCACTCTAGCTCACTCTTCAATCGTACTCACCCATGATGACTACTGTTACTGATTGGGATGAGACAAGCGTTGCTGTAAGGTGCTGAAACGTGAGGAAGGTGTGCACTCAACGCCACAGCGGACAAGAGACTAGTGACTTGCTTGCGAGCGACCTAAAGAAATGACTTGCACTGAAATGCGTGAAGAAGGATTCGGCTTTGGCTTTCGATTCTTTTATGGAGATGCACGTGTTGCAATCAACTGTGATCGTAGATAACGAGTGGCCAGACGAGCAGGCGACGTGGCTGGTATTGAATGGAGAGGACCTGCTGTTCGAGGTGCGCGCCGGCCGTTAGGTTCACCCGACGCTGTCGACTGTAAGGTGATGTCGCAAACGTTGTGCTCTGCGATGCGGCGTTAGTCAATAGGGTTGCCTCCGCCTGTGATCGGGGCTACCATAGATGCTCGCTGCTATTCGTCTGCTTCGATGTGCAACCAGTTCCATCGAGGTCATGGTCCAGATGAAGCAACCAGCAAGCAAGGGGGGAAGCCGATTCTCTCTGCTGAGCTGGTGGGCCACCAGGGATGAGTGGCAGAACCTCACTGCTCCAGTGCCACCACCGCCACCACCACCACCACCACCAACAACTTGCAGGTTGAGTCACGCACATTCGAACACAGCGCAGCAGGTTGTTCAGCGACTCCGCCCGCATGGGCCATGGCTGGAGCAGGCGAACAGGCGCCGGGCTCCCTCATATTGAATCGATTACGTAATTGGTATGCCTTCCTGCGTACGTCAGCCTTCTCTTTGTTGGCGTGCTTCAAGTTTGATACTCGAGCGATCAATCTGATTTGATCCTCATCTCGACAACGCCGAGGTCAAAGGACACACGGACAAGTGCATGTGCGTCTCGCTTTGAAGCTGTAGAACGGCTGCGTTCAACCCCAAAGCGGGAAGCGGTGAGTAGTGTTGCTGTGGATACAACAACAGCCATACACCGCTGATCCTCGCGCTCGTGACCTTCCTGCAGAAGTCAATTACACTCCGTAAACGCTTGGATAGCATAGCTGGACTGCCTCCGTCCGGTAACAGCTACCATGATGCTCCCTTCGCAGAGGATGCTCGCTTTTCGAAATTTATCGCCTCTCTCAGCGTCCATGTCCGCAGCAAGAGCATCGCCGCTTGTAGCAGCGCGCTCTACCAGAGCCAGGTCCTTATCTACGCCGACCGCGTCCTTGACCACCTCCGCCATCAGATGCACCTCCTGCCTGAACGCTGCCGCTGTCGCCGCAGCAGCAGAACAGGCACAATCGCAGCGCTGTAGTTCAAGGGGCACGATCTCCGCCCGGTGCTCATCGTTGGCAACATCGGCAGTGCGAGGGTATCGGCGTGCGTTCTCTACGAACACACGCATTCTCGCATATCCTCGAAAACGCTTTTTGGTCCCCGCTCAACCGTTTGAAGAAGCGTCTGCCAGCTCTTCAACAGCAGAGGGGTCAGCAGCTGTAGGCACAGGATTAAGGGCGGCCACTTCAACTGTTGAGCAAGCTCAGGCAGACGGGTCCAGATCAGTGTCAGCGTCTGAAGGAAAAGGCGACGGAAGCTCCGGTGCGCCTGCTTCATCAGGAGGGAGTGGCAGCGGAGACTCAAGTTCCTCAAAAGGTGACAGCAGTGTACCTGGCGGCCAAGACGGCTCAGACGGCAAAGGCTCTTCAGCTGGATCAGGGCCAGGAAGTGGCAGTGGCAACAGCGGGGCAGCATCCGGTGGAAGTGGCGGCCCTTCCTCTTCCTCTTCCTCGGGCATTAACAACACGTCTCTCTCGCGTCAGAGTGTTCCAGATGTGTACCCGCAAGTTCTTGCTTTGCCCATTACCCGTCGTCCCCTATTCCCAGGCTTTTACAAGGCAGTCGTGATAAAAAACCCCGCCGTCTGCGCCGCGATCCGCGAATCGCAGCGGAGGGGGCAGCCGTACGTTGGAGCCTTCTTACTTAAAGATCAGGAGGAGGACAGCGATGTGATTACAGATATAAATAAAGTACACCGCACTGGTGTCTTCTGTCAGGTCACCAGCACCTTTCAGGCCTCCTCCTCTTCACCCAGTATCAATACATCCAAGCGCAGCGGCAAGGAAGGCACAGCTGAAGGCGGCTCAGGCTCAGGAGCAGCCCCAGTTGAGGAAGAAGGCCTTACAGTGGTACTGTATCCACATCGGAGAATCAAGATCGATGAGCTCATCACTCCGCATGGGCTGCTGTCATCGGATGGAAAGCCAGCGGCTAGCGAGTTGGGAGACGCTTCGCCGATCAAAGCGCGCGTGCATGGAATCCAAGAGGAAGCGAGGGGCGAAGGCGTCCTCTCCAATGCGAACGGCGATGGTGCGCATCAAGATGTAGACGAAGCGGTCAACACGACGCGACAAGGTGAAGACACACCTGCCCCTGCCCCTCATGACGAAGCATCTGCTGCTGCATCCTCCTCGGAATCGGCGCACACGCCCAGCTACCAGACGTCTTTTCTGCAAGACTACGCCGTCTCGCTGGTCAATGTGAGCAACCTAGAAGCGCAGCCGTACAGCAAGCAGTCGCAAGTCGTGCGCGCGGTCATGGCCGAGCTGATCAGCGTCTTCAAGGACATCGCGACGATGAACCCGCTGTTCCGGGACCAGATCGCCAATTTCAGCATCAGCCAGGGTGCCGGCAACGTCTTCGACGAGCCGGAGAAGCTCGCGGACTTTGCCGCGGCGGTCAGCAGCGGCGAGGTGGGCGAGTTGCAGGCGGTGCTTGAGGCGCTCAACGTCGAGGACCGACTGCAGAAGGCGCTGCTGGTCCTTAAGAAGGAGTTGATGAATGCGCAACTTCAGAGCAAGATCTCCAAGGATGTTGAGAGCAAGATCCAGAAACGCCAGCGCGAGTACTACCTGATGGAACAGCACAAAGCCATCAAGAAGGAGCTGGGCATCGAGAGCGATGGCAAGGACAAGATGGTGGAGAAGTTCAAGGAGAAGGCTGCCGAGCTGCGCATGCCCGAGGCGGTCCGGAAGGTGTTTGACGAAGAGCTCAGCAAACTGCAGACCCTCGAGCCAGCTGCAAGCGAGTTTAACGTGACCCGCGGATACCTCGAGTGGCTCACCAACATTCCCTGGGGCGTGCACTCGCCGGAGAACTACTCGATCGCCAACGCGGCTGGCGTGCTTGACGAGGATCACTATGGCCTGAAGGACGTCAAGGATCGCATTCTCGAGTTCCTTGCGGTTGGTAAGCTCCGAGGCAGCGTCGAAGGCAAAATCATCTGCCTCGTTGGCCCTCCCGGTGTTGGCAAAACGTCAATCGGGAAATCCATCGCGCGCGCTGTACAGCGTCAATTCTTCCGCTTCTCTGTCGGCGGCCTCAGCGACGTGGCGGAGATCAAGGGGCACCGCCGCACGTACGTTGGCGCCATGCCGGGAAAAGCGATCCAGGCTCTCAAGAAGGTTGGCACAGAGAATCCGCTGATCCTGATCGACGAGGTGGACAAAATCGGACGCGGCCATAACGGCGACCCTTCCTCGGCGCTACTAGAGATGCTTGATCCGGAACAAAATGGCTCATTCCTCGATCACTACATGGACGTCCCAGTCAATCTCTCGCGCGTCCTGTTCGTCTGCACGGCGAACACGCTCGACACGATCCCGCAACCGCTGCTTGACCGCATGGAAGTGATTGAAGTGTCCTCGTACACGGCTGACGAGAAGCGACACATCGCGCGCAACTACCTTGCTCCGCAGGCCAAGGATACGTCCGGGCTCAAAGACGCCAACGTCAACCTTCCGGACGAAACGATTGACTTCTTGATCAAGCACCACGCGCGCGAGTCTGGAGTCCGCGGCCTGCGCAAGTTGCTCGAGAAGGTTTACCGGAAGATCGCGTTTAACATCGTCAAGGAGCATGGAGAGAGCGTCATTCCCGAGCCGGCGGACGAGACTGCGCCTCAGGGCGAGGTTGCTGCTACTGCAAACAAGGATGCACCAGTCCATAACGATACAGCACGAGCGGTTGGTAGCATCGCGAGTGACTCGCAGTCTGTGACATCTTCGTCTACGCCGGAGGACGCGTCATCTGTGCAGTCTTCGGACCGCTCAGAGGGAGACAAGCCGCTAGCAGCATCGCAGTCGTCGTCCTCGAGGACAAGCGCGAGCAACGGTAGCGAGAAACCCACGGAGACTGAGGAAATGGACGGGATGAAGGCGGAGGTGGGTACACAAGCACGCAATACGCCGCCGAGCCCGGCGCCAAAAGTGACGACGCAGCAGCGCAAACCGATGGCGGTGCCGCCTGAAGTCAAAGTAGAGATCACGGTCGAGAGCCTGCACGACTACCTCGGCCCGCCGGTGTACCACAAAGACAGGCTATACACCAAGACAATGCCCGCAGGCGTGTCGACAGGGCTCGGCTACCTTGGCAACGGCTCAGGCTCGCTGATGCCGATCGAAACGACAATCATGCCGGGAAAGGGCGGGCTTCAGCTGACGGGCAAGCTGGGTGATGTGATCAAGGAGTCTGCGAGCATCGCGCTCAGCTGGCTCAAATCGCACGCGCATGCGCTCGGCATTACCAAGGATGAGGCAGAAAACCTGCTCGAGAACAAGGACGTGCACCTGCACATGCCCGAAGGAGCCGTCGGCAAGGATGGCCCCAGCGCGGGTGTTGCGTTCACCACGAGCCTCGTTAGCCTGCTGACGGGCCGCACCCTGCCGACGACGCTCGCCATGACGGGTGAGGTGTCTCTGCGCGGAATGGGTGAGTTTGACCGAGAAGTGGCCACCGCTTGCGTATGACAATTCGATACCGAATGAAGTGATCTTTAACACACATCCATTACTCTGCTCTTCTCCTAGTCCTTCCCGTCGGCGGCCTCAAGGAGAAACTGCTCGCGGCGCACCGTGCGGGAATCAAGAAGGTGATCCTACCCGCTCAGAACCAGCCAAACGTCGAGGCGGACGTGCCCAAAGCTGTGCTGAATGACCTGGAGGTGCACTATGTGCACAACGTCTGGGCGGCCTTGGACGTCGCATTCGGTGAAGGCCCGTGGTCGGCGCGGGCGCAGGAGCTCAAGGCGGAGGAAGAGCAGGAGCAGCCGGGGCCGGAGCGGGTTTAAGGGGGCGGCATATGTCGGATATGACGGAGACCCGCACGGGTTGGGCCATGACGGTGGCACTAACCAGGACAAACATTTCGTGGAGCTCTTTCTACGTGTACCATATGGTACACCTCGTACCTGTAGCACCATTGCAGAAATAGACAGGCCATCACCACTTGGAGGTTGCAGCGGCGTCCCTGTGTTGTGCACACGGCAGAGAGGCCGAGCAAGCTAGGGAGGAATGGGCAGGGGAAGGCAATGTGAGAAAGAGCAAGTCTCAGACTCCCGGTCGCCCGACCAGGGACCAGTCTTGTGTAAAGGCTGACCGATTCGTAGTGAATCCATGGAGCGGAACGGTGACCTGGCGAACTACATGCACGTATGGTGCAATGTGTGGATGCATGACCTTGCTTTGTAAGCCATGTACACATGTAACGACTGGTGACATTCTCGGTAGCATCCGGGGCGGCCACGACGACGACGGTAATGGGTCTGCCGTCCCATCAATAACGTCCTTCGCCCACCACCGTGATCAAGTGGGACACCACCCAGAAGGAGATCAGCTGAGACTTCAGTCTTCACCTGCGAACCTGTACTATACAGTATGTGATACATTAGCCACTGCACACTCCCGTATATGACCGAGATGGTTGACAGCTGGGAAGAATGATGTGGTATATGGCCGAGATATGCGGCGTAGGAACAAATGGGAATGTCCAGCAATCAAGCCCCGTTGTATATAGAAACGCCGAGCCGTATCTACATTGACGGCAGCATTGACGAGTTCGACTGTATTTGGATCGGTGCTCTCGGTCCTCCTCCTCGTCAATTGGGCTTTGATCATCGAAAGAGCATGCTCTATGGACGACATGTCCGGAGAGCATGGTAGAGGTACTAGAGGCGACAGCCTAGGGTGGTCGGTCGGCAAGTGGAAGTCTGTGTACAGGCTGCTTTGCGCTTCCGTGCATCCGCTGGGCCTGTAGCTGCACACTGCCATCGCCACCTGACGAACCACGGGGGCTGTCCGCCTGCTAGCTGATGTAAAAAGACTGTGAAAAGAGAAAGAAGCACCTGCCCGGAAGACAGGCGCACATGGTCTTGCCCCAGGTGTATGAGGCTGGTGCAAACCTAGATCCTTGGTTGAATGGGGGCGCATTGTATGTTTGAGATCTCTTGCGCGGTGTGCCGCCCGATGTTCCCCGATGAAGGCTATGGCCCAGCCTATTTGCAGATGAGACGCAGGTACAGCGAATGGGCCCGATGTGGGCTGTCTCAAGTATTCCAGCGAATGCCAGTGCGCAGACTGATTGCGGCGGGGAGATGCCGGCGGAGCGGTGCCTGGAATCTGGATGAGAGAGATTGCATCACGCTCATGTATCAGACTGCTGGGGTGGCGACGTGGTTTTTGGGTTCGTTTCTTGGGTGGCCCACATGGCATGTACAGTGCAGTGCCTCGGCTTTCTGTATGTGTATGGAGTGGGCGAGTTGCAATGGGACCTCTTCTTCTCGTCGAGGTCCACGCTTCTCTTGCTGCTCACCACCACTGTCATATCATCACCGTCCTCGCCTGCAGCCATACCACCCAGCACCGACCCTGCATCCTGGCCACTATTGCTAGCTACAGTCGGAGGCGGTCACGACCTGAAACAGCTGCTTCGATCGTGTGTGGTGATGGTTGGCGTCCAGCATGATCCCGCGGTAGCAACAGCGCCTTCCCTCGGTGACGCCCGACAGGCGCACCCAGATCCAAGGGTTAAGTCGCAGCCCGCTCGTTTCCTCTTCCACGAATCCAGCACCGCCTTCGAGCATGCAGTCGGCCTCGCCTCGGCGTCTGCAAGCCGCGCCGCCTCGACACTCGCCGCGAGCGATGCCGGCCAGAGAAGGTGGCCACAGAGCGGGACGTTCGTCAACGATGCCGGCACCACAACCCACGCCGCTTCCTCTTCCAGCTCTTGCAATGCACCAGCCAATGCTGCCATCTCAGTAGTAGTCGAGGGAGAGGGTGCGGAACAGCAGGCGACGCGTTGGCCCGGATATGGGTCCACCGCTCTGGACGATGCGGCTAACAAGGCACCGGGCAAAAGCGGAGATTACAAAATTGGCATTGCCGTCCTGCCTAACAGCGAAAGCGGCGGAGAGATCGACGATCCGAGCCTGGAGAGCGATGCAACACAGCAGAAGATCTATCTCCCCGATGAAGACCTGCAGCTCAACTCTAGTTTCTGGGCCGTCTCTCTGCCGCGCCTACTTGCATGGTATGCCGCTGGCCTGCTCTCCGTCGGCCTCCTCCTGCTCTTCGGGTACTGGTTCCCTGTGTTCCGCTTGCGTGCCATCGCGCGGCCCGTGAGCTTGCAGCGAGTCGCGACCGCAGAGATGAGTGGACGGCAGAAGCAGCGTGTGCTGGTGTGCATGCGCACAAAACACAGCCTCGACGTCGTCCACATGAAGACGGTCCTCCTGCAGAGTCGGATGAGTGTCGAAGAGGCCTTCCCACCGTCGCTCAAGGTGCCTTTCGAGTCGGCCGCGGCTGCTGCGCGTAATATTCGGCCAAACGCCCCCGCGCCTATTTCCCAGGTTCCTGCTCCTCCTGCTTCATGTTCCTCGACGCTATCTGTCTCGGAGAAATTCAGCAGGAACAAAAACAAGGACGTCCCGCAGAAGGATACCATTTCCCAATTCCACTTGATTATCCACCGCTACACCACCTTCATCGTCTCGCCCTTGCACGGCAAGCTCCTCCCCTTGGCCGCGTGGCGCGACAGCACGTGGACCTCGCTCAGCGCCGTGCAGGCTGCACTGGACGCACAGGCCGTCGCACGGAGGCAGGCGCTCTTCGGCAAGAACCTGCAGCAGGTCAATGGAAAGAGCGTACCGATGATCCTCTTCGACGAGATCCTGCACCCGTTTCTCGTCTTTACGCTCTGCGCCATCGCGTTGTGGTCGTATGACGATTACCAGTGGTGTGAGTTTGGATTCTGCCTGCGCGAGTCTTTTCTGTGTGCAGCTAACGCAAGATTCCAATATCTTCCTCATACCCTCTTTCGCTCTGTTTCAGACGCACTTATCATCGGCCTCGTCACCATCGCTGGTGTCAGCGTCAGCACGTACACCGCCAAGCGCGCGTACAACCGGATGGAGAAACTGTCGGCGTTTACCTGCCCCGTCAGCGTCTACCGCCTGTCCTCCACTTTCACCTCGTCCCGCGGCAACGGCAGCGGCAACGCAGCGGCCAGTGGATCATGGATGACGATCGACAGCAGTGAACTCGTCCCGGGTGACGTGCTCGACATGTCCGCGCACGGCGATGCGGCGGTCGCTACGCTAGCGTGCGACGCAGCGCTACTGCAGGGCGGCGTCATCGTCAATGAGAGCATGCTGACCGGCGAAGCCATGCCGGTCGCCAAGACGTCCGCATCGACGGCCGACCTGAGGGACTGCCTTGCGGTAGGCAAGGATCTGGCGCAGATCAACAAGCACATCCTCTACTCTGGCACCAAGGTGCTCCGCGTCGCGCCTCCGCTCGTCGAAAGTGATGGCGACACTGGCGCAAACCACGCAAACAATGACAGCATTAGCAGCAAATGCACAGCTCTCGTCGTGCGCACTGGTTTCAACACAACGCGAGGGAGCTTGATCCGTGCGATGATGTTCCCCAAGCCGATCCAGTTCAAGTTCTACCGCGACTGCGTCTACTTTATCATCTTCCTTGTTCTCATCGCCATTCTCGGCTTCCTCGGCTCGCTTGTCAACTTCATCCGCAATGGTGTAGACCCGACGGAGATCGCATTGCGCGCGCTCGACCTTTTTACCATCTGCGTCCCGCCCGCGATCCCTGCGGCGCAGGCGGCGGTGATCGCATTCGCGCTCGCGCGCCTCCGCATGCGCGGCGTCACGTGCACAAGCCCGCAGCGCATCAACGTCTCTGGACGGGCCAACCTCTGCTGCTTCGACAAGACCGGCACGCTTACGCACACCGACCTCGACGTCCTCGGGACCCGCGCAACCGCCCTCGACGCGCAGAAGCTCACCCCGCTGCAGACCAAGGCGATCCCTGCTGCTGCTAGCTTTGGACCCGCTGCTACAGGCGAGGGCGTCTCGCTCACGGAAGGCCTCGCGACAGCGCATGACCTCAGCGAGGTGAACGGCACGCTGATTGGCGAACCGCTCGAAGTCAAGATGTTCAAGTTCAGCGAGTGGACGTTGGACTCGGTTGATGCGGCTGTCGACTTGCAGGTCGAGTTGGGCGAGCAGCAAGGCAAACATTGCGTCGATGCCGGTGCCGCACGCACTGCCGACGGCATACTGGCGACAACGACAATTGTATCGCCTCCGCCTTCCCCTTCTGGGGCCCCGTCGACTCGCCGAGCGATTGTTCAAAAGTACGACTTTGTCAGCACTCTGCGACGCATGAGTGTGCTCGTCCGCCGCGAGGATTCCACCAACACGTTTATCTACTGCAAGGGCGCGCCTGAACAGGTCGAGGCAGTGTGCGACTTGCGCACCCTGCCTGCGGACCTCAACGTCGTCCTGGGCCACTACACACATGCCGGGTACCGCGTGCTGGGCCTGGCGGGCAAGTGCGTGCCGAACCTCAGTTGGGCGGCGTGCCAGCGCATGCGGCGGAGCCAAGCCGAGTCCGACTTAACATTCCTCGGCCTGCTAATCTTTGAGAACCGGCTTAAGGACGGCACAGCACCTGCGCTTGCCAAACTGCATGAGGCTGGCATCCCGACCAAGATGGTCACGGGTGACTCAGTGCTGACGGCGATCGCCGTCGCCAAGGAAGCTGGCATGGTTGAAAGTACGCAGCCGGTCTTTGTCGCGCGGCTCTCGGCCACGGGCGCAGGTGCGTGGATGGGCGCCGAAAAAGGCGGGCAGGATGCCGGGGTCGAGTGGATTGATGCGCAGCACGAAGGCTCGACGCTCAACCCGTACAGTCTTATCCCACACAACGCCGACCTCAAGCTGGCCGACATCGGCCTCGCGATGACGGGGGAAACGTTCCACCACCTGCTCAAGTACGCGGCGAAGGAGACGCGCGAGCGAGCGCTGGTGCAAACGCAGATCTTCGCGCGTATGTCGCCAGAGCAGAAGCAGGAGCTGGTCGAGCAGCTGCAACAGCTTGCATACACTGTCGCGTTCTGCGGCGATGGCGCAAATGACTGCGGCGCGCTCAAAGCCGCGGACGTTGGCGTCTCGCTTAGCGAGGCGGAGAGCAGCGTCGCGGCGCCGTTCACTTCGAGCACCGAGGACATTTCCTGCATGGACGGACTCATCCGTGAGGGGCGTTCGTGCCTGCAAACGAGCTGCACGTCTGTCCTCTTCCTGGCCATCTATAGGTGAGCCATTAGGAACGTCTTTTTTATTTGTTTGCGTTCGCTGTGCCGTCTGACAAACGCTTCTGGCACGGCTTGTGCAGTATTACTGAGTACATGTCGGTCATCTTACTTTACGTACGTGTTTGGGGCACGCTAAATGGCGCAACCGATGTGTTGCTTACCTGACCCCCTTCTTTTCGCTTTACACAGATACGCTTCACCAGTTTCGACAATGCCGAGTACCTCTTCATCGATGTCTTTATTGTGCTATCAGTGATGCTCGGTCTGGCCAACTCGCATCCCGCTCAAAAGCTGGCCAAATGGGCACCTCCATCTCGTCTCATGTCCCGACGTCTGATTGTGATGCTCATCGGCCATGTAGGGTTGATGATGCTTGCCCAGGCTGTCATCTTTGGTGGGTTTGGTGCGATGACGATTCCTCTCCAAGCATCATTGTTAACGAGCCTCACACACCTTGCAGTCATCCTCCCAAAGCAGTCGGACTATATTCCGCCGGACTTTGAGCCGACAGATCTGCAGGCGAGTTTTTTCTTTACTCAGAGGGCGAGGCCATTAGCTGTACTGACTCCCTTTGGTTTGATCTCCTGCAGCCGAGCAACTTGGACAACTCTGCGATCTTCCGCATCTCACTCTTCCCGTATTTAGTTTCGACCATCTGCTTTGCCATTGGCCCGCCTCACCGGCAGATTGTCTATAAGAACCGTGAGCAGACGACGAAACACAACCACACTAGGGCCGCTGGGCAGATGACTCCACAGCATACTGACTCTTTCCGCTGTTGCAGTCTTGCTTTGTGCGGCGCTATCAATTCTTCTCATCTTCTCCATCTACTTCCTCTTCCTGACGGGCGGGCCATTCTTCACGTTGTTCGGCTTTGTCGACCTTCCAGCACACTTCCAGTGGCTGATATTTGCCGTCGCGGCAGGCTACACGGCCGTCACATTCACGTTCCACTTCCTGCTGCTCGAGCCGCTCGTCAAGATGCTCATCCTGCCCGTGCGTGCGGTGCGTAAATGGCGCGGCATCGATGAGGTCAAGAAATTCGTACAGGTGCAAGACGCGATCCGTGCCGGCGTATGAGATGACGCCAGATGGGTTGCAATTCCCTTTCGGTAGTAAGCGGGCGAGCGACGGCCCGACGATCCTTTGCGCTCCTGCCCTCTCATGCTGTATTGCACTTCATTGCCCCGCGGTCGAACCTGCGACTGCTTGCAACTTGTAGAGCACTGTTGTATCCTAGATGCACGACTGGTCTTCCCAAGTCGTCGAATCCAATGCAAGCCCATGACGACACGCCTCTCATACGAACGTGGGGCGAAGCGGAAAGCAACGAGGCACAAATACGAAGCCGTAAAAAGCTTAAAAGCTTTTCGACGATAAGCTCGAATGACAAACGCTATAGCCATGCAGAATGATCCTGCAGATTATGTAGGGTTGGCCGGCTCAAGCCAGAGGCGTACGCCCCTTGGGTGCAGTGCTGCAATAACAATCATGGCGCAGTGCCGCGATCATTACATACAGCAAATGCAAGACCCCAGCAGGCTGTCTCTTTAGCTCAATGGGTGGCGAGATTGATTATACACTGACTCAAAAGCTGTCGAGGGGGCGGTGGTGTGGACAAGTGCCAGGACACTGTTCGGGCTCGAGTGCAGTGCGGGCGAATGCGGGGCTGGACGTCCGTCTGCGTCTCGACTCTTCCAGTCTGCCCTCCTACTCCCTCAAAAGCAGTGCCTTTCCGAGTTCCGGGGCTCGGAGATGCAAAGGAACTATGTAGGGACTGCATTAGCACCAGCATGCACGAGGCGTCCAAAATGTATGTACGTACGCATCGTCGATCGGACAACGTTGGATGCAGCGATGGGAATACGACCGCATGCGGGCGGCCAGAGCGTGGACATCGTATACTGACTAGCTGAGTACCGAACAGGCCAGATGTCAGCTATGTAGTTGATAAGAGTTAGAAACATCATGGGCCGTGCGGCTTGCACGCACGGCCTGACAAGACTGCAGGGCTGCAAAGTGCTGGTGGACAGCAAAAGGTAATTCCAGCACAACCCCACGGCGAGACGAATGTCGCGCATTGAAAAAATATCATGACCATGCACTAATCCAAGGCGCAGCGTCCGAGCTATCGGTCGACCAGTTCCAGTCGAGGACTGCGTTTGGTTGGGTGCGTCCTCCGCACACGGGGATGGCCCTCCCCGGAATCCACAGTTTTGCACATATTGGGCATCCCCATTGTCGTGACCAGGAGGATATGGGGACTGCAGCATCTGCTGCGATTACCTCTTGATGAGCGCTCGGCGTCGGTGACGAGATGAGTATGACCGTCGCAGCTCACATCCACGCACGCCGGCTCTTCCTCTCTTTGCCCTTGTGAAGCTCACGACGCGTGCACCATTTCGCTTGCTCATTGTGAACAATTCCTTGTTCCCCCCCTTCTTGGATAACTGACGTCGTACGCACCCTCATGGCGTACGCCTGACTGCGGGTAGTCCCCCCTCTCGCATATCGACGCTATGCGCACGTCCTCAGCGCCCATGCCGACGCTGCATATGCACCAATCGGAGGCGGCAGCGTCGCTGCTCGACGAGGCACGCGCCGACGACCGCCGAGGTCGCAGTCCCTCTCATCAAAAACACCGCCACGGCTTCCAAGCATCGCATGTCGGCAGCAACGCCGGTCTATCTGGCCTCTCCATAAAGGTCTCCAGTGGAGTTGATGATCCAGATGGCAAGGGCAGCGAACCAGACGTCAAGACGACGCATGTCGTTGGTGCTTGGAACTCGACCGCTGCATCGACCAAAAAAGGTGCCAAACACGTACCCACACTCCCTCTCACATTCATAGAGCCACAAGGCCTGGAGGGTCAGTCCCTCCCCGTGCGACTTGGGCTAGCACCACCGACGACTGCCATCAGCCCACCGCCGCCGAAATACTATCTTTGCTCACCGCCGCCGTCGACTTCCCAGAGGGGAGCTGCGGGTGCATCAGCAAACGACTTGTCGCATGCAACGCCCGGCGCAGCGTCCAGAAACTGCAGCACACCTTCGGAAGATTGGGGCGCTACAGACCAACAGTGGGAGCCGTCGCAGTATTTTCGCTATGAGCACATCACCTCCCGTGGTCGGCGGCGCGTGCGCAAATGGCATGCATACGACTCCGTCCGTGCGCCCTGGTACTTTTCGTACGACCCGGAAGTCCTGCAGGCCGACATGCTCCTGCATGGCTTGACGGTCCAATCGATGGACCGGCTGACAATATACCCCTTCCAACCGGACCAGCTTCCTTCACGTGTGCTGGACGTCGGCTGCGGTGTCGGCATCTGGACGACGGAGACTGCCGCCGAATGGAAGAAGACCGAGTTCATCGGCATGGACCTGGTGCCGATCCAGACGTCCATGTCGACGTTTGACGATCCAGACCTCGGAGCGCGCGTCAGCTGGGTCGTTGCCAACTTTCTCGAAGAGTGGCCCTTCCCGGACGCCAGCTTCGACTTTGTCCATTTGCGGTACATAGACCAGGGCGTACCCGAAGACGCGTGGGACCACGTCCTCAGCGAAGCCGTCCGTGTCGCCGCACCGGGCGCCGTTATCGAAGTCGTCACTGCGCCGTTCGCTCTTTTCACAAATCCACGATTCATGCCCGCTAGTGAGATGGTCGCCAGGGCGATGGGCACCACACTGGCAACCGCGCAGGACACGGAGGCAGCGGTAGAGGGAATCAAAAAAACGCAGCAAAAGGATAGCAGCATCTTCAAGCCTGCCTACGAGCCTATCAAGTTCATCTTTGCAAAGATGGACAATAGAAGGTGAGGAGCAAAGTATGACGCAGCGGGCCCTGGGCCTGATGTGGCAACCTGTGTCATCTCACTTCTCACGTACGATACGTTCCTTCTGCAGGTTCATCAACACACGCAGCGCATCGGTCGTTCCAGGCGCACTGCTAACACATGACGTCGTTGAGCGCAAGCAGACGCTGATGCGCCAGTTCCCGATCAAGTACCACCACGATTCCTACATGCCCTTCTCGGAGGAGCCTATCACTTGTGCAGACGGCATAGACCGCCGCTACACAACCGGGAGCGGGCAAAGCGTGACAATGAAGAACTGCATCGTCGACGCGCCTCTCAAGATCGACAACGACATCATGCGCGCCATAATCATCTGGACCAATGCCGCGGTGCGCACAGCGAGCACGGACCTTGCGTGGGAGGAAGCAGAGCGCGAGAAGGCCGAAGAGCCCCGTCCGCGCGGCCTAACCAGCGCGGCCTCGGCAAAGTACCGGAACGCGGATCTAGACGCGAACTTACCTTTCATCCACCCATGGAGCTCACGGGCCGACTTTGAAAAGGATATGGACGCGTACAATGAAGATTTGCGCTCGCACGCCGGCGTCGACGCCATCCTCCGGCGCCTCCTCGGGTGGCGCGAAGGCTGCCTGGAGCTCGTGAGGGAAGGGCGCAAGCAAGCCGAGCGCAAGCGCATGCTGAGCGCTTCGCCTGCGTCCAAGGCTGTTCTGTCCAGCAGGCCGAACCAGCAGGCCGAGACACTCAACTCGTTCCATGCCCGTGGAAGAGCCGCGTCAGAGGGAAAGACCGATCAGGAGAAGGCCAAGCTGCTTGGTAGGGCGGAGGAGGAAGAGACGAAAGCGCTCCAGCCGGAGGAGTTGATCCCCATCTTTGGCTTTCGAGAAGTCGGCAGTTTTATTCAAAGGCGCGCTTGGACTTGATCCATGGCGTGTCTTGCAGCTTTTTATTATGCCCGTGTGCTCCATGTGCGGCTTCCTGCCGCCCCACTTTGCGCGCTTGATGACCCTCTCGTATCGTAAACACTAGCATCCTTTTCTTTCTCAGACTGCTCGAAATCGCTCGTCTGTCCCATTGCATGCAATACTTCCTTGGATGTCACAAACATATTTTATTGTACACTTGTGTACCTTGGAACACGGAGAAAACCAAGGGCCTGTTGTTGCTGCCCCCTTTGCGTGCGCTCAAAAGTCTGGCGCAGGCTTCCGTCTGGCTAAGCGCGGCATCGCTTCGGCAGATGGTAGCATGCTGGTTGTGCTAGCCTGCGTAAAGTCCAGAGGGTTGTGCACCATCTCAGGAACGCCTGTCGGCTGTCGTGTAAATGATTTCTCGTCATTACCCCTGCCACCTTCTTCGGCGATATCGCCATTCGTCTCGCTGGGTTGCATTGAAGTCACTCCTGCCGCGATGGCTGCAGCGTGCATCGATAGAATCGATTGGCGGTATGTCCATTGCTCGGAAAAGTAGCGGTCAATCTCTTCGGCTCGAGCAGCACGGTGCACCTGATGAACACGATAGAGTCCAAAGACGGTGCCGCTGATTCCTGCGAGGCGAAGATCCATGACGGACATCGGCGAGCGGTCAGCAATGAACCAAGGCATACCCAGAAGCCAGACTCAAATGTCAAGTGCTCACCTATCGCTAAGGCTAGGCCAATCAACCCAAATGCCCACGCGGGAAGCTCGTTCGGTGTCTCCGGAGGTTCCCTGCACTGTCCGCCCGCCCCGCAATTGTACTGAACAGGATCGATCGATTATATTAAAGGGAGAGACTCTTAAGCGCATATCAACAACACAATGGGACGAACGGAAGCCCTGCTCACATCAATGCATTCCCTATCTTCCTCGCACGCCGCATTGAGAGGCTTCTCTCGCAGGCACGTAAGGCTTGTACTGTCGCAGTAAAGGCCATCAAGGCAGTTGTCTCGTCTGTCTCGTGGTTCAAGGGCACAGATCAGCATGCCAATCGACCTATCGGGGATTCAGAAGCAACGGTCGAACTTACGCAACGATATCGGCGACTTGCTTGCCTGCTGCATCGTACCCAATGTATTGTGTATGATCGATGACGCACATCTGGCCGAGGGACACGTTCGCCACCCTACAGATCCCTTGCAAGCAGATCGATTGAAGCGGAGTGGGGTTTGCCCCGTTCGGGATGAAGGTGGACTCATTGCCAGAAGAGTTGTTTGCACCCATCTGCCGGGCGACGATAACTCCAATCCGAAGGCGCGATGCCGCAGCTAGATGGATGGTATCAGTGTGCAGCGGTCGCTGCGTCGTACCTGAGGGACGTGCGCAGGAATCTGAGGGATAGGAAAGGTTATTCAGTTCGTTCCTGGCCGGGTGTATGAAAGAAACTAGCGCCTAGCATGTCCTTACCATCTCTGTTGAGCTCGCAAGCGCCTCCAATCTGCACCAGTGGCTGACAAGCGTTCTCTGCATCGGGGCAGTACGTGCCAGATCCACACATCGGCGGCGGTGTGAGTCCCCTGTATCCAAAGGGAAACTCATCTTTTCTGCATCCTTTGGGTTTGCAGAATCCTGACGATGGCACCGGCAAGCCAGTCTGCATTGGCAGAGCTACAGTTGCAGGACCCGAAGGGACGAAGCTTCCGTCGTTACTGCTGCCGCTGCCAGAGGAGGAACCTGAGCTGCGGGTCGAAGGTGGGACATCGCGAGAGTTCATGCGCTCGCGGTTGCCTACATGGCGCAGGCGATCCAATGCGGTTTGGTTGAAGATGGGTTTCTGGCGGTCGGCTCCAATGGCTTGCATGTGCGTGAGCTGATCTCGCGAGATAAGTTGTTCACCCTGTTCGTCGCCCTGTTCGTCGCCCTGTTCGTCGCCCTGTTCGTCGCCCTGTTCGTCGCCCTCTTCGTTTCCCTCGTCTTCCTCCTCCTCACCTCCCTCCTCTTCAATGCTTGTGCCGACAGGATCTAGCGTTGGGGCCTGGTGTTGCGCGATGCGACCCGCCCTCGATGAATCCTGGAGTGCTACTGCCCCTGAGCCATTGATAGGCAAGGACGCTGTCGGCGCTGGCGCTGCTGATGATGCCGCCGGAGCAGCACTTTGGTAGACGGGCTCACACCATTCGGTGTTGCCGCAGTCGGAATGAAAGCGGTGCGTAAGAGGATCGAGTGTACTGCGCTGCGGGTTGCATGGCAGGCCACCTGTATCCGACCCTGTCAAGTTGACCGATGTTGCGGACCCTGTACTGGTGGGCGCTGCAACAGCTGCCGCTGAGGAAGAGCTCGATGGTGCTGGGGCAGGGGCTTGCGCTCGTGCTTGAGCCACAGCACCCAGCTGCGGGTGAAAGAAGAGCGCAGTTGCGGTAAGCAGTCTCAAGTATCGCATCTTGGTTGCTTGAGCGCGATCTTGTTGCGGTCATTGGTGATCAATGTTTCGGACCTCAGCAGGAAGAACATAGTGACAATCAGGTGTAGGGATCAAGCTACAGAAGTGGTAAGAACCAGGTTATCACGAGGGATGGCGCTGCTCTTGGTTTCAGAGGTGCCCTTTCCGTTCAGTAGAGCTTTACAGTTGCTGAGCACACATGTAGTGGCGATGAAATGATCGGCGAGGATGGCCGCAAGAGAACGCATTGTCACGCTCTAACAGACCTATGTGCTCAACATATTGCTTGCCCTGCCGTGCGGCCCCATCTTGAAACGAGTCAGCGGAGCGGCGCCCCGCGAGACCCCCGCTGTGTAGACTGCTGCGTGCAGGTAAAACGCTGCCTGGCTGACTGTGCGCAACCGTGGCCATGATGGATTCATCTTGGACCGGCCAAAATGGAGCTGCCAACGGTCGAAGCTCTTCCAACGAGACCAATTTCATCTTGCTGAACGCAACGGTCGCTCGCCTTCAGTCATCCTCAAGCTGTAGTTACGCACGTGGGATTTCACGTGTGCGTGGCACATAACCAGTTACTGTTACAGGGGAAAAAGCATATTCCCGCGCGATCCTAAAGCTTCATTCCGGGGCCTTCAAAATATAGGAGCCGCTTGATATAAATCCCGGAAGAAATGTCAAAACAAACCAAATCCCTCTAATTGGACAACTTTCTCGATTCTCCCAATTTCTGTTTCAAGACCATCTTGTTTTTCTCTGCCACCTGTGTGCTCCCCAGAATACTGGACGTGCGAATGATAAAGTCGACCAGCATGATGGCAGGTATGATTGTGAAAGGTCCGTAGGATGATAGCAGGAAGCGCAAGTTGTCATGCGACAGCTGTTTGCGCTCATCACCGAAAAGCACCGTTACCATGCACTCAGCTGTAGAGAGCGTGGCCCAGGATGCATATGCTATGATGATGGGGTAAAAGCGTGCATCATCTGCGGTTGAAGACGCTCGTGCTGGGTCAGCAACTACCAAATGAATCCACTATACGAGTGCGTCTTTCTCACCGCGGATGAGCCCATAGGCGCCGGCTATGAAAGCCGGCACCTGCACGACCATCTCGGCAACGAGACATAGCGTAAACCATGCGTATCGCGGATGCAACGCATTGCCCAGCAGCGGGTCTCTGCTATCCCGCAGGTAATCTGAGCGCACAGATTTGAGCGCCTGTGGCACCAAAGAAGCTGGATAGAAGGCTTGGCCGTCGATAAGAAGGCTTGCGAAGAGGTGCAGCACGAGGAAGACGACATAAGCCAGGTCGGCCGGACGCGAAGTCAGCGACCGCGGCATGCTGTTTTGGTTAGGGGGCCCAGACCGTGACTGTTGGTTGCGCTCGCGAGGCGGTCGGCACTTGTAGCCCACTTCGAAAGACGGATCCACAAAGGGCCCTCACAAACTTCAAGTTTCACCCCGATCTCTGAAGCATGAGGGCTCTGGCTCATGCGCTCAAGGCTACAAATGAAGGCTATCCAACTAAAACAGTCCCATTACGTCTCCCGTCGAAAGAAGGCCCAGGTCGCATTGCACCGAATGCTCTTGTTGAGTTCTACTGACGCGCTCATGAGGTGCGCCTCATGACCCCATCGTCTTCATCATCCTCCTTGCTTCGCATGGACGATAAAGCAAGGCGGACGGCACACGAGAGAGTCACTCCGAAGCCGATGTGTCGAATGAGTGCCGTAATTCATGCACATGAAGGGTGGAGAAGAGTCTGTTCAACGTTGCGACACCGGAGCTTAGACAATAATCCTTGAGCGAAGCGGACAGCAAAAATCATGTCAGGCGCACCTCCTCCAGGCCCACCTCCGGGTCCACCCCCCCAGCCGCCTGTGCGACCTACATTGACGTCGCCCCCTCGACTACCATTGGCGGCATCACCACCACCACCACCATCACCACCGACAGAAGCTTCACTTCCATTTCTTCCACCGCCCCCTCCTCCAGCTGATGATCGCGCCAGTGCCGTGCCCCCGCCACCTCATTCTCCTCCACCACCTCCCCCCACTGCCCACGAGCAAGCACGAACAGCCGGTCCGATCGCCCCACAAGACCCTAACACTGCCACTTCAATACCGAAAGGAGCGTCATTACCACAATCAGCGTCTTCAACAGTGTCTACTGCTCAAGCGGACGAGAGCAATGCAAGCGCCCTGCCGGAGGATCCAGCTGAGATGGAGAGGTTTCTAGCGCGTGAACGCAATTCATTCTGGCAAGAACTGGAAATCGAACGTGTGCTAGCGGCCTTCAAGCTGAATCCTTATGAGATTATGGACGTTGCTATGGAAGCAGATGACAAAGAGATTACAAAAGCGTACAGACGGAAGAGTCTCCTCATCCATCCCGATAAAGTAAAGCATGCAGGCGCGGTGGAAGCGTTCGACTTGCTCAAGAAAGCGTCAACCGTTCTGCTTGATGAAGCAAAGCGCAAGGCTCTCGACGAGACAGTCATGGAAGCGCGAGTCCTTGTCCTGCGCGATCTGTCCTTGCCAGCCGACATTTCTACGGAAGATGAGCGAATAAGGAACCAAGTAGGGCAAGGTAAATTTCAGGAAATGGTCAGGGCCCGCACAAAGGACGTCATGATCGGCGATGAGTTGAGACGGCGAAAGTGAGTGAAGTATCGTTCATACGAGAGGGCAGTGTGACCTTGTACCGAGCTTGCCTCACCCACTACGTGTTCAGAGCGGTACGCCTTCAACATGCAGCTGAGGGCGCCGAGCAGCGCAAGAAGGAGGAAGCAGCCACCGAACGCAAGCGCAAAGCCGAGGAGGCTGAGCGGTGGGAAGAGACGCGCGATGAGCGCGTGGCAGGGTGGCGGTCATTTGTCAAGGGTGGGAAGAAGAAAAAGAAAGGCGATAATGTACTCGGCTGATGCGCTCTGAGGGCACTCAAGGCGCATACATTTGCTCTTCGATGCTTTGAGCATATCTTTGTTTTATCTTCTAGTGTCATACATACATGAATACACTAGAATTCAATCATCTGCTGCTTCAGACTTGTCTCAATCCCTGCATTGTGCAAAGCCTTGAGGCCCTCTTCAATCCAGTATCTCTCCATCTTCTTCCCTTGTGATGCTCCTGCTGCGTCCTCTTCCTTGGTGCTGGAATCGTGGCTTGAGTGCTTTCTTCGCGTCTCCTCGTTCTCATTGGCATTATGCAATTCGTCTCGCGCACCCGCAACGACGTGCTCGTTCACCTCACCGCCATACCCGGTCAATCCTCCGTGCTTGATCCAGTAGGCCACGTTCACCTGCGCGCACGCGTGCTGCAGCACGCCGATCATCTGCAGCAGGAGACTGTCGTGCGCTTCGATGATCGACAGGGCTTCCTGCGCCTCGGCATCTGCTGTCTCTGCGACAACCGGCTTGAGCGCCCATTGAAGCGCAGGCGTGACGGATGCGCTCGCTTTCAGTTTTTTGAGTGTCTTAACGTCGTCTTCTCCAAATTCGCTAAGCAGTAAGTGGTTGAACGGCTGCAGTCTAGCTTTGTCGGGCGTATCGTCCAACAGCACAGTATTCTTCGCGTTCCACGGTCCCTGGGCCTCTGCAAGTTGCGCTGCCTTGCCTGCAGCGCCAGGAATCTCGTTTTCGGCAGAGTCGTAACCATCTGGTGACTCGTTGTCGAGTCTGTCGCGATCATCTGCACGAATGCGCTGATCTCCTTGATCGCAACCGTCATGGGTAAGGTTCAGCGCGTGCCAAGCGATCTCTAAGTCTTTGGTAGTCTGCACCCTGCTGTCGTAGAAACGCGTGGGGACCAGCGTGTTGCGCGCCCACACGCGTAGGAGGCGTGCACGCTGAGTCTCACTCATGATGGAGAGCAGCATGGCGTCTACATTCGCTGGCTGGGCGCTGGACCAGACGATCAGCTCACAGGCACCGAGCGAACGTTGGTGAACTTGCGATTGCCCGCTCTCAGAGTGGAATGTTTCCGGGCTGGCGGTATAGAAGTGCGTGCCGAGGATCTCGCGCATTGTTGGGGAAGCAGTGCTGCTCGGGCTGCTTGTTGCGTGCCTCGTGGACGCAGAACACTCCTGGTTCTCGCCGAGACAATATCGTAGGAATGCGTCCAAGAAGGGTCGTGGAATAGGTTTTATGCTCCCTGCTTTACTCTTTGCGGTGCGGTATAGTAGAGTACCATTCAAGTCGAGCAATACGAGCTTTCTGTTTGTGGTCTCCCCTTCCGATCTGCTTTCACCCGAGGAAGCGGATTCAATCGGCTGCGGAGTTTCGCTGGCTTGTTGAAGATAGGATGCTCGTGGACGAGGGCGAATCGACATGGATTCTGCTGTTGGCAACGAGTTCCTTGGCCTCCTTTTTATGCCTCTACTCTGGCTATCGAGGCTGCTTGTGTCGAATGTAGCTGCAGATGGTGAGCAGACGCGTTTTACACTCATTTGCTTTTTGGGGCGCTGTGCTTTCGAGCTTGATGTAGATGTATGGGAAGACGTCCGCTTTTCCATAGGCTCTGAGCCCGGCTGAACCGAATCAATAAGTGCGGCTTTCTCTGTAGGTAACAGTGAATCGTTTGTACTCTTGCATTTGCATTTGTCCTTAACTTTAGGCTTCCCCTTGCATCTTGCGTGGTTGGCCGACATCACGGCTAACGGCTGACATGGTGCAATACTCCTTTCTGAGATATTTTGTTGTACGGAGTGCAGCGAAGAGCTGGAAGGAGAATCCTGCCGGGTACTGGAGAGCGACGAGGTCATGGGTGTTGACGATAGCGACTTCGGAGTTGGATCGTGGTAACAGTGATCCGAGCGATTGGAAGCGGGTATCGCACTACCTGCCCACGGTAGACTCCTCAAGCAAATGACGCTCGGGGAGCGAGCTAATCTTCTGGACATCTCTGCCGGTTGCGTTGTAACTGCTGCTGTTACTGCTGAGTGCACCACGGGACGGTGGGAGGGGGGACACTCTGAGTATTCATATTGATTATAAATACAGGGGAGCAGAGACAATTAAATGTAGGTTGTTGTTTGTTGTGGCAATAAATGTTGTTTTGGTTAACGGGTAACGGGGTATCGGTGCAACTCCTCCTACACAGGCCCCCTTCCCCCCTTGCAGCTGATTGCCACAACGGGACTTCTGCTCGTCACTCTCCCTGCGCTTTCGTCTTCTTTCCGCCCTGGGCACTTTTGCGACCTTGCCTTCTTCTCCTCAGAGAGGCTCCCGAACTTAATAACGAATGAGCAAATCGAGTAGCTCCTCTTAGTGGCCAATAAAAGGAGCGGGTGATGCGCATCTTGCCAGCTCTAATCAGACGACATCCACCCCTTTCTCGCTCCTTCAAGACTTATCCATTAGCCTGCCGCGCGATGACCAACACAGGCGCATCTGCTGCTCGTCAGCTCATCTATGCCTATGCTGAGCCCTTCCTCCAGCCCGGTTCAGCCCCTGTTGCGGCGACTGGCTCTACCTCTGGGTCTTTGAAAGACTACGTGAAAGATCTCGCAAGCAAGACAACCAAGCCAGAGTGCCTTCTTGGCGACAAACAGGCTGACAATGTTGTCAGCTCTTGGCTCGACAAGGCAGAGGCGCTGTTCGGCGCCGCCTTCTCATCAGTCGATGCGAGCGTGCTTCACCCGCTCGAGAAGGAGGTAGAGCCTGTTGTCTACCTTGCACCAGGCAGCGTTGAACCGACAGCCGCGGATCTCTCACTCTTCGCGTACCTCCACCCCCTGCTGTCCTCCCCATCATCCGCAAGCACGCAGCATGCCTACCCATCGCTAGCGCGATACACATCGCACATCTCGAATCTCTTCGCAGTCGCCAGTGCTGTGCAGAAGGCCAAGCTGGACATGTCAGCTTTCGAGCCCGTGTACGAGGGTATGCCAAAGATCGAGCGTGTGGATCTGAGCAAGGAGAAGGCGAAAGCGAAGGAGGCCAAAGCAAAGGCTGCGAGCAAGGGCGCTGCCGCTGGGGTGAATGCTAAGCAGGACAAGAAGGAGAAAGCAACTACCGCTGGCGCCACCTCTGGCGCTGCTGAAGGCGATAGCAAGTCCAAGAAGGAGAAGAGTGGGGGTAACAACAAAGGAGGAGCGGCTGCAGCATCGGAGCCTTCGCGACCACTACCCTCGCAGATCGATCTGAGAGTTGGGAAGATTGTGGACATCAAGAAGCACCCGGACGCCGACTCGCTGTACCTTGAGACCGTCGACTTTGGGGAGTCGACCGGTCCGCGCACTGTCCTGTCCGGGTTGGTCAGGTTTGTGCCGATAGAGGCCATGCAGGACCGAATGGTTGTTGGCATCTGTAACCTCAAGCCAGTCGCGATGAGGGGCATCAAGAGCCATGCAATGTTGCTTTGCGCGACACACAAGGACGGTGCAGAGAAAGGAGGCGTGGAGCCCATCTTACCGCCCGAAGGCAGCAAGCCAGGGGACAAGCTTTGGATCGAAGGATTTGAGGGCAAGCAACCCGAGGCTCAGTTGAACCCCAAGAAGAAGGTGAGCGCTTCAGACCTTCCTCGCCCCTCACTGCGCCTGTGCGCCAAAAGTGTTCCTGGAAATCACAATATCTGTGCATCCGCTTTACTTTCACGCAGGTCTTTGAAACGATCCAACCGGGCTACCTGACGACAGCAGAGCGAAAAGCAGGCTGGAAAGGCGTCGGGCCAGACGAGGACGCGGACTCTGCGGAGCCCAAGGTCCGCTTGATCATCGGCGAGAATGGGCCATGCTACGCGCCGAACTTCGACGGCGCGACACTCTCGTAGCATGCTTGTAGCCTCGCGATAGGGCAAGGGTATTTTCAGCACGCTTGATGGGTATGCAGCCGCGTCTCTTCCTCTTGGATATCAAGTCTGGCTCGACTGAAACGAGGATTGCTTGGAAGGCGCCGCTGTAGTGTACAAACAGTGCATGCAAGAGAGGAATTGAAGACAAAGCAAGCGGAGAGAGAAGTCACGCGGTTTGACTGCGCTCTGTAACATTTTGCAAATGGCCTGTACAGGCCGACGGGGTCGTGAGACGTGAATTGCCGTCAGTACGGCAAAAAGTCTTGTGCGGCTATATACACACGCCGCTCGTGACGGAGACATGGCTGGGGGTGCAGGAGGCAAGGGCCAGGCTTGTGGAGCTGCAAAGTGCGATGCATGTGTATGTATGGAGGAGCGGTCTGGGCGAAGCTGATCTGTGCTGTGCTGTGCAGACTACAGCGTATGGTAGGGTCTGGTCAGGCGTGCTTCGTGGGAGAATGTATGGTCGTTACTCTCTTGGGATGAAGAGAGAGGACGTGCGCACCTCGACCCACCAGCCAAGTCTCGCCAGAAAGAAAGAGCGCTAAATCGGTTTCGGATCATATGCGTGCAGCCGCAGCAGGCACTGGAGCGCTGATCGCGTTTTTAGATTGTGTCAATCAATAATCGATGCTGTCATCCTCGCTTGACGGTAGATGCAGCAGCAGTGAGCGCAGGAGGAGAGTGTGTGGTACACTGGCACTTTCGCGAACCAGCTTGTCAGCCACTTGGCGAAGACCCCATCGGATATACTTCTATACCTCTCCATTCGTTTCAGCATCTGTCCTTGCGCGCTGCCCTTGTTCACACGCAGATAGAGGTAGATGCACACGGGATGAGACTGTGACGCAGCAACGGCAGCACGGGAGATTGCTCTGCGATGTGCCAGGCTGGGCTGACTTCTTTATTTTCCAGCTGCGATCGACACCTGACACTTGACACCTGTCTCATCTCGTCGCTCGTCCATTCCATTCCATTCTGTCACAACTCACCACATCGCGCCGCGCAACGCAACATGGCACCCGCAGCATCCTTCCTCACGCCTGCTCTTTTCGCCTGATTGGTCAGTCGTTTTCCCTTTTGGGCTTTTCTCCTCTAGCCAGGCGGGCAATGCAAGATTGAAAGTCGTAAGAGTACACGCCACGCCTACAAGGGGAAGGATCACAGCTACAGTAGCCTCTACAGCCGACTGTCGACCCAGAAGCTCTCCGCTTCCTGCTCCTCAAAATGGCCGCAGGTAGAGGCGACGTCTCAGCTGCGATCTGTGGAGACGGGGATATCGGTCTCCTTGGGTTCGACGACAGCGCCTCTTCAGGGCAGATCTCATCGCTTGTGCCTCGAGAAGCGAGCTCGGCGTCCCTATTTGCTGCAAACACAGGCACTGCGGGTCAATGTTTTACGGAAGGTAGTCGGAGCTTCGGCTCGGGGCTGCATTTATATTCGCCGTTCCCTTCAACTTCGGCAAAGTTCCCACCAAAGGCCAGGCCGGCGTTGAGGGTCCCTATGCCTCTTGCTGGCAATAGCAGCTCAGGTCCAGCAGCAAGCGCAGGGCCAAGCAGTTCCAGCAGACTGGGTCCGCCAGGACAGCCGCCATGCAGCCCGAAGCGTGCCTCTTTCCTGGCAGGGTCTGCCGGGGCGGAAGGAGAGTCAATAGGCAAGGGACTACCGATCAACAGCGCTGGTATAGGCTCAACAGGTGCTGCACTTGGGAGCATGGGTGACGATGTCCTTGAGCCGAGCAATTTGGACCCGCCTCTTACGACACAGTCTGCCTACCCACCTTCCTTCCCGACACCGGGTGAAGGTCCATATAGCTCTTCCACGGAAGCAGGGCTGCACCCAAATGCTTCGAGTCCCGCTTCGATGTCGCAGAGTCGTCTGACGCCGCCTAAGCCAAAACTACACAGGTCCTCGAACGGCAGCGCTACGTGCGGGACTGGCGTGCCGGAACCAAAGAGTCGGAAGGGAATGGTCGCCAATGCAGATGCAGGGGACATTTCTTCATCACAAGCCGGGGACGGGCAGACCTACTACCTGCGCCTGGCGGAAGCCCAGACGCTCTTGTGGTCGTCGAATGCTGTTCCTGGAGCAGCGCGCTTGCTGTCAAACAAGCGGGAGAGCGTCGGCGCAGGCGATCTGTCTTGTCCTTCCCCAGGCTTGATGCAAAATATTGCGGGCTTCAGCCCGGTCGTGGCCGAGATGCCTCTGCAATCTGCATTCCATGAAGGCGAAGTTGCGAGCGCGTACGCGCAGAACAAACAAGCTCTCGAGCAGGATCAACCTATGCGGCGCTCCAGTACTGGCGGCGAGAAAGTGCAGAGGCGCGCATCTCGCGCCTCCTCCCCGGGCGGCCAACATGGGATACACATGGGCTCGGTCGCGCAGAGAGCTGCTGCAGCGGCGGTGGCTCGGAATATTGGCGCTGGCATCGATGTGCCGAGCCGCCGGACGTCATTGAACAACATATGCAGCATGTCGCCCAGCATTGCGACCAAGCGCTTGGAGCACGAAGGCAACGCTCCCCCGCGTGTTGCCTCATCGACCGGAGAGCAAGAAAGAAGCAAGGGAAAGGGTAAAGGCGCTGCGAAACCCGCAGTCTCCCAGATTCCTGCGTTCGATCGACAGGCGCTGCAGCGATGGATCCTGTCTGTCGGCTGCGTCACTTTCGACCTCGACCTCGGGCCGGATCTAGAATTCCTCTACCCTCCATTGGGAATCAGCAAAGAGGAGAAGGACAACATCGCCTTTTCCTCCTTTCCTGACACTTCCATCTTTGATGACGGGTACACGACCTTCTCATGGCGTGTGCGCGAAGTCCCGTTGCACTCGTCCTACAGCGAAGCACCCGTCATCGGCAGGCTGAACAAGCCTCCTCCACCTGGTCCTTCCCCTGCTGCATCTTCGTTTTCTTCTTCACCGGACCGGAATGTGCCGGTCTCGCCGATCGACACGACCTCATCTGATTCGGTGAAGGAGTCGCCGCTGCCAAGCCCAACGACCAGCGCCTTTGCTCATCGCCACGCTTCACACGCATCGCTGCAGCCACAGTCTGCCAGCCGCTCCGCTCCGCCGCCGCCGTCGACTGCATCCGCGCTTGGACCGAACGGCGGCGGAAGTGCGCTCAATGGGAAGCTACTTTCGCAACATCCCTCCATGGCTTCTATAGCTGCCGAGACAAGTCACTCGAGGAACAACAGCGCGACATCTACAGGTACGACCGAGCCTTCCGCCGCGGCCCTGTCTAACCTCCCGGGTGCCAATTCGACGGATGTGGACCTGTGTTCGTCTCTGATCATGAGGGACTTGGAAGTGCGAACGGCAGGTGGCTTAGCCATCGATCACGATGCCGAGGAGAAGCAGGATCGCGCGGCAGCGCCCGCTTGTGCTGCGGCTGAAGCGCCTAATGCAGTGACAAGGAAAGGAGGGGGGAGCACGAGCAGCTCTTACATCTACGGGGTATGCTTCTTTCGACAGAAGCGCGATCCGTCCATCCGGCGAGGCTATTTCCAGAAATCAGTCGTCATCCTCAGCCATCTACCATATGTCTCGCTGCTGACGGAACTTGTATCCAAGCTCGGACGTGAGTATAGTCACGAGCGCTTTGTTTTCACATCTTGGCTCTCCCGAAACATTTACACTTTTTATACCTTATCCCCTCAGCACTCTACTTTGAGCACGGACAACCGATGCTTGAAGCCTTCATTCAAGATGTGGTGCGATGGCCAGCACCCGAGTCAGGCGTGACTTTGACTCTCCCCGCTCTAGGCTCGGTTCTGAAGGTGTCTCTGCCTATCGGCTCGCAGTTTCAGACGGACGCCGCCACGAATGCATACATCCCCTCCTTGACGAATCCAAACATGGCAACATCACTTCTTACGAAGAAGAAGATCACACAGCCTGGCCGGCAACCCGAGCCTGAGCCCGTGAGTGTAAGCCAAATCCTCCAAGACTAGTCATATATTGACAATTGCGTTTGCTCCATTCTGTTGCAGCTGCTGGCATCAATACCCACAACGCCACTCATTGACACCTTCCGCGATGCGCTTGCGGACCTTTGGCTGCTCTGGGAATGTATGCTCCTTGCTGAGTGAGTTTGTGCTTCCCAGCAACACAGAGAGCGTGCGTGCTGACATCTTCGCTGCACGAATGCTCAGTCCTATCCTTGTCATTGGACCCGACCCAAAGGCTTGCAGTGATGCTGTTTGGCATCTTCTCGATTTGATCCGACCAATACCTTACGCAGGAGATTTTCGGCCCTACTTCCACATTCACGACTATGATTGCGGCGCGCTAGTCACCAAAAACAAGCCGCAAGCAGGCACGCTGCTGGGCGTCACAAACCCTTTCTTCGTGGCCGCATGCGGCCACTGGCCAAACCTGCTACGCGTGGGGCGACCGGCGCCAAAGGTAACCCATCATTTTGGCATCGGTCGCAGCGGGAGCGCGAGCAAGAAGCCCACCGCACCCGGCGTCGCGGGCGGTATGAGTGCTGGTGGTGGCGGGCCGGACCATCAGCCGGGCTTGGCCAGCAAGCGCAAGCGCAGAGCATCCAAGGACAGGCCTCTGCTCAAGGCGATGGTCGATGCTGTGGAAAAGCAAGAGGGTGGTGCGTTGCAGAATCAACTGCTCGCAACGCATCGAGAAGGAAGGCTGACGGCGTCTTCTACCTCGCTTTTCTTTCAGTCGAAGCCGCCAACGGGATGCTGCGTCGCTACTTTTCCGACTTGACAGAGCGCTTCTTGCAGCCACTCAATCGCTACATTGCTTCTTTGGTTCCGTCGTCTGGTGCGATTCCGACTTTACCTGGCGAGCCGCTGCGCATCAAGCCTTTCAACACGAACGATTTCCTGGGCTCGCTAAAAGCGCATGGCACACCTCTGCTGCTCAAGAACCGCAATCTGCCGACGGGCGCTGCAATTCGACAGTCACTCTATCTCGATTTCCTCAAGTGTCCCAACTTTTCACTCTGGCTGCATGCAAAGTTGGCCGCCGCGGATGATGATAATTGGCGCAGGAGGATCAAGGTTCTCGAGATGGGTGATGTGCAGAGGTTTGCACAGAGGAATGGCGAGATTGAAACGATCGACTTGCTGAGCAGATTACGAGAAGAGATCGTGAGTATCGCCTTCTCAAATTGAGGCCTCGCTGCAATGTCGCTGGCCACTGAATCTACGCCGCCGACTTGCGATCGTAATCAGAAAAACGTAGATGCTCGGATTGCAGCAGATCAGAGCTCGGTAGGGCCGGGCCGGCGCTGGCGTACCGACGAAAGGGCGCCACCCTCCCGGGCAGATTCTGCTGCATCATCAAATTTCGAGCCTTCGTTCGGCGCTGGCACAACAAGTATCGGGGTTGGTAGTGGCCATAGTGCGAGCGCCACCGCAGGCTCGAGTACGGACGGATCCACGGCAGCCCACTCGTTCAGCTCTCTGTCAGCCGCAGCTACACCTGCGTCTACATTTGCTTCTGCGCCGCCAGGCGCAAAACAGGGCGCCCCCATGCCGCCAAGACATTTGCCATCTAGGCAAGGCAGTAGCAGCACAGACTCCTTCAGCGGCGGCTGTGGTGGTGGCGTCATTGACGAGAACGCGAACGCGGGCGTAGGGACGGGTACGTACGGTCGTACGCTGGCGGCAAAGAAGCACAAGCTGCTGGATCAATTGGATAGGCTGGCAGAGGTGTTATCGCCGGATCTCAAGTCCAGCTTGCGCCTGAAAGAGTGTGAGCGCGAACGCGGGCGTGTCACCAAGCGCGGCACAGAAACCGTGTCGCCTGTCGCTCAGAGTTACAAGGATGGAGCTGCGATCCCCGCTCCAGGTGGCGATCGTAATGGCGGCAGGATCGATAACGTCTCGGGCTCGGAACGGGGTAGCGCAGACGGTTCCATGACGTAGGGGCAGCGGCTGATCAACCTCGAGCGAGGGGAGTCATCGACGGGGGCTTTGTATATATGAAAGCCCGAGTACAATTATATTGGCCATTATGCACGTGCCTCTAGCACCTTGCTGATCGCCATGCAGATCAGAACAGGGCAGCGCAGCGGGTTTGCATTGTATTGTAGCAAGGGTGGAAGGATCAAGGAAGGACACTCGCCAGTCTTAATCTTTGACTGCTTGTCGGAGTGAGGAAGGTTCGTAACCCCCCTCCAAGCAAGCATGCTGGAAATCGCAGCCTGTTCCTCCAGGAAGCAACTGTCGATGGGGAACAGACGAAACTTGTCCACGTTCACCGTCCGGCTTGGCCTGTGCGCGGAATGAGGATCTAACACTTTGTTTGTGACAGGGGTGTGACATCCGTGTTCCTGCGTGACCGCTTTGATTCCTAATCGCCTGCCATTGCCGGCGGTTGTATTATTTCTGCACCACTGCAGAGCACCGCGCTACGACACAGGAGAACAGTGAAACACACGGTTCATTCGCCTGGACAGCTCAGCGCCCCTTACTTTCACATCCATCCCCGGCTTACAGAGTGAATGACATATATGTTTGTGCAAAGCATGCACATAGCATCCTACAAAGGGCTAGCTCTACGTACGATGATTTCCATCATCATCGCCAGCAAGCCCGCTTGCCGGCCAGCCCGCTGGCCGCCGCACGTCCCATTACATACTGCCATGGAGGAGGGTGAAGACAAGCTGGGAGAAAGGTTCCAGCGGCACGAGAACGGCCAAAGCTAGAATGGCTGGCGAGATGCCTGAAATTCGAAGTGCGACGTGTTGCTTCGATTTGCCTTTGCGACCCACAACTTGCCGGATGGTTCACAGTTAGGCAGTTGGCCTCCGGCAACTCAGCATGCGTCTTCCTCTTCGCTCCTGCACCTTTCTCTTGTTACAGCCGAGAAGACAAAAAATAATTATTGTTGCGGCCGTGCCTTGGCGGAAGAGCACAGACTGGGGCACCTGCTATAATTCTTTCTTTTTTGGCCAACAGCAGCAGACAGGCATGCCCCAAACTGCCATCGTACCCCTTCTCGCCCTTTGGGCTTTGACAGGGATAGAGGGGAGACTGCTACTGCAACCACCCTCCCACCCACACATCTGGCAGCTCCCACAGTGGTCCAGAGCGCTGCTGGTAGTATGAGGCAACTGCCTTTGTTTGACGAGTATCCATCAAATGGCGACTCGTGAGCGTCTGCCTCGGTGCTCCGGGACGAATAGCACTCGGCAGTGACTCTCTTTTTCTATTGATCGGATATCGATTGATCGACTTCGCAGGGTCAATCATCAGCTTCAGAATCTCGCACACCCAGACACGCAGACTGCGCACTGGCCTGGGTCTGGTTATGTTGTGCATAGGGGCGTCCTTCCACCACCTCGACATGTGCAGCACCACATCTTTTATCTCGTCGCCATTCCCCTCACCCTCCCCTCCATCCTCAACACCATCGCTCCGTTCTCCTTTCTGGTGAATCATCAAAGGAGCTGCTCACATCCTGTGACACGTTTGGACTCTTCCGTCACTCATCCCTGGCTCGCGATGGCCTTCGATCCCACCCACCCACCTCACATTCTTTGAACCATATTATTTTCTCTACTGCTCGCTGATACCACTATCGCCTATTTCGACGCTCGCGCTCTCTACCCCCTTTGGTTTCATCGTCCAAACTACTCCTGTAGTCAAGGAGAAAAAGCAAGGAAATTGCCACCATGCCGTTCAACTCAGCCCTCAAGCTCAAGTCGATCCTCGCCCTCGCTGCTTCGCTCGGCCTGCTATCTGCCAGTGGAGCCTCGGGAGCCAAGGGAGGCACAATCCAAGTCGTCAGCCAGAATGCTGGCATTTCTGCGCAGATGATGTTCCTCGGCACCGACAGCACCGTGTATATGCTTGACAAGGCCGAGAATAACCCAGCGAAGGTCAACGGCCACCCTGCGTGGGCGACCGTGTATGACTTCAATTCGAACACATACCAGAGCATGGACGTCAGCGCCAACCCCTTCTGCGCTGGCGGCGCTGACCTCGGTGACGGCCGCATGCTCGTCACTGGTGGCAACAAGGCTGTCGGTTCCGGCGGCGGCACCGTTGAGGAGGGCAGTGGGCCCTACCAGGTTCGTTTTTGTCCCTTGCCGGCTCCTTCCCTTTTTCATTGGCGTTGCTGACACGCAGCATTTATGCCCGGGTGCACCTCGCTTCGTGTGCACAGGACTACGATGGCGGTCACGCGATCCGCACTCTCAAGCCGGGCTCGGGCGCCACCTGGAAGATCTCGCCCAACGCTCTGAATGCCGAGCGTTGGTACCCGACCGTTGAGCCACTCAAGGACGGCTATGTCATGATCATTGGTGGCATGAGAGATGGTGGATACGTTCCAACGGTGAGTGCTGGCTGTGAGGCAGAGTGCTGTCTAGCTAGATGAATGCAGAGTTCTGCTGCTGATAAGTCCCATATGTGCACGCAACCTCCAGTCTGGCTCGGTCACGGCTTCGTACGAGTTTTACCCACCAAAAGGTGATGGGCGGTCGCGCAACCTTGACTTCCTCAACCGGACGACTCCACTCTCGCTGTTCCCCATTAGCTTCCTCATGTCCAACGGCGAGATGTTCATGCAAGCCAACAAGCAGGCCATCCTCTGGAATTACCAAAAGCAGAGCGAGACGCGTCTGCCCAACGCCCAGGTCCCTAAGGTCTACCCAGCCTCGGCGGGTTCGGTTCTGCTCCCCCTCGAGCCGGACAGCAACTACCTTGAGACGGTCCTCTTCTGCGGTGGCCTGTCGCTCGGTTCAGCCAAAAAATGGGGTAACGAGGGTGGCGTCGGACAGCAAATTACCAACGTACCCGCGAGCACCATCTGCGAGCAAATTGAGCCGGTCAAGTCCCAAACCTGGGAGGCCGTCGACAACCTTCCGTCGGGTCGCTCCATGGGTCAGTTCATCACCCTTCCAGACGGCAAACTCCTGTTTATCAACGGTGTCAAGAAGGGAACTGCGGGTTACAATACCGACCCCAGCAGGTGAGCAGCCTCCTTGCGTAGAGTAGGAGACACGTAGAAGTTCTCGTGTCTGATCTCGATTCCCTTTTGGTCGCTGCCTCGAACAGCGTTGGTAAGCCTGTTGGCCAATCCTACGGTGACGATCCAGAGTACACGCCTTACCTGTACGACCCGAAGGCAACCAAGGGCACGCGCTGGTCCGCCGCAGGCGGAAAGCTGTTCGACGGGCGGTTGTACCACTCTTCCGCAACGCTGCTGCCTGATAGCTCTGTTCTCATCGCGGGCAGCAACCCGAATGCCGATGTGACGACAACGCACTGGAAGACGACCTACTCGGTCGAGCGCTGGTACCCCACATGGTATGACCAGACGCGTCCATCGAACAGCGGCCTTCCGTCGAGCTTCAGCTACGGTGGCGACGGCTTCCAGCTGATCTTCTCCAACCCCAACGACGCCGCAAATGCCAAGGTCAAGATCATCCGCACCGGCTTCAGCACGCACGCGATGAACATGGGTCAGCGCTCCATCACGCTGCGCAGCGTCGCAAAGGGCAACACGCTCTACGTCGGGCAGCTACCCAACAACCCAAACCTCTTCGCGCCGGGTCGCGCCCTCGCGTTCGTGGTTGTCAATGGCGTCGCCAGCCAGGGCAAGTTTGTCATGGTCGGCAACGGGAAGATCGGTACGCAGCCCACGTCGGCGGACACGCAGCTGCCCTCAGTCACGACTATCAAAAAGACGCCCTCATCTTCAATAGAGAAAAAGCAGGCAACCAAAAAGACCCACAGCACCGCCACGGCCGCTGACACCCCTGACGACACCATCAAGAACGAGCATGCGTACACTTCTGCCAAAGTCCCGTCGGCTGAGGAGAGCAAGGATATTGCGGAGAGCTTCGGCTCTGGCCTCGCATCGCACCGAAGGCGCCGCGCTCACTCGATCAACGGCGAGGTGTTCTAAAGTTATTGAATCACCCCTCTTCCTCCAGATCGATATCCCCCTTTCGCCTATCGCCCTTCTTGCTCTGCAAGCACCCTTAGCTCTGCTGAGCTCCCCTTTGACTTCACTTTCCGAACGAGCGAGTATTATGCATTGTTGCGAGGGAAAGTTGAACAGGCGGATATGTACGCCCCCTCCCCTTTTGGATCCCAATTTGACCCTAACGCTTTCCAGCAAGACAGTTCTTTGATATATGATATTGTGTATTTTCTTTGACACCGTGATTCGTATCCGTACACCAAGCGTTGTGCAGATGGCTGCCATCAACAGGAGCGTATTTGTGCCGCTCCCAATGCTGTGCTGGCAAACAATGATTCAAGATTCATGTAGCCTCCGCCCCAGCCGCAGGTGCATCCCCCTTCAATTTCTTTACCGACTTTTCTTCCTCGATGATAATGTTCTTCTCGCTCGGCCCTCCTGCACTTTCGGGCGGTAGGTCGTTGAAGGGTTTCTGCCGTGCAACGATCATGGCCTTGATTTCGTCCGCTACATCGCCCTGGATCACAATCTCGTCCACGTTTGGGTTGCTTGTGGATTTCGACACTGAGGCGCCAGTTGCAAGACGGGAAGCTAGCCTATATATCGACGAAGCAAACATTTTGTGGGTCAGTCTGGGTCAAATACGCACAGCATTAAAAGCTGCTATTAGGCATGAACCGGACGCACCCTTTTGAAACGACTTTCATCGCTGGCAGCGGAGGGATGAAGTGGTGCAGGCCTCCGACCGACGTCGTGGCCTTTCGCTTGGTCCTGGCCGCTCGCGTGAGGATGATCTTCAAGGCCGATTTCTGTGCCTTCTCCTTCTCTGCTTTTGCCTCGGCCTTACGTTCCTTCTTGGCCGCTTCCTTCTCCAGGTCATCTGCCTGCTTCGCGGTCATGTTGGCCAGGTTGGCGGTGATCGCTTCATCGGACCAGACCTTCGCGTACATTTCCGGGTGCGCCTTCTCGAGCCATGTCCGGCACTTGGACACCGACGAGCCAAATTCACAGTACTCAGGCGGGAAGGTGCATACTTGGCAGTAGACCAACTGCAACGGCACGGGCGCTGTCGGCGCTAGCTGCTCCGCGACTGGAGCTTGTGCAGTGGAAGAGCTGGCCCCTTGAGTGTCTAAGTCTTGAGCGTCGGACATGTTGTTTAACCTTCCAAGAAACAGTACCTGGATTTCCCAGCTGATCCGTTCGTTCGCAGACTCTTCAGCGACAAGACCTTCAGGCTTCAGCAGGTTCTGTTGAGCTCGATGCAAATGATCTTCACCATAAGTGCACGAGGTACATCCAACCAAAGAACCAATCATCGCTCCGTCATTAAATCGCTCCCATTTCCAAAAAAGAACAAATGGAAATTTAAAATAGGGTTATGAGCCATACTTACAAACTGGCACGTGACTTGCCCGTCAGCGTTGCGCACATGGGCGCGCTTTCTCCACTTTTAATACCAGAGGCGCATGCCGACTGGTCAAAGGGCCTCAAATCAATTGGACACTCAAATCGCGCGCCGCTGTCATCCCGCATCTACAAGCTTCTTGAACCGTCGCTGAGGGAGGAGGGAATGGACGAGGCCCGGTCACTGCGCAGACTATCATACACCTGCAGCTTTCTTGGGGTTCCCGTAAAGCTTTGACATACCGGCTGCACGCCGCTCACTTGGACCTGGTTCTTGCAAGTTCTTTCCCTGAGAGTGTCACTCGACGGCCAAGGGAGGAAAGCTATCGCTATGGGGGTGAGTATAGTGTAGTGGCGTATGAGTGGCTGTGCAGCGTCACCGCGCACTGTCTCACCACTGAAGCACCTACCGCACATTGGGGTCACCACAGATCAACTGGATCCTTCTCATCTCGCGCCAAGGCAAGGTACGGCTCGCCAAATGGTTCACCACGCTCAACCCCAAGACCAAATCCAAGATTGTCAAGGATGTCACACAGCTCGTCCTGGCACGGCGAACGCGCATGTGCAACTTCCTGGAATACAAAGATAGCAAGGTCGTCTATCGGCGATACGCATCGCTCTTCTTCGTCACTGGCATTTCGCCCGGGGACAACGAGCTTGCTACGCTCGAGATCATTCACAGATATGTTGAGATTTTGGATCGATACTTTGGAAATGTGAGCGCTCAGGAATGTGGGCCTCTCCTCGCGGCCGCTGTGTGGTCGACTGACGTACCTTGTTGTCTTTCGTATTAACTGCGCGCAGGTCTGCGAGCTCGATCTGTGAGCTCGTTATGTGGTACCCGGATCAGGGTCTCATTTGGTCTGACCGCATTTCTCTTTTCTCCATTCTAGCATCTTCAACTTTCAGAAAGCATATGCGGTGAGCAGTCTGATGTTTGACCGGATGGTGAATTAGACCAAGCTGATCTTCCGCCGTGTCAACCCCACTAACGGAATTCGCGGACAGATTCTTGACGAGCTCATCATCTCGGGTGAGATGCAAGAATCATCCAAGAAATCGGTGCTGCGTGTAGTGTCTCAGAGTGACGGAGTAGAGGATGCAGAGAATTCAGAGGACGTGAGTGACGGGCACTGTTTCCCGTTGTTGCTGTTTAACGTTGAATTTCTGGGAGGGCTGACTCGCCGTCCCGCACTCGATGCCTTGGCAGTCACTCGCACGGATAGGCAGCCGCTCAGGCTAGGATCCATCGCGATTCATGAGAACGCATGCTCCAATGGCCCTTTGACAACCCTTGCCAGCGGGCATTACCAGGTACCATCCTTGATACCATTTTGTAAAATATAACATCGTGCTCGCATTCCAGCATCCAATTCAACTTTTAGATAAGCCACGGAGTAGAGGCATCTGACCGTGCGGCACAAAAGCCAGAGAGCAGATGCGTTCATGCCCGTGAGATATATGGAAATTATGAGCGTCGCGATTATGACGTTACGGCTGCATCGGAGGCCCCGCTCTGCGTGGCATCCCGAACCAAGCACATCCTCACTTCTACATGTCTGCTCGTCCGTAGTGAGTTCAACTTGCGGTGTACGCTCCTCATCCGTCTCGTTCTTATTGAGTAATCTGAAGAAGCGCGTAGCCTTCACGGACAGCCATGTATCTTTTCTTGCAATGGAAGAAGTACTTGAGGCAAATGGAGAGGAGAAGCGCCCACAGTTCCTCGCTACCTGTAGAGGAGCACCGAGCAGGAAGGAACCATTATATTAATGATTATTAGGCAAAGGCGACAACCGACAACGACAACATGGCAAACATGCATCAACAGAATAGAGGCAAGTACTTGCAGATGACACGGCGAACCCCTGCGAAAGCGGGTGGCGGCGCATCGATAGTAAGGAAAACGACTCGAGAAAAGGATAGAAACGAAGAGCGCATCAGGTCGCAGGAGGCCAGCAGGAGCAGGCGTAGGTTAGCCGTCAGCAGATAGAACAGTCGAGTGAGCATGCTAGACAGCAGTCGTCGAGGTGGCAGGTGGATTTGGAAAACTGCAATGGAGTCTACACGGCGTCAGTCATGTGACATAAATAGGGTTAAATGGGGAACCAATCGATTCTATACTGGCAATAGGAGTGCAACACGGATTGATCGCGCTGGATTGCTCGAGTCCTGAAGACAGGATTTCTGCCTTCGCAGCTTTGACACTGATGTGCTGGTGAAACAGGAAAAGCCCGAAGCCCGATGACCGTCACCAGGTCGCACTCTGCAGCGACCCCCAGCAGGTAGTAGAGAGCGGAGCAGTCTTTCACACTGAATTAGCAGAGGGGCAGCGTAGCAGCACCGCCGGTCCACGGCCCTCGCTTTCCCCCGGTCCCCCCAGGCACACGCACTCACGCACGGGTCCAGTCACTGTCTGAAAGACTGCGTAACCCCTCGGCCGGCCAGATCTCTCGCACCGTGCCGGGCGTTCCCCAAGCGCTTCCAACACGCTTCGCTTTCATTGACGCTTTCAAGCTGCTTGTTGCATGTCCCATTCCATCCAGCCAGCCGGGCGACCACCCCGTGCCTCTCGCCGCTCGAATATCTCTCCTTTCATCCTTTCTCTCCTTTTACATCCCCCACTTCATAACCTCCCATCCATCACTCGTTACACTGTCTGACACGTCACAAAGCACACCTCCCCCCTGTCCATTGACACATCTACACTAACGCAAAAATGTCGTTCAAGAGCAAGGACCTTCTTCAGCAGATCAGCAATGGCCTGAAGGGCATGAGCGACAAGGAGAAGAAGGACATCATAAAGAAGGTACATTACGATTCCCGATTCCCCTCCCTATCTCTCCCTCCTGCTTTGCCAGGCGGTTTCAAAAAGCGAGGCAGCGATCGAGCCCAGGCCAAGACCCGGGTTAGCGGTTGTCCGTGCCTGTCTATATGCAGTCGCGTGAGAGGCGCAGTGCACCTGCATGCGCCTGGCTCTTGCGAGCATTGCATACTGTGCATGGCTGCTTACAAGAGCGCCTCGTCACTGCTCGCTGCTGGTTATGCTGAGTTACTAGCTGTCGCTTCGTTCGGCTTTGCTGTACCCCATTCCCCTTCGTCCATCGCTTGATCCCACACTGATCCTGTTTGACTGACAAGCGACTCGATCTCCTCTCATTGGCTTCTAATCGCACCTCACTTCGACTCCTCTCCATCTTTGAAGACCAACGGTGTCTTCGAGTTGCACATCAAGAAGGGCAGTGACGAGCTCGTCTACACCATCGACCTCAAGAAGGAGGGCGAGGCATATGAGGGCAAGGCCAAGGGCAAGGCTGACGTGACCATCAACACTGCCGACGACAGTGAGTATTTTCTCTTGGATTTGTTAAGAATGATTTCTGTCGATAGCGGGCGTGAGGGTTGGTTCGCTTTCGAAGTGGCAAGTTTGGGTAGGCACTTCTGCCAAATAACGCATATACCCCAGCCAAGCCTCACAGTGATCGCGAGCTTGCATTGTGTCACACTGCTATATTGATCCAGGGATCTGAACAGGTTCAGATAGACCTTAAATCACTTCGAATTGTCACTGACCACCTTCCTTCACCACTCCCGCCTTCGGTGTTCACACAGCCTTTATGGACATGGCCGATGGCAAGCTCAACGGCCAAAAAGCCTTCATGAGCGGCAAACTTAAGGTCAAGGGTAACATTATGCTTGCTACCAAACTCGACAGCGTCCTCAAGGCTCAGAAGGCCAAGCTCTAAGGAAAAATCTACCTTGCTTTGTCTGCTCCTTTGCGAGGCATAGCTGTGGACGCTGGCGACACCCAAGAGAGCGAGAGCGCATGCCCTCGTTGCCGCTGGCTGGCCTTTGCTTTTGAATGATCATCTGCAGCGCAATATTCATTCTGCCGTCAACGGATCTGAAAGGGAAGATGTGATATGATGATATGAAGGGAGGATAAATGCTGCGATGACATGGGCGCCCGCCGCTCGCTTCCTCGTTTGTTGCCTGCTTTCTGCGGCTCGGCGGTGTAGTCAGGCTGTATTTTGACCTACAGCACGCGTTTCAATGGACTGTAGGGGCACGGACTAAATGGACACAATCAGTATCCTAAAAGGCCTTGACATAATTGGGAATCATCCATTGCTACAGCGTGACGATGCTGCAGACAAATACAGCCCTGAGGAGGATATTCCTTTGTCACCCGCTCTTTCCTTTTCACTTCTGCGCTTCTTGTTCCGGCCCGCGAACGCCGACAAGTCTGAACCGGATCCGGACGAAGAGCGTGGAGAAGAGGTGCTGCGTGAGGTGGCAGTCGTAGAGTGGCAGATGCCTATAACCTTCCTGCAGCGCGCCCACGCACGCAGTGTAGCTGGCGATCGCAGGCGCGTTCGCATTCGCTTGCGATGCATGCGTTGTCGCAGCGCTGGTTGCAAGCGGCGGAGACGTGACAGCAGCGGCAGTAGCGCCATCGTGGGCGGCAGCAGCGACGGGGTTGCTGCCAGAAGCATCCTCGATGCGCCCAAGGTCGTCCGCATCGTGTGCGTGGACCTGGAAGCGCAGGAAACACAGATCGAGCATGCCTCGTGTGAGCTGCTTCAGATCCAAGTGGGCACTGCTGCCACTTCCGCTGTTGCCTTGACTCTGACTCTGACTTTGATGAGACGTTTCGGCTGGTACTTCGATCGGCACGCTTAGCTTAGCGTTCCAAATCGGATTAAAGCCATTATTGCGCACCACGTCTGTTTGGAGACGTGCGGTGCTCGTGGCAGCGGGAGTAGCAGCGGGCGTAGCAGCGGACGTGGCCGAGGGCGAGGGAGAAAGGGAAGGAGGAGAAGCGATCGTCGCGGCTCCCAAGACGCTCAACGTGGGCTGCGAATTGGCATCCGACAATTCGGAGACGGAGAGTGCAATATTGTCCGCCTTTGCGCCTGGCGGTTGAATCTGCGCGTCCTCTTTCGAGCTGCTGTTTGGATTCCGCGAGTGTCCGGTTCCAAGGGAAGTTGACACGCGTCTCGGCGATGTGTCGGGCATGACCCTGAGCATAGACACAGATTCCACGAGTTCGCTCATTCGCGATGTGGCTGGGGTCCGCGTGGCTGGCTGAGGGCCCCAGCTCTGCGGTGCAAGAAGCGTGACGGAAACAGACGGACTGATGATGTCTGCCTCTTCATCTTTGTCTTTCTCCTTGGTAGCATCCCGCGTCGCGTCGCGCGAACGCGGCAGTTGCTGCGCCGAGATGATATCTAAGTCGACAGCCAGGCGGATCCGCTGCCCTTTGCTCTTGACCAACTCTTTTTCGCGCAGGCCTTCAGGTTTGAGAACGTAGCCGCACCGGCCGTTGCGGATGAACATGGCTTGATTCAGTTCCATGCCCAGGTCTGCCGTCTGCCAATTGAGCGCAACCAGTTGGCAGCCGATCGCCCAAAGATGGTGCGGGAGAAAGTTGGCGCTTTGATGCAATCGAGCGATGCTCGACATGCTTGGGTAGATCCGGCTCAGGTGCGACCGATTGTGTTTGATGAGGTCGTCTGGCGCAGAGCGCACATATTTAAATGCTGTCCTTTCCGAGAAGGATATCATGTGCTCGGGAGCATAGACCTCCTTTTTGTTGATACCTCGGCTTTTGACACCCACGGTATAGATAAGCAGCGATGCCAAAGCAGTCGACATGAGCACTTTCCTCGGTTGACGTTCCTCTGGATGACGTGAAGAAAAGTGGCTGCCGAAGGGGGAAGCACGCTCGCGCAAGTTCAATGCAAGCCCGTCATCAGATCCAGTCGTGTCGTCTGATGCAGAATAGTCTTCCGAAGGAGCGTGCCAAGCTTCTGCCTTTGATTCACCAGCTGCCTCTGCTCTTGCGCGCTCTGCCTCGGCCACGATTAAGTTCTTCGCCTTGATGAGGACTTTTCCCTTGAGCTCTTCGGGGCTTGGCAGGCCGTCAGGGTTCTTGCAAGTTGCAAGCCTCTCCGTCAACAACTTGTCCTTGAGCGTCTCCCGAAGGATTTGAGCCATGACGTCTTGTTGAGCAATGTCGTTGTGTATTTCCATGGAGAGGATAAGCGGGTAAGGCGATTTGGCAAATGCGTACTTCTCAATCGCAGCAATGACGTCTGCGAACGCCACCTTGCCTGTTAGAGTACGCCCGTGGGTAATCTGCGGAGTGTTGTTGGACCCATCCCAGCAATCGAGCTCGACGGAGCGCGCGCCTTGCTGTAGTGCGCGGACATAGCCTTCGACAGTACTGTCCCCTTTCCACTGCCCACCGACGAGATAAGTGTTGTGACTCGAGCTGATGTAGTAGTCGTATAGGGGGCGCTCCATGTCCTGATAAGAATTGCGCGTTGTGTCGAGCTCAGTTGCAGGTCCCACGTCAGCATAAGCACTGGCGAGCAATTCGTTGGTAGTCTTGGCAGACAAGCGCTGCTTGTTCGGAGAGGTCATTTTGAGGTCAGGCATGACCGTCGTGGACTGGTCTACGATGGCCGAGTTGTCCGCGGACAACAAAAAATTTGAGAATCCCTCCAGCGTTAGAAGGCTCGACTCAAGGTCGGCGTGTCGATCGTAGAGCCTATCTAGCTGACCCTCATCCAGAACAACCTATACGGACGTGATCCGAGTCAGACACGACGTAGACTTTTGTGGGCAGATAAGTCACTTACCCTCTGCTCGTCCTGCAAGAACCTCCGAAATGCTTCGCGAGTCATAGGGTGGCTGGTATCCTTGGTCTGGCATGTCTGCCCAGTTTCGCAGGTCACCAAGTGAGATTGAGAATAGCAGTTAAACAGAAGCTCAAGCTCGGAACGTCTCTTCAGGAGCTTGACAAAGTGTTGAAATGCCGCAAAATCCAAGTAGCCCTTCTTCTGTTGGTCTGCGCCTTGAAATCTCCGTTGTAGGTCCGCTCGGCTGCTTTGGATGCCCAAACGCTTGCAGAGTTTGAAGATTTCGTTCAAATCGAGTTTCTCGTCTTGCGTCTGGCTGTCCGCATCTTTCCACTGCTGCCGTAGCCAAACGCTTTCCTTGCCCTGGGAGCCGCTGCCATCGCCCAGCGTGTCCAGACCAAGAAGAGCGCACCGTGCACTCTGCAGAACTTCCAATCCAGTCTTCCATCGAGCAAGAGATTCATCGGAAAGGGCAATGAGATGGAGCGCCTTATATTCGCCAGAGCGCTGATAGATGATCGATACCCAGCGCGGCTCATGCGAGGGAGAGATAGACAAAGATGATCGGTATGCCGCTGCCGCAGATGCCCACCTGACTTCACATATGCTCTCCAGATTGACTGTGATGGAAGATGTGTAAGGGTCAGTCGATCTCAAGAATGCTCGGCAGAAAAACTCGCCCTTGTTTTGCTTCTTGCTGTCCCATAGAATCTGCCCTCGATCAGCGTCCAATCGGAAGTTCCTTTGCATAACCTTCTTTGATGTGACTTTGAGCATGGGCTCCCCAGCTTGCAGTTCTTTCGGTACGCGGTGCGGAAGGTCCAAGAGCGAGGCGCTTGGTCCCGCCGCACAAGCAGCTCCTTGGGCGACCTGCTCAGCCAGGCCTTGACCTTCCAGCCGACCTCCTTGTGGGACACCAGCCGAGCGCAGCAATAGCTCCGCTGTGTCCAAGCTCTCTACGCAAGCTGCAACTGAGCTACCACTGGGTGTCCTGCGTTGCTCGACGCCGGCATTGTCACGCATGGACTTGAAAGTCTGGGTTGCGTCCCTGTGCGCTTTGATGGATTGCGCGCCATGCGCAAGCACATTTTTTAGACTGTGACCGCTTGCGTTCCCGCCTGCTGAGCTTGACGCGCTGGATGGTCTGCTTGTTCGTGAGGACCGCCCGACGCTCGTAGACCGGCCTTTCGTTGCCGAGGATGCCAGACCTGGTATGACCGGTGCATTTTCTGCTCTTTCAGTGACCGAGGGCTCGATGGCTGTTGGAGATGCCGACAGGGCATTGGGGGCAAAGAGTGAGTCTGAGGAAAGACTTTCACGCCTGCCACGTTGAATGTCAACCGGTGGAGTGCTCCCGGTCGGAGCGAAGAGGCTGAAGGATGATGACCTTGGGGATGGAGTCGAGGGCCTTTGATCCTGTTGCACAAGTCTCGCGTCATCATTACCCTTGAGCCATCTTGCGAATGTAGATTGCCAGCCACCGCGCTCCCTCGGCCGCTCTGTGCTGTCTTCAGACTCGCTTGGTTCACGATGTGTCGACATATCAGATTGCTACACCAGGAGGGCGCCTTAGAGCCGCGCCCCATGCTCAGCGTTCACCGTTGCACCATCCCTGCAATAGGAACGTATTGACCAAATCGCACCGATCTTGGTCACAGATCAGGGGTTGCACGGTCTATAAGGGTAAGCTTTTGCTTCCTCCCTGCATTTACGAACGAGCCTGTGAAGATGTCTATTGCAATTGCACTGCTTTTCAGCACATGTTGCAGCGACAGTTTGAAATCTCTTGGCCGTGGTCTGGGGAGAGTCAGGTGAATTCCTCCCCGCGTCATCTTCACACAAGCTGATCGGCGCGTAACGCGTCAACGCGTTGATCTCGGCGATCAACCCTCTTCAAGCAAAGACTGGGATGGTGATTGCTGAGAAGCACGGCCACCAGGGACAGCAAACAGGCAAGGCCATAATTAAATAGCAACAAGGCACAAGGACTCGCAGTAGTCATAAACAGGCCAATGTCGCGCACAACCGGGGAAAGTCCGTCTACGGTGACGTGCCCCAGCTGTGGCAAGGAAGTCCTTCTCGATGCATTGAACGGGCACCTTGACTTGTGTCTCGAGACCATTGATGGATCTAAGCCGGATCCATCTCCGCCGTCCGTAAATAGATCCAGCCAGGATGCCAACGGTACGTGCCGAATACCGGGAATTTTTGGAGGGCGAGGCAATAGGGCTCCAACTGCAGCGCAACCTTCTGCTCAGAGCTCTTCCAAGCGCGGGCACGACGGTGAAGCTGATGCTCCCAACCGAGGCACCAAAAGGCCGACTTTCCGGTCTGTTGATGTGAACTCAAGTATTGAACCGCTTCAGCCAGGTGCAAGCACCAGCAAGGTCGGGCCACCCCCTTTAAATCAGCCGAAATTGGCAGTTAACAGCTCCAAACAGCGCATGATTGATGCGCAGCCGCTCGCAGAGCGCATGCGCCCGACCCATCTGGATGAATTCACGGTGGGTGTTGCCCCGTCCGCCTTAGAGACCACCTTCCGTTCCGAACTCACCATCACATTTTGCTGACAGGGTCAAATGGAAGCAGTCACTGCGCTCAAAGGGTTGATGAGGCAACGCAGACTCCCGTCCATGATCTTCTGGTCGCCACCTGGAACGGGCAAAACGACTCTGGCGCGTGTGTTGGCAAACGAAATGTCTGCTATGGGGTTGCCGTATCGCTTCGTCGAAGTTTCTGCGACGACTACTCATACGAATGATATCAAGAAAATATTTGATGAGTCTGTGAATAGGCTGCAGTTGTCCGGCCAGCGTACCATCCTCTTCGTGGATGAATTTCAGCGGATCAACCGTGGGCTGCAAGATATTTTCCTGCCAGCAGTCGAGAGTGGACGCATCACACTGATCAGTGCAACGACCGAGAATCCATCATTTCGAATCGTGTGAGCTTCGCATTGGGGGGAGCGAAAGATGCCCGTTCTTCGCTAAGGTTTACATTCGTTCACAGCGGAGCACTGTTAAGCCGAATGAGAGTACTTGTGCTCAAAAAGCTCAGCGGTGAAGATCTATTCAAGATACTCGTGAGAGCTCGTGACAAAGCCTTTCACCTCGGTATCGCACTGGGCGCGGTCAGCGCCAACGCTGTCGCTCCTTCAGATCCTGTATCTACGACTCGAAAAACGCGGCCACGAGACGAAGTTCTCCGGTATATCGCCGCAAATGCTGACGGTGACGCGCGCTCAGCTTTGAACAGCCTTGAACTGGCCATGGCAGTCACGCAAGATTCAGACGAAGAAGAGGATCCACAGGCGACAATTCAGCGACTAAAAGGCGCCGTGCGATCTGCATTGCAGTACGATCGCAGCGGCGACAACCACTATGACACCATCTCTGCCCTTCACAAGTCAATAAGAGGGTCGGACGCCAATGCGGCCATGTACTGGCTCGCACGTATGGTGGAGGCTGGAGATGACCCGCTTTACATCGCTAGAAGGCTCTTGGTTGCAGCCTCGGAGGACTGCTGCGGGTGAGCAGGCAGCTTGCTCGTCTAACGTACGAATGGAAAGTCTGACGATCTAACGACTCGAGTAGAAACCCGCAGGCATTACAAATGGCAACAGCAACGTACATGGCAGTGCAGGTCGTCGGGTTGCCAGAAGCCTCTGAGAACCTTGCGCAATTGGTTCTGTATCTAGGTAAGTTTGGCTTACCTCGCGTTCTCTTAGCTGATATCACGATGAATTCGCTGATTGCGTACCTTGATGTTAGCCGAAAGTCCGAAGGATACTAGAGCTTACAGAGCATGGCAAAGGGCCAGTCAGGCAGTCAAAGACGAAGCAAGCGTGAGGGCTTGTGCCACTTTCATACATGTGCTTCAATGACCAGATACCTTCTTCACGACAGTATCCGGTACCTCTTCACATACGCAACGCTCCCACAAAGCTCATGAAAGATCTGGACTACGGAAAGGAGTATCGCTATGAGCCCCGTTACCTTCATCCTATCGTGCAATCCTTCCTGCCTCCTGGTAAGTCCCTCCAGTCTGACAGACGATGTTCGCGTAGTGCTGAACAACGCGTCTTGTTTCAGAATTACAGTCACGCCGATTTGTTTCTCCAGAACCAGGAGCAACATTACTGCAGGGAGAAGGCAAGGGCAGGGGGAATGCGGCGGTCATGCCCTCGGCGCCGATAGTGTTGAGGGCACGGGACGGTACTGGGCCTGCCGCTTGTCAGCGCATCTTTGAAGCAGGCAGTGAGTTACACGAAGGATTAGCGTCACTTAAAAGCTTGAGAGCCTGATCACCTTTGCATACAGGCCGCGTGGTTGACCTTGATTTGCTCGAGGAATGGGAGCGAGAGAAGAACGATGGGCATCCTTGGGAGGGAAGGAAGCAGCTCATTGGCCAAATCGCGCTTCCCACCCAGAGAGATGGGGATTCATGACTCAAATGCATGTTTCCGAATGTCCTTTTTTCTCGTCACGTTACATGACTGACGTCACCTAAACCTTCTCAGACTGCTCAGCTGGTGGCTCCCATCGAACGCTCCATTGATCGTATGGGGCGAATCGATCGACAGCAAAGTAGTCCGGCAGATATCGCGGGAAGTACATGTGCTGGTTGTACACCATCGCTGTCGGCGCGTAGAAATGCCACGGGTATCTGTTAAAGGAAATGGTCAATCAGTTCCATTGCAGGTTGAGGCGCGTGCTTGAACACTCACTGCCAGGAGAGCGGCAGACTGTCGTTGCTCATCCTTTGCGGACGGGGGTCCGTATCCGGATCCAGCTGGTAGCCGATCGGTGGGATTCGCAGCTTGATTGTCTGCAGCTCTGTGTCGGATACGGTGAATCGACTGACTCGCACATAGCCGACACGCTCAAGCGCACGGAAGCCGATGTATTCGCACCATCGATCCATATCGGTCGGGCTGTAATTGCACATCACATTAGACGAATCAAGACATTTGCACATCGATCACGGCACTCACTCCACATCTTGAATGCGACCGTCTTCGAACAGAATCTTATAAGGCGAAGGCCTCTCCGCGTGTGGCTTGGTAACGACGTAGCCGAGGAACAGCGCGGGGTTTGGCCACGCGTTCGAGAAAAGCTCCGCTATTCGCTTAGTTTGTAGCTCGCGGTCAAGAGGGTCTGGGGGCAAAGGCAGGACTCAGTGGCTGGGCAAGAGGGTTTTCCACCGCCTGGTGCTCACCCTCTTCTTGTCCATTATGGCTGACTATGACTTGCGTCTGAACCCCATAAATGTCGAGCCATGCCTCGATCGCAGGAGCGAGCTCGCCGTGCGGCGAAGGCAGTAGATGGTGTGTAGAATTGATGATGGGGAACTTGCTGAGCAGAACCGCACCCCAGGTATGGCCCTTGGGCGACGGACCGATGTCCGCATACATGCCCATTTCCTGTGATAGCCACTGCGTCAAGCTGTGAACCGAGGGCGCAAACATGAGTAGCACACTCGTAAACATATGCCCTGGGCCTCAATCCCGTATAGTACGCACTCTCGATTTCCGTAAACGACGCGGTGAAGATCCGTTTCAAGCATTCCAATAATGTCGAGATCCATCTCCTTGTAGATGCTGCTGAGTCTACGCGTGGAGTCGTACAGGTGCTGATCGTGTCCAAAGTGTACTGTATGGATCCCGGCAGTGACTAGTCGCTCTTCTGGATGGCTCGTCGGGGTGACTGCGACCTTTCTCCAGAACGGCACCGTCGCTGAGGCAAGTACGGCAGCGACAAGTCCGACCAGTAGTGCATTGAAGAAACGGGAGTCCTTGTTTTTGGTGCTGTCAAGGCTCCTAGTTCTGTAAGCAACCGGTTCTTCCTTTGCCTCTGCCTCAGGCTCCTGCCCATCAGGCTTGCAATAGAGAAGCGAGAGCCCCACGAAGGCTTGCTGAGCACATAGCATCAGCCATGTCTTTTCGCGCATCATCGGGCCTATAACCGGTACGAAGGCATACGCGACCGTTAAAACCTCGAAAAAGACCATGATGCTTGCAACAAGCCATGCAGCTGCTGAGATGCGAATTGGGTTGAACTGCATGGCGAATTGGAGGATAGGATGCATGGTGATTGGCAGCCAGAATGCTATGGGTAGCGCGCCGAGGAGAAAGGCTGGCCAGTCATTAAGCTTCAGCAAGGCATAGAAAGCCGCGCATCCCAGAGCAAAGAAAGCTGGGTGTCTGGCGAGTGCGCTTCCTGTTGGTCCTGCGGACAGCTTGTGCGCCAGCAACACCGACATAGCCATCAAAGCGATGACGAAGCATCCATGGGTGAGCGCCATCGGGCCCTTCACAGGGTAGCCAGTCCACGTCCAAGCGATCATGGTTCCGCTGTCGCTGATGAACATGGGCAAAGCGTAGAGCATCGATCCAAGGCCAAGTGCTGCGACAGTCCCATGCAAAGGGTTGCGGGGGGTGCGGAAGCGCCTCTTGATTGCAGCAGGCATGGTTTCGGTAGGACGGAAGTAGAGTTCGCAAAGAGCGGCAAGCGCAAGGGTGAGGCCAATGAGATTCTGGCCACCATTGCTGTTGTTCATGAACACCCAAAGTGGGTGATTAGAGTGGTTGGCATACTTGGCGACGTTGGTGATGAGTAATGCAAATAGCCATGCTGTACACCGCGAGCATGATATATCAGTCGGAGCAATGCTCATGCAGCGAATCTCACAAACACTCACTGGAGAGCTTTCGATTCAGAGTACCAAGCTCCCAAGCCCTTCCCCATTCAACAGCAAGCGCAATGCTACCAAGGCCGGCGCCAAGAATGACGAGTAAGAGTCTGCCATGCTGGCTACTCCACCACCAGCAGGCCATGCTCGGCAGGGTGAGCGCGTGCAGCAGCGCAAGTGTGCTACTAGAGATCAAGCCCACATGCCCATCATTTCTCACCAACGCTTTCCGTATCGGCCACAAGAGCAAAAGTAGTCCCAGAGCGAAGGCTTGTGATAGCACAGCAGCTTCTTCGCCACCAATGGACAAATTGTAGACTGAGAAGAAGAAGAGTGTTGGTAACAGGCCAGTTGTGTTCGTCCAGAAGACAAAGTCTAAAAGTTACGGATAGCATCCGGTGAGCAATCAGCGAGCCTCGTGGAAGCCGTAGATTCCAAACCGTGCACGCACTGAGGTACACATCCGACGCAAAGGCGATCCATACTCTTGTGGGACCCATTTCGGCGGCTGTGTTGTGCCCCTTGAGCTGCTCGTCTACTGCATTCTCGCTTGAACTTCGCCCTAAGCGAGGCAACAGCCGCCTGGTTCTCAAGATATTCATGTCAGTCTTGTTCTTCTTACAGGCACTATTTCACATGTTTACTCCTGGCCCATCAGCGCTTAATGATGTGGAGAGGAAACGGTCGTGATGCGTACCCTAGTGTCTCACTTGCATTCCAAGCTCCGGACGCGATAGCCTCCTGTGGGCCGCCGCGTATGAACGCACCGTCCACAAGGTCTTTGAGACGTAAGGGGCCATCAGTCTTTGATGGCTCAGTGGCTTCGACGATGTGAATCTCCAAGCGGGACAGATCGTAAACGCTTGCCGCGTCAAATAGAAGGTCCTGAAAGTGAAACCCGGAGCCAGAATGAGGCTGAATATTTAGCGAATCGAATGTACGCAAGTGAAGCAAAACTCACAAATACAATCAACCCCCACTCTAAGAATGCGTAGTGCGTGTAGGCTCCGGGGATCTCGAGGACCTTGTGGCGGTAAAAGAAGAACACCATGAATGGAATCATGCCAAAGAATGCTGCAGCTGCAATCTTGCGCAACCTGTTACCCTTGTTTAGCCTTACTTGACTCTCGGCTGTTGCGTCGCCCCTCTGTGGATTGGCAGGAATCGAGAGCGATAGGCTCGTACCAGAAATGTACATCCAGGCTGGTGTGAGAAGCAAGTAAGCAACCATGGCCATATCGTGGAAGTCATGGTCGTCTGTCGAAGTGACATAGACCCAGCCTCCACACGCAAAGGTGCGCGCCGTTCCGGTGATAGCCAGAATGACAGCGCGTCTGGAATGGGACGGGCTCGCGAGGGACACGAGGAGAGCCGAAAGGAAGACTAGAGCGAAGCGCGGACCTTGGGGGGAACAAGATGGGATTCACCGTGAGCGCTTCGACATGCAATTTTTGCAGGAGAAGTGGAAAGCATACCACTCATAAGAGCGATCCCAATTTGGAAGACGTTACGCTCCGGATACCAGTCTCCGCTATAAACGCAAAAGTGATCAGCATTCGCCCCATCATCCAGGCCGACAAATGACTCACATTGTCGCACTGACGCTAGGCCACCACTCATCCGGCCAGCCTGCAATCCCATTCTTGACGACCTGCTTGTAATGCCAGCCGAGCGCGAGAACGAGAGCACCAAAGAATGAGAGGAAGCCAAGCACGGTGTGCAGGTAGGACACGAGCGCCCCGGAAATCGTGACCAGCGGTGTTCGCCCTCGTTGGTTCAGGTCGCAAGGCATTGCAGCGCTTTACGGAAGAGGCATGAACTGGCCGCACCAGCTGCATCCGTGCATGTACCGCAAGCACTTGTGTCTACGAAAGATGGGTCTTGAGAGGTCCGCTGACTCCACTGTCGAAACATGTCATTCAGAAGGTCGATGTTTTCCCCATTCGTTGTGAACGGTTTACGTTGAATTGTTTACACTCACATGTGGCGCCTAAATCCGGCCTTAGGGTTATATATAGCCTTGGAACCCCCCGCAGGCTTTGTCTTGGCCAGCCCCACTGCCGCTTTCGTTATCTCTGTCGGCAAAAGAGGATCGATACCGTGATTGCCGGGCCACTTTTGGATGATGGTCCTCTTTCGAATACATCTAGATACGATCCAGGATTGTTGGAGGGCAAACGTGATATTCTTCATTTGCTGCGCTAGGCTACTCGACGAGAGGAAAATTGAAGTTTTTGTGCCCATTGCACAGGTCCTGAAGCGTGGAGCCACCGATTCGTCAAGATTGACCCGTGCAGAGCTTGAAGCAGCGGGGCATGTGATTCTTTGTGCAGTGCACAATTCCCCTGTCGCGTTTGATCTCGATAAGACGCTAGACAGTCGAAATACTCGCCGCCGAATCTTCCACGAAATGCCTTCAAGGGTATGTATACGATGCGCCAATTGCCAGTGTATTCCCTGAAGCTTTCGTCAGCGCGTAACCACGAGGGATGAATGTAAGCACGACACATTGTCAGCTTTGGCCACTCCGTGGTGTCATCTGCTAGTGTGCTGATTTCGCACTGTACTGGTCTGTCCAGTTCGGCACGGTAATCTGATCTCGCATGCCAGAGGGGAGGGCTTGGTTCGCACGGTACCACGCCTCGTCAGTGCCCGTTACTGACGTGCATGACCCATTCATTCGTTGGCTGCGGCCCGGCGCCTCTGACAATAACATCGATCTCGTCATCTCTGTGATCGAACGGTGTGACGAATCCGTATTAGGAACATCGCGCAAATTTTACGGTAGAAAAACGCTCAGTGGTCAAGATACGCTGTTCTGCTCGGCATTTACCATCAACCACAAGGGCGAGCTGCTGGTCAACCACTTCAACCTGAACCTACAGACTCGGAGAGGCTCGTCTTGGGACAAACCGACTGCACTTGTGTGCATGTAGCCCGTACCCCTGCGAGCAGGGTCGGTGCGGTAATAAGGTGGGTGTCATACATGCCACTCTATCGGATGGCTCTTTACAACGAGAGGTTAGAGATATACCACGCTTCAACTGCAGTTTGCAGAGAGACTTGGACCAGCAACATGCGCCACATCGCTGCTGACGGGCGGTGTTTTGTTGTGTCATGCGGCCAATCCAATCTGCGACCCGAATTATAGGTGCTCGCACACAGTGAGTGTGAAAAATAGTACCGATTACGGAGTAGGTTCGACTCCATTCACAGCCCCGAAAATTATCCGGTATAGAAATGTGAACTGGAGTATCAAGGCCACATCCTCTCAGTCCCACTCACTGACTTCCTCGTTTGACTTGAGAAGAGGCTCATCAAACAGACATTATCATGCGTGGAGATTAGGCCTTCTGCGGGTCACTGTGCAGAGCCCTTCGCCGAGCGTGGCAACCTGTATCAAAGTTCGACGCTCTCAGATTGCAGAAAGCAGTATTGACGTTCCTTCCGGCCATTATGCTAGTTCTGGCAGGGATGTTTTCATTAGAACGACAGAGCAGTGTGCCAGTAAGGTGAGCGGAAGCGCTAACTCTGCGCGCTTGCTTAGTATTCTCGATGGCTTTCGACTGAAGTAGCAAGTCAGCTGTGGTCTGATTGAAGCAGCGCATAGCAGCCAGGAATTCGCGGTATGGGGCCGTGAATGAGTAGGTAACGCACGATGGCCCCAATCTTGCTATGAATTCATGCGCGGAGCGAGAAACGGGCGTATCGCCTTTTGTTTACAGGAGTTTGGTATCTGCCTCTAAAATGACCACCCGCCAGAGCAATGCCGTTGGTGCTTCCCACTATAGCCACAGCGCATCCGTCAAGTCAGAGCAGCGGGAGCGTACCGACGCATCTTCTACCATTTCACTCTGAGACTGTGAGATGGGAGACACCAGAGACCATGCGGCCGACGGTTTGAGGAAGCCCCGAAAAGTCGTTTTGCATTGGAGCGCTCCAGCTTGTCAGCTGCCGTGTGGGTACCATCATGTCTATATACGGGTCCATCAGCGCGCAAGCTCCCATCCAGGCATTCTCAACCTTTAGACGAGCCACGACTGACTTCAGTTCCGCGTGTGGAGATGACCGCGTGTGTGCAGTTGTGCAGGTGCGTGCGCCTGTGTGACCGGTTTTGTCGATGTGCGTAAAGAGTTAGGTGTGACTGAGTATATAGTCTCATCAACATCTCGTCAAGCGTTTCTCTCAACGAGGATCTGAGTTGATTCTCAACCAATTCAGCACCCGAGGCATTAGAGTCTCTGGTATTTGTGTTAATCATTCGAAATCAAATGTGCGCGACGTGTAACCCTACATTCCCACACTACGCGAGTGGGCGTCACGCCTTTGCAATCGCAACACTGAACCATTTCGCCGTACTTGCCTCAAAACGCGTAGTGCACCCATCATGGCAATGGCTAGCCAGTGTGCTGACCGGTTGTTTGTTGCGCTGGCGGCAGCTCTAAGACATTTCTGATAGTGTTTATTAGTGTTGGCTCAGACTGCAGCGGTGAAATGATACCGGCGGCGCGCCGCTCCAACAGGAGTTTTCAGAAGTCAACCAAGCAAGGAGCCCCTCTCTCTCCCGCTTCAGTATCAACGAAAGATGCCATCGCTGTAGAGGATGAGCGGCGTCTATAGCAAGCGCTAGCAGTATTCGAGCCTGTGGAGATACCCAAAGGACCTATTCAAATTTTGCATGCGAGCACCAATCTTGGAACAGACAAGAGTTACCGTGCCCGCAAGATGCGCGAAGGGAGAGAGACTTGTTGAACTGCGCACCATCGCCCCATGGCTGGATAGGTGGGCCCGGCGATGAGCTACTCTAAGTATTGTACTCACTCTATTCAGAAGAATTGGAAGCTGCTGGTTACCCTTCAAAGTACGCATTCAGCCCGGTTGGGGATCGACTCCTTCTCAAGTGCGCCGACGAGTGGGGCATCCCAGTTTCCTCCAATCTGGTCGCCATTCTCAATCAAGCTGCGGCGACGGCGCCTGGCAGTCCGAAAAAAAAGAGAAATTTCAATGATGCACCAGAGATCGTGCTAGAAGCATAAGTGTGTACAGCATGTTTGTCTTCAGAAGATCTGCTCAAGGCCGGTCCATTGGTAGCAAAAGGATCAGACCGCAAGGAAGTGCTCAAAGTTTTTGCCAAGATTCCACGACACCATGCTCTCAAGGCCGAGAGGAGGGTTGCTGAGGAAGAGAACCTTAAGAAAGAGGTCGCCAAAAACCGGTTCTTCGCAGTTGCTGACTTAATCGCTCAGTACTTGCATGAAGGCACACGTGTCTCGTTATCCCAGAAGGGCATTCAATGACAATTACCCCATGTTCGCTCTTGTCGTGCGCAGCGCCCAACGGCGCCCAAATCGCCATCTGATGTGGAGCTCTCAGTCTTCGCTCACGCGCAAGTTGAATTTGATCGAGCTGAGCGCTTCGTCATGGCTGCTAATGCGTTCGGCCAGTTTCTGGACGATTACTCTCACGCACAGTCCCTTTGCTGGGATATCAGAGCGGCTGTCAATATGTACACCACGCCTGACGATCCGAATTGGGAGTCGAAGCGTGCTGTGATGTTGAGAAAACATGGCATTGGTTCACAATTCTATAAGAATTACCGCGAAATAAACCCAAGCATCACGGCTCGACTTGCGGAGGAGCCTGGGGAACGAAAAGTAACAGGCACGGCCAGCCGCAAAGGCAAGGCAAAAGCCAAACGAGAGGCGCTTCTCGAAGTTCAAGAAGACACGTGTACGGCTGCTGGCCGGCTTGAAAGTCCCGTCTTTGGATACATCGACCTCGATGGCATCGCACCACATCCGCTCGCATTTGTCAACCAAGACATGGAGGGTCGCGGGTGGTTGACATTCAAAGGGAGGATCTCGCTGCGTCCGCCTTTCACAACCTCCACCGCTTTCGACACTTGTGCACTCGATTTCATGAACTCGGTGATCACTTTATCAGGCTGGGATCGACATCGAGCAATGCAAAGATTTTGTGAAAGGAGCGCACCAGCCATGACTGGACACCTGAAAGCTGACGTCTCTCTGACTCCGGAAGCTCTGCAGTACGGCACTCTTCCGCTCGACAATCCATTTGTCGAATTCAGAGCAAAGAAAAAGCATGACATGGCAGCCAAGGTTCCTCTCGCTTCCTCGGCCGCGATGCGAAAGCTTATGAACGCTATTTTGAACCGTCCGAGTTCGCTCCTCGAGATCGACACTACGGCTAGTTACTGGTCTCAGTCTCCCAACAAGTTTTACACACTGCCGGAGGAACCGAGGCGAATTCCACAGGACGCGCAGGCCCTGGCGTCCAACAAGACGACGAGAGGTCGATCCGGCCTCAAGACGGGGGCAACCGTTCTGCTCGATCCATGCAACAATTCAGTTGCCGGAATGTCAGAGGGCGACCTGCGTGGAGACCAAGATGAAGAGAAGCTCGACAGCATGATGACATCTGATCAGCTACCTTTCAATAACAGCACGAAGCTTCTTCTCGAAGCTTGTCGACCTGCTTCTGATCACGAAGAAGCTACTCCTCCGGCCGGCTCACTCAACTCGACAATGCTGCTGTACCAAAGGAAGGCTCTTTCGTGGATGCTGCGTCGAGAAAGACCTATGACCGAGGACTCAGAAGCCCGGACCTTCCCTGGTTGGACGGCACTTCGCGCCAAAGTGCCCGAATCAGCCGATCAGCACCAGTCGAAGAGAGTCAAGGCGGAAAATAATGACGAAGGAGCCGTGTCAGAGAATTCTACCGGCCTACCTGGCAAATGCGGGACATTCTACTTCGAAGAAGTGACCGGCATGCTCAGTGCAAAGCGTTTCAAAGCGCATCCATTGCAACCTGGTGGACTTTTAGCCGATCAGATGGGCTTGGGCAAGACTGTTGAAATTCTCGCTCTCATCGCGTCCAACCCGCGGACTCCGGACTACTGCGACATTTCAAGGTCTTGGCAAATGGCTCAAAAGATGGCTCCCGAGCAGTGTCCATTGCTATCAAAGGCCACCTTGATCATCGTTCCTGCTGCTATCGCCGAGCAATGGCTCACAGAGATCCACAAGCATTAGGCCGGACCATCGGAAAAAGTCTTGATGCTCACGGTGAACACGATCCCTTGGTCTATACGCAGTTATCGGGAGGAGATCCGCGAAGCGTGCAAGCAGCTCCAAGACCTGGACATTGTTCTGACAACTTACGAATTCCTGACTTCCGAGCTCAGGTTGTGCAGCCGGATCACCTTCTCTCAATCGACTCCGCGCTCCTGTCCGCTTGAGGTGCTGTGGCATAGAGTCGTTGTGGATGAGGCGCAGATGATCTCGCATTCAACCGAAAAGGTCGCAGGCATCTGCAACGAGCTTTGGCGTACAAACGGATGGTCATCTACGGGCACACCAATCACACAAGGCGTATCAGACCTGCACGGCTTGCTTGTCTTCCTCGATCATGATCCTCTCGCATCGGCCCGGCACTTTAAGACTCTGCTTGAGATCCCATTTGAAAAGGCCGACGCGCTTGGTATCTATCGCATGCGCTCTCTGCTCCCTCGTTTCATGTGGCGTCACACGAAGGACCATGTGCGGGATGAACTCGACTTGCCAAGCAACGAGACAATCTGGCTGGACCTCAAGATGACGGGCTTGGAGCACACCCTCTACAGCAAAAATGTCGCTGAGTTCCGCAAGAAGTTCGTGCATGCCATCAGATCAGGGCGCACGCCAGACCTCACTTCCGTCAACTCACTACGCCAGCTCGTCTCGCATCCTCAGCACTCGGACGACTTCGGCTCAGATGCGCGCCTCAGTTTTTTGCAGCTCTTTGACCGTCTACTCGAAAGGAATGAGCGCGCTTTGCGCACGCGCAGGGCGCACATCTGCACGCTTACCTTGCAACTTGCATTTGGCGTTCAGTTTTACTCGAATTTGAAGGGCCAAAAGTGGGATGGTGGCGAGCCTCCGAGCGACGACGAGATGCGGAGGTTGTTTTGATGGGCGCTCAACGTCTGTGATGACGAGCTTCAGGCAACAGAAGAGCGCAAAAAAGCCGAAGCAAATGCTGCGCATCAAGAACAGAAAGCGGCGGTGGAACATGCCGAGGAGTCCACAGATGCCCCGATAGGTTATGCTCCTGATCAGACCAATCATGATGCGTCGTCTGCCGATGTGCAATGTCCAAATGCTCAACATCTTTCTGGCGAACAAGGTGAAAGTGCTGCAGCTAAGCATGGGACAGATATCGAAGCCATGAGAGCAATGGCGCAAGAGTTCACCTTTGAAGAGATGCGATACTGACTTGACACAGCTCTTGACGGTAACCCAGACCCGCCCATGCATTTCAATCCAGAGCGCCAGACTCTACTGTTCTACGAGAAGATCTATCGCGATGCTTCTGAAGCAGACTTGGAAAATCCGGAGTTCCATCTCGTTGATCGCGATGCAGGCTCAGAAGAAGTGGGGCCAGCAGCCAATGGGTTCATCTTTGACAATGCGGTTGTGATGAGGAACCGGCTCAGAGGGGTAAGTCGACCCTGGCCGAGCAGGAAGATTGCTTGACTGACTGAGACGGCTTGGCTTGTAGGGCGCCACAGGACGTCGCGAACAGATTGGCTGGATCCTCAAACCGCGGGCAAAGATGGATCGCCTAAAGAATGAACTGGTCACCCAGCATGAACAGCTTGATGCCACCACTCGCGATGTGCGGTACCTACGCAATCGGCCTCGCGAAGAGGCGAGCAGCGCTTCCACTAAGGGCAATGGCACTGCTCGTGTCTGTTAAATCTGCCTCGAAGCTAAGGAGAATGGCAGCGGACTCAACCTCACCTTCGGCGTCTTGCCATGCTTGCACTCGTTTTGCGTACAGTGCGTAGAGCGCTTGGCTGGGAGGAAGGAACCTGTTTGCCCAAACTGCAGAATGCCATTCAAGAAGGCTACTTTTGTGCAGGTTCGTGAAGAAGCCCAGGTAGTTGAAGAACAGAATGATGAGGAAGATGATGGAGAAGACATACAAGGTGACTACGGTGCCAAGATCCGCGGAATTATCCGAGACCTCAGAGCGCGCCTATCCATGGTCGGGACTTGTAAAGCGGTGGTCTTCTCGCATTGGAGAAAGATATTGCAGTATGCCCACGAAGCTTTCTTGCAGAATGACATTTCGGCGGCATCCTTTACCAGCAGAGAGCAACAACAGTCGAACGCACTTCAGTCCTTCCGAGACCCTGATGGCGTGCGTGTGTTGCTCGTTCCCATGAGAGCTCATGAGGGGGCGGCAGGCCTGACACTAACCATGGCAAACGTCGCTTACGTTCTTGAACCCAGCCTTGATCCGCGCCTTGAAGGGGACACGTGCTATAGAAAGACTGAAATTGTTTTAATTAAAACTGACAAAGCGATTTTTGCCCATGCGCAGCGCGCAAGCCATGGCGCGTATCTCTAGGATCAGACAGACGCGCGTAAGCAAACAAATGGTCTGTTTAGCCGAGCTCTAGTCATTGCTGACATGCTAGTCCCAAAGTCAGAACACGACGACCATCCGCGTCCGGATGAAGAACACGATCGAAGAGGAAATTGTCGAGATCGCTTCGCGCAAGACGAAGCAGACCGACGTCGCCACAGGCGGCAAGTACCGGGACGGCTTGACACTGGACGATCTGGCGAAGATCTTGGGTGTCAATATCGTCAAGGAGCGCGAAGAGGCGAGACTACACAGGGTCCAGCGGCGTGCCGAGGTCCAAGCCGCACGAGAAACGGCTTGGGGCCGCTTCCAAGCTGCCATCAATCGTAACTAGCTGGCCGCAGAGGGCGCCTTATCAGTACGAGAAGACTTTAATGAAAAGCCGATTTTAACGAATATAATATCTTCACTGCTTTACGCAAAATTGCGAATCGGTCATGTAGCAATAGAGTAGCATTGCATTCTTTCACGCCGAGCGTTTTGGCTCAAGATTCTCGTCCACAAGTTTTTGCGCAGCAAGGTCATCCTCTTCCAATTGTTGAGCTTCCTCCTCGCTCAGCTCTTCTGCGGCTTCCTCCAGCTCCCCTTCTTGGCCTTCTTCTGCGCTTTCCCCCCACAAGGCATCTTCCCAGTCGTCGTCAAAGTCCTCCTTGAGGTGGAAGACAGCGCCACCGAGCTTCTCCTCGAGCCACTCTACAGCTCCCAGGTCCAAGATGAGCTTCTTGCGATGAAGCACCTCGTATGCGTGCAGCTCGCCAGGCTTCTTGAGCTGCTCGGGCTTGCGAGCGGCGAGGTGCGCCTCCTTGGTAAGCTCCTGCAGCTCGATCAGCTCAACTTTAGGTATGTTGCCCAAGGCGAGGGCGATGTTTCGCGTCTGCTGCCTGTGCGCGCGGAGCTGCTCGGGCATGTAGAAGGGGTCTGCTGCGGAAGGACGCGTGCTGCTGCTGTTGCGTCGCAATTCGAGGGCTGACTGGGGCTCACGAGGGGCGGTAAGGAAGAGCGCGTCATCCCATTGCTTTGCCTGCAGGATCCTGCGCAGGCTACCCGTTGTCGAGGGTGGAGCGTCCCAGTGCATTGTGGGGACGACGATCAGATCGCCTTGAAGCCACTTGGCGGAGAGAGCGCTGCGGAGAGCTAGCTCGCGCACTTGGCGCGGTAGCGATGTTGCGTGCGACCGCGGCTTGGGGCCATGAATGACACCTCCTCCTCGCAACAAGGGATTGTTCCTGCGACCGAGACGCGCTTTACCACTTCCCTTCTGCGGTCGAACCTTGCGCCTCGACCCAGCAACTTCGCCGCGTGTCTTGGTGCTAGCGGTCCCAGAACGCAGGCCATCGAGGTAGTAAACAACGGCGGCGTGAAGCACATCACGACGCGGTGTCGTTCCAAAAACGTGCGAGGAGAGAGGCACGTATGCTTTGGTGGTACTCAGGTGCTGGGCTCCTGCATGAACCAATGAGGGCAGGTTGTGAAGCTGAGATGTGGTGTAAGGCGCATCAATCGGTAGTGCCTTTGTCGCCGGGTGGAGCCAAGATAGACGGACATGGACATGGTCCTCTGCAGAGCCAGTATCCAAAAAAACGAAGTCGTGTTAGGGATCACTTCGAAATAAGCCTCATGCACCATGTAAAGGGCTCACCTGATGAAGCAAGGGCATCCAGTGCTTCTGAAGGAGTCGTGTCCATGGTATCCGCGTTCTGGTGAGAAGCACTGGGCGAAGGAGCACTCAAGTTGGGTGGAAGTGCCGATGTAGTCGTGGAGGGCCCGAAAGGATCCAAAGGTTGGCTACCGTGAATGCATCTCTTCTGAGATGCCCCAGCCCGTGAGAGCGCTCTGCTTGGAGCGTCAGACGCGGTATATTGCTCTGCGGCAGCGAGGAAGTGCTGCAGCTGTACACGCGAACTGGTTGCCAGGGATGACGAACGAAGAACGCCGCTGCTAGTGCCGCCAGCGGCGACGCTTCGCACAGCAAAGCTGCGCACGAGATTGGACGCCATACTTGTTCACTATAGACAATTGCTGCGCTACCGCCTTGCAGAGAGTGGGCCGTTACTTGCCTTCCGAAGCTTCCGATGCTAGGACCTTCTGCAGCTCGTCAGATGGACGGCTAGAAGATGGGATGGCTCGTGGGGTGGGTTGGCGGTTCGCCCCTCTCCTTCCCTCTTTTCTTCTTGTTCTCTTCTTGTTGGGGGGAAGGGCCATCGCTGGATCGAGCATCAACCCTACTTTACCATCTGGATTTTTAGGGCTGTGATTTTCTCGGCCGACATCTGGACCGAAGGCTCTAATCATACGAGCGGAACGGCCTTACGTGTCTGCTTGCCATAGGGCCTGTCGCCCATCCACTTGATGAGCCACCAGCATGCCGCAGCTTTATTGCGCCCATCCATTACGGCTTGTGTAAAACGGATCCTGTGAGTGAGCATTGGTGGAACGGCACGGCACAGGGATCGTGCGGTCAGGTTGAGCTTCAAATCAACTCGATCCTTCACAAGTTTCCTCCAATCGTCGATCCTGCCCCGTCAAGCTGCATATTCAAGGTGAGCATCACGAAGCAAAGGTTTGCTACCGGCTGCAGAATAATCGGGCATCATTGCGTCAAAAGTGAGCGCGAGCAGGAGGTCCACACCGCAACGAGCGACCCTCGAGTCGATCGCCGGAAGAGACAGAGCATGGAGGGGATGGGGACGGTAAGCAGCGGGGTATATGTAACGGACGACAAACGGGCTCCTACTGGGAGCGCAGGAGTGCAAGCATGCCAGAGTAGCCTTGCATGATGTCAAAGATCAAACCCGAGCGTACCCTTTGCACGAAGACATCGGTTAGCACCAGGTCATCACATGGGCGGCCTTGTGATAAGGGGCATTTGAGAAGGACAAGGGGGAAGAAGCCGCAGGAGGCAGGAAGTGGCGATTTGCATCATTGCAGCAGACTTGTTCGACATGGATGTCCATACCACCTAGACAACAGCTTTGAGACAACCGGAACAACATGCTAACTATATTTCGCCTCTTTGATGCGTCACTGCGCTTAGATGTCCAACTCACAAGCAGTCTCCTGCTTCGGCAAGAAGAAGACCGCCACGGCGGTCGCCCACGCCAAGGCTGGCAAGGGACTTATCCGTGTCAACGGTCAGCCCATCCACTTGATCAAGCCAGAGGTCCTTAGGTGGAAGGTTTACGAGCCAGTCCTGGTTGTTGGCGAGGACAAGTTCGCGTGAGTATCCACTCTGCCCTTGGATTATCGGGCTAGAGACGAATTCAAAGGAGGAACTGCGGATTCACTGTCTTCGTCTACTGCGAGCTTGGAACGGAGGGATTGCTTTGCTTCTGGGTGCAATATCTATGATGTGGCCCTACTGCAAAGGCAGAGGCGGGAAGCCTTGCGATAGTGATTGCAAAAGCGTCATTGCGTTGCAGGCTTTACTACAGACACCAAACATCTTGCAACAGGAAGGAGGCGTTGCGGATGAACAGATGAGCATGATGCAGTTCGCTTCAAGCGATACTTTCCGTGGGTCAAGCGCTGGTGCTGATCTCAGGCTGCTTTTCATGAAACAGTCCCGTCGACATCCGCGTTCGCGTTTCCGGCGGTGGTCACACCTCGCAGGTCTACGCCATTCGCCAGGCGATCGCCAAGGCGCTCGTTGCATACTACGCCAAGTTCTTCGATGCTTCTTCCGCCCTCGACCTGCGACAGCTGTTCGTCAGCTACGACAGGACGCTCTTGATCGCTGACCCGCGCCGCATGGAGCCCAAGAAGTTCGGTGGACGGGGTGCGCGTGCGCGCAGGCAGAAGGTGTGTTTTTTCTCAATTTGTGTCATCTATCTTGCCGCTCACCGCGCTGACTTAACGTTCTCGCAACCGTCCCTTGCCGCGCTCCACAGTCATACCGTTAAAGTGCTACAGCGCTTTCATCCTTGCGTGTGCATTTTATCGGTGTGGGCTACACCGTGCACTTGCAACTTGTATGTCTCACCACAATCGTCTCGGCAGGCGGCTTCATTGGCTGGCATGTGGGCCCGTGGACTCGCCCTTGTACACTTCATTCAAAACACAGCAACGCGCAATCCATGCACCACATGCAGTAAACCAATCTTGCGCCGTGCGCGTCTGCTGCACTGCGTTGCCAATCTTTGATCGGGTAGTCAAGGCGATGTGCCGCCAAGGGAAGCACGATAGAGAATAAACGTTTCTTGAAGCTGCGTGGATCCGTACAGACATGCGTGAACATTTTACTATTATCGCGATCGAAAGACATTCGCAGAGCTTACAACTGAGGCGAGGGAGCGAAAGAATCAAGGGGATGGGTACATAGCCGTGACTAGGACAACGAAACCGATTGGGTAGATGCATGCGATTGGACGGAACTCGGGAAGCTCGACGACGAAATGACTGTGGGTATACTGATCGTACCCGTACGCGTCGGCCGTTTGGGCAACGGGGGAGGCGAGGCGCAGATAAAGATGATCGAAGGAAGCAAGAGGTTGACAACGTCAAAACGAAATGTACTGGGAACACTTGTTGAATTGAATTGGGCGAGGACTTGGGACTGCAGACGCGGGGCAGACGTCAAGCGTGGCGTTTACATAGCAACACCCATGCTCCACTCGCCGGAGTCAGACCGTGGCAGGCCCTCCCAGCTTGGTTTTGGCTGATAGCCGCGGTCGTAGCCATCGTACGGATCCGGTGAGGTCTGCTCCTCGGTGTGACTTTGGTGGAGGCCGAGGCCAAGGCCGTGATCCTGATGCTGAGCGACAAAGAAAGCGGGGATGGTGGAATGATGCGGAGCGGCTGACTGGACATGTGCTTGCATGTAGCCTTGCTGTGAGCTCGAGGAAGACGAAATGCCAACCGGGGCTTTCATCCGCTCAGGAGTGGCCTTGTTGGCCTGGCGAGCACGTGACTTTGGCGGCTTGGCAGGCGGTGGCGTCATCGTCTGCATAGGCGTTTTAATGCTCATACCGGAGGAGGCGGTGCCACCACCCTTTTTGATGGCCAAGGCAGCTGTGACGGGAATGGGAGCGCGGAGTGGCGGCACATCGTGGAGAGCCTGGTCCAGCCCGAGGCCAATGCCGAGGCCAGTGCTGAAGCGAAGCTGGAGCTGTGGGCCTCCCGTCTTGCTGGTGTGCTCCGAGACGGTGGCGGACAGCGGCGAAGGCGACATGCCGCTATTGCCAAGCTTGGGCGTGTCGCAGTCGTATTCGTCGCACTTGTCGCGTAGCTGGAAGGGTGTGAGTAAACCCGTAGCGTCGGCTTGCAAAATCCTTTCCTCGTAGATCTGTGCCTCCTCGCGGCCAAAGTCGAGAATACTGCTCGAGGTGGTGAGCGCAGAGGATAGCGAGGAGCGCTTGGAGGCAGCGATGCCGAGCATCAGCGAAGTGTCGCCTTCTTCGTTTCCGCCGCCCCTCTCTGCGGGCAACATGTCTTCAGTGTGCTCGAGGTGTGCGGTGCTAGAGATGGGGCTGAAGCTGGCGCCGCTGCTGCTACCACTCGAAAGGGAGCTGCTGGACAAGCTGCGCGAAAAGCCGAACGGTCCGATGGTGGACACCTCGCTCGGCGCTTCGCTAAAGTCACTGCCTGCTGTCGGGGCTCGCGGGCGATTGGCGCGAGCGGCGGGTACCTTGGCCATCGCCGCCGCCGGCTTCTTCCCCGAGCCGAGGTCAGGCTGCGAGGCGACGACGACAGCGCCGTGTGCAGCGCCTGGGAAGTCGAGCGCGACGATTCCGCCGTCAGTAGCGGGGGACGACTCGGTCGTTGGTGTCCACGCTGCGACGTATTCGGCCGTCATGTGTGCGAACTCTGCCGCAACGGAGTTTTCGCGCTGGCGGCCCTGGACCAGCTCGGGGACCTGTGCGGTGGGTGCACCTGCGCGGGTGCGCGACGGCGCGCGTTGGAACGCCCCTGTCTCCGCGACGGGCGTCTCGCCGCCCACGTCAGGTGTCGGGGGCATGACAGTAACGACGAGTGGCGGACGCACGAAGCGAGGGCTGCGCGAGGAAAGCGCAGGGCTGGGCACCGCGACGGCCTTGACGGCCTTCTGCCTAAGGTTGACACGCCTGGCCTGCACCGTCTTGCCCTCGGCGGTCGAAAAGCTCTGCGAACGGCCAATCTCGGCGCGGAAGGAGGCAACGTCACGCTGCGTCGGCGTGTTGTTGCTTCCGTTTCCTCGCCCGATCGCGCGGGCTGCCAAGAAAGCAGCAAGAACAAAAAAATATACCGCTCAATGATATTCAGTTGAAGTGCACGGCTTTTCCTAGACCCATCTTCACGTTCTGTACTCACGCGGAGGGACGATTGATCCGACACTTCGGCTTCGCCTACGAGCGGCGCGCTTTCCAGCAGCAGCAGCAGCGCCGGCAGCGCCGGCGCCGTGCGCCGACGCAGCGTTCGGTAACGCTGGCAAGGGTGGGGCGTCTTCGATGCCCATCCTTCCCCATGCGGCAAAGTCGAACGGGGCGACGCCGGGAGAGCCGGCGTCCTCGGGTATATAGACGCTCTGGATGCGGCCGCGCGTCGAGCCGCCGTTGCCCTGCGTGCGCGAGGATGTCGGACGCACCGGCACGCCGCGGCCGACACTCTGGACGACACGGCTGATGGGTCGGCTGTTAGCGCCACTAGCGAGCGAGTCGGACGACTCGCTGTCTGAGAGCAGGTTCCACGTCGCTTTGGCAGACGCGGCTGTGCTGTTTTCGCGCGTCAGGAAGCCGTCGCCGTACACGGACGCCTCGGCGGCGGCGCTGTGGGCGCCGCCGCGCCTGCTCTTGTTCTGCGAGCGGGCATCGCGCAGCGAGACGGTACCTGCGCTGCTGCTGCTACTGTACGGTGTGAACAAGCTGATTTTGTAAGTGTCCGGAATGCTCGGACGGCGAGGCAGCTCGTCAGCGCAAGGCGGTCCCTTGGATGACTTCGTTGCTGTTGTTGCTGTAGCGGCGCTTGCGGCGGAGGTGGTGCGGATCGGGCTGCTCGGCTGCGAACCGGAGCCGGAGCCCACGGCGGTGGCGGTAGCGGTGCGGGACTCTTGGTCGTAGTAGAAGCCGTTACTCGGACCGTAGGCGGCGCTGCCGTTGAGCTGATAGCTATCCGATGGCTGGAGCGGCTGCGCGATGGACAGCAGCGGGCCGTAGCGCTCCTCAAATGTGGAAAATGCGGCAGGTGCGCTGAGTGGGGCCGAGGCACTGTGCACGAGAGGCTGCGCATGCTGGCGGTGCAGCGGAGGCTGTGGCTGGTACTCGGCCTGCACCGGCTGGCTCACTTTAGACTTGCTGGACGATTTCTTCCAGCTAAAGAGCCGCGAGATAGTCGAATCCTTGTTTTTGCCGCGCGACTTTCCGGCACCTGCAGACGCCATGGCAGTGGCAAGATCAACGCCGACATAGTCGCTCGGACGCGCCGTGCGCGCTGTATCACTCGATGCGGTCCCGCGCGCGCTCTGGTGGTCAACCGAGGTTCGGAGCATGTCGTCTTCCCATGTCGGGCGCTCCCGCTCGGTGTCGCAGACGTCGAAACTCGCAGCACGGTGGATTCCCGCGACAGACGCCTGTACGTCCTCTGTGATGCCCGCGACGGTGGTGAGCGCGTCGCCCGGTGAGGCGCTGTTGCTGTCTTCGTCGTCGAGAAAACGGACCTTGGGCGTGCTGTATGACTCGCACGTGGTGAAGGCCTCGAGCTCAGGCGTCGGGCTACTCGCAGCTTTCCAGGATGCAGGAAAGGCCGCGGCGGTCGTCGGGCTGTTGGGGCTGTCCGACTTGGTCTGCAGGGTCGGCGAGTCGTTGCAGTCCATGCCCATCGCGTGGCGTGGGTCGAGCATGGCAAGTGACGCCTTGCTGACGGCGTTAATCTTGTTCTTCTCCTTGTCCTTGCGGGATGAGATGGTCGACGCGACGCGACAGACGGCTGCCGCCTGCTGCTGCGCATGTGCATAGGGCTGCTGCCCATTGGTCGCATCGGCAATGTACGTGTCGGTCGACTTGCTCTTTGCGCGCGGTGCCATTTTGCTGGTCAGTGTTTTGCGTATGGTGGGTTTTGTGGGTGATGCAGCAAAGGGGATGGCGCCGTCCGACGCCGAGGAGATGACCATCATGGCTGGCGCGATGTGCAGAGGAGGATCTGTGCTATCCGGGGAGTCTGGTGTCGGGAGACCTGGTGGTCGCGTGAGCGAGTGTAAGCTGGGGGATGCTTGTGGCCGCGCCTAGATGGAAGACAAAGGAGTGTGGATGGACGGCGGTGGGGCAGCACGTTTGGTAAAAGTAGATCTTGGGGCGAGAGCGAGAGCAGGGGACACGGGTCGGAGCAGGGTGACGAACGAGAGGGGATTGATGGATGGTGGTAGAGAGGCAGGTGACACAAGCCCGCGAATGCTATAGAGGAGGAGAAAAAGAGAGTGAATGCGGTGTGCGAGAGGGTACGACGAGCGCTCCAACCAACGGCGATGAAGGAGAGCGGCAGAGGATTAGCAGGACACGGTGCCGAGCAAGTGATGAAAGGGAAGGCAGATCGTACCCATCCAAGCGGTGGAAGGGAGGACTATTGCCCGAGGGAAGCAGGGTGTTGTCAGCACAGAGATCATGGCAGTGTGCCAACATGGCGCAGCTGAGACAGCATCCACCCATGGGCCGAGCACAGAGAGCGAGTGCGAGCGCATGAGTATGAACATGAACATGAACATGAGCATGAGCATGAACATGGCATGCCTGCCACTCATAGACAGCCCGCTTGCCCGTCAGCCTGTCCGCGCTCTTGCGCTCTTCTGGTGGGGGAGGGCATGGGCCGCCAATTCCAAGCAGGCATACGCAGGTTGCTTGCATGGCCAAGTAGGACAAGGGGAAGGTTACGAGTGTGAGCTGATCCGCGGTTGCCGCGTGGAATGTGTGTGTGTTGTTTTCCTGTTTGTTTATTTCGTTCCCTTCCAGACAGACGCGCACACATCTCTTCGCGCGTCGCGTTCTCTGGCCTAGTGCCGCGCCAAGCACACCTGCACGCACACCCCGCATCCAGTCGGGTTTGGATGCGGCCATGCAAGGGTCTCTCTGGCCTTTCTGGCCCCCTCCCCTCAATCCCATATTGTTGCGCAGGCGGTAAACACTTCACCGTCACCCAATCCCCTCGTCTCGGACTGGACCAGAGGGTACCATTCAATTCAGTCGTACAACATGCATGAGTCGATTCGCTGCTTGCTTTTACTTTCAGTCACGGCAGAGGCACAGTCACAGGCGCGCCGGAAGGATCGGAGATCATGCCAAAATCTTCCCAGTCCACCACTCCCCTACCCCCCCCCTTTTCCAACCCAACCAGGCGAGACAGAGGTGCAAAGCGTGCGATGAGCTTACATACATACATGCACACATACGTACAAAAAATGCAGTGGATGCGAGGCCACGGGGTCAGGCGGGTGTACCTCTGAGTTATGCTGCATACATGGATGGGTTCGTCGACCAGCCTGACCGACTTGCTGAAAATTGGAAACAAGACAAAGGAAGGCGGACGATTGCATGAAAGTTGCTGTTGGTATTTGTCGACGCGCGTATGAGACTTGCCATGAGCCGCGGCGCGGCAAACCGCAGAAAAATGCCGCTCTGCGTCCCTTGCGCAGCGTTGCTATTGCATGGATCCCATTCCAGTATCCCAGATCTACATGGTCTCCCCATGGGGCAAGAGCAGGATCGCGTCCTTGATGGCCAACCACACACGATCCCCTTCCCGAATGGGCTTTGCGCTGTCCAGCGTCTGCAATTCGCAGAGCCAGATAAGCGCAGCAGTGGGCCCGCCAGCCGCCCGCCGCCCGAGCAGTCGAGCTTGCTGGAGGTTGGGCAGACTCTTGCAATCAAGGCCGGGCCTAGCAGAGCGGACCAAAGTTGTCACGCAGAGATGCAACTTGGGTTGGCACACATTCTCTCTGCAGACTGCAGAAGGATGTCTCTGTACCCTTGTGAGTCTGTGAGTCTCCTCATGTATTCGGTTCGCTCTCCCCTTGCAGCGAGGAATGGGAGGATCAGGGAAGGCGCCCAGGCTTCGGAGTCAAACACTGTCTCACTGCCTCTCAGGGACAGTTTCGGCCGGGGTTTGGGGGGGGGCGTCAACCTGGCATTACTCGTGTCGTTCCGCCAGGCAAGACGATGCTGAAGCAGCGAAGTCAACAAACTAGGGTTCTCGGGCTCCCCCCCCCCACTTCCGCCTGCTCCATTCCAGTGGGCCTATAAATAGTATACATGCAATAGTATGCATGCCGCACACAGCAGCGCATCTGCACGTACGAAGATATATGGCATGCACTTTTCGAGCTGTCTCCCCCGTTTCCATTGACTGCGCACACTGGCTCTGCGTCTCCGTAATTTACATTCTACATGTGAGTGATGGGTGTTCTGGATAGATATGGACTGGTGGAGTCCGCTCGTCCGCCAACAAGAGCTGTTCTGGCTCGAGCGCGGTGGTCATCTGGTCACTGGCCATCAGTGGCCAGGAAACTGCAACACAGCCTCTACAAAGCGAGTTACCAATCCCATGAGGTCTTTGTCGACGAAACGGTTGCGCCAGGGCTTACTTAACGAATATTTGCAAGCTCATCCCTGCCCACGCTGTCCACGCCAGGGCTCGTATTCAATGCACGTTGCTGTGATGGCAGCGCACAGACTGATGAGCAGCTCTCACCAAGGCGGAGGCGGACTGCATGTGCATATCACCATATTCCCTTTGGATCAGTACGCATCTCACGTGTCCAACGTCCCAGACATCTTGAAGCAGGTTGGTAAATCATTCACCCCTGCTCTCCCTGTGTCCACCTATCGCTCTAAAGATGCCAAGCAGGCTACAACGATACTAGAGCTGCTGCGGTCGAGGGAGCATGGTCTATAAGGGTCTGGTACGTAGTCTGTCACGTCTCGCGCGCGCGCGCAAAAAAGGCCTCTCCAGAAGAGCGACGTGGGGTAATGATGTCGACACCTCCCAAGCTCCGTAAAAAGAACATACAAACATTTGAGCCATGGTGGCGTTCAAAATCATGCGTGCAGACGCGAATGACAATTAAGAATGATTGCTTGCCAATCTCAATACAATGTTTGAGCTAAACAACGATGGAGATGAGCTGACAGTCATCTTACACGCACACTCCGAGGCGTGTTCTCGGGCGGAGGATGTACAAGCGCTAGCGCCAAGAGATGAGGCATAGACCGAAGAGCTTACTTCTTCTTGCCAGCCTTTTCGGCAGACTTGGTCGTCTTGCCCGACTTGCCAGTCGTCTTTTCAACTGCCTTGATGACACCGACAGCAACGGTTTGACGCATGTCACGGACAGCGAAACGACCAAGGGGAGGGTACTCGTTGAAAGCCTCGACGCACATGGGCTTCGAGGGAATCATCTTGACCATGGCGGCGTCACCAGACTTGATGAACTTGGGGCTCTCCTCGGTAGCCTTACCCGAACGACGGTCGATCTTCTGCAAGAGCGTGTCGAACTTGCAGGCAATGTGTGCGGTGTGGCAGTCAAGAACTGGCGCGTAGCCGGCGCCGATTTGACCAGGGTGGTTCATGACAATGACCTGTATAAGCGTGAGAAAATGTCAGCAAGTAATGCGTGGGCGAAAATACGCAGAATGGAAGAAAAGACATGTGCATTGCGCTGTCTTTCTTGCTCACCTGAGCGTTGAAGGAGGCGGCCTCCATGGCAGGGTCGTTCTTGGAGTCGGAGGCAACGTTGCCACGACGAATGTCCTTGACAGAGACGTTCTTGACGTTGAATCCGACGTTGTCACCAGGGAGACCCTCAGGCAGAGACTCGTGGTGCATTTCGACCGACTTGACTTCAGTGGTGACGTTGGCCGGAGCAAAGTTTACAATCATACCAGGCCTGATGACACCAGTCTCGACACGACCGACAGGCACCGTTCCGATACCACCAATCTTGTAGACATCCTGGAGAGGAAGACGCAGGGGCTTGTCGGTCGGGCGCGAGGGAGGCTCGATGGCGTCGATGGCCTCAAGCAAGGTCTTGCCGGTGGCTTTGCCGGCTTTGGTCTCCTTCTCCCAACTGTTCAAATGGAGGCAGAGAGCATGTTAGGGACATTTGAATCCTAAGATTGGCATTAGATTGAACGTACCCCTTGTACCAGGGCATGTTAGCGGTCGACTCGATCATGTTGTCTCCGTGCCAGCCCGAGATGGGGACAAAGGCGACCTGCTTAGGGTTGTAGCCGACCTTCTTGATGAAGTTGCTAGTCTCCTTGACGATTTCGTTGAAGCGGTCCTCGCTCCACTTGGTGGTGTCCATCTTGTTGACAGCGACGATGAGCTGACGGACACCGAGAGTGAAGGAGAGCAAGGCGTGCTCACGGGTCTGGCCGTCCTTGGAAATACCAGCCTCGAATTCACCAGTACCACCGGCAATGATAAGAATAGCGCAGTCGGCCTGCGAGGTACCAGTGATCATGTTCTTGATGAAGTCACGGTGGCCAGGGGCGTCAATGACCGTGACCATGTACTTCGGAGTCTCGAACTTCCAGAGAGCAATGTCGATGGTGATACCACGCTCACGCTCGGCCTTGAGCTTGTCAAGAACCCACGCGTACTTGAATGAGCCCTTGCCCAACTCGGCAGCCTCCTTCTCGAACTTCTCGATGGTACGCTTGTCAATACCACCGCACTTGTAAATCAAGTGGCCGGTGGTTGTCGACTTGCCGGAGTCGACATGGCCGATGACGACGACTGTAGGGTGAAATTGTTTGATCGTCAGCTCCTAGCTCCTTGTCCCGGCGACAAGACGCAGAATCTCCTCACCGTTAACGTGAAGCTATAGTTTGAAAACCGGAGAGGCGACACAAAGCGAAAGAAAGGCAGTTGGGAATCCAACCCGCAGTCAGTGGTACCGCCCAGCAACGGCGTCATTGCGCAACAGCGCATGGCGCCAATGGCCGTGCGCTGTGAGCGACTCACCTTCTCCTTTCCCATTTTGAATGTATGTGATGATGCGATGCAATATGCGACAGATGTGTGAGATCGTCGTGGTTGCTGGGGGAAGAAGATGTTGGAAGGTGAGAAAGAAGAGGTGAGAAAAAAAACTGCTGGAGGATGGAGAGACGAAGGCGACGGGCGGCCGCTTCTACTTCTCTCTCAGCCACTGCCTGCGGTCACAGGCTGCTGACTGCCATCTCCTGCTGGCGGCTCAGTTTGCCTGCGCTCCTCTGCTCTCGTGCAGAGCGGAGGGGGCTGGCGGCAGCGGTAAGAGATGTTGAACACAGGCGCGCCACCCACCCACCCACCGCGCATGCCAGTTGCCTGTTCCAGTACCTCCTGGTGTGCCTCCACATGCAAGGACTGACAAGGGAAAAAAGACAAACTTAGTTGAAGATCCGAAACCCGAACCCTCGCATTGTTTGACACTTTGCGGCGACGAAAGTCCACCAATGCAAAGCGTATCAATCTTTCTGCAGCAGCCTAGTGGGCGGAACAGATGGTATTGCAGGTGTGCTGGCAAAGGGAGTCCCATACCCAATGCCCTCTGGCGGGGCTGCGGCGCTGCTACAGCGCTGGGCAGCTTCACCGCTAGCCACGTTCTCCGCATGCGGCACGACGCAGGCCGCAGCAAACCCCCTGAAGACTGTAGATGGTGTCCCAGCAATTGAGCAAACACTTAGTAGCGTCCAGTGTCCATTATAGTTTGCCCATTGTAAGGACCTTCATGGGCCGACATCCAGTGCGGGGACAGGCACATGCGCGTAGGCGCACGCCACAGCGGTTCCAACCAACTTTGCCCGGTTGGCTGGCCGTGCAGTGGTCAAGGCCATGGCCCCGTAATCCATCGACTCTGGCGTCTGACTTGCAGACATCGATACCCCGCCCCTGGGCTTGTTTGATTCAACTGGGCACCTCACAGAACGGGAACATACGAAAGGGTTCAGAAATGGCGGTGATGTGGTGATGTGGACGCTTTCGAGGGAAATGGTACAGCGCTGGACGCTGAACGGGAACGACACCAAGTGCGTTCGTAAGGATACCCAACTTGTTACTCACAGAGTGATTGGAGGAGGAACGCCACTTCTTCGACATTGCAGTTTGGTCATTTCTTTGAAAACCTGGACGTACTCGTCTAGGTCACTAGACCAGGCGCTTTCTTCGCTCTAGCAGCCGCTGCAACGTCCTGCCCAACCATTTCGAAAACAATGCATGTCTTGGCCTCGTTAGCGCCTATTGTCTTGTGCAAAGCCCAACGTCCAAAAGTAATGTCGAGACTGAGTACTGAATTGGAGGGGTGTGTTCTGTGTAATGTTCTATTATACATCTTTTCCTGTGTAGCGCAACTGCTTGCCGCGCCGTCTGCGCCGCATGTCGTGTACACAGCATAGTGACGAAGCTAGTATGCGCGAGCAATGGCATATGGCCGCAACCAGAGCCATGCGGTCCTTGTCGCTTTGCTTCATTCGAAAAGCCAACTATGCGCTGTCCTGGACAACGCCGACCTGTGCAGCTCTAAGCAGGCGATTCTTGATCCTGAACCCGACCTTGTTACACTCTAGCACGGTGCCCGGCTCTTTGCCTGGCACCGGAGCCTGGTACATCGCCTCGTGCTCCTGTGGGTTGAACTTTTCGCCGGTCGGGTCGAACGCGGTGATGCCATGCATTTTGAGCATCTCCAGGAGCGACTTGCGCGTCAGGTCCACGCCGCTGTACAGCTCCGCGATGGCTTTGCGCGAGTCCTCTGGCGACTCGCTGTTTCCGGCTGCTGGCACCGAGCGCAGACCTTCGGGTACCGAGTTGAGCGCCAAATGCAAAATATCGATGGAAGAGGTGAGGTCCTTGGCTAATCGTGTGATGGCATAGTCGCCCGCCGCTGCCTTCTCCTCCGCCGAGCGTCGCTGCAGGTTTTGAAGGTCAGCCTTACTGTAAAGCACTGCGTCCTGCGTGAGATAAATATGCACCTAAAGCATCAGCAACTCGGACTTTCTCCAGCTTTTGAGCCCGAAATGGACGCATGCCTCACCGAAAGCTCCTTGATCCTCGCATCCTTCTCCTTCAGTTCCGTCTTGAGCTTCTCCACCTCTGCATGCGCCTCGCCGCTCGCCGTTCCCTCGGACACATTCTTGGCATCGCACGCAGCCTCGTTCGCCTTCTCGCTCTGCTTGCTCCCTTCGGCTGCCTCTTTGTTGGCGGCGCGCGCGCATTGCGAGAAGCACCGTGATGATGAGGCCCGTAGCCCCGGTGCAGGAGCATGTGCCAGCAGATCTCGCTGCGCTTGGTTCCTGAGCAGGTACGATGATGAAGAGGCGGACGCATGTGCAGTGGCGGGCCCGGCCGGCACTTGCAAAGCCGCTCTTCGAGCGACGGCTGCTTGTCGCAGGGCCTGGCGCAGTGGCGAGGCAGAATGCATCTTGTACAATGTAGGAACCTCAACTTCGGCCTTTTGAACAGCTCCGAGTAGCTTGCTTCGAGCAAGAAGTCGATGAATTGTGGTGATCGAGGCGTAGTGGGGGCAGGGAATCGATAGTCACACGATGGCGACTGCAATGCAAAGATATCTTGCACCAATGGCCGAGATGAAGCTGTTGGCTCCGCGAAGCAAAAATTGGTCGATCGGCCACCATTAACCAACCTTCTCGCTTCGGACCATCCCGACAATTCCCTTCTCTTCCGCTCCGGCCTTCCGCTCACAATGCCTCTCTCTTACACCGCCAAGCTCGACTCGACTTCTCCTCCCCTCTCGACTATCCATACATACAGCTCACCTCTCCACCCACAGCTTTGCTGTGCTCAACAACAATTAGCGCAAAGTGTACAGCACGATTAGACGGCGGAGCACAGGAAAGCAGATCGCGCAGCGTGAGCTGAGTATCCAACTTGGACGAGCGCCAACCGCCAAGGCCACACCAGCCCGCAGCAGCGTCCACGTTCGGCGAGCACATGACACAAAGACAGGCGGGCGAAGGAGGAGAGGAGTTCGCTGCACGATGTATCAATTCGATGCCTGTGCGAGCGAGCGACGACTCATGCCCGCCTCGTACTGCTTACATGCGCAGAAGCGAAGTGCGCGACCCGGTCTGCAAGCATCTGCAGCAGCAGAGCCAAAAGGGACGCGGGATACGTGGGTTGCATATCGTGTAGTTCAATTGTTACCTACGAGAAAAAGTGAGAGACTGCCGCGCGGAGCCGCTGAGCCCGCCGGCCTTCGTGTACAACAAAACAGGACAGCCACAGCGCACACAGGCAGCTGCATTTGGCAAGGCAAGGACAGATGCAGCACGCGGGAGTGTACGCGTGCCACGATGCCTGCAGGCGATCCAGTCGGAGGCGGAGGACGTATGGTAAACTACATGCCCTTAGCAACCTCCTCAGAGCTTATAGTTATCTGGCATGAAGCGCAGCGCCTGTCGGACGCCCAGGTCGGACAGGACCTCCTCTGAGCCACCGAGGACGGCGTCGAACTGCACACATATGCCAAAAAGGAACACTGTCAGCACACGTTCACCCGCGCGAGCACGCCGGCGCAGTCCGGGCCGAGAAGGAGCAGCGACTGACCTTGTACGTGCGATTGAACTCCTCGATGAACTTGCCCATGCCGCTCTTGGTAATACCGCGGCCGCCAAATATCTGCACCGAGCTGTCGGCGACTTCGTGCGAGACGCGCGTGCTCCAGGCCTTGAGGAAGGCAACCTGGCCGGCAAGGTGGATGCTTTGCTCCTTGTAGCTCATCTTGCACATCTGGTACGTGACCACCTCGAGCCACGCCTGCGCGGCCTCAACCTGGCTCAGTAGCGCGCCCAGCTTCTGCCGCACGACGGCCTGAGACGAGAGCGACTTGCCGAACGCTTTGCGCTGGTTGATCCACAGCATGACCTGCTCGCATACCGCGCGGCTCGAGCGGATCGTTGAGCAACACATCACCCAGCGCTCATGGTTGAAGTTGGACAGCACAATCTGCAAGGCCAAGGTGAGTCAGTACTGATAGAGAGGTCTTCAGGACGCCAGCCTGGCGCGCCGCGCTCACCTGGATACCGAGGCCATCTTCGCCGACGACGTACTTGGCCGGGACGCGAACGTTGTCGAAAGTGATGTAAGCAGTACCTGCCCAACGTCCTCGCGCGCATCAGCTTCGCCCGCCAAAAAATAAGGCAAGACAGGACGATGCGAAACTCACCGGCAGTGGTAGAGTACGAAGTCTTGATCTGCTTCGTCTCGACGCCCTCGGTCCTCGGGATGCACAAGACCGCGAATCCATCATCGGTCTTGGCGAGCGTTGTAAAGTAGTCTGCGAACATTCCGTTGGTGATCCACTACGAATCCGATGATTTGTAGGATGGAGAAGGAGGAGAGGGAAAATCGCATCAGCTCCTTTGCACCCACGCGCATGACACGAGGGCCGCAAGCGGACAGACCTTTTTGGTACCGTTGACAATGTAACTGCCGTCGTCCTGCTTCTGGGCAAAGGTACGCGTGCCCATGACGTCCGATCCGGCAAATGCCTCCGAGACGGCGAGGCAGATGAACTGCAAGGGGGAAGGGAAGAAGCAGCACGTCAGTCCGGGATCGGAAAATGTTGGCCGCGCCGCGCACCTTGTCGCCCGCAAGAACAGGCTCGACAATTTCAGCCTTGAGCTCGTCAGAGCCAAAGTTGAGGATGGGGGGCAAGCCGATGACCATGCCTCCGTTGAGGCCGTCGCCAAAGCCGCGGGCAGCGCAGCGGACGAGCTCCTGGGTGATGACGAGCTCGTGGAAGTAGTCAAACTCTTCGGGCTTAATGTCGGCAAAGAGCTTGCGGCCGTGCAGGTGCTTGCCGGGACCCATGCGCATCGCATTGAGGCCCTTGGCGCCCATGTCTTTGACCAGCGCAAGGTCTGGGCGCTTGCCGTTCGCCTCGCACGCCTGCGCAATGTCGACGATCTGCGTGTCGACGTACGCGCGGACCTCGCGCTGCAGGCGGCGATGCGAGTCGTTGTAGTACGGGGTGTAGAACTTGGGCTGCAACCACGTCGGCTCGCCATACGGCACGGGCGATATGGACCCGAGTGGCAGGGGTTTGATCTTGGACTCTTCGCCGGCGATCTTGCCGATGATCAGACGCTGGTACTGCGGTTTGAGCAGGACCTCGTGGCGGTGCAAGCCGCTGTACGCGCGAGCGCAAGGGGAGGTGGCGTATACCGTATCAGCTGTCGGCCGGATTGCACGCAGCTACAAGGCAGGTGCCACTTACAAGAACGTCTCGGTCGCCTCCTGACCTGCGACATCCTCATCGTAAAAGACGCTCTCTCCACCGGGGTGGAGCTCGACAAACTTGCTGACGTTGTAGACTTGGGCATCGATGATGATCCAGCAGTCGCCCTTTTTGTTGTGCTTTGCGACCTCATCGCGTGTGTACTCCTTGAGCTGCTTCTTGGCCTGCGTTTGGGCCGACATGGTGGGGGGGATGTATGTGTGTGCGTGTGTGTGTGTGACCCACGGAAAGCGAGACGGAGGCTCTGAGTGCTATTTGAGGAATGGGAGTCGTGCTTTGTATGTGCGGTGCTGCCTTGCTCCGCTCGCTCACCTTGCAGCAATGTCGAGAGATGTGCGTCTGAACGAAAGCGTGGGACGGATGGTGGTGGTGAAAAGGAGATGAGGAGGGTGGTATGTACTGAGGCGATGCTATTACTGTTTGCTGACAGAGAGACGGAACCTGGCTGGAGGCTGCAGCTGCATTCCCTACTAGACAATGTCCGCCAGCTGCTTCTTGACTGGACGCTGCGCTGCGTGGCGCAAAGTGCCCGACCGTGGCCCTGGCGGGGCATGCGTCCAAGCCCATCCATGCCCCGCTATGATGCTATCACATGCGACGCTATGTCCTGTATGCTATGCAACATGCAATGCAGCACCGCGACTTGCTACGGCCCTTGAACCGGGGTGCGCAAGCCTAGAGTCGCCTTCTGCCTCTTGCCAGACTTCACCGGGCTGGTCGACTCGACATGCGGAACGCAACGCCGGGCGCGGGGAAACCCTCGCCCAGTGCTACAATCTTCAAGTGAGCACAGCACCCGTGTGTGACTGACAAATCAAATGGCCGCCACCGCCACTGCCCCTGCGCCCGACTGCCAGTGTTCTCCAGGCACGAGGCGCGGGGGCACAAGACAAGAAGCCGAGAGCGCAAGGGTGCGTGTGAAAGCGACATCCAGCTGTCGAATAGAAAGGGGCCTCGGCCTCTCACATTGCGCACATACACCCGTCATGTTACCAATTGTGCGTACACAAGGCATCCGCCCGCACTGGACAAGTCTGCCTACTCCACCAGCCCCTTAGAACCCCACTGCCAGCCGGCATGCATTGCATTGTATTGCATGGGATCCACATCGGCGGCGCTCCGCTCTGAGCACCATGTCCATATGTAAACCGCCTCAGCAGAGGAGGAGGGTGTGCGAACAAACGAACGTATGCAGACGGCAGGCATCCCACGCACGTTCAGTCGTCGTGGTCATCGAGCAGTGTGCGCTCGGGATACCTCGATCACATCATGGCAGCAATCACACACGCGCCGTCTGCTGTCTTGTCTGCCCTTGCTATCGATTCATGCATGGTCCAGATTACATATACCACGCATGCGCCCCGGCAGGCAGATCACTGAGAGTTCCGAGATTGATTGGCGTATCACTTGCATTCGTGTATGATGACCCACTCCGAGGAAGCCTGCGCGTGCCGGCGGTGTGGGGGCCCACAGTCGGTTGCAAGAATCCTAACAGAACCCACGAAGAGCGTGCTGCGAGACTTGTGTGAGCGACTAGACTGCTCACAATACGTGGCCAAGGAGCCGAATCCTCCGCCTCCATGTACAACGTCCTCCAGCAAAAGTACAGGGAGGACGCGCTGACGTGTCCGATGTGACGTGTGGAGCATCGGCGTCGCAGACGCACGAGGCGCATGCACACGAGCAGCGGCCCGCGAACGGCCGGGGATGCGCCTCGAAAAGCTGCTGTGCAAGGACGACAAAGCCCAGCCCATCAGCCAGAGCGCGTGACCTGGCGACTGAGCGTCGTCGAGCGCGAGCTGCGTCCCGCTTGGAAGCTAACGCAGCCATCGTCATCCTCCTCCTCCTCCTCCTCATCTTCCTGCCTCCCCTCCTTCCCGCTCTGGCCACGATGAGCTCTGGGACCGTGTCCTTGTGCAACGGCAGCCGCGGCGGCGCGCACGAGCTCCTCGGCAACGCCTCTATCCGCTCCCACTGAGCTGAAGCAGCCGCCGCCGTTGTCCCTGCTCTCGTCTGCGTCCGCAAACCGCTCAGACGAGTCGATGCTCATCGAAGGACTCGTCACGACACCGGAGGCTAGGCTGCCTGCAGACCGCCGCTGCTGCGAAGGCGAGGCGCTCCGGCCAGCCGTATGCGCTTGGTGCGACGCGTGATCATCTGACATGTGTTCGCTCCGCGCGGCGGCGTCCTTGTGTATTTCCCCTTCCCCTTCCCTTTCCCCTTCCCCTCCCATTTCGCTCTCACTGACTGCTCCACCGCAGTCACCGCTGCTGCTACTGTAGCTGTCAGATGCATCGCCGCGCTCGAGTGCGAGCATAGCCTCGCGCGGCTGACCGAACGCATGATGTTGCTGCTGCTGCGGCTGCTGCTGTTGCGAGCCGCCCTGCGCCTGTCGCGGAGTAACGTTCGAGCGGTCAATGCCGCTAGCGCTGAGCGGCGACGATGGGACTACGTCACCCGTGTAAGGAGCTTTGAACAGATTGTAACCCCCCTCAACAGACGGCGTGAGACGATCAGAGTAGAACGAGCCAAGCGAGTCGCGAGAGGCACCCTCGATCCGCCAGCCGCTGCCGTCATTGCGCAAGATCTGCCCAGCACAATGCTGCTGCTCGCCGAGATCATCGTCAGAGAGGTCGAGTTCGAGTTCGAGGTCGACATCGTTGACGTCATCGTCCTCCATACCGTTGTAGCCGTCCGCCGCTGAAGTCATCACGGTGGAGTGGCCCGGCAGCAGCGGCGTCCCCGGCTGGCTCGAGAACGGCTGCGGGAAGGGCGGTAGGCCCTGGAAAACGTCCATCGATGAGCGCGTGTGCCCCGCCTGCTGCTCCGAGGGCGACGAGAACACAGGCGCGCTGGCTGGCACGTAGTTCGGCTCCATCGTCCCCGCCAAGCTCACCGCGCCGACGACGTCCAGCCGCAAGTTGAGGCTGGCTGCGATGGTCCTGGCATTGGCTGGATCCTTCGGGAGAACCTGGTATGCCGACGGAGGCGCCATGGCATTGACCATAGTGCTGCGTCGCGACGCGCCACGCGAGGTGCTGCCACTCCAGCTTTCATGCTTGCCAAAGCCAAATAGCTCGCCGAGCTTGCTACGACTGATCCTTCGCCCCTGCAAACCAGGTCGGCCGCCAACGGCGGTGGCACCGCTCACAGACTCTATCTCGCCAGACTCGCGAATGCTCGTGATGCTCACCGCCCGACTGAGCCGCTGCCCCTTTTCCAGCGGCACACACGCGCTGCTATTGAGGCTTCCCTCTCGGTGCTGCAGAGTTCCCGATTCGGACGATGAGCGTTGGTTGTTGGGACGTACCGAGAGCGATGAAGTGCGCTTCTGCGTTAAAGGCGTCACCGACGACGCCTCGCGCCACGATGCGCGGCACTCGTGCAGTGTCTGCGGCGGCGCATCTTCCTCGCCTGGATCGGTCTGCTTGCCCGTCGGAAGAGCCGAGGGTACGACAGGGGAGTTGCTGATAATACGCTGAAGCAGCGCGTCCACCTCTGCATGCGGAACAGCCTTGTTGTGTGGATGTCGTTCTCCACTGTGCGTCCAGCTCGGTGTCATGCTGAACGCTGCCGACCGATGGAGTGTCGTGCTGGGCGGCATGCAGCCACCGGGCGTGGTCGGGACAGAGCACCCGCTGGTCTTCTTGCCAAACCAAAGCAGACGAGGACTCTTGATGCCCGATGATGAGCGCATCGTACTACTGTCGCTGCCGGTGTGGTGCAGCAGCTGCTGGTGATGCTGCATCATCATCATCATGTCGTCGCTTCCAGGTGTGAGCTTGTCGCTGGCCGTGCCGGTGCTCGGCTTCAAGGAGCTGGTCTGCGAGTGTGAGCGGGAGCGACTCGCGCGCCCGCCACTAAACGTGTCGAATAGCTTGGATTGCCATCGTTTGACGCGCTGCTTGATCTTGGAGAAGCCCGTCAGCGCATCTTCGACCTCCTCGTGCGTGACTTCGAGAAAAGGGAGGTGTTCAGGCGCAGTGGCGATCAGCCACGCCGGTGCGTCGTGCAAGCCGCGCGTGACCCAGGGATGCTTCTTGACTGCCTCCAGCTTGATGCGCTGCTCTGGATCCTTCTCGAGCAGGCGGTCTATCAGGTCCCGCAGCTGCCGCGCATCCTCACTGAGCAACGTCTCGTTCACATCCGGTACCGGATCACTCGGATCGGGCGGATGGACATCCATCTCCTCGTCCTCCCACTCTGGCAGGCCCTTCCACCGCGGCTTGCGCGGCCCGACGCGCACATTGTCCGCGCCCATGTACACCGGCAGCTTATAGTCATCATTGGGGATGACGTTGAACAGCGCAAACTCGCTCGGTGCCGTGAATGGCAGCTCGCCGAAGAGCAAGCAGTACAGCGTCACGCCGAGCGCCCAAACGTCGATCGCCTTGGTGATCTTGGGCCCACGCGGCGCGGGTGCACTGGCGGCGGTGGCGCCGCCGCTCGACGGGCCATTGTTGAATGGGAAGCCCGAATGCACAGGGTCGTGGCTGGGCGAGATGGTGCTGGTGCTGTTGCCTCCGCGCTCCTTGAGCGAGCTGGACGTCAACGGCGCTTCGCCCGCGAGGCACAGCTCGGGCGCAAAGAACGCTGGGCTGCCCGCCGTCTTGGCGAGCTCCCTGTCGTCCGTCAGGCTCGGGTCATTGGTCTCGCCCGAGCCGCTGGACGGTAGCCCGCCGCTGGCGACGAGCAGGGCGTAGCTGTAGTGCGAGACGCCGAAATCGGAGATCTTGACGTGCTTTTCCTCGTTCCAGAGCAGATTCGCTGGCTTGATGTCGCGGTGGATGATGCCTTGGTAATGCAGGTATTCCAGACCGAGCACGACATCGCGGAACGTCCGCCGCGCTTCGTCCACAGTAAGTGTCGGCCTACCCTGCTCGTCCTTCCACTGCACTTCGCCTCCCGCCATGTATTCAAGCACTGCCGCGAAAACAGGGTTCGTCAGTATTCGCAGATTCATTGTTTAAGGCGCTATGTGCAGGCGCACTCACCCATGAAGATCTTCTTGCTCTGCGGGTCATCGATGACCTCGCGAAGCCGAACGATGTTCTCATGTTGGCATTTTTTCATGATGGCAATCTCGCGCTTGACCTTCTTGTCCGTTGTCCACAGCAGCGCCTTGCGCGCCTTCTCGCGCTCCGCCTTTTCTTTACGCAGCGCCTCATGCTCTGCCATCTCCTCGCGTGTCGGCAGGCCATGCTCCAAGGGCCCGAAGCGCGCCGCGGCCGCCGCGCCAGGCGAGCGGGGCGGGCTGAGTGCAAAGTGCGCCCGACGCGGCACGGTCGTGTCGGCTGAGTCTTCACCGCCGCTGGCATGCTCGCCGCTATCGGTGCCGCCTACTCGCAGACGCTGCACGTGCGCATGGATCGGGTCTACTTCATTGTCCCTCGCCTTGCCCTTGTCGCCCGGCGCGCCGCCCATGCTTCCAGTCTGCGGAGACGACGGAGACGCCGACGATGACGCTGCTGATGTAGCGTCGTCTTTGTGCATCTGCGCAGGCGCTGTCGTGGTAGCCACGGCTGTCGCTGCACGCTGTTTGGCAGCGATGCGCGCAGACCACTCCTGCCCGCCGCCGCCGAGTCGCTTGCGTGATTGCCGCTCAACGATTTTGACCGCGACGCGTTCGCCCGTCTCCGTGTCCCATGCCATTCGTACTTTGCCATGTACGCCGCGGCCTAGCTCGTCCTCGCTACCAAGTCAAAGGGGAGGAGACAATACGTTTCGGCATCAGTATTGATTCTGCCGGAACGAATCCCAACGTTTGGAAGGCACGCCACTCACATGATGTACTGGTTGATCATGCGGCGCCCGCTCGGCTTGTGCGTCTGCAGTTGAAGGTGATGCGTCTCGAGCACCAGCTGCGGGCGCGGCGACGCGATGAGATGTTGTTGCTGTTGCATCTGCGCAGTCGTCGACACGCTCGCCGCGCTGAGACTGGGCGTGCTACGCCCGGACTGGCTCGGTGTCAGCTTGCGATCGGGCGTCCCTGAGGCTGAGGCGGACGCCGAGTTCGCAGCGGAGGCGGAGGTAGAATGCGGCACGCTGCCGAAGCGCCCCAACGCGCTCGGAAAGCCGAGCAGGCCGATGGAGGGCGCGGCGGGCCCAGCTGGGGGGGAGGAGGACACTGCAACGTCGCAGCTGTGGCCCAGCGCGACGGTAGCCTGCTGCGTCATGGCGCGATGGTACGCGTGCGGTGAGCCGCTTGCAGCGGTCGCGGTGTCCATCAGGTAGCCCTTGGCGGACAGCCTTGTCGTCGATAAACCCGAAGGGGGCGATAGGCCTGCGTGTCCATGCACCTGCAGTCCCTCTGGGTGAGAGTGCAGCGGCAAGTTTTTGGCGGCTGGGCTGGTGTATGCACTCGCGGGCCCACTACTCGGGCGGCTCCACGACGGTTCGGGCGCTTCGGATGCCGTGTCTGCCAGCGCTGCGGGCGCAGCCTCGGCTTTCAAAGATGCCTTGGGCGACAGCTTGACAGCCTGACTCATTGCTATAGGGAGATGGTGCTGATGCTGATGCAAGCTGCTTCGTGATGGCTGCTGCTGGTCTTCTTCCTGTTCTCGCTCTCGCCAATTCCCGTGTCCCTGCTCTCCATCTGCTCCACGCCGACTGGCCTCGTCTGACAAGGCCTTGACGAGCAGATCCGAGGACGGATCAGTGTGGGACAGACTGCCCGGATCGGCAGACAGGTTATCTGCAAGGCTCAGCACGTTAGCGAGACTGGCGTTGGCCTCCTTGAAGCTCAGCTGATCCGTCTGAGCGTTGGCCGTCGATCGCACGCCTGCCGCCGAGGGCGTCATTCCGTCCATGCTCCTCGTGACGGCGCCGCCTGCCGTGCAGCAACTGCTGCCACCGCTGCCGCCTGCCTGTATGCTGCTGCAACTCTCCGCGAACGCGGCGGCTACGCCAGAATGACTGCTGGACGGACTGAGCGTATGGCCGTGACTGTCGTGTCCGCCGCGGCCCGAAGGGCTGAGGCTGTTATGCGTCCATCCCGTCGATGAGGCGATGCTATTGCTGCGTGTCGAGGCGGATTTCGATGTGGCTGCGGTGCCGGACGAGAGCGCTGCGGCGTTCGCTGCAGATGGAGGCGGCGAAGTGCTCGACCTGTGCTGTTGCGGTTGCTGTTGGCTCGGCACCTGCCGTGGAGCTTGTAGGTGAACATTCGCTGTTGCTGTCGTTGCTTGGGCCTCCATCGCTTCTCGTCTGGGCCTGTGGCTGCAGGCCCGTGTTTGAAGAGTTTGGCCCTCAGGCCTCTGCCCGTGAAGACTCGCCGTACCGATACCGTCAGAACTGCGGGAGAATCAACGACGAATGCTGAGTGATGTGTATGTGTCTATGTGTATGCATGTGTATGTGTATGTATACGTGTATGTGTATGGTCATGTGTATGTGTTCCACCTTCGCTTTCCTCCTGCTGACTGTGACAGCAGCAAAAGGCAAGGAAGGCCGGAGACACTCGTTCGCTGATCAGGTCCGCCGCTGCGACGCGCTTTCCCATGTGTATGTTATGTACGTGTGTGTTGTATATATACAGGTATGTATCTCCCTTTCTTCGAGGCTACCTATAGCCAGAGTGTCCTGTAGTAGCCAGGCTGCTGCGCCGTCCAAGAGACTGGATGCAACGATCAATTCCAGCAGTGGGGTGGGACGCAGCAGCGTGGCTAAGCACCCAGAATGCCATCCATCTTGGGCAGCCCGTCCTTTCATTGTAGCAATGGACGATGGGGTTGGGTTGGGTACGATGATGTGAGGATGTTGTGCGCTGCGTGTGGTGGCGGCGGGAGCAGTGAGCGAATCTGATGGAGAACTGACAAGCCGGCGACACGGGCGCAGTGCCGTGTGCGGACAGAAAGAAAAAAGAACCTGCTGCTGCCTCGGGAGGTGGGCGCAGCGAGAGATATGCAGAGAGAAGAACGGCGCCCCGCCTCGCCAACCAGACTGCTGGAAAGTTGAGCAAAAGTGATGACGCGCTTGGGAGCTCGGACCGCGACAGATACACTGGCCTACTGCTGTCGGTTCTAGGTCCGTCCCGGGTAGTGCTGATGCGTCGCATGCACATCGCCTCACCTCGTTGCAGTCAGGGGTGAAGGACATGATAGCGAGGGCCAGCCAGCAAGCAATTGGATGGGTCACCAATATCTTCGCGCTTAGCCAGAAAGCTTCTCCAGTCTCCAGACAAGAGGGCCCACCAAAATGGCAAGACGGATGTCAAGTGAGTGGCAAGTGCTGCGCGCTCGTGTCCCCGCGACCGATTACTATATCGAGGCTTTGCCAGTCATCGTTCTCTGTCGTCTGCGGGTATCCAATCTTGTGGTAGGGTATGTACGAGCTGGATCGAGGTTCTAGTCCAATCAATGCCGATGCTGTCCTCGTCCTCCCCGGAGGGGCACTGTTGGAAATTGACCCGCTGACGATAAAAGAAGCTGGTAGAATGCAACCGTGCACAGGGTGCACCGTGCAAGGCAAACGAAATACGCGTCATGGCAGCTCGCACGCATTGGTTTCAACAGCCGGCAACAACAACAACGACAACCCACCAGTAGCTTTTCACACAGCAGTCTCGATGAGCAATCCCGTGCGAACCCCGAGGAGGTCAAGCCTTGTCTCTTTCCTTCGCATGTCTCCGAGGATACGCAATGCATATCGAAGACAACTCGCTTGCTTGGCAGCCAGGCCTCACCTGGCGTTGTACATGGCCCATAAGAAAGGAGACAAACCATACGCTTCTTCCTCCGCTTGTAGACAAACGTGTATCATCGTCAAATAGTGCGGCGATCCTTTCATCGGCGCGGCATTGCACCTTGCAAACGTCACAACGACATCCATAGCTGTCTGTAGAATTGGACAGTTCGTTCCCAATTCAACTATTAAAGTACATGTACGGTGCTCCGGTATGCTGGACCCTGCTTTGCAGCTCGCTCCCAGTCGCAACGAAATTGAATGCAGGCCCTGAGAGCTATGCATGCTCGCTCCGAGGTTGAGACCTGGCAGCACTCATGAGCGCGGGCACTTGCACTGCTGATCTTCGGGGACCGAGGACATGACCTGTAGCGATAAGTCCGATATCAGACCGGGCATGGAGCGCGACAGCAGAGTGGGTGACATGTGATGCAGTCATCAGCTGTTGATGTTCATGGCGACCGGAAAAGAGAAGAGAGCAAGTGTCACTCACCTGGTCGACGTGCTTGCCGCACCCTTTCCAAGTCGTCAGTCCGCACTTATCACCTGTTCAAACAGTCGAGTACCATGTTTAAGCGTGTGACGTTCTTTCAAATCAGGCGTGTGCGCTGGGCGGCCCCGACGCAGTCGTCTAGATCGTTCTTAAAGTTTTAGTATTACCCACTCACATTTGACGGCAAAGCACTCGTTGACGAGGGTATTCTTCTCGCGCATATGAACGGCGGCCATATTGGTGTAATCTCAAAACTGGTAATGTGGGCAAAGCAATTGTTTAAGGCGTGATGTTTTAATGATTAGAGCTTGCCACCCACACTAGACCCCGTGTCTGACAGCCTCCGTTATATATGAATGTGATGGGCTCACAGACTGAAGGATGGTTCATTGGAGGACGTCGATCCAGAAACAGCCCGCAAAGTGGCCACTGTATCGAGGATGTCGTGTGGGAGCTATGGGAGAGTCATAGTAGGGCGAGGTGCATACGGAAGTCAAAGCCCTGAGAGAACGAATCAGGCAACCCTAACTTCACACTCCTCCAAGCCCAGTCTGCTGTGCGTTTGATCACCACGCAGAATCAAGAGCATCTTGTCTCGCTCGTTCTCAGTCCCTATTTTACATTGAAGTGTTCCATCATCGCGAGATGCCAAGCTAGTAGGCGCCGACGCGTAAGAATACTACACCTGGGGAGACGTGAAGCACCCTCGCAGACGCGTGCTTCTCTGATCAGCCAGAAAATCCACCGAGATGCAGCGGATGGATCCCCGTGTGCAAGCCCAGGCGCAAGCGCAGGCGCAGGCGCAGGCGCATGCGGCGGCGCAGGCGCAGGCACAGGCTGCCGCCCAAGCACAGCAAGCGGCCGCGATGCAGATGCGCAAGCGCAATGCCCTAGATTCGGTCATTGGCGAAGGGCTGCGCGTTGCCAAGCGCGGTCGACCGACGGACCGCGCGCTGCCTCCGAAAGTCAAGACATACGTGCCAGAGAGCGCGTTGTACAACGACCTACGGCGCATGGAGAAGAAGCTCGACTGGACAATCGCCAGGAAGCGCGCCGAACTGACAGATGGACTGAACAGGACCCCAAAGGTGAGTAGCAGATCACTCCTGTCGAGTACCTGCTCGTGTTCTGACTTTCGCTCGTCAGATCAAACGAACCCTGCGCATCTTCCTGAGCAACACTTCGGCAAATCAACCCTGGCAAAAGGCCGAAGCGGCACAGCCAGTGGGAGCGGAAGTAGATGGTGACAAGACAGAAGAGGAGAAGAAGAAGAAGGAGGCGGCAGATGCGGAGAAGGCAGCAGCGAGCAGCTCCGACGCTGATGCCCCAAGTTGGACACTACGCGTCGAAGGCAGATTGCTCGAGCCAAGCTTCCGTTCACGCTCCAGTTTGGCCGAGACAGCCCGCGCGAATGCCTTACGGATCGGCGCGTACAAATTCAGCAACCTCGTTAAGACATGCATCATCGAGATCCAGCGCGATGCAGCGCTTTATCCGGACAGCAGCAACATTGTCGAGTGGAACCGACCAACGCCGACAGCTGCTCCGCACAACCAGCCAGGTGGCATGGCGTCTGGCCCGGCATCCGAGAATCCACTGACTGCTAGTGCGGATGTAGCAGTCGATGGCTTTGAGGTCAAGCGCAAAGGCAGTGAACCTGTCAAAGTGAAGATCGCGCTGTACTTGACCCACAACCCGGAGCGTTTTGCCTTGGCACCAGAGCTCGCCAGTCTTCTCGACATCCAAGAGGAGACGCGCGCGGGTGTCATCACTGCCCTGTGGGCGTATATCAAGGACCGGCGCCTGCTGGACGAGCAGGACCGGCGTGTCGTCAAGTGCGATGCTGCGCTGCAGGCGCTGTTCAAGACGCCCTCGGTCAATTTCCACCACGTGCCAGAAATCCTGAATCGCTTTTTGCAGCCGCCACAGCCGATCGTGCTCGAGTATTGGATCCGCACCGACAAGGCGGAGCACAAGAACCCGACCGCGTACGACGTCGAGATCGACATGGACGACACGGCGGTCAAGCAAAAGCAGCACGAGATTCTCACAAAACTCGACAATAATTCGGAACCTTCACGGCAGATCGCGGAGCTCGACGATCGGGTGTGTAGAAGCGGGGCTTTGATCCGTCATTGGTGCTTGGGGACTCACCTTGCGTTGCCTTTCTCACAGATCGCTCAAGCTGCGCAAGCAGTGCGAAATCATGCGACAACGCGCGACTTTCTCTCGTCTTTCGCGCGCGACCCGCATGCTCACATACGCACGTGGCTTGCCAGTCAGGCCAGGGACCTGGACGCAATCATGGGTACCACGGCGCTTGGTGCGAACGGCGTCGCGACAGGGATCGGCGCAGAGGAAATCCGCAGAGCAGAGACGTTCAAGGGCAGCTGGGTAGAAGAGGCGGTCGTGAGTAGCCTTGAGCAAAGATTCAAAGCGCTTGAATAGCGTCGCCCCGCCGACTGACGGACTGTGCTCTATCTTACAGATCGTCAACGAAAGTCAACGACTGGCGGAAAGGCTACAGGAGCTGCAAGCGCCTGTGCAAGGGCAGAGGTGATGGCACGACTTTGTATTTCTAGTATTGTCCAAGCATACGGTAGAAGGCTAATCTGTATAATCTGCCTGGCTGGTATGCACGAGTAGGTGACCTAGACATGGTTGCACAATGAGAGGATGGGACAGTCGGGTCATGCTGAGTAAGCAGAAACGCGCTCACAGCGTGGGACAATGCGGTTGGGATCCAGCTCGCTCCCACTCATCGACACAAAAGGTGCATCTGACCAATCGCAACCCGTGTATCATTTTGCGATCACAACTGGCACAGCTTCCAAGACACCGTGGTCTTGAGAAAGGTACAAAGCGTACCTTCCACAGCATGCCAAAAGCAGCAGCAGAAGACAAAGCCCAGCAAGGTGCGCTTGTGCACGGGTCGAGAACGGCGCATACAGCCAGCAATTAGCTAACATGGATGCTGATCTTGTGGCTATAATGGCATGACATGACATCGGTAGCTGAGGAGCTGATCCTGACGTACATGCGGCAGCAGAACCGTCCCTTTGCATTAACCGACGTCCACCTCAACCTTAAAGGCGCTGTGACGAAGCCTGCTGCACAGAAAGCCTTGCTGGCTCTAGCTGATAGCGGCAAGCTGCTAAAGAAGGAATATGGTACGTGGCACCGTAAGCCTTGTCTGCGCGGATCGCAGGCAATGTCTGAACGAATCAGGCATCCTTGGCCTTGCTGCTTCACAGGTAAAAGCTTGTTGTTTCTTGTCAAACAGGTGAAGCGCTCTACACGCACAGCTATCAAAAGGGTTACCAGTCCCTGAGGCCTAATTCTGCCATCACTTGCAGAACTCATTGGAAACCCTGGACAAGGACGGGCTGACAGCATTGGGACAGGAAACTGCGCTCAAGAAGCAAGAGCTTATAGAGACGAAGAAGCTGCTGGCAGCAAGGCAGGCTGAGGCGGAAACTGTCGCCGCTTCACCGTCGAACACGCAGCTTGTAGAGCAGGTTGCTCTGGCCACAGCGCATGTGAGGATGTGCACATTGGTCTGGAGGCTGCTTGCGCGAAGTTTTGACTGAAGTCGTCGTCGCAACCGCGGTCTTTCCATCCATGCTTATCAAGTGCACGGCGCTGGAGAAGCAGCTCGCCGAGCTCAAGTCTTCAGGTGCAAAGCCGATGACCGACGAGGAGGTGGCCGTGTACGATAAAAGCCTGGACTTTTGGCGCAAAGTAAGTAACAGTCCTTTCTCCAAGCAGTTCAGAGCAATCACGGTGACTTTTGCTTGCCTTGTACGTTTTTGCAGGCGTGGATCTCCAGACGCAAGGCGGTGAAAGAGTGGGTACAAGATGCGCCCGCACCCCTGTGCCTATTTGCCTTTAGGCGTAGGAGCTTTTGTAAAAGTCGCAAGGAGAGCTGACTATGAAAGCTTCTGGTCATGTCGTGTCTATATTTCTTGCCCAATGACGAACGGCACCTCCGGTAACCTCAACGTCCTCCCGGCCCCAATTCTCGTACGGCGACCGCTATGTCATTTGTACCGCAAAGTCTTCTCGTTATGGTGTCTGATGCGCTCGGCAAAGAAGAAGTCGCTAGTATCATGGACCAATTTTCCATCACCCTAGAGGAGGACACTGAGGCGGAGGAGCAATTTGTCCAAAATGAGCCCCGGTAAAGGTCTGATGATGATATTTGCACAGCCATCTTTAACTTCGAAGCAACAATAGGATCAAGTTCGAGCCTCGCAAGTCAAGTGAAATGCATTTCATCTGAGTGGAAACGTCCGAGACTATTCACGCGCGTATGATGTCGAGTCATACGGGGCGAAGGGCCTAAGAATACTCTAACTAAAAATGTCACCACTCCGGTCTATGCCGTATGTTGGTCTGTGCTCTGCCGGAGCAAGCCGGGACCTTTGGTACTTGATGAGAGAATTATTCAGATGTGATGCGTGACGCGAGACGCTTGCCGCTGGTGCTGGCAGCGGTAATACCTGTGAAGGCTCGCCGCTCGAAATCTCATGACGTCATGGAGCCAACCACTGTCCAACCACAAACGAGAAAATGCGGGAAGCTTGGCGTTTCTTGTGATCGGTTTAGCTGATGAACGATGAACGATGAATGATTGGTTTTTGCGCGAAAGGGTGGATGTGGATTGTGCATGTAGGCTGGCTGGACCTGCAATTTGGGGTATTGTGAGGTTTCTCGGCTGGCATACGCCAACTTGAGAAGCCGCTGTCAGATTCAGTGTAACATGAAGAGGAGGGCCCGAGAATGGGTGAGACTTTGCTTGTGGCTCTCATTTTGCCTAGGGAGCCACGAGTAGAGCAAAGTCGCCAACAGCCGGCAAATCACAAAGCTTGTTCACGCGTTGAAAATTTGAATTCCCGAAGCAGGACGACCACAATTTTGTGTTACAACCGACTCGTGGCTGCAGACAATTCTTTCTCACTTAATTGACTCTGCCGCAGTCCGTAATGGACGGTGGCTTCCACGGACAGCGAAGTCAATTGCGGTCTGCAGCAGGGGCGAGGCATATATCTTTTAGGAGCGTTCCTGACGTAATGAGGGAAACTGTTGTGACCGTATCGGATTTTACACCTCTCGGCCGAATCATCCCTCCGCGGAGATCAGACTCGGGCCCGGCCGGCCGCATTCCTCTGCTCGACGCCGACTCAATATGGCCAGTCACCCAGGAAACGACGCGGCACTCCAACGATGCAGTCCGCGACCAAACCACAATTTACTGCAGCACATTCAACTTGCGTTTGCGTAGTTACGGTTATTACTACCCTCACCGCAATCTCTATGTGTATCAGATAGCCCAGCCTGCTGAGTCATACTATCATCGTCGCACTGTCTCCAACGAGTGCAAAGGTCGGTTCTTCAGGTCCCCACCAGCGATCAGGCGAGTCCGCGACGCAAGTCGCTCCTTGGCGGTCCGCGTACCCTCATCCGTGAATAATCGATGAGACGATAGAGAGCGCTTTGCATAGGAAGAGTGGCATCTAGCGAGTACGACAGGAGCGCAACGCCAATCGCAAAAAAGCTTCTGCAATTTTGTTAACGCCTAAACAACACCCCCTGCTACAGGTATTAGCGCAGCGCTCGTGCGGGATAGTGACCAGATTCGGTGCACGCCCGACCGTTGCGGATGACCCAAAGCTGCGCTCGTGCGTCACGATAGCCTGTGGTGTCACCACTGGCGACAAACAAAGATCGAAAGGGCCAACGCAGGAGAGGAGGCGGCCAGGTGTTTCGCGATTGGCAAGGTTGCAACGCCAGGCTGGTGCCCAATTGCTCGAGGCGTATTTGACGTCGGCCTCTCAGTAGGGGCCTACACCTGCTTGCACAATGAAGGCGAGCGCAAGCAGCGAGAAAGCGCTGCAGGATGCATCCCATAACGCTGAGGATGAAATGGACGCAGCGGGAAAGAGGAGGAGGGTACAACGTGCCTGTGATGTACGTCATGGCGCGACTTGACTTCCATCGTCGCGGTGCTGATAAGCCCCCTGGTCGCGCCATTTTTTCTTACCTAGATTTGCCGGCGAAAGAAGATCCGCTGCGATGGGGCGCAAGAGGATTCCGGAGCTTGCAGCAATTGGTAAGCAATGGCGCTTGTCCGCACCACAGTCCACCTTCTGAAATGCCCTTTCGCCTCGCTCCCCCATCAGTAACAATTTCGGGCTGGAGTGTACGTTTGTCGACGCGGCAAAAAAACGCACGCCCCCACGAAGCTATGTCGATGCGTTAGAGGCGCGCATTGAGAAGTTGGAGCTTCTAATCTCACAATTAGCGCCCGGCATGGACTTTACTGATCGCATCGGTCCACCAGTCACGCTTGAAAACGCAAAGGAAGGTCTCGAGGCAGAGCGCAACAGTCGAGACGACGCAGGCTGCAACCCGGTAGGTGCGCTTGGTCACGAATCTAGATCCGCGAGCACTTTCGAGAACGCAGGCACGTCCGATGACGACAGCGAGCGAGAAGGTGTGGCGTATCTCATCAATGCGATATCAAAGGCCGCAATCGATCAGGATAATCAGGAAGAATCTCCTTGTCCAGACTCTTCCAATCCATCACAGAGAATGTTTCTGGTTTCCTCCACTCATCGGGACGATCGTGTGCTCGCCTTGGGGTCATCAGATAGTACATACACCTTCAATACACGCCAAGAGCCCATCAAGTTCTTCGGCAATTCCTCTGGCGTCGCCTTGGTCGTGAGTTGTCGCTCCTGTGTCAAGCTTCTTCGCAGAGATGGTACCCTCTCATACTCATCGTCTCGAATTTTGCATGCAGGTCCTGATTCAGAAGATGTCAGCGACGCTAGACACGATGCCTGCAGGCAAGAGCGAGGCCATCAACGCGCTTGAGCGGATGCTTTGCTTTCGTGGGCAAGAGTACGACCGCCTCTGGATGGGGCGCCCGAAAGTGCTCGACCCCAAGATGGACCTCCTTTGGCCGGAAGCGGATCTGGAGGAGAAGTTGCTCGACACATACTTTACCTACGTTCACCCACGGTGTCCAGTTGTCAACGAGTTCTTCTTCCGGGACGAGCTGCGCAGTCGACCAGAGCTGCGCCAGAACGTGGACTGGGTCTGTGTTGCCCTCGGCATCTTTTGCTTGGCTTCGAGACATTTGTCCGATCCGAGGCTCGAAAAGTATTCTTTGAAAGATGGCCAGTGCACGGAGCCCGGCCTGCGCTGGTACCACATCCGTACAGCTCTTGGCGCACACGAGGTGTCCGAGACCCCCAATATCTACATCGTCCAGTCACAGCTGCTAAGGTGAGTCATTAACCTCTTACGCGAATACCGGTTGGATCCAGTGCAGGGGCTAACGTGCGAACGTCCGCTCCAAGTGTCGGATATCTTCATGGCGTACCTGCCGGTGCTACTATCAGCTGGGCAATCCTGGGCATGGCAATCAAGGTTCTGCAAGGTCTTGGCGCGCACAGACGCATCACGGCCAAGCGCCTCAAAGCATCGCTTGTCATTGAGGAGACTGTGCGCAGGGCCTTCTGGGTCGCGTACGATTTCGATCGCGAGCAGGCCTCCGGTCTCGGCAGGCCTCTGATGATCCAAGATGAGGACTTTGACGTCGCTGAGCCGCTCGACATTGACGACGACGTGATCTACGAAGCATCCAAGAACGGGACCGTTCCCGTCCAGCCGGATGGCCGACCGAGTAAGTTCTCCGCTTTCATCACCTCCCTGAAGCTGCAGACTATCGTTGGACGCGCGTTGCGAACGATCTACGCGATCGGAAAAGCAAAAGCCATGCGCGGCTTCGCCGGATGGAAGTGGGACCAATTTATCGTAGCGGAACTGGATTCAGCCCTCAATCAATGGCTCGACACGGTCCCCGAGCATCTCCATTTCAATCCCAGCGAATCCGACGAAACCATCCTGATGAATAGTGCGTGGATCTACACGCAGTATTATACCGCTCAGATCTTGGTGCACCGACCGTTCATTCCGGACCTCAAGTCGACTTCCCCGCTCAAGTTCCCATCGCTTGCCATTTGCACCAACGCTGCTCGCTCAGCTGGACACATCTTTGATGCGATTCAGATGCGCAACCTCGTGCATCTAGTCGATAACCGGATCTTTATGCGTGCATTCGCCGCCTCGACTGTGCTCCTCGTGATGGTCTTCACCTCCCGCAGCTCATGCTCTGCCATGACTGAGGTGCGCAAGACTATTCGATTCCTGAAAGGCTCGTCCAATCGCAGGATATTTGGCGGCCTCATGGCCCAGACGCTCGTACATCTTGCAGACTTGGCCGAAGCTCGCTTCAAGGAAGCAAAAGAACAAGGCAAGCGTCCGAAGAAGCGACAACATGCCGATGCGACCGGCAAGCCCGAACACTCGCGGCAAAATTCCAATTATCACGACGAATCGCCAACTGACTCTCCGAAGTATGCCACGCCATATCAAGGATCAACACCATCGTCCAACACGTCGCAGATTTCGTCGCAGCCGCTAGAAAATCTACCATTGTCGACTTATGAGCTCGCCGCAGCATTCCAGACCAAGTCGTCCGGCGGCCATGAATCAAACGCGTCCTCTCTAGCCGCTCATGCGTTTGCCGACTTGACCTTCGCGAACCCCTTTGCGGGTGGCGGACCGTACAGTGCTACTGAGTCAATAGCACCCGTTGCATCCCAATTCGATACCAGTAGTGTTACCGGCCCTTTCGGGCCAAATACCACCAACAATGCATCCAACTTCCAAATGTCAGACCTCAAGTCTGAAAGCCAACGTCGCTTGTCCGCATTCGCCATCGATCCGACCAAGGCCCCCTCCGTGGCCATGTCCGCATTCTTTGGCGCGAATGCATTCCCGGGCTTCGACAGAACACTGAATGCGGATGCAGGCCCGCAGATTCCGTCATTCCCCTTCATGACCACGCCTCAGTTCCAGTCGACCGATTCAACGCTGCCATTTGGCATAAACTCAGAGAACGTGCTGAACCCGTCCCTGCTGGACGGAAGCCCAAATGCCGGAGCCACTGAAGACACGCTCAACGACCCGTTTAACGGACTGTTCGTTCAGGGTCAGCTCTGGGGAGAATTTGGCTCTTCAGGCGCGAGTGAGTTCTCATCTCCCTTCGGTAACACCTTCAATGTGCTGATGAGTATATATCCTGCTCGCAGCCTTCTTCCAATAGCGACGGTCCTGGTGCTTCATCCTTATTCGTTATTCCTTGTAGCATACCGCCTTGCACCTCTCCCGCAAACCATACCACTAATTTGTTCGCCCTTGCCGGACAGGATTAAGCTAAATGTTGTGATGATCGCTGGTATACAGATGAATGAGTGTGATATATTTTTAATTTCTGGTTCCGTTCTGCAGAGATGAAGGGGTCTCGTCCAGTTGTTCGCGTGCCTTTCCTGATATAATTTGGCGCACTTGTTTCTCGGCCTGTCCAAACCCGCGCAGCATGTCGTCGAAGGCCCTCACATCGGCAGAATACTTAGGTGGTGGCTTGGGAGGTGTATCCGTGCCTTCGTGCGCGAAAGACGCAGAAGCAGCGTGCGTTTCGCTCACCTCGGAGTCTTTGATGCCAAGACCGATCGACGCTTGCGCAGCGACGGCGATTGGCCGCGGGAAAGCAGGGGCCGCGCGATCGCCTTCTGCGGCAACGAAGGGCGGAGACTTGGCGACAGCGGACTCAGGAGACAAAACAGGGCCGAGGTGCCGATAGGTGCTAGAGTCGACTGCCGGTGCCATCCCCGGCGACTTCGAGCGCATGCGCTCGCGCAGCGCACCAAGGAGGCCGGGCGATCGCGACTGCGTCGTCTGCTGCTGAGACCAAAGCATGGGACTCATCACTGGATCTCGGTTCCGATCCATGGAGAACGACGTCCGCGAGTGCTCGGCTGGACTTGTAACACGTGAGCGCAGCGCCTGAATCGGAGGCGGGAGTGGAGAAAGAGCCTGTCGATGTGCTCCTACCTCTGCAGCCGCAGCGTCGTCGGGAATAGCGCACATAGCTGCCTCCGCATCCAAGTCCAAGACTTTGTCTACGTCTTTCACATTGCTGTCCTTGAATGGCGATGCGGACGAGTTGTCCAAGAGAATCTGACCGTGGTCTATTCTCTTGCCCTCGCCTTGCTGCACCTTTTCTTCTACCCTCGCAACCGTCTCGTTTTCCAATTGATTTCCGCCCGCTTTGTCCTCGAGCGAGCTCATCGAGCGCCACGTGCTGTCACGGCTATGGGCCGTCGCCTCACTGAGCAAATGCGGAGAAAGCGACTTGCGGATGGTGGGCCCATCTAAGATGTCGTCGGCAGCCGCGACGGTGAGCAAGTCTTTGGACTCGGAAGCGCCGTGCAAAAGCGAAGGCAGTGGCTGCTGACGCGGGGATGACGTGGCCAGCGTCGCGTTAGACGCATTGAGACTGCGAGTAACAACTTCGGATAGAATATCATGTCGCCACTTGTTGTCCGCTTCAAGTGTATGAGTGGGCTTTGAATCAGGTACTGTGAGCGCCGAAGATGGCTCTTTGCACACCGATTTGGGACTGCCGACGTTCACCTTGCCGGGGCTACCGCGCAGAAAGCGCGAGCGCCATGAGGAGGCCTCTTCCACCTTGCGTGCCTTGGGTGGCGGTGGCGCTTTGCTGGGCTTGAGCACCTCCGACGCCGGGGGTGCCGCCACAAGCCCCTCGCTCGCTCCTGTTTGTTCAAACCTATGGCCAACCCCCGACGGTGCAGCACCAGCTTGGCCGTGCGAGTCGTCCAAGGACGGATGCACCTTTTTGCGCAGCGCGAAGGAAGGGAAGCGAGCGCTCCGCCAGCCAGAAGGTCGCTTCAAGGACTCTAATTGCGACTGCGACTGAGTGTTCGCGTTCCCAGAAGCAGAATCATGCCGATGCGACCTCGAGTGCATGGACGAAGTCCCGATGACCGATTGGCCCGCTTCTGAAGCGTTTGCCCGTATCCCCTCTACACCAGGCTCCATCGCAAACAGATTTGGCGACGAAGAAGTAGGTCGTAAGAACTCCCTTCCCCGTGCTGCGCCCGCCGCCGCCGTTGCTGATGTAGAGGAGGAAGTTAAGTGCTGCGCATCGACGCTGAGCAGCTGCGGGCTGCCGCTGCTGGACGGCGAGCGACTGGCCGGATTCGGCGGGATGTAGTACGTGTTTTGCGCCAGCAGGCTACGTCTCTCCCGATCGCTAAGGTCGCGCATTGGCGACGAAGAGCACTTTATCGACTTCTTCTGCTTCTCCTTTTTGGCGATCCCGCTCACGGTGTGTTTATGGACATTCTCATTGGCGTTGGAATGGACGTTTGCGTTTGCGTTCCCACGCGCATCCGCATGCGCCTTGGCATTGGCATTGGCGTTACCCAAGGGAGGGGGAGCCGCATGCCTAGTAATGTCAGTGTTGCTGTTGTTGTTCTCGGCGCTGCGCGCATGCAGGTCGCTCGCGGCGTCATGGATCTCATTGGCATCGAAGAACTCGTCGGCAGCCTCGGTGTCTTCCTGATACACAGTCGACAGGTGCCGCGCCTCTGTCGGGCGCCCGTTCAGCGTGCCCGGCAGCGCGCGGACCGCATACGGCGACGAAGGCGGGCCGGACCCGGAGCCAGAGCCGGAACCGGGGGCGGAGTGCGCGCTGTAGCTGGAGGGCGTGTAGTCCGATGCAGCCTCGGACGTTGTGGCCGTCTGCGGGAGAGCAGGCACTGGGGACGCAGGAGCAAACGCTTGGCCTACGTTGTTTGCTCCCCGAACACCAACGGAAGTGACGGCGTCGAACTTGCTACTGATGACTGAGTGAAGACTCAACGAACGAGGGCGTTTCGTCTCTTTCTTCGTGTGCTCCTTCTCGCTCTGCGCATTCGCGCCGCTCGTTGTCCTGGGCGAGGCGGGCAGCGAGCCGCTGCCAATGCCGAATCCGGACGTCAAGCCTCGCAGAGGGGATTTGGACGGGTGCGCCCGCATGCCGCTGCCTGCGGCTTCGACCCACTCGGGTACGGGCTGCACAAACAGAGACGCAGCTTCGCTGCTACTGATGCTCGACGTGCGCTGCGTGACGCGCGGCATGTCGACGCTCCGCGCGCGTGCCGAGGCAGACGCGGGTGGCGCTATGCCCATACGCACATGGCTATTGGAACTGATGTTCGCTCGACCAACGCCGGCGAGGGAAAGATGGCTCTGTGAAGGAGGCATGGTGGACGCGTAGCTCGAGCTGTCCGTCATCATTGCCGCTGCGAGTCCAGCTCGCGGACTGATCGGCGTGCCGGGCGCGCTGCCGCTGACAGCAGCCGGTGCTTGGAAACTTGTCGAGCTCGTCACGCGCGGAGGAGGTATGGGCGGTGGGGTGGCTTTCTGCTTGCCTTTATCCTTGTCCTTTCGAGACCGGCGCTTCCTGCTGTCCATTGAGTGGCAGCGCACGTGTCCGCCAGGACCAGGGTTCTCGGGAGAGAACAGAGGCGCGAAGCTCGATGCGCCAGCAGTAGCAGATGTGCCTACTGCGGTGGTGGTGGTGCCGACGCGCACATCGTCGCTGTCCTGATCGCTCCCAAACGGATGCCCACTCCGCCCCGCCGAGCTGCTGGCGGGGAACGCGTAGAAAAGATCCTGCGCGCGCGCACGACTGTTGCTGGGGTTGCTGCTGCCGCCATTGACAGAAGAGCTATGGTATTGCTGCTGCCCCTGATGCTGCAGAGATGTCTTCGAGGATGTGCGACGCGTCCTTGACTGCTGCTGCTGCGCTGCTGTTCTTCCTCCTCCAAATGCCCCTTCGCCGTCCCTCCTTCCGCGCGAACCACGCGTCCCGCTGGGGCTCGCCCTCCGCCAGCTGCCGCTCACAGCGTTCTCAGCGTGGTGTGTGACGGTAACAACAGCAGCAGAGAGGCTGTCCCTGCTGCCTGAAGCAGCGGTACCCTCTCCCGCTGACTCACCTGCAACCGCAGCGGCGTGGTCGTCGGACAGCGCCAGTTTTCCTCTGGAAGGCAAGGAGCCGCCGAATCGCTCGACCCAGACGGCATGGTCCGGGTGCCTTGGATTGGCAGCTTGCACGATCGCGTCGAACGCATCTGGGCCGCTGATGTGGTACGACGGCATGCTTTCCTGTTCCCTCTCCCTCTCTAGCTCTCCTTCCTTGTCATTGCCGCGAACATTGTGCGTACTTTCTGAGCGGGAGATGGAGGCTCTGCACGCTGAATGGTGAGCGTGAGTATGGCTCGACGCGTGATGCTGGTCAGCGCCGCCGCCGCCGCTCGCCTGCCCGTGGCCCGAGTTGGAGCTGCTAGACGCGATGCCGGCTCTGATCCTAATGTTATCATTGTGGTTGTTGTTGCTGGTATGCAACGACGAGGCATAGGGGGGCGGGACGAGGGATGACCCGCCACCGTTGCCCCCACTTCCGCTTCCGGGAGCAGCAAGGCTGCCTGTGCTGGCACTGGCATTTGCATGCTGGGAAGGGTTGGAATGCGCGCCATTGTTCGAACCGGCGCTTCCGAGGGAAATGCGGGGCGAAGACTTATGGCGCCTGCGCGAGCTTCTCTTCTCTGCCGCATCGAGCTCTGCACTCGCGGCCGGCGGGGGCGAAGGCGCACAGACCGACAAGGAACGACTAATGGTTCTGCTGTGGGCTTTCTGGCTGTTACGCATAGACGAGCCACCGCTGTTGCTCAGTGGTGGCGACAGATTGCTCATGATGGTTGCGTGAAGGCAAGGCGAAGCGCCGGGCTGGGTATGTTGGCAATGCAATCAAAACGGCCTATAGGTCGAAGTGCCATCGGACTTGGAGAGCGTACAGCTGATTGGGTGAGCGTTCCGGTTCAAAGGAGATGTATTTCAGCCCGCAGTGCATCACCTTCTCTGTGCGTCGATCAGCCCTCACCGAGAAAAGACTGCTGAAAGCGCTGCACTGCTGTTCGCTCAGATCACGGAGAGCAGCAGCCGTAGCGAAAAAGTGGGGACGCCGATGGTACGGTGAGACGCAGTGTCTTCATCGCACAGTCGAAATATATATAGCCAGGCTGCGCCGAGTATGATGCATGCATGTATGTATGTCTGCCTGTCACCTGCCAGAGTCCAGTCCAGCCCAGATGGATCCGACAAGAGAAGTAATAGCGAGGAGCAGGTGCAGGACCCACGACGGGCAGCAGAGAGCCAAGAACACCACCGCGGTTGGCTGCCGGGGGCTTCTGTCGGGGCGGCAGGCGACAGGGGGCTTGGGCGTCGAGGTGTCTCTGCGCCGGGGCGTGGGGTGGGGGGATGATGAGCATGGGCAAAGTATGAAGAGATGTTATATCGAGTGCACATCTGGTGCTTTGCTTCGCGCCACATTGGCATGAGGGAGTCAAGTCGAGTCTGCCGCGCAGGCGAGCGCCAAGAATATCACAACCCTACTTTCTCCCAGATCGATTATCCAATCAAATCCAATCAACGTCACGTCCACGAACGCAACCCCATCCTCATCCACAGCCGCGAGAGGCATCGCATGCGGGACGGCAAGACAAGAGAGCATCCCGCATTCCCGCCATCTCGCACCAAGCTTCCGCACCTGCCGCCCGAAGAACGGTGTTCAGAACGCTGCGCCTTGCCCGCGAGAGATGGCTGGAGACGTGTACATCTGGATGTGGGTGTGGATGGGTATCACAGCCACGGACCATCTGTCGTCAACTATCCGGACTTACGCCACAAAGGGCCATGATGTGCCGATACAAGGCCTTGGGATTGCACTGCAGGAACCGATGAGCGAGCACATCCCTTGCGGCGAAATAGTATACGTAATAGAACAATGCACAAATCGAAGCACGGGAGTATGTATTTGCCGCTGGCAACCCCCCTGAGTAGCGGTACACGCTTTCGCGAAAGAGAGGAGCGGCTTGCACCAACTGCCGCCGCTGGTGGCCATTCCCCTTGCTTGCTACCGAGCGGCCCCGCAAGGCCTCATGGACGATCGAATGACTGCTAGACATATTGCACGCCCTAGCCGACTTTCCGCTTGCCGAAGAACTGCTGGGCGGTCGTGCGGTGCCCTCCCTGCGCTCCCTCGGGCCCGCCCCAGCTCATCGCCTCGCGATGCCGGTTTATCGCCTCGCCAGCGGATGAGAAAGCGCGCTGCGCCGAGTCCTGTTTTTGCAGCGTCACAGCGGGCGCACAGGCAGTCAGGCAGGCGAGGGGCGGACGATGGATGAAGGTGCCAAGAAGGGTGAGGCGCACGGTGCGGAGTTGATCAGCAATGGGGCATAGCCTAGCGCAGTGGGCCAAAGGCACACGCGGACGCACAATGTACTCTTCTCGACTAGGCGCACGCTTGTCCGTCTTGATCGACACGCCGTGGTCCGATAGATTGATGCCTGATTTCTGTACAGGACGAAGCGCACGGAAATGTTGTCACGGGGTAACAGAAGCAGGCCGTTAGCGCCGTACATCCGTGGATACACAAGCTCCCAAGCCCAGCGGGACACCCGTGCTCACCTTCAGTGCCTCTTGCTGGTTCCGGATACTCTCCTGTAGCGCTGGCGAGCCGCGTGTGATGCCTTGGTAGATAGCAACAATCAGCGCGATCACGATCGCCAGGAAGATGTAATCGCCTATCGTTGCCATGGCGGCGATTCAAGTGCTTGCGCGGAGGCGCCCTCGTGCTGCTACGATCAGCGTTTTCTTTTGGCTCCGTGCTCCCTTCGCTCGCTCTACCCGCTCTCGAAGCGGATGCAGCAGCGTCTGTCGCCGGCACACTGTACTATGACTGGCCGGCCGTGCAGCGGGTTCGCCTCTGCAGGCTGATAGGGCCCTATCACACTACTTTTGCCCAGTCGCAGCGTCAGAGGACCAGCGCAGTCGGCGCCCGCACGCCCTGCAGCACGCAAGCTGTGGCTGAGCGTGGCGGTGGGGGTCGGTCGTCTTAAAGAGAGTTAGGGAGCAAGATGTCAGTGCGGATCTCTGGCGATGAATGTGCTGTAACAAATGCATGTCCTTCGTTGGACCGTGGCTGGGTGTGACGAGGTGTCCCGTTCTAGGCTGCCAAAAAACGTCACAGAAGTTGGCATCGGTCGCGGCGCGGACGCGACCGAGAGCGAGGATGATGGACTATTGCGAATGTTAGAGAGTCTGGAAGTCTGTCCTTGACAGCCCTTTACATGTACTTCTTACTCCAAACGGGACCTACGGTAACCTCCAGAGGGAGGTCGAGCAGGGCATAAGGCAGCTCACTTCGCGAACAGAGTCGCCTTTATCCGAGTCGAGCGAGATCTACCTGCAGAAAACGGACCGCCTCCCTGGAGGCCCAGCATGGCCACGCGAGCCATCACGCCCGCCAGACCTCTCGCGCTTGTTGCTCGCAGCGACGGTCCTTTGATCCACTCTCTCGCTCGTGCTCTGCGACCAACCACACGAGCGCATCACCTGCGCAGCTATCAGCTTCCCGCGAGGATCAGGCTCAGGCCCACGCCCGCTCTCAGTCGCGCCATTATGTCGTCGGCGGCAGCCGCCGCCGGTGCGCAAAGGCATGGACAAGGAGGGGCACAAAACAACAACCCGCTGTTAGATGAGACCTGCGTTCCTTGCCGCAAAGGTGCAACGATGCTTACGCAAGCCGAGATCGACGCTCATCTCGCTGCACTCCAAGGTGGCAGCGCGGGCAAAGGTTGGATTCTCTGTTCCCGCTCTTCATCACCCACGACACCGTCATCAGGGCCGTCAATATCAGCCCTAGGGAGGACATTCCGGTTCAAGAATTTTCGAACCGCATTGGCATTCACGAACGAGGTGGGAAGGATCGCAGAGGAGGAGAAGCACCACCCTGAAATTCTGCTGGAATGGGGCAGCGTCCGGGTCGCTTGGTGGACACATGCCATCGAAGGGGTGAGTTCAGATTGTCGTGCTCACGTTTGCACTGTTGTACCTCGTGCGCGTCTTTCTCTCCTCGAAACCAACTCGACATTCGGCCCTCTTCTGACCAATTGCCTGGCTATGCATACACTCGCCAGCTACACAAGAATGACTTCATCATGGCCGCAAAGACGGATGCGCTCGCGAATGCCGCAGAAGGGCTCAAGGCGTAAGTTCCTTTCATTCGGTTGACTGGGAATCCTCCCTACCTGCCCTGCTAAAAGGCCAGCGGTGGAGTGTGTTGAGAGACATGGTCATCGCACTCCTGACCAAAACAGAAAACTGGCAGGTGCTTGCACGCACCTAGTGTCCGGGTCGCTCTCGTTGCTTTGCGTGTACTCTACTGCTTCTACTCGCCTGGTCGGACATTGGTGTCTGTAGCCTGTACACCAGTCGCAAACGTATGCAGTTGAATTCATTCGGGTTTGTTGCGCCTCCGGGGGTTTGTTGCATAGTGCATCATGGAGCGAATGAGTGTCACGGCTGGTGTACATGCAGCATGTTCCCCCGCACAACATTGTTCTCGTTGGTGGGTTATATATACAACCTTCGTTTCGGAACGGCGTAGCGGCGTCATTGCCGAGTAAAATGTAGTACCACGAATGCGAGATCATATCCACCTTGCCACCAATCCCGTACTCTGTAGCTACTTCCCGAACGTGTATCGAAAGGTATTACAAGGTCCGCTGGAGTCTGCATGACGGCCCCGACGGCGATCCGTTCCAGCTGCATCGTTTGCCAGGCCAGCAGGCGTCGGTTCCTGTTTGCACAGGTCGCGCATCGACAACGATGCTACTCCCAGGTCGCCCCACCGTCCCAACCAGACGTCTCTTCGAACGCAAATCACGACATTTTGTTCTGCGGATCCGATCAGTTCGCACATATCATCCTGGCCAGGCTCATCCAGGCGAAGGGTTGGTATGATTTGCGCAAGCACAATAACTGCGCATGATGGGCTGTTGCTTATGCATGATCTTTTTCATTTCGGACCGTCAGAGCTGTACCGTTCCCTACATGTGTTGACCTCTCCAGGCGTCAATGATTTCCAATCATGGGGCGGCTCTCGCATGAAGACCTGTTAGTGTGCCCTCCAATGACGAACGCTCTGAGCTTTAGTGAGCTTCTTACGCACATGCCCTCCTCGCATTCCCTGTTTCAGCAACGGTCAAAGCGCTAGCGCAAGAGCACAGCGTGGCGCACCATATCATCCCAAAAGCAGGCATTGAGCACTTCACCTTACCCTTCTCGTCAGCATCTTCCAGGGGCCACCAAGAAAACTCCTCGCCTTTGCTCGTTACCGCCTCCTTTGGCCACTTCCTTCCGCCCTCATTCCTGAACACATTCACATCCCAGACAGGCGTCAACGGCGGTAGCAGTCGAGCGCTGAACGTGCATCCTTCGCTCTTACCTCATCTGCGCGGTGCGGCGCCCATCCAGTGGGCGATCGCGCGCTCGGAGGATGCTGCAGCAGACGTCCACGCGGCGGAGAGGACGGCTTCGTCGGTCGGCGTGACGATCCAGGAGCTCAGTGTCGTCGGATTCGACCGGGGCCGAATACTCCTGCAGCTGCCATTTGCGCTGCAGCCGCACAGTCCTCCTGGCGAACCACCGACGTCGATCGCATGGACATACGCAACGCTAATGCCGTTACTGGCGCACCTCGGCGCAGATGCGCTGCTGCGAGTCCTGCGCGATCTCGATCGGTGCGCGAGCTACGCAACGCCGCAGGATGACGCGCTAGCGACGTATGCACCCAAATTACGCTCAGACAAGCACGGCGTCGTGCAATGGACCAAGTGGAGCGCTAGACGCATCGAGGCACGGTGGAGAGGCTTTGGACACCACGTGAGGGCGCCGAATCTCTTTCCGTACCTGATATAACGGACCTAACCTCCGTGTTCCCTCTCCGAACACTCTCACAGTTCCCCTTCTCGACTATGCTCCATCCAGCACCAGAAGCAGTGCAACGAGGCGCGTTCAAGCCGACGAGCATGTCGTTCCACGACCTCGACCTCATTACTGCACGCGAGCTCAATAAGCATGAGCCGTACTTGGCCGCCGTGCTGCGGGACGAGAGCTCGCAGCCTGGCCACGCGGTCTTTTGCGCTGAACTTCCTGCTTCGGCACGCCCCACGGTTCTGCCAGCAGATAGCGAGGCGAAGGACAAGATCGCGCACGCTTCTTCAAGAGCGAGCTCAGACTCCCCATCAGCAGCGCTCCTCATCCGGTGCGCTCCCAGCTCTGTCTCCTCGTCCTCGTTTCCGTCTCCGCCGACATCCATTTCAAGTAGTGCAATAAGCGCACGTGTCGACGAAGCTGAAGCATTTCTCGTCGTCCGCGAGACGCGGCTACCCGGCAAGAAGCGGCGCCGGATCGACCGCGAATGGTGGAACGGTTTTCGGGACCGGGCTGATGCGCGCGGCCGGCTGCGCTTCGCATCGTCTTGATCCACTTGTCAGTTAAGAGACGCACGATCGAAAGCTCACCGCTCTTCGTTGAGGGGCGTGCGCTTGCTCCCGCAATCGCTTCATGCAATTCGCCCTCATGCATGTCGAGTTGAGCAGGCAATTTACCATTGCATGTACACAGCGCGCATTTAATCTGCCTGTCCATTCACGAATCTAATGCATTTGCAATTCTCAAAGAGCGAAAATCACAGAGAAAAAGCAGAATAGTTGAACTCATTTCATGCGCCTTCACTCCTTCGCTCTCTCATTCTCCCTTCTCCATCGTCTCAGTTTTCTTCTGCTGGCCGCTCGCGCATCCTGTCGCGCGCAGGCCGACAGTCTCGCCTCTCTGACGGATGCTTTCACTCGCTCAAAGCTCGTCGTGGCCGTGGTGGAGCGGCTCATCGTCGCTGCCGGCGCCGGTCTGGTAGACCTTGGCGGTGATGGGGGTTACGGCAGCCTGGAGCTCGCTGAGCTGCTCATCGATGTCCTGCGCCTCAGCGCTCTCGCCGTTCTCCTCGAGCCACGACTCGGCGTCCTTGAGCGCGGTGTTGATGGTGGCCTTGTCGTCCTTGTCGAGCTTGCCGCCGAGGCCCTCCTTGTCGCCGACCTGCGTGCGCAGAGTGGCGATAAAGTTCTGCAGCCCGTTCATCGCCTCGACGCGCTTGCGCAGCGCCTCGTCCTGCTCCTGGAAATCCTCGGCCTCCTTGACCATGCGGTCGATATCCTCCGGCGACAGGCGGCCTTTGTCGTTGGTGATGGTGATCGACTCGCTGCGGCCCGTGCCCTTGTCGGCGGCAGAGACCTTCATGATGCCGTTGGCATCGACCTCGAACGTGACCTCGATCTGTGGCACGCCGCGCGGCGCGGGCGGGATGTTGGTGAGCTCAAACTTGCCGAGCAGGTTGTTGTCCTTGGTCATCGAGCGCTCGCCTTCGTACACCTGGATCAGCACGACATTCTGGTTGTCCGCGGCGGTCGAAAAAATCTGGCTCTTCTTCGTAGGGACGACCGTGTTGCGCGGGATCAGCTTGGTCATCACGCCGCCGGTCGTCTCGATACCAAGCGTAAGCGGGTTGACGTCAATCAGGACGACACCGCCGAGCGTGTCGTCGCCCGCGAGCACACCGCCTTGGACCGCGGCACCCCATGCGACCGCCTCGTCCGGGTTAATGCCCTTGGATGGATCCTTTCCGTCAAAGTACTCCTTGAGCAGCTGCTGCACCTTGGGGATACGCGTTGAACCACCGACGAGGACGACATCGTCAATGTCCTCCTTCTTGACGCCGGCATCCTTAAGTACCTGCTCTACGGGCTTCATCGTCTTGCGGAAAAGGTCCATGTTGAGCTCCTCAAATTTGGCACGCGTCAGCGTCTCGGAGAGGTCCTTGCCTTCATAGAACGCTTCGATCTCAATCTTGGTCGACATTTGCGACGAGAGGGTGCGCTTCGCGCGCTCAACCTCGCGCTTGAGCTTGCCGACGGAGCGCTTGTTGCCGGAGGCGTCGAGGTTCTCCTTCTTCTTGAACTGCTTCAGAATGTAGTCTGAGACGCGGTTGTCAAAGTCCTCACCGCCTAGATGCGTGTCACCAGCGGTGGCCAGCACCTCAAAGACGCCGTCCTCGATGGAGAGCAACGATACATCAAAGGTACCTCCACCCAAGTCGTAGACGATGATCTGCGACTCGCCGCCCTTCTTGTCGAGACCATAGGCGATGGCGGCGGCGGTGGGCTCATTGACGATGCGCAGGACCTGGAGGCCGGCAATGGTACCAGCATCCTTGGTTGCCTGACGCTGGGCGTCGTTAAAGTAAGCAGGCACAGTGACGACGGCGTGGGTGACCTTGTGGCCAAGGTAGGCCTCTGCGGTCTCCTTCATCTTTCCGAGGATCATGGCAGAGACCTCCTCAGGAGTGAAGACCTTGTTCTCGCCACGGACCTTGACCTGGATGGCAGGCTTGCCGGACTTTTCGACGAGTTTGAAGGGGAAGTGCTTCAGGTCCTTCTTGACGTCCGATTCGCCCCACTTGCGACCAATCAGACGCTTGGCATCGAATATGGTGTTTTCCGGGTTCTGTGCGGCCTGGTTCTTGGCTGCATCTCCGACGAGACGCTCGTTCTCAGGGGTGAAGGCGACGTACGAAGGGGTGATACGGTTTCCTTGGTCGTTTGTGATGATCTCTACCCGTCCTTGCCGTTGAACACCGACGCAAGAGTATCTGTGAAAGAAGTCAGGGGAGGGGGGAATGTCAGCATTGGATAAACTTACGGCAGCTGCAGAGAAGGGGACCTTTGCAGTGCACTCACGTGGTGCCCAAGTCGATACCAATGACCGTGCCGTACTCGCTCTTCTTTGTGGATGCATCGTCTGCTGCCACGCCGACGGTGGCGGGTGCAAAGGTGGAAGCAAAGGCAAAGATGGTGAGGAAGGCAAAGATAATGGAGAGGAGGGATGGCCGGGTGAGGCTGCTGGCCAAGGAGCGCTTTGCCAGACGAGCTTGCTGGCGCTGGGAAGCTGTGGCGGAGCGTGGAAGGTACGCCATGGTGGAAGCTGAGTATATGCGCAAGCCCAGTGGGAAACAAGTTCCTCGCGCTTTGCTTTCTGGACCGGGGTGCTGCGTACGACAGGTGCTGCACTCCCTCTCCCGATACGTTTGTCCTGTCGACGATGTGGTGTCGAGGGAAGGATTGGAAAAGGGATGGTGGTGTGGGTAGCACACGCAAGAAGACATGGGACCTGGCGCTTTAAAGAAGACTTGGTGGTGGTGGGGCGGGCGGGACTGCGTTGTGGCCTGTGCGCTGTGGTGCCTGGCGGAGGCAGCCTTTGGCTCCACGCGCGCGGCTCCACGTCAGCGTCAACATCACACCATCACTGTCACAACACCCGCCCTTCCACGCCCTTCCACGCTGGCGTTCCAACTCTCCCAAGGGAGGTTTCTAGAGTGGGGCCAACCAAGAGCCTTCGGTCCAGTGCAATCACGACGGCAAGTAGCGCTCGCTGCACTGGCTGGGCTTGTTGTAAACCTCCGCAGCTCATACCTTTCTTTCTTTCTCCCAATACTCCGATAATAATCTTATCAGGAAAGAAAGAGCACCTCATGCAGAGGATCGACCTGGTGTGGTGTGCAGCACCGTCTTCGCATGGGCAAAATACGGAGGATGGCCTCGATGCTATATATGTAGCCGGTAGGCTCACGGTACAGAGCACTGTACTGCGCCCGAATCGCTCCTCACGAACGGGCGCGAGACAGCAGACGGCCTCGGTCGCTGGCGATCCACGATGGACGCCAACCAGGTTCTCTTCACGCAGCGCAATTCGTACTACCTGCGCGCCTCGCCGTACACTGTCATTCAGATGGTGCTTTACCTGGATACACGCCATGTACAATGGATGAACGAGGAAGGGACGTATGTCTTGCAGAAAGTTATGGAGCTCTTGCGACCCAGGTGAGAGTCGAGACGACCCATGCTGCGTCTTGCCGACGTTTCTGTTCCGGCCACTTACTGCAGATGCATGGTCTCCCCACACCAGAATCATGCCCAAATTGCGCAACGAGGCTGCCACGCAGACGAGTCTGTCGATGATGTCCAAGAAGGCCAAAGTTGACGTGCTTTCCACTGAGGACTTCCGAATGTGCTACTTTTTCCGGCGCATGAACCAGCGACACGCCGTGCTGCTCAAGGAGCACGTCGTCATCGACCCAAAGACAGGGCGGCAGATCAGGCTCGACAGTGGGGAGCAGGGCGGGCAAGGTATCGGAACGCCTCAAACAAATGTTGATGGGCAGGGTAACGGAAGTGTGGAGGGCGGTGTTCGTTCGCCTCCACCAATCAGAGTCAAGGATGAGCCAATTGAAGACGAGAATGATCGCTTGCCATTTGGACTCCCTGATCCACCCGCTCCTCCATATGAATGCGGTGTCTCCACCGCTGTGACCATGGGTGACGATGAAGAGCAAGACATCAAGCCCGAGATTCGAGTCAAGTACAACGGCTTTAGCATCTTTGGCAAGATGCTTATCGTCGTCGTCGAGCCGTCCAACGCGTCCGTGGCGCGGCTGCCGTATCTGTTCGATAGCAGGGACGGGCTCGAGAGAGACCATACGCGCCAGCTCAGCGAAACGCCGCAACCTGCCGGAGCTGCGGCGAGCCGCCGGAGGCAGATGGACACGCCTGTTGCGAGCAGCAGACGCAGTGCCACGCCGCTCGGCCCGTCATCCGCTGCTGGGCTGAGCAGCAAACGGCGACGCACAGGTACCGTCACAGATGCGTCTGCGTCTCCCCGTCCGCTCTTCCGTGGTGCCAGTCCGACGCCGGAGGACGCAGGAGGACGAGCGAGTCGCAGCAGGACGCCGCTGGTCCAGCGCAGCTCGAGCGTGCTCTCGTTCGGCACACCTTCCTTCTCGTGCGCTCCTTCCGCCTCAGCCACCACTGCTGGTCTTGCATCGCAACAGGCATATCGCCGCATCTCGAGACTATCTGGCGCACCTTGGAACGATCGTGAGGGTACGCTGGACATCCTTACAGACTCTGGTATATGCACAGCACCGCCGTTGCGAGAACAGAGCATCGCGCTTTCGGATATCAGCTCAGACGATGTTGTTATGCGCCGCTTGACGAGTGTCGCACTGTCTGATGCAGGGAATCGCACACCCGCACCTACTGCTGCGGGAGGTGGCGGGAGGAGCGCAAGAGAAGGCACAGCCGCTTCAGCGGTTGTACATGTTCAAGAAGGAAATCATCGAGACAGAAATGATGAGGAGGAAGATGAAGAAGACTGGTGGCGCCAGAGCTTGCGCGAGGAGAGCGAGGCGTTCGGACTGGCTACGCAAATGTTGCAGAGGGAAGATGATGCGACGCAAGGAGATGCGAGAGGGATCGGTGATGATGATTAGCTTATAGTGCACGCCCCGATCGGGTCCTCTTCTTGCTTGTGGGGGTGTGTATCGTCCGCATCGCGATACATGCATCTACGGTGATGGTTCGCTCCATGTGCTAAATGCGGAAAGAGTACACACTTTTTGCCTTCCACGCCTCTATTCAAATCGCCATTGGCGTTGGCAAACGCTATAACACACAGCACTTGACCCGGCGTCATCCAGCTTGAAGACGCCCATCCTCGCCCGCCATTCGAGCATAAGGCGATTTCAATGAGTTGCATGGGCTGAAAAGTCGCTTGTTGATATTTGATGCAGCGGACGTTCACTGCTCCTTGAACCCAAGCTAAGGAAGAATTACGCCTCTGCGTAGATTACAGGGTGTTCAACAAGCATACGTTTCCTGTCAGCTGTCCTAGCATGCAAATGGACGATCCATGCCGGCGAGCAGGAGCACAGACATTCGCGTCCCTCGAGCTAACCAGAGGCATTTGCGAACCGTTGATTCGCCGCGCCGGGTCGGCGTCGAAGACCGCATGCTCGTTGATCACTGTTGAGCACCTTGTAACGAACGCATGCCCGCAGTTCTTGCCTTTAGCTAATGGCTGATAGCTGAGGAAGGGAGGTGCAGCCGGAGAGCGCCGGTCCCTTTCTGTACAATTCCGTGTCTTCGTCGCCACACCTGCCACAGAGCCTACTTACAGGCCCAGTGTTGGCGTGGATTCTGTTCCACCCCAATGCGGTGTACGCTACAGAATTTGGCAGAAAGCCTTGCTTCGGTCTGGCGTCACAGGCTGATGGAAGACTGCAACCATACGGGCACGTGACATCCTTTACATCAGACAGAGCGGCTATTGCGAACAGCCCAGCCCAGCCGCGTCGCGTCGCTGGTTGCCCAAATCTCTATGAGAATGTTTGGAAGCAACACTTTTGGCGGGGAAAGGGAGAAACGGAACTGGGGAACTATTCGGCTCGATGGCTGAGGGTTGTATGCTTGTAGACTCTTGTCCAACAATGATCTACTTTCTATTTTGGTGTACAGCTATGTACATACTCGTACAGACAGACACTCTACTGGCATAGCCAACGCTCGCTCACATGGCCCATCTGCCTCTGCTCTGTGCAGTCTGCTTACTGCATCGCGCTTCGAGGAACGTGCTGCTGTGGTCGGCGCTTGGATCCGGCAACCCTGCAGGCGATCGCCCATTCTACCCCGTTCTCCGTCCCCGCGGACGTCATGCTCAGCCGAGTCGGCCTTTCGCCCTCGAGGTCCTCTTCGCAGAGCCGTCTCTCACCGATACATCAGCTGCAAAGACGCTCACTCTCACCCTCAGCAAGCAGCCTCGTCGATTCGGTCACCACGAGAGTTGATGTTGTCGGCCAGACTGCCTCAAAAATTGGCAGTATATCCACGCCTGACGGGATCAAGAACCTGCAAGGACGCAAAGTGGCTTTGAGCTCCACCACGATGGCCAAAGGTGCCAGCACCGGTACGTATGCTGGCGTAGCTGCCAGCGCCTCAGCGGAAAGCATCGCCAGCTCGGCCCTCAGCACGCCGACTGCAACACCCAGCAAACGAGCCGCGTCGCCCATCAAGCGCGGGGCCGCGGCCAAGGTAGCCAAGACAGCCGCAGCAAGTGGGACGGGAAAGACGGCAGAGCCGAGCAATGGCAAGCAAAACGTTGTCGTCTGCGTGAGGATGCGGCCTCTTGCTCCGGCTTCTGCACCTCCAGCTACTGCTCCTTCGACACCGAGCAAGAACAACAAGGACAAGGCATCGGCTGCACTGTCTGCAGCAGCAGTGAACGGTGCAGAGTGCTGGTCGCTCGACAAAGACACGCAAAGCATCACAGCCACTGAGCATCATCCTGCTCTCGCAAAGCGTGGCTCGTCCTCTGCACCATTGCCGGGAGCGAATGACACTTCGCAACCTGGAGAAGACGACGCGAACGGGACGTACAAGTTCTCCTTCGACTCCCTCACTCTTCCAACCGAAACGGGTGATGAGGTGTATGAGCAGCATATCGCACCTATCATCCGTGCAGCTGCAGAAGGTTACAATGCTACGGTCTTTGCGTACGGTCAGACTGGGAGCGGCAAGACGCATACCATGAGTGGAAGCAAAGCGGAAAAAGGTATCATCCCTCGGGCAGTGGAGGAGATATTCGAGGAAATCAACAAGGTGAGTACCCGTGCAAAGGTTTGTACAACGGCAATTAGGCTTATTCTTTTTACACACAGGACGATTCACGCGAGTACCTCCTCCGAGTGTCTTACCTTGAGATCTACAACGAATCGTTGAAAGACCTTCTCGCCGCTCTGCCGAGCACCTCTGGCGCTGCAACAAGCAAGTCGAATGCTTCCTCTGAGTCAACTCGTCCCGCATCGCCCACCAAAGGAGGCTTTTCGCATTCCTCTGGCAGCTCCACAGCGCTTGGCAAGGATGGTGCGATCCGCATCATCGAGGACAAAGGCCGTATCGTCTTGACCGGTCTCCGTGAGGAGATTGTCACGGATCCGGCAACGGTGCTTAAGCTGATTGAAGATGGGCAGAGCATGCGACACGTCGGCGCGACAGACTGGAATGAGCGCAGCAGTCGCAGCCACTGCGTCTTTCAGATCACCATCGAGAGCACGCCGAAAGCGTGCGGCGGTATGCTGGCAACAGCGAGCGGCACCGGGGAGACCAGATTGAGTCAATTGAACCTTATCGACCTTGCTGGTAGCGAGCGAGCTGCGAGTCAGAAGGCCAGAAGAAAAGAAGGGGCGTTCATCAACAAGTCCCTGCTTACACTTGGGACGGTCATTGCCAAGCTTACCGAAGCCGTCGGTGAAGATGGCAGCGTCAACCCCAACAGCAACAGCAGCAACAGCAACAGTAACAGCAGTACAGCCGATCAGACGCACATTCCGTACCGCGACTCGAAGCTGACTCGCATCCTGCAAACTTCACTGGGCGGTAACGCGCGCGTTGCCGTCATCTGCACACTCTCACCGGACCCCAAGCATGCAATCGAGACTCTGTCCACGCTCAAGTTTGGTCGAAGATGCAAGATGGTCGTCACTTCCGCGAAAAAGGGCAGTATCATGGACGATAAGGCATTGCTGCAAAAGTACAAAACAGAGCTCGAGGCGCTCAAAGCGCAGCTCGAGGCTGGTGGCGGCGCCGTGGCTGCACTGCCTGCTTCTGGGTCAGCTGTATCCATGAGCATTGATGAGGAGGCGGAGATGAGCACCATCCGAGAGCTGGCGACGCAAAAGGAGCAAGGACAGAAGGAAGTCGATGAGATGCTCAAGGAGAAAGAAAAGCTTCGCGGTCAGATCGACCACCTTACGCGACTCATTTTGACGAGTAAGAAAGTCGCGGAGGACAGCGCGTCTGATGCCGCTGCCGGCGATCAAGCCATCAACAAGGGTGACCCGGGCGTCTTGAATAACTCTCCTGGCAAGTCCGCTCGACGCGGACAACGCATGAGCGAGCTGCCAGTGCGATCGTCGAACCTGCCAAGCTTAGAGAGCGTGCACCGGCAGCGGGTGCCAGTGCTCGGGACCACCCCAGAAGAAGACGTCTTCCGCACGGAGCGAGAACTCGCTGCGGCCAAGCGTCAGCTGCGCCAGCTAGAAGACAAGCAGTGTACTAATGCCCTCGAGCTCAGTCAGCACGAGGCACGCATCCGCACATTGGAGGCGGACATCAAGGCGCACGAGAACGAGCTTGACGAGGCAGAACGCGCATTCCATCTCTTGAAGGATGAGCGCGACGCCGCCAAGCAGGAGCTACTCGATGGCGCACAGGAACTGTCGGCCATGCAAGAAGCACTCGAGCAGGAGCGAGAGGCCACTCGGCGCCTGCAGGCGATCGCAGATGGCAAGGTGGCGAAAACGGAAGTCGAAGACGAGGCGGCCAAGCTCCGGCTGGAGATTGGGCAACTCCGCCGGGAGGCGCAAGAGGCTGCAGAGAAGAAAGATTTGGACACTCAGCGCCTTCAGCTCGATTTAGACAGAGAGCGCATGGAGAAGGAGAAGCGTGACTCGGAGGCCCAAGCGCTTTCGGCCGCTCGCGAGCGCAGTGCTGACACCCGTCTAGAACAACAGCGAGCCCAGATTGAGCAGCTCGAGCGCGAACTGGCCGAATTCAAACGAAAGGAACGAGATTCAGCTCGACCTCTGCCCGTGCCCACGCTGGGACAGGTTCGCGGGAGCACGGCCAATCCGAACAAGGTCCGCGACTCGAACTTCTGGTCCAAGACACCGCTGCCCCCTGTGGGTGGCTCCTTGCCTGGCACACCACAAGCGGGGGGCTTGCGGCGAGCGCTCTTCTCTCCGCCGACAGAAGACAAGCTGGACATGTTCAGCCCAGCAGGCAACGCCTCGGCGCTGCAGCGCGCCGGCAGTCTGCGCGAGTACCGCAGGTACGAGCCATCTTCCGAGTCTTCTCCGATTCCGACGCGTCCATCTGGTCTGAGCGCAGCTTTCGCGCCGTCCAGCGCTGTCATCGAGGCGGCCGTCAAAGCAGAACGAGAGGAGATCCGCCGTCTCAATGCTGTCATCTCCTCCCAGCGTCAACTAATGGCAGATCTGGAGCGCAGTGTCGCTGACTGGAAGAATAAGCTTCGATTGCAGCAGGACTTGATCAATCGCCTCGTGGCCGAGTCTTCGCACGAGGGCTTCTCCATTCCTCAGATGCCCAAGAGCCCCATTCCGGAAAAGTATCACATTGACTCGCCAGAGAAAGCAGCTCGCTTGTTCCGCGAGTCACAGATTCTCGCATCGCCTCGACTTGGGCGGCACAACTCGAGTGCCTATAGCCACAACGGCCCTGCTGGTCTAGGCCTCGCTCCGGGCTCGCCGAGCAAGTGCTCCAGCTCGTCAGGTTGGTTCGGGATGCTGCCAGGCCAAGCGAAGCCCGAGCCGTTGCCCATGCACCCGGGTAGCCCTCGGCGGACAACAAGCTCGCGCCGACAACCGCGAAAGACGCTGGAGAAAGAGATCGACGGGCTCAAAGCCAGTCCGCGCGTCGAAGATATCAAGAACAAGCTTCTTGACGTGCCGCCGCCAAGCCCTTCGAAGCTCGGCAAGGCGGACTTGGCAGCCATCCGTGGCGGCAGCATTCGCAGTTCCAAGGATTATTACATCTAGGGCGGGAGCTTATCGTCCTTTATTCCTGCCAGGTGCAGGTCGAGAGCCGGTCTCTCTTTTCCCGGAAGCAGAAGGTCATTTGACTTGCTCAGTTTTGTTTTGTTTGTGCGACCATGCAATGCATCTTGATCCGTATCTGTCGTCGGTATACACAACATGAAGGAACTACCTAGTGGCAATCTTCGGTTTACCCGGAAGCGTGATCTCGCCCTCAACAGCACGCGGATCTAGCCCTAGACGCGGCAAGACGTCAGAGTATCGCTGGGGGCTGCACCGCTTCAAATACTTGAGAACCTTTGCACGCTGATGGACGAGAATATTCATGGCTCGCCGATTGGAGTTGTCATGCCGTGCCTTGCCCAGATGATCCGCAAGATTGCGTATGCGATATGTTAGGATAGCGGCTGTCGAGAGAAAGGTGCACATTGTGTTAGTGATACCGCCCCCACTGAAATGCTTACTCATGATGCAAGATGGGCACTGACCTTGCACCTCTGGGCTGCCCGTGTCTGCCTTGGCCGGAGGCCTCCCAAAAGCCTTTACGATCCTCCTCGTGTTCTCCACCTGAATGCCCTTACCGCTAGCATTTCGTAGATCAAGGATCCTGGACAAGACATCTACACTGCTCTGCTCTTCCGCCTCGTACTTGAGCAAGGTCTCCTCCATTTTCAGCATGTCGCTGCCATGCGTAACAGCTGCCGCAGGAGAGTCGAGTAGCCTGTCCTCCACCATGATCTGTGGAAGGTCTTCAAATAGAAGCTTCCGATCCGAGTTTTGGAGGCCAAAGTTAAGCAAACTCGGTCCGAGCTGGCGATCTTCAGCGGAAGTGGACGGGGCCGTCGTTGGTGTGCCTGCTTCGCCAGACCACACCTTTTCCTTTTCCAAGAGCAGCTGCTTCAGCTCCGACATGTCCCAGAGTGCTTTCCCCTCATCATTGAGCTGATGTCCGAGCACAGGATCGGGTTTGGAGCGTTCCAACAAGGTCTTCTTGAGCTGCCTCTGCTCCAGATTCTCCCGTCGCTTGATACGTGCGGCTCGCTTGCGTTTGGACTCTTGCACCTTTGCAGTGGAACTGAACGCTGACGCTTGGCACCGCAGGCACGAGCCTGCGAGATGGAAGGTGCGAGCCACATGAGCACATCAGTCATCCGACAAGTTAGCACACAATCTCCCCGAAAAAAGTACGTGAGCATCTTACCTGAAGGACCCGCCGCCGACCGCTCGATCACCTGTTTTGCGCCCAGGCGCGACAGGAGTGAGGACGAAGCCATCGTTGCAGACGTTGCAAGTGCCTGTGCATCGACTTCCACAGCACAGAGACTGAAGAGTCTGTCCAACGTGAAGAAGGGAGCACATCGAAGCCAGCAAACGAGTTTTTGGATCTGTCCGTGAGATTTGATAGAGGATGCTCCTCCAAATCAACAACCCTAACTATTCGCCCTTCTCTTCTCCTTCTCCCGTTCCGCCCACTTTTTACTCTCATTGCTTCCTTTCGGAGGCGAGGAGACTCAAATCCTTTCCAGTGAATCGTGAATTATTAAATGGAGGTTTGTTGAAACAGTTGCCTTCGAGGTCTTGGTGTGCAGGGCAGAAGAAGTGCGAAGAGCTCAGCGGCATCATCGCTAAGTACAATGTCAGAAGTACCAGAACGGACCGCCTCGGGCTCGAAGAAGCCGGAGGAGAGAGCGTCGAAAAGAGCGCGGATCGAAGAGCCCGCAGGCGAAGGTCGGTCATCAACTGCTCCAGCTGGGGTCAGCGATCCCAGCCATGAGGATGAGCGTAACCAGGACGGACCGAACCAGCGCAATTTGAATAGGAATACATCACAAGACCTCCGGAAACGGTTGACTCATATCGAAGAAGGCCAGACAGTGCTGCTGGAACTACCGTCCGGCAACATCAAACCCGTTACCATGCTTGCAGGCGCATCCATCAATCTGGGCAAGTTCGGCAGCTTTGAGGCGGATGACCTTATCGGGCTACCGTATGGCCTCACCTATGAAATCGACGACCACAATGAAAATGACACGGGTGGCACGAGCAAGGGCAAAGGAAAAGGAAAGGCACGGAGCGGAAGACTGCGCGCCGTGGTTAATGCGACGCTCTCAGAGCTCCAAGAGACAGACGCGACGAACGAGTTCATCAACGACGAAAATGCTTCGCAGGCCCTGAACCACCTTGATATTCGAGCTCTGAAAGAGGCGGGAAAGACAGGCGAGGATATTATCAAGATCGTCACAGAGTCCAACTCGAGCTTCTCGCAAAAGACTGTCTATGCGCAGGACAAGTTCGTAAAACGAAAAGCGCAAAAGCACCTCAAGCTCTTCACCCCGCTCACCCCCTCGGCGCACAACGTCACCACGTGGAACTTCCTTAAAAATGCCGACCGCGTGCGCAATCTACGCGCAGATTCGCTGGCGCAAATGCTCTCCATGGCAGAAGTGCGCGCCGGCGGGAAGTACCTCGTCGTCGACGCGCTTGGCGGCTTGCTGACGGGTGCTATCATCGAGCGCGTCGGTGCCGACGGACGCGTAATCTTGCTTAACGATAACGACTCGCCGCCGACGCTAGAGCTGATGACGACGCTTAACCTCCGGCAGGCGACGGTCGACAACGTACTGCGTTCTCTCAACTGGGCCCAGGCGGAGGAGAGCTGGTCGCTTCGTGAGTGCAAACAAGAAAGCGCTTGTCTTGCCTTTTTGCTGTGTTCAATGCTGACATTGTCTCACTCAACTGCACTGCTAGCTGAACTGCCTACGGAGATCGAAACGCTGCAGCGAGACGGTCAACCCGTGAATACACGCGAGAAGAGCAAGATCAAAAGGCGTCGAGCGACGTTCGCGATGATCGCTGAGACCAGGCGCGAGTTCTTCGAGGGAGACTTTGACGCGCTGCTCATCGCTTCGGACTATGAGCCATTCTCGATCTTCTCGAGACTCGTCCCGCGCCTCGCTGGCTCGGCAAGTATCGTCGTGCACAGTTGCTTTTTACAGGTGAGCAAGTGCGCTTTTCTTTGATGTTTGTTTTAGGGCTTTCATTAGCCTCAAATAAGCGCTGATGATCATTCCTCTTGTAATTCCGATGGAGCACAGCCGCTGATGGACGCACACGCTCGCATGCGCCTGAAGCCTGAATACCTCAACATATCCGTCAGTGAACCGTGGCTGCGGCGCTACCAAGTGTATCCGGGACGCATGCACCCCGAGATGAATACGAGCGCGACGGGAGGTTATCTGCTACATGCCATCCGGGTGCTGCCGGAGGAAGATCCGTGAGAAATTCATGCTTGTGCGAAGGAGTGCATGTATGTCACATCTACACTGAAGGGAGACGAATCGCCTTGCATTGAATCGCAAGAGATGTTAATGGGCACACCGATCAGCTTGTTGCAATGTATATGCTTCTTCACGCTGCCTCTCAATCTCCTCGTTCAGCGCCCGGCTCCCTGCAACAGCGAAGCGATGAAGTGACGAATGCTGTCAATCTGAGGATGGGTATGACATTGATGTATTTCATAGGGCTGCTGCGGAAGGACTTACATGCCGCGCCAAGAAAGTCCTCGCACATCCTCCGCCTGTCGTCGACGGAAGCGCGCAAAAAAGCCTGCAGGTCGCCGCTGCGCAAGAGCAGCGTCTGCGCAGCGAATGCGTTCAGAAGTGGTGCTAACGCCTTGATCTCCGCCTGTGAATGAACTTGCGCTTCTGCTTGCGTCGGCGCTGCCGAGTGGTCCTCGATGGCGGCGCTGGCATCCAGGAGCTGAAGAGCGCGCTCGCGCTCTCTCCACGCACCATCACTGCTGCGCATGCGCATCGCATCGAGGCGCGCGCGCACGAACGCGGCGGCGTTTGTGGGGCTCGTGGCGCAGTGTACAACGAGCTCGACTCCGAGGCCGCGCGGGCGCAGGTGCTGAGGGAGGATGGTGTGCTCGAGCGTGCTCCGTAACGCCTCGATGGCCATTTGCACGGGCGGAGTCAGTGGGAGGCGCATGCCGCTGCTGGTGTACTGCTCAACGATGATGTACAGCGTACTGAAGCGGCCTGACGCTAGGACGCCGAGTAGAGATGCACTGGGCGAGCAGTCGTTGTCGCTGCTGGCGTGGTCGTAGTTATGTACGGCGCTCGGTAAGAGGACGGACTTGATGAATATCACAGCCGTCGTACAGTCGAGCATGACGTCGACACCTGTATCCTCGCCATCTTCATCGTCTTCTGTCGAGCGCTCGACGAGATGAACGCGATGCTGGTGCGACAGGGCTTTGCTTATGGCTAGATTTTGGAGCAGCTTGAGCGAGACGAGACAGCTGATCAGAGGGCGCTCAGACACAGATAGTGGCGGTGGCGATGGCTGCTGCTGTGCATTGCTGTGGGGCGCAAGCGGGCTCCCGAAGGGCTTCTCTGGGTGCGCTCCTTTGTCTGTGGTTCTAGCAAGCTGCGCAGAACCCAACAGCGGAATAGTGATGCGTTTTTCGACAGATGATGCTGCTGCTGCCCCTCGTGCGAGAGGCGCACTCGCTTCTGGGCCTTCATTTGGCGCGATCAAGGCCATGCGGGAGAAGAGCTGTCGCGTGCGGTCATTGCGCGATTGAAGCCATGTGTGCATCTCATCTTGCACCACAGAGCAGATCTGTCTGGCTGTATGCGAGCGTTTCGCCGATTTGGCCTGGGTTTCTGCAGCGGCGGAAGGGGCCGTGAGAACGGGCTGGGGAGACGAACTTGGTGGGCATACTGCATGTGATACTGTGAAAGCTACAGTATGATTCTCCGTCAGCTCGCGTCGTATAGAACTAGTGTTTTCCACTGTGCACAGCAGCTGACGGGCATTAGTAGCGGTCTGCTGCAGACATGGAATCCGGAGCGTAAAGCGATCCAGCGTGGCCTGGCTGTCGTCAAAAAGTGGTACACATGGGAGCTTCCGCGCTACAGAGAGAGGTGAGAATCAGCCAAATCACAAAGTAGCGATACGAGCGGAGCGGCAGGAAAAGCAAGGCAAGGTCAGCATGGCCAGCGTCTCGTCTCCAAGCATTGAGGAATCCGTGTGGTAGAGTACTAGCGAGCCAGATGTCGCGAAGAACAGGAGAGAAGCTCACACGCCTGCAACATTAGTCCAGCATCTCGCAGAGACATGATCCTGTCCTGCACGCCCACGTCGGGGTCGGAGGAGGTGAGCGTGACGGCAAGCTTGACAGCGCAGCGGACTTTGCGCGCCGCTTCAGGGGATATGCTACAGAGCTGCACACCGCCACGTCTTTTTGGCGGCGAGGAGCTTGAAGTGGCGAAGGCGTCTTGCTCTTTCTGCCCCCCGCTTCGCTGCCGCTTTTGGATCAGCTTGCCGAACACTTGCTCGTCGAGGTCGAACTCTTCATCTGGGATGCACAAGACGCCGACATCGTAAAGCGCGAGCGTGGCGTTCGTCTTGTTGCTGTTGGGTGCAGCAGATGCTTGTGCGTTTGGTGCGGCAGCTGCAGCATCGGCACAGTCAGGGTCATGAGATATGGAGGAGGCCCTGAATGCTGCAATCAGCTTTGCGCTCAAAAGCAGCTCGCTGGACGACGAGCAGGCTGGTGAGATATGGGGAGGCAGTTCTAACAACGTATCGTGGCGCTCTGCAATACTGTTCCAGATCAGTGCGGACCACGGAAGGGATGGCTGTATGCGGCGCCGGGAGGGAATGGAGTCCGCGTCAGGCATGATCAGAGGCTATATGCTTGTGCCCCTTCAACGGGGGTTCATCCCGCACGCTTCAAGAGTGGCGACGCAGGACGAGTTGGGCAGATGGGGATGCTCTCGCTCACGACTGCTGTGGATTGTGCGGCTGCTGCAGCAGCGATAGCCGCGCGCAGCTCTTCGCGGAGCGCTTCCGTACCTTCTACATCTTTCTTCTGATTGCCATGGATGGGAAAGGCAACGTTGCCATGTTGGCGCGGGTTATCAGGCTCGCGGGCCTGCTGCGATAACATGCTGCATAGGTAATCTAAGTGCGTTAGCGGCGCTATGGATGACGCAACAGGTCGGGTGATGGTGAAAGAAGAAAAAGAACACCTTTCTGCCCAGTCAATTAAGACAAGAGGGGACAACGGAGCCGATGATGGCGTTTGCCGTAAGTGCATAGAACCACTCATGAGCACCATCTGGTACTGCGACCCCTGACTTGGGAGGCTGGACTTCCTGTGCGCGGACGATGCGGATGGGATTTATCACTCGCGATAGCAAGCCGGGGGGAGTCCCTGAGTAGGTGGGAGAGCGAGCATGTCGGTGAGCCCTGAATGGAATGGAAAAGTTTATCTGAAGAGTCCACATCACTGCAGTGCCCGAGCATGGAGCGTCGCGGGACGACTCATGGTGGGAGGCAGTACACCGCAGTCTCGGAGTTCCCGAGAGTCAGTGGGCGGCTGCGGCGTTGCGGTGGGGCAACCAGGTGGAACCTTTTTCTGTCGTTTTCCTTGGCAAAGCAGTGACTCTCGGACGGCTGTTGTCTGCCGTCTGGCTTGCATTCACCATTTGCATGCGGGCTTTGGATGCGTGTAGAATGGAGAGGCGAATGTGCAGGATTCGTCAATTTTTAGTAGGATGGCTGGTCTCTTTCTCGCCCTCGCCTCTCCCTCTTTTGGAGCAGGCTCGGGACCGGCGGGCCGGCCGCCGGACCGGGACAGAATTTGCTGGATCCCCGAGCATCGGAATCTGGAATTTCGCTGCAGGCTGATGGGATAATTGTTGGGGTTGCACGGCCAGCAGCAGGCTGCACTGTTCTTGCGCTGCTGAATTCCTGCTGAAGTTGAGTGAAGGTGAGGGTTGGATCACTGCTTTGTACTTTTGCCACGGCGCCATTCTTGTTTTGCATGCCTCTATGTTGTCGCAGATGCTGGTTGGCCCGACTTTGCTCGTTCACTCACACTACCACCCATTGCAATCGAAGAACCCTTTGATGATACATTATTGATGTTGAAATATCTTCATTCCTTTCCATCGTTTTATCACTATCATCAACCCAATCCTCCTTTTTTCCTTGCCGTTCCCCCTTCACGTCACCCACCTTTCTTCAGAGAGACCATTGCATTGCAACTTGCCCGCCGCTGGTCGGTTGTGCAAGCTCTCGCCCCTTTGCTATTTACGAGTCCGCCTCCTCCCGCTTCTTCTTTACGTCTACGACACCTCCTTTACATCCCTCGAGCGACGGACTCACCATCACCTTACACCTAGCGCTGGCCGCTATCGGATGCATTCGGCTCCTCACCCCTCGAAAAAGACGTCCAAAAAACACGGATAAATGTCCACATCCTCGAGGCCCGTCATCAGCAGCACTACGCGCGGTGTGCCTCTGCAACCCCGGCGTTTGCGCAACAAGAGCGGCGGTACCACACAGAGGTCTGCCACCAGCCCGACGGACAGGTCGAGAGGCTTGCGTCACTCCAAGTCGTGTGCTTCCCTCACATGCAAAACGAGTGCACAGCAAAAGTTGCAGCCGCCTGTAACGCCAGGCTTCCACTTGCCTACCACAATGCATGGTGGACCCCTGACGCCGCAACAGAGGCAGGAGGAGCAGTCCCCTCCTCTACCATTGACGGCATCCATGCTCGGGGATCTGGCGGACTCGCTACAGACGCCCAAGTCTTACGCTGGTGCTTTTGCCTTTTCAGCACCATCTGCTAGGCCAGCCGTTCCTGCTCTTATCCGCCACACGACCCCGCTTACACCCAAAGTGGGGAAAGCAAGGAACAGGGCCGACATGCAGTCCGAATCGGCCTGGGCCGTTGCCAACGACGAAAGTGACCAACGCTTGCTGCCGGAGGACATGTCCGGGCCCGAAGCTTTCCAGTGTTTCGTTGGACAGTGGCAGCAGCACGAGCAGTACGAGGATCCCAAGGTGCTCACTGCGAACGCTGCAGCAGCCGCAGCAAAGAAAAAGCACATGACACAAGCCGAGCTGATGTTCAAGCGCTGCTCCTTCCTATACGCCAAGGAAGCAGTAGCCAACGTCAACACCTCTAAGACAGCACCTTCCACCCCTGTGCCCGTCACTGCCAAGAAGAAGAACGCGAGCGCCGCCACTGCATCGGCAGCGGGACAAGCTCGCTACATCGCAGGCCCCAAGCACCTGCAGGACCTGCAGAGACTCCGACGCGCCGTCCAGGCTCTCGATCGCGAGTACGCCACCTTCATGACCAGACGCCAAGAGGAGCAGGACACTGTTGCTACGGAACCCCGAAAGAAGATGCCACAGTCGATGGTCAAGCGCAAGCCGGTGCCGATCGTGTACGAGTTCGATGGCAAAAAAACGAAGGGAAGTGCGTCCGGCACCGCGCCCGCCGAAGCAGCTCGCCTAGCGCACATTCAGTCGGCCGACAACATGGGCGCCGTGTTGGACCGTGCATTCTGCTCGCTCACCGCTTTCATGCACCAGCTCGAGGTGATCGAGCCTCCCACGCCGGTCGACGCCACGCATGCGCATGCCAACCGTAAGGCTGAGGCTGGAGCTGAAGCTCATGTTCTCACCATCATCCCAAGCATCGCGGACCATACTGGCGCTGCTGATGAAGAGGAGGACTGCCCTCTCAGCGCTATCGGCGCCATCCACGCTACGCCGCTGCCGGGTAACCTATCCGCCGCTGGCACCAACCTCTACCTCGAGGAATCCAGCAGTGACAACGAAAACGGGTGCGGCTACACAACTGCCCGCGCTGCTTCCTCAGCGCCGCATACTCCTACCCATCGTCGCACGCAGTCCGACTCGCGCAGCGTGCAGGATAAGCGTCGCGCGCGGCGCACCGTTGTGTGTCACGGCCACTCCCAGTCTCTTGGCAGCAGCTTTGACTTTGCTAACCTGCTCGGCCAGGCCTTAGCTGGCGACGTGGTCGCTGCTGACTCCATCGGCGCGCACAATGTCAACGCCCTGCCACACCTCGTGCAAGCCCCTCCTCGGAGCCCGATGCCTACCACCGCCTCAGCCGCCGCCTTGACGCCTCGTGCGAATGACTTTGCCTGTGATAGGACGCCAATTGCTGCCAGCTACGGCGCGGTGCTCGTCCAGCAACCGTGCCTCTCATCCGGTCCACCGCGCCTCGACTCGATTCAGATCACCCCCATCGCCGAGATGTTCTTCGACGGTGAATCATGGGGATCGTCAACGTCCCTCGCGTCGCCTGAAGCGAACAAGGCCTCTCATGCCCGTGCCGCTGACGTAGGATCCCCGCATCGCTACGACAGCGCTCGTTTCGACTGCGGCGCATCCGACTCGATGGTCAGCGACGGTGAAGGCTATTCACTCGGTGCGTTCAAGTGGGAAACCGACTCGGACGACGGGAGTATCAGCAGCATCGACAGTGTCAGGACTCTCGACGACGATGCAAGTACAGACAACTGCACCAGCACGAGCCTCGCTGCTGGAGCCGCCCTCCCACCGCTGCCGTGGTTCCGCAAGCACAGCCACTCGCGCAGCGACGGCGTCTCCGCTGCCGACAAGCAGCAGACTGCGCTCGACCTGCTCATCGCCCAGTTTGGCTTACCCGAAGATCGCAAACTCAAAACGCGCCCCCCGCCTGCGCTCAGGTTGGCTTCTTCCTCGTCATCCTTGGCCGCGTCCACGGCCACGGTTGGCGGTGCTGCTAGTAGACATCTGCACCAGCAGAGCGCAGACGCCCTTGTCCACCATCGCGTCCTCCCTGCTGAGCTGCCTGTCACCCCGCTGACTGCCAAGCAGCAGGTGGCTCGACGCTACTACTAGTCGCTGTGTTTCTCGCGCGCTAGTGTAGGCCGTTAACGTCATTCACACATACGCACAGATCTACCACCTTCATGCATGTTTTATCACACACGCTCGTCTTACTATTTCCTAGCGTATTGCTACATATAACAGCTACACATGCTCTTGCGTCTGTCCCTGACCACGTTGCGGCCCTTGTGGAGGTGAAAATGCATCATCTAGACGCAAGGAAGCGTCCCAGATCCGAGGCCACCATGAACTGACCTGCACCCCGGGTCTTGGTCCTTTCGGATTGCAAATGAGGACGTGCGCATGTTCTGGCGCTTCGTTACACTCAGAAGGTGCTGGTATGAGCAGTCCTCTGCAAAGCGGGAGCATGACAATGCTCCAGTTGCTTGCATTACCTCTCCGGAGTATCCAAGCCAGCTGATGAAAAACCTCGCTATGTCGGCGTCTTCAGACGAGACTGGCATGGATACTCCACGCAAGTGGAGAGAGAAAGAGGCTTACCAAGCCAAGGGCAGGATCTCACGTGTTTCAATACCCGTCGCCTTCGCCTCCCTGCTCACAAAAGCCTTTTTCTCGCCTCAGCACCGCTGCTTTTCGGGCCTCTGCCTTTGCCCGTTTTTCTTGCTCGGCTGCGTGCGCTGCTAGTAGCTGCTGAATCGAGCCTTGCGGTAGCGGCGCCGCGATTTCTGGTGGGATTTCGTCTTCCCTGTCTAGATCCTGAATTGTGTTCGTGCGGCCAGTGTCATTCGGTCAGCTGACTCCGACCCAACCCAGGCAACTGCTGAGGGGTACCTTGTACTCACCACTTCACCCATCAAAACGACGTTCTCTCCTCGAACTAGGAAAATTCCCCTTGGAATGTCCCCATAGTGATTCCCAATGAAGACTCTTTCGAATGTGTCCGAAAGAACAAGATTTGCTGAAGTTTCATTCATGGTCTCGTTCAGCTCGATGTAATTGCAGCGTCACTTTTGAGGAGCGGAGCCGTGCAAAGGGACTCACCAAATTGATCATACGACCGTAGCACACCGACAAATTTCCGGCCGTCACGCAGGGCGATCATGACTTTTTCTGTGTGTACATTGCATGCGAAAGTGATGAAAAAACGCTCTTTCAAGGTTATCGGATACGACGTGCAAAGTACGACATGTAACTCACTGTCTACGCAGTCGACCAGCGAGCCAGATGTGGTGAAGGCGATGTTCGCCGCGATAGCTCCTGCCGCTTCCATGGTGGCAGCAAAGACCAGGATACCGGCGCTCGCAGGGCACCTATGATCCTACCTTCTTGCTGGCTTTTTGATGCTGATTAGCTTTGTAACAGGCAGGTTATTGTGAGTGCCATGTAGGTCTGTCGACTCCAAAAAGGCAGTGTGCACATGGTGAGCGAAGCAAGCCGCAGAGGGAGACTCTCATTCTCATCATAACCCGGCCGAGTATACGCGCATATAGCGTGTCGCGAGACCATTGCGGATCAACGCAACCAACAATCACGTCGGCCACATCTCCCAAGTAACCCCTCTCGCATACATCATGGTAACGCTCAAATTACAACACCTGTTACTGCGCGCAAGGGTCACATACCGAGTGACTGCAAAGCAACCGACAACCACAGAATAATGGCAGAAAGAGCAAAGGCAAGGACCAGCAATGCAGGCGAGAAGCGCAAGGCTAGCACCTTCATGTCAATCGGAGACCCGATAGCGAGCAACGCGCCAGTCTCGCCAAAGAAAAAAATGGGTCGAACCTCCAAAAAGGCAGACCTTGCCGCGCGCACCGTCACGAACGACGTAGAGAGCTCCGCGTCCGGTGCCTCTAATGAGTCTTCCACGAGTAACAAGCGTAGTCGCAGTGCCAGCACGACTCCAAGCAACCTCGCCGAGAATGCTGTTTCGAACGCGTCTGGCGAGGGCGAAGCCAAAGTCGTCAAGGCGAAGGCTAAAGGGAAATCCAAGCAGAGTACCAAGCCTACGAATGCTGTCAAAGGGAGTACCGACGACTTCGAGAGAGAGAGAGAGAGAGAGAAAGAGAGGCACAGGCAGCGGAATCGGGAATACAGGCGAAAGAAAAAACTCGAGAAAGCAACCGCGGCCGGATCCAAGAACCGTTCATCGGCAGAAGCAGATGACAAATCCGAAGCAGAAGAAGAGGATGCCAATGATAGAGAGGATATCGTGGACGACAACATTTACTGCACATGTAAGAGGCCCTACGATCCAGACCAGGCGATGCTCGCTTGCGACAACTGCAACGAATGGTACCATACCCGTTGCATGGGCATTAAAGATGAGTGGATCAACATCGTCGATCAGTTCATCTGCAGTGTCTGCCATCCTCGCACTTTAGAGCGAACGACATGGAAGCGGCAATGCCTCAACAAAGATTGCGAGTATCCAGCTCTCCTCCCGCTCAGCAAGTATTGCTCGGAGCGATGCGGTCTCGTCATCGCCATTCAGTCCATCAAAGCCTTCCGGGAGAAGAGCAGCAAGTACAGGAGACTCGGCGCCAAGCCGCTCGATCGAATCTACACCGAGCAAGTGAAAGAAGCGGTTAAAAAGGAAGGTTGCTCGACCTGGGCGGACGACCCGAAAGCACGCAAAGATAATGAGGACGTCGGCAAGGAGCATGAGCTGGCCACATGGAATACGATGGCACTCCGAGCGGAGCGAATCCCCATGTTCGATCTCGAAGCGGCGCGCAACGGCATCTGCGCAGGCCCAGACTTTAGCAGCAACGTTGACTTACTCAAGGGGCTCTCGCACACTTCCAGCAAGTATGACGAGGACCGCGTGCGCTGGCGACTCGAGCTGGACGAGATCGCAACCAAGAGGCACAAGGTCAACGTGGCGATCGACTTAGTCGAGGCGCGCCAGACTCTGTACCAGCTTGCTCTCGCTCGCAAGGCTGAACTGGTATGCGTTGTCGGCCGACCAGACGATGAGGAGGAGGACGAGCAGCCACCCAGCAAGCGCGGCCTCAAGAAGAAGGTCGAAACCGCTGCCCCGGAAGAAGAGAACGACGGCGAGAATGAAGATAGCCACAAGAAGAAAAAGAAGAAGGCAAAGGAAAGGAGGCCGGAGCCGCCTTGCGGGTTTGATGAGAGGCTCGGATGGGACGACGAGCTCCTTGCTGCTTACATGACGACGGAACAATGGGCCAAGATCCGAGAAGATCCGCAGCACTTCGATGGCCGAGTCATCGGAGATTGGTGTGCGGATGTTGCGGACCACGCAGGTCCATCAAGCGACACCGCCGCGGCTGAAACGCTCGAAACCGCAGTCACCCGTCGTCCGCCCAAGGTCTGCGGTCTGCCGAGTCGCATGTGCAAGCGACACATTACGTGGGTCCAATTCTCCGAAGATGACGGCCACACCAAGGAACGCGATCGACTGGTGAATGGAGGGGCACGTTGGACGACACGCGAAGACCACGTTTTTTGAGCCTTCAGCACATGTGCTGACGGTATTTTCACCTTTCTTTCTCCATCTGCAGATGACACTCGACAAATCGCTGGCAGATCGCGAAAATGAGATTCAGATGAAGCTTGACGCACTTGAGGTCCGGTTGGAGAAAGCCAGGGCACAGGCAGTTCACAGACTCACACAACAAGGGCTGAACAGGCGTTTGGGACTCGTTTGACGTCCGTCCACATTTGTACCGCAAGCAACACCTACTAGTATGTATTCAGCATGTACCGTACCGTAGCTGTCCTGAGACTGCGCAGCGTGAACGGGGTTGGTGCATGTGCACGGGGTCATGTTGCGTTGGTGTGAAAATACAAAGCAGGACGGAAGCCCAAAGGAGCCGCCGGCCGCCAAAGAAGTGTTTGAATTGCTCATAGAGCGCCGGGCATAGCGCCATGGTGCGTCTTCTACGACCCATATCAAGCGATGACCAGAGCGAACGCCTCTATGCTCACTCGTCGTCGCCTCGCCTGTGAAAGAATGCGTTACACACTATCCGATCACCATGCTACTGCTGCTGCTGGGTCACCTGCGGTGGTGTAGTTGAACAAAGGCGATGTGCCCAAGCTTAGATGCCGTAGACGGCAAGCTTCTGGTTGACCTCAGCGAGTGGCCCAGAGGCGTTGGTGGCAGCCGAGGTGCGCTTCTTGAGGGATGCGACCTTGCGCTCCTGGTATGCCTGAGCGCGAACACGCCTCTTGTCCTCGAGCTTGTCGACGATCTCCTGGTGCGCCCAGCCGACCTCGTGCGAGATCCTCTTGAGGGTGGAGTACTTGCGGCCTGGCTTCAGGCGGAGCACGCGAAGGGCAGCAGGGATGACCATCTTCTTCTTGCGGTCGTACGGGGGTGGGCAGCCCTCGTAGAGCTTCAAGCGCTCAAGCGCAGCAGCGCCACGGGCAGTCTTGTGGGGGACCATACCACGGACGGCCTTGTAGAGGATGCGCGACGGAGCGCGGTGGTGCCAGGGGCCACCCTTGCGCGGGTTGTAGCAGTGCGTCTTGTGGAGGTACGCATGGTAGCGAAGCTGCAAAGTGATGGTGGATGTTTTGTTAGTTCAGCTCGGATGCAGTAACACCAAATATCGCGAATACGAGCATCTCCGACTGGCCGCAGCGTTTGCACATCCCTCTTGCCCTTGGCTCCATTGGCAACAGCAACGCGAAGGTCACCTTGTCAGGGCTGTAGCAATCGGTTCATACGAAGACCAAGCTGCCTGTCGCCGGATGCAGCTGCCTGCTTTGAAAACGTGTTTCGCATGCTCCCTTCCATGGTCATATTATTGGTCGCCCACCTCTCACCGAAGACCCCAAATCATTCCCCTGACTCCCCCAAGTCCAAACTCAACCATCGCATATAGCAGACATGCAGGTCATTAACGTACCTTGTTGCGGAAGAAAGAGCCCGAGACATTGATGGACTCGCAACGGACGACGGTCACCCGCTGTCCGGAGAGGATCTGCTTGGCGAGGACCGAGGCCAGACGGCCGAGCAGGTGGCCCTTGCCGTCGACGAGGATCGGAGTGGATGACATAGAGGCCATCTTGAAGGCTTGTTGGGTCCAGCAAGGAGCTGATTGCTGGGTGTCGGTCGATGATTTGAGCTGGTGCTAGAAGACCAAGAAAGGGTACAGGATCATCATTAATTCGAAGGATGTAAACGAGGTAGGAGCAAGAGCATCGCGCCGTTGCGAGTCCACAGCCCGGAACGACGCGGTGACTAGACGCCGGGCGTGCGGGTGTGGGTGTACCAGTGGGTGGGCGGAACTGTGTTTGGGCTGAAGATTTTGGCTGCTGCGGCAACAAGGATACGGGGGAGCGTAGGCATTGCGCGTGTGTACTGCTGTCGCACGCTGACCCTTCCGCCTTCGCTGCCCTTCGCGCCCATGATGAGGGCACGACTGCAAGCTGCTGGCTGCGATGCGTCTCGAGTGTCCATACTTCACTTTTCCATTTTGAACATTCATTTGGTTGCCACCGTCAGGATCACCGACACCAAGGCCGAGAAGTAAGGTGAGGAGATGACTATATTATCAGGCTTTGCAGCACACCGGCACTAGGTAGGCGAGGACGAAGTCTACGGGTGGATGGAGGACTGCGCAACAAATGCCTACACAGCGATTGATGGGGCAGGAAAGCAGGGTCTGAGGTGGTAAAGCCGGACGTGACGGGACGACTCCTTGATTGGTGTCGAGTGAGCGCGGAAGCCACAGAGAGGAGCTTCAGCTAGCTCAGCATGCGGCGCCCTAAAAGCAGCTGCGAGGATAGATAGGGTGCGGTTGGCAGCTTCGAGAGGGTTCTTGCAGAAGGACTCGCAGCGAGAGGTAAACGCATGCCAACACAGGACACGGCCTCCTTTTCGCGCAGCAAAAGAGCAAGGATATTGGCGAAGGATTGTCACATTCGCTATTGGGTGTGCTGCAGAGGCGAGCTGTTTGAAAAGTGGACGGAATGAAGCTGACTGGGTATCCTGCGAACCTAACCTTCTGCAGTCAAAATGGCAGCCACAAAGATCCCGATCGTCAAGAAGAAGACCAAGAAGTTTGCTCGTCACCATTCTGATCGGTACCACCGGGTCGGCGAATCATGGAGGAAGCCAAAGGGTATCGACTCTGCCGTCCGTAGGCGCTTCAAGGGCACTGTCTTGATGCCCAAGATTGGTTACGGTAGCAACAAGAAGACCAGGCACCTCATGCCTAACGGATACAGGCGGCTGGTTGTGTCGAACGTGAAGGACGTTGAGCTGCTGCTCATGTGAGTTTGATACCCGAACTTGGTGAAGTTCAAAACGAGGTAATTGAACACGTTTCAACTCTTCCGCCGTAGGCACAACGCTTCGTTCGCAGCAGAGATTGCGCACAACGTCAGCTCTAAGAAGCGCATCGACATTCTCGAGAAGTGAGTTGGCAAATTCGCAGCCATTACATCTTTTCCCATAATGTGAATTGACTCCGTCACCGCTTCTCTCATCTGTTCCATAGGGCGAAAGCGCTCGGTGTCCAGGTCACCAACGCCAACGCGAGAGTCCGTGCCGAGGAGGCATAGGCGGTCATGATCTAAGCTTGACCATCACCTTCGCTCCCATCCTCCACTTCCCCTCGTCGCCCTACATGCATCTCGGCGAGGCGAATACTCTCATCCTTACCTCCCTGCCCACGTCCACATGTCGCATGGAGGCAGGCCATGCCTATGCATTTTGAACTCTTTGGTGTTCGCAAAAGAATTCCGCACTCGTCGGAAAAGGGCGACGATGTATTTCTGGCGCGCAACACTTTGTATAATCAATGAGGCTCCTACGCTCCCCTTGTTCTTCGTTGCGGTCGTGGGCTGACTGGGCGGCTGGCTATCGGCACCAACTGCTCGATGTGCTCGACAGTATGGCGAACCATCTATTGCTTTCACTGAAGTTGAGCTACGTGTACAGTCATGTCATGCCATTGATCGATTGAAGAATGGCCGCCAGTACCCCACTTAACCTAGCTGACTGGGTGATCCCTAGCAAATTCATAGCAATCTCCGTGGCATGCAAGTACCAAATACCTTGATGCCTTTCAACTGCCATATTGATGGGTCTGCACTCTGCATCTACATGGTTGCACGCCTTGGGCCTGCAAAGGGAATCTTTGCTACGTGTGGTGAGCGGCCCGTGCCAGAAGTCAGGATAACTCTACAGATGAGTCGGGTGCCACAAGGTGGGATGCAATATGTTGCAAGCAACACCCACGGGACCGATTTCACCCGAAGGTGTGTAGGGTTGCACGCAGCGGAAGCTCTGAGCGGAACGGGCGCTGGGCAGAACGGAAAGAAAAAAAAGGCTGTCGGCCCTCTGTCTCTCTTTCTTCGCACGAGCCGTCAGCCCACCGGACAGATGACACAACCATCAACCACAGAGGAGATCCTTCGATTGTCCATTGGGCCAGCCTTGCTTTTGCAAAGGTTCCCTCGCGAACAAGGGAACGTCGAACGGGAGATGTACGGGTAAAAAGTCGACGTTGATCTCCCGTGCTCTTTGAGGTGCATTTGATCCCTGATCGCCTCATTTGATAGACGCTGCTCTGTTCGTACATCTTCTTTGCAAGGCTGTACACCTTTTAAAATCACGCGACCCGACCCATTTTCTCGCAATCGTACGGCAAGAGCACCTGGAGGATAAAGAGCTTGCTTTTGTTGCTGTAGAGGGCAGCTGCAGGGACAAGATGGCCGACTTGCCGGAGGCTAATGGCGAGCAGCCCAAATCGACCGACATGAGCGTCAATGGTAATGTAGCGGCTCAGGATGAGACCGCTAGCGGACTTCACGATGACCCGCAAGAGGAAGGTAAGAATTGCCTATCGGAAACATCACCGAAAAAACAAAAGCAAGCGTTGACGTTTTCGCTGCTTCATTCCACCTTCTTTACCCTCTGAGCAGCCCAGCAATACCTGATCACAGTGTATCTTCCGGAGAGGCCTCTGCTGCCGGCCAATGCCACGTCGCTCGGTGTGCCAGAGCCGCCGTCGCCGCTACAGATTCCTCTCAGCTCAATCGACACCCTCAACGAGGTTCGCGCAACACTCACGGACAATCATGAAGGATACTGGCTCGGAGCCTTCTGCTTCCGGCGCCCTTTAAAGGCAAGTGAGGCAAAGCCCAACGGCAAAACTGACAGGCTTCAGCTCAGTGAACGATTGTCCGAATGGGTCGAGCTGAAGACGATCTTCGGTGAAGACGCGGCCGAGGACCGTGTCATTTATGTCACCCATGGTGAGAAGCTTATCAAGATAAACCTCACTACGATCTCCAAGAGTACTGACACCATGCGTTGCATTCCTGCTTGTCAAGTTCAATTCAACGAACACGAAGCAAGGCAGCACCTTGTGCGATTCCGTGAAATCCTCTCAGGAGGCTCGCATGACCCCACCAGTCTCGGGATAGATGCAGGAATCAGCGTTCACGATGCTATCCGACACAAGGAGGAATGGATCAAAGAATCTCAGCCGAGCAGTCGAGAACCTGTCACCAAGCAAAAGGGCGGCAAGGGGCAGAAAAAAGATCAAGACAAGGAGCAAGCCAGCAAGGACGTCGAAGCGAGCGCAAAAGATGCTAAGGAAAATCCTTTCGCCAACTGGGATGGATGGACTGAGACACCCATGAGCGCCCTAATCCCCGAGCAAGCGCGAAAGCTCCGCCCGTCTGGGCCGTGCCTTAGGCACATTGCCATGGCGCAATGGAACCCTCCACCTCAAGATCTGCGCCTGCAAGGCCACCATTACTATATCCACGTGGTAACGCTCGAAAACGATACCATCTACATCACAGCCTGCACCGAGGGTTTCTATATCAGCAACTCGACGTCGTCTTCCTTCAACCCGACGCCTCGACCCGGTTCGGCGAGCTTCGCTTCGGTGTCTCTGTATGATCTGCTTTGCGCGTACTCCCCCCTCTTTCTGTTTAACTTTGCCAAACTCTTCCAAGACCCACTCTCGCAGCGCGACTTCCACTCCATCGTCCCCATCACCAACTGCATGCAAGCATTCCCATGGCTCGCCAGGAAGCATGCGCACACGGCTGATGCTGCCAGGTCGCAGATCGCATACCTGCTCACTGGTGCCTTGTCGCTCGATACTCTGGATGGCACACGCGATTGGAATGAAGAGCTGCAATCGACACGTGAGCTGCCTCGCTCCACACTCAACGAGCGTGTACTCAGGGATCGCTTCCTGAGTCGCGTCTATGCAGAGTTTGTCGCTGCCACCGCTCGCGCCGTGCCACGCGTCGCCGCTGGTGAGGTACAAGCTATGAACCCGATGGACAAGCCGGGTGCGCAAATGTTCCTCTGCAACAACCTCTTTATCTCCAAAGGTGTCGACGGCGTGGACCTCTACCCGCATCTTGGGGGAGATGAGGCAGCCTACGTGGCCGTCGGCAAGGATCTCGCTGGTATCAGAATCCTCAACACCCTCGACATCCCCGGCCTCTCGCTCCTTGGCACCGCTGTCGTCGACTGGAAAGGAGAGCGTTGGGTTGCCCAGACCATCGTCCCTGGTCTATTCCGAAAGCATGAGGATCCATCAGAGGAAGATGAAAAGGCGGACGAGGAGGCGAGTGCTACCGCGCAAGATGAGGCCAAGAAAGGAGAGGCTGAAAAGAAGAAAAAGGAACCTACGCCTCTCGAGGAGACTGCGGTCGTCTATGGCGGTGTTGATGGTCCCGAAGTCATTCGCTCAGAGCCCAGCATGCACAAGATCTTTGGCAAGATTTCAAATGCCTTGCGCCTCGCTGAGCATGACATTGAGGATGCAGAAGGCGAAAAACACCGCTTATTCACCAGCGTTGAATGTAAAGGTTTGCAAGGGGCTGATGGACGAAAGTACGCGCTCGATCTGGCTCGACTCAACCCTCTTGATATCGAATGGCTCGAGCAGGATATCAAGGGCAAGTCCGTCAACTCAGATACCGAGGTTGGCGAATATCCTCACCGTCTCACCGTTCTCCGTCCCGAGCTGCTTGAACTGTATTGGGACAGCACCTTCCGCCAATGGGCACGGGACGAACTTGACAAGCAGGAGAAGGAAACAAAAGAAAAGGAAGCTACGGCACGGGATGAAGTCAAAGAGAAGGATGTTGCTGCAGTTGCTGAGCAGCGCAAGATCAACCCCGAAGAATTCAAGCTGAGCTTCAACTGCGATGCCTTTGTTGAGTTCAAGTTTGGCGGTGCCGAGGATGCTCCAAGTGAGATCAAGGTCCTCGTCAACGATGAGTCCGATCCCACCGTCGCGGCCGTGCGCTCTGCGAGCAGGCATCTCCGCGAAATCGCAGTGCCTCGCCTCGTCAGCGACGCAGCCGCTGGTCTGCTCCAGGCCATGGACGGCCAGGCTCTCACGACTCACCTCCATTTGCGCGGTATCAACCTGCGCTACCTTGGACTAGTGGCACACTTGTGCGAACCATCTCAAAAGGAGCGGCTTGACCAGAGCATTCTTGGCAAAGCAGATCCAGGCTACCAGGTCTACCTCGACAGCCTGCGATACGTCTGCTTGCAAGAGATGGTCGTCAGGGGAGGCAAGCGCGTGCTTCGGGAGATGCTCCATGAATGCCGCCTCGATGAGCAAGCCAACGTCGTCTCGCATTTCCTGAACTGCTTGCTCGGGGCTACGCGCAATCCCCAGCCCAGGGCGGTGCACCACCGTTCCCCGTTGCAACTCGGCTCAGAAGATCCTGAATGGACACAACTGACGCCGGCTTCCTTGCACAGCAAGATCGTCGAACAAGTTGCGCGTCGTTACCGATACGCCTTACCCTCTGACTTCATCGAGCACACTCTGCAAAAGCGGCAGACTCTACGCGCGATTTGTCTCAAGATGGGCATCCAACTACACCTCCGCGATTACGATTTTGTCGGCCCCTCAGAAGCTGCTTCTCCGCTGGTCAATGGTCACGCTGCTCTCGAAGGCGCACATGCCCAGAACATTGCGTCTGAGGAATCTGCAACGGACGAACATCACAACACCGAGAGCAAGACAAAGAAAAAGAAGCGCAAGGCGGCTGTGAAGCTCAACGGCGCGCTCGAAGCGGCGGCGAACACGACTTTCACCCCGCAAGATGTCCTGAATCTTGTACCTGTCATCAAGGATTCCACACCCAAGAGTGCTCTGCCTGAAGAGGCCATGGAGGCGGGCAGGACCTGCTTGGCTCGCGGCGAGCGCGACATTGGCATCGAGCTCATCCACGAGGGCATCACCTTTGCTGAGAACATCTATGGCGTTGTCCACCCTGAAGTCTCGCGTGCATATGCTCAGTACGCCTCAACGGTGCACCAACACGCATCTATCATGGCTATCGAGGCGCAGCAGAGGCGCGCCAAAGCACAGGCGGAGAACAAGGAGCCAGAAGAGCCAGAAATTTCGTCGCTGGTTTCCGAGACGCTCACCTTCGCGAACGCGCTCAAGCTGCAGCGCCTGGCGGTGACAGTAGCGGAACGTACGATCGGCCTCGACTCACAGGAGACGCTATTCCAGTGGATCAACCTGTCGGTCATGGAGCGCGTCAATCGCAATTCGTACGAGGCTATGGCCTGTCAGAAGCGAGCACTTGAGCTTTGGGATATCATCCACGGCAGGGAGCACCCAGAAAGCATTCAGTCTCTCATGCAGATCGCTCAGACGCTGCAAGCGATCAATGAGCCGTCCCAGGGCATGAAGGTCTTTCAGACTGCCTACGATCTGACGCGCAAACTCTTTGGCACCAACAGCATTCACACTGGGCAGGCTGCCCACGCCATGGGAGAATCCCAGACGCTGGCCGGTGACCTGAAGAGCGCTGTGTCGTTCGCCAAGGAGGCTTACAATATTTTCGAAGCACGTCTGGGCAAGGAGGACGAGCAGACGCGTGACAGCGAGCAGTTCCTCAGCGCGCTGACGGCCGCTGCCGTTCGCTACGCCAAGGCCGAGAAGGATGCACTGGAGCGTCAGCGGGCGCTGCGTGCTCGCATCAGTAACACGACGGGGCCAAGAGGCGCGCTGCGGCTAACGCAGCGGCAGCAGCAGGCGCAGGTGCGCGCGTCATCTGCTTCCGCTTCCGCGGCCGATGCAGCGCCATCAGGCCCGGCATCTGCGACGGTAGACCCCGAGCTTAGCAAACGTCTATCGCAGCTACCTGTGTCAGAGATTGTCAAGTACATCCAAGGGGGCGAGAACAGCAAGACGGCGAGCTCCTCGTCTTCTTCGAGGAAGGGAAAAGGCCGTGCCAAGGGCAGTGCATCTAGCAGACTCGGACGATGATGAAGTACATGCCTGACGTGCTTGCCCGACGTCATTGACTTGAGGTCTACGGGCTCTCGTTTTTTTGAATCCAAACAAAATGCCGGCATCTCTGTATGAAGATGTCCATGAGATCCACATCCCCCTCAAAAAGCATCCATCCATAATCATTTGCAAGAGAGAGTCACTCCCACTTTCCTTACAAAGTCAACCTGTATCATGCACGACACTTTCCTTTCGCAATGCACACACCGCTCTGCTAGCTCCTTTTGGGGGGTCGACGTGCAGCTGTCCTGCGCATCCGCCCAATGCCCATGTATGTCTGTGCTCCTCCTGCCGACTCATCTCGACGACCCGGGCGGCCAGGGCTGCTGTGCCGGCCAAGCAGGCTCAAACGCATCACTGGCCGATGCCACTCACAACTTGGACGTTTGGCGACTGGCACTCCTGACTAATTGGTGCTACCTGTGGGCTTTTCCTGGCATTTGGAAAGCAACCCGACGATTGCTTGATGTATAACCATCTGTATGCCTGCCTACACTTGCATGTTTCTCGGCCCGCACACAAGTCGTAACCCTTCTTCTTTCGCACGTGTCCCTTTAACCCTTGATCGAGATCATCTTCGTTTGTCCCTTGCAGGGATGTATGCATTTAGCGGGACAGTTCTGCGTGGCAGCTTTGCGACGGCTGGCGACAGACTTAGATACTTGGCACTCAATCAAAGTGCTTTTGACCTGCCCTGCCGCTGGCACACTCAACCATCAGCCACAGCCTGCCACAGCTTGCCGTCGGCAGATCTGTCGCAACTCGCAGGCCCGCCTTGGTGGAAGGCCCCACAGGAGCGCGGATGGTGGGAGAACTGGTCACTGTATCTGAAAGGGACCACAGTTCATCCAAAAAGAACGCACGAGCCACAACAGGAACAAGCAGTCCAGAAGATGGCATGGCGGTACTCACCTGCAGACATCATGAACACCCCCGGCGCACAGTGCTCCCACCCTCTTCCGTCTGCTCCCACAGAGGCACACTAATCACACAACTACCCTCTCACTCTCACTCTCACAAGGCACAGGCACAGGCATGGAGCAGTATGTAATATGTGTAAATAAGGCATATGCCGTTCTCGGATAACACTGCGGCGGTGCGGTGCCGTGGATGACATGATTCCAGCACGTCCAGGCGTTATCAAGGGTGCAAACGGCACATGATGCATATGCATGTATGTCCATAATATAGACAGATGCAGTGCTGTTTTTCTAGATGTATCCTTCTTTGTTTGACCATTGAACGTGCAAACGTGCTTTTATTGTGTGCACTTAGCACTAGCTACGTATGGATGAAAGCAGCTCGGAGCCGGAGTGAAAGGCACTGCCCACTGCCCAGTACCCTGGCTTCGCTTGGCCCAACTCGGCCCGACCGGCTGGCCTCTCTCTCTGGCCCCGGCAGTGCTTGGGCAGGATTTGGGTAATGGACTCGTGTACATGCCAAATGTGCGATGCGCACTGACCACTTCTACACAGCGTGGCCTCCTGCCCTGCTTTTGGGTCACGTTTGTCGGCATCTCACGGCACCTTTTAACAGTACAGCACGGCAGTTACCGCCTATCACCACTACGGCGGATCACTGCGGCATTGCCCCGCCATTTCGCTAGCCTCTACCGCTAATGGAAATTATGATTCGCTTCCGCTGACGTCTGCCGCCATGCCCTACGCCCATCACTTCCATCATACGCTACAGTGCTTTCAACTTTTTTTGGACTTGCATTTTTTGTGGTTGCGGAGACTGGCGAGTGTCATCATCATCATCATCGGTGTGCGTGGTGGTGCCTGAAATAAGATGTTCAGAATTCAATTCGCGTTGCGCTACATCGCGCCCTCTTGCGGATTGGCTGCCTCTGCTGCATCGGCTCACAACAGGCTGGGGGCACAGTGTGTGAAGGGGGGGGGGGCTTCTTGGGCGGGACATCAACAAACTCACTCATCGCCGTCAGAATCCCATATCATCACAATCTCTCTCGGCTACATACAGACACCCACACGCCCCTTGTCGTAGCGGAGAGGTTTTTGGCTCCGCTTTCCACGATCAGATCCACCTCATCCCTCTCGCCGTCGCCGTCGCTGCTGCAAAGGAGAGGCTCGAATCCACGTCCCGCTCCATCACCACCGCCAACTCGTGCTGCTGTGGATGAGCGTGCATGATACGATCCCTGGTTGCAACCTGCCGGGCCTCGATCTGTATCGTCAACATACCACCGTACCTACGCCGTCTGCGCTACTGCCCAGAGCTGAATCAACTGAAGTGTCGCATCTCTCCAAGACCCGCGACGGTCACGGGTCGGGCATCACGCATGACCGCATGAACCTCGCTGTCTCCCATCCTTCATCTTCATCGCCTCGCCGCTGAGATCAATACCATCACAGCCATCACCAGAACTATAGCAGCAGAGTGCTGTCAGCCGAATCCAGCTGCCAAGTCGTCCGCTGCTATCTAACAAGCGAAAGCAGTCATCGCCCTCGTCCCTCGCCTGCAGCCGCTGCTGCCGTTGTTTCCGTCCTTATCCCAGCAACGTCGACGAGACGAGCTCGAGACTGACACTTGCACTGGGCCTAGGCGGCTCGCCTGCCAGCCAGCCTGCCCACCGACTCACCAGACGCTATGCTACCCGCAAGCGTCGCCCTTCATCCCGTCGCATCTCGTAGTGGCGAACAGTCTGCAACCATCGTTTCAGTAGACGTCAGGGCAGCCCGCGTCGGTGTCGGCGCGCAGCACAGTCATCTGGTATCTCAAAATGCTACAGATGGCCTTTCCACGGGCACCGCTGCCAGCATGGATGCCGCTGAAAGCCAAGATACAAACCAGAATGTGACGCACAGCATTCTATTATCCAAGAGTCAGCGCCCATACCTCCGCAGATCTCCTCACAGCAGCGGCCCAACCGAGCGCACAGTTCAGTGGGATGGTTGCCCAGCCGTTGTGGACACGGAGCCATCCTTGGCACGCCCAGTTATCGAGAATCCTGTGTGGGGCGTGCAGCATGAGGACATCAGCGCGTACCCCATCGTCGAGACTGCTCCCACAGCTGGCCTTTGGGATGTGGACCCGTCGTCAGCCAGTCGCAAGAGAGCTGCTTCGACAGCTTCGGCTCCGCCTGGAGGACAGTCTTTGCACAGCGATGACTCGCACCATTTGCCACTGGACGCTGATACTCTGCCGCTGCGCAAAATGTCTGCAGCGCAGTTTGCCGAGCTCTTTGCCCGCTACGCCTCCACGGACGTCCCTCATGCTGTCGTCTTTCCCTTCATGCACGGCGTCGACGGCGAGAATGTTGCCCAGAACGTCTTTTTTGGTGCTCCCTTGTCTGGCATGCCCGCTCCTCGCTACCGTGGTCTCACCGTCGTCAGGGCTGACATGCCAGCTCCGGGCCAGAAGCTCTTGTACCAGCGTCGCTGTCGCGCTTCTGCAAGGCCTCAAGCCAGCAACGGCAGCGCAACGACCAGGTCGCGGGCCGACTCTGTCCTCACGGATGCATCCGACTCGGCACTCTCCGGTAACAACCACAGCACAAGCAACAGTAGCGACGGTCACGGTCCATATGGAGGAGTCACCATACCCTTGTCGACGACGAGTTCTGCACATTCCGTCTCATCATACAGCCCCTCGCTTTTCTCGCATCGGAGCGGCGTAGGAAGTGCCAGCCTTGTATCCATCTCAAGCATTAGCAGCACAACTACTGGTGAAGACGGTTTCTTTGGCGAATCAGCGGAAAAATCTAATGCTCGCTACTCGAACGGAAGCACCTTCCAAGCCACATACCGCCAGCCTTACGAGCCGCAACCGGGGCATTCTTTGCTTAATAGCTCTGTCTTCCCAGTCGAGCTCCTCATCGCGCCGCCATTCGCTGCCTCGCGCTCGTCTAAGAAGGACTGTAATGCTACACTTAGCACGGCTTCAGCGGCCGGAGGAAAGAAGGGCCAGCGTGCCCGGTTCGTCAAGCCACGTCAGGCATCAGGCGTCAGCCTGCGCAACTTTAAGATCCAGTGCGCCAAGTACGCCACCATCTCCGACATTGTCCTTTACTGCCCTGCTGGCATGCACGAGGGCATGGTCGAGCTCGCAAATTGGTTCAGGGATGCGCAGGACGCTTGGTGGGAAGAGCGTCAGGCAAGGAACCTAGGCGGCTTGAGATATAACGTCTTCCTCATCGAAGGTGAGTGGCCTTGTTCGGAAGAAGAGATGTTGTGTTCATACTCCTGAGAACCCTTCCCACTATTTGCTCTTGTTCCCCAGACCCATTCGACGTGTTCGAAGAGCAGTTCCCCGAGTTGGTTTCTGTCGATTCAGCAGGCCGATCGGCGAACCGTGTAGACTTTGTCGATCGCGAACGCGAGGAGATGCAGCGCCTCACACGAGCGAGCGAGATCGATACCAACGTGTGGCTCGGCTCCACTGGCGACGTTCCGCTCACCGACGGCTCTGCAGAGCGCATCCACATACCAAACAGCTTCAGTGCCGCCGAGGAAGCTCGCACAGCCAATCCACACAACTTTTCGATCTGCATCGAGGCGCATGAGGCCGGCGAAATGCCTACACCCTCCCGCCTGGCACATGCTGCCGACTACCTCGACGCATTGGAGACCATCTCGCGACGTGACCGCCCGTGCGGCAGGGAAGCGCAGGACGTCGACCGTGATGCCAACGAATTCGAAATCGAAGAGATGGACCATGATAAAGGCCGTTCCATGCTGTCTCTCGGACCTAAGGGTTGGTCCGCACCGGCCCGCAAGCGCTCTAGCAGATTGACTCCTCGCGGCTATCGCAGATCGAGCTCTTCCTCGGCGCCCTCCACCCCGGTTCCCTTCCCGCCGCTGCCGATCGCGCCCGAGAGCATGGTGCTACTCGAAAGCCCTGTGGCATGTCAGCATGAAAGTCACGGCTTGACAACGCAGAGCAGGCTTGTCGATAACTTGATCGACCTCTGCGTTTGGATCAAGCAGCAGGCTGAGCCAGCTTCCTCCGTTCCCATCCCTGTTCCAGCCACCAGCAGCTGGATGCTGCGCAAGGCGAGCGAGAAAGAGAAGCAGCACATGCCTCGGAGAGTCTTGCTCTACTGCGGGGATGGGTATACGGAGACATCCGTCCTAGCACTGACCTACACCATGTTCTCGCGCCGTCTCTGCCTCCCGGAGGCCTACCTCTATCTTCAGAACGAGGCGCACCGCTCTTTCTTCGTCTATTCGCGCGAGCTGCCACTGCTCAAGAAGATTGAGGCAAAACTTCAGCAGCGCATCAACCTCAGCAACGGTGCTCCTTATGGCAACATAGAACGGTCGAGGTACAACACCTGGTCAGGCACTGTCCACAGCACCCAGCTCGTTGAGCAGCCGCCGTCCGGCCCGCAAATAGCCGTTGCAGACCTTGAAGAGTCTTTCGGTGTCATTGACGAGCCCGAGCCGGCAGCTGCTGCTCCCGAGCGCAGTGGGTGGCAGCGCAGCCTGGCCGCAGCCGCTTCCGGACTAGTGTCCGCCATCCCGAGTGCCCATCACAAGCGGCACAACTCGGTCGGCTCCGCAACGATCGCCAAGTCTGGTGGCGGCAGCAGCAGCTCGGCTAGAGCGAAGACGCCGACGCCCGCGTCGCCGCAGCTTGGTCCCGTCTGGCCACTCGCGACGAGGCAGGAGGAGAAGTACGCTTGGTTTTACGATGCTCGTTTCGAAGGCGCTTTCCCTTCGCGCATCTTGCCTTTCCTATATCTGGGCAACCTCAACCATGCGCTGAATGCAGGGATGCTGCACGCGCTCGGCATCACCCATGTCGTCTCCGTTGGAGAGTCCGCGCTCGCGCCGGGGGATGCTTCGCTTGCCACTGCGACTATGCAACACTCCAGTACGACGGAAGGGACCTCCGACTCAGTTCCCTCTAACGCGCCTAAGGTTAACTCTCTATGGGACGAGAGGAACGCCGGCCGCATCAGTGTTCTTGATCTTAAGAACGTCTCTGATGACGGCATCGATCCATTGCGCTCGACGATGAAGCAGGCCGTCGAGTACATCGAAGCTTGCAGGCGGAGTGGCGGCAAAGTGCTGGTGCACTGCAGAGTCGGCGTCAGCCGCAGCTCGACCATTGTCCTCGCGTACGTCATGGCGCACCTCGACCTTTCCCTCGTCGAGTCCTATTTGCTCGTGCGCAGCCGTAGACTCAACATCCTCATCCAGCCTCATCTGCTGTTCTTCTGGGAGCTGCGGTCCTGGGAGACTTATCTGGCGCAGCAGAAGCTCGCCCGCGTCGGCTTCACCGGTATTCGAAGCCTCGCTGACGCTAGTGTCCGTGAGGAGGACGGCGACGTGCTCATGAACGAAAGCCGCTTTGGTGAAATGCCAAGTTGCTGGCGAGCGGCTGAAGATCACTTTGCATCGCTTTCCCTCGTCGAAGCATCTTCTGCGAAGCACATGTTGGAAATGATGCAGGGTCGGGCGGCCGAGGACGACGCGATTGATATGGATCTGGCCGTTGGCGCTGGTAGCATCCACGGTATCACCATGCAAGTGCCACATGGCCCACACTTCGGCTGCGGCAGCCCGCAAGGTCTTCCGAGTATTTCCCTGAGGCTCACCTGGGGCTTCCTCGCGCGCGAGATTGCACATCTCAAGTACGTAAACGGTTTCTCACCTTGCTTCTGAAACGCCCATGACTGAACAAATTCCTGTTGCGCAACTCTTTCCGCAGTGAGAGGTATTTCCAATGATCAGCAAATTAGCATACACCAGGGCACATCCGACATACAACTGTACTTCTACTGGGAATCATCTCAGCCGCACCGCAAGTTTTCACTTCGAGGTTATTACAGGTCTGGGTAAATCTGCACAGGGGCCTTTTTCTGGTACTGTTTCATACGAAATTACATGTAGAATACAAACACCAGTAAGGCTTGCTTGGTGATCCGCTGTTACTCGGTCTCCAGACTCATGCTTGCACTCTGCTCTCCCGTTGCTGCAGTGGCGCCACTGATATGCCCCTGAAACTTGCTCTGACCAACACCACCAACGGACCATTCCCCCGTGTCAAGGGTGGGAGACGGTGCTGATTCTGAAAGGGGCGCCGACTCGGCGAATTCGCTCAGAGCAGCTTCGAGTAGCGCAGTCGCCGCAGGATCGCGCGGATTGATCGCAAGCGCCTGGAAAAGAGAATCGCTCAGCTTTCCGACCGTGACATGATATGAGTTTCTGCAACCTACCTCATGCACGAGCTCAATCGTTTCTGCAATCCGGTCCTCTTGCAGCTTCACGATCGCTAGGCCAAGATACGCGGTGGCGTTATGCGGGTCAATGTCCAGCACCTCACGATATGCCCGTGATGCTCCCGACAGATCTCTGGAAACAGGGTGTCAGTAGTAGTGAAGTAGCCACTTTGCATGCCTAGTCAGCACTCACTTGGCGCATCGGTGTGCATGAGCAAGGTTCAGCATACAGCCTGTCCAGGCGTGTAGAGATTCATTGACACTCTTTGCAATGGCAATCGCTTTCGAGAATGTGCTGATCGCAACATCGTACCTGAGTTGACCCATTTGCAGGGTGCACAAAGTCAGTACATCCGACTTGCGTTTCGTTCGTCGCTCTAAGCGGGACTCACTCCTGGCGGTGAAACGCCACGACACCGCTTTCATTCAGGCAGAGCGGGTCTTCAGGAAGGAGAGCGCTGCTGGCTTTGAAGAACAAGTCAGCCAGATGAAAGTTGCCCTGGTGCACGTGCTCCATGCCGATGAAGACCTTTGGGAGATGCGACTGTTGGAATTTTCGGGCCGCGGTACTGTACGCAACAATGGCTTGGTCTGATTCTCCTTGCATAGCGAAGCTGTGTGCAAAGGCGATCCATGCGGGAGCGAAGCGAGGATCAAGCATTGATGCTTTGCTGTGTTTCGCGAGACGGTGTAGTGGCACTGGATCAGCATTGAGATCAGGAGACTGCAAGTGTAATTGCCTCTCACCTGAAATAACGCCGAGCTTGAAGCCATCGATCGGTAGCTGCGTACCAAGCACCCACAGCATACCACGAGCAAGCGTTGTCAGGGTCATTTTCGACCAAGCGATGAGCGACAATAAAAAGAGATGGTTTGAGCCTCTCCAGGTGGTACATGCACCCAATGTGTAGCGGCAAGGCGCCTTGATGATCTGGGGAGATCTCCATCACACGAGATGTGACCGTGTGGGCATCTTCAAAACGAAGATGGGTATATAGCTCCTCTGCAAGCCCGAGGAGCACTTCCGGATTTGTGAGTCCGATATTGAACTCTCGAGCAAGCCTTTTTCTTGCCTCTCCACTGCGTCTCGAATGCTCTAGCGATTGCTTCGGTAATCGCACGGTGTACAGATAGCGAACGACATCGAGTTCACCCTCCCCTTCGCCAGGTTGATGTGTGCTACCCTGCGCGTGAAAGTCGAGATTCTGGACAAAGTCCCACAGAGCGTCAACGGCAAGCAAAGATCCATCAAGCAGAGCTGCAAAAGCCTCGTAGTTCTTAACGTCGAGGCTGAGAGCTTTCATGAAGCTTTCGCGAGCTTTGTCGAGTTCATCGAGACGCAGATAAATGAGGCCTCTCAGATGGCACGCCGAAGAGACTAGCTTGATGCCGCCGTCCCAAGCGGGGGACTTGTGATGGGCAGTGTCTAGCAAAAAAAACGCCGGGGTAAGCTTTCCATGATCTTAAACGAGCCTGCAGAGGCAACGTACCGCTTCCTTGCCATCGGGTGTGATCTCGGCCCAGGAGATCCAGAGCTTCGTAGAATCTGCCAAGTCGGACCTTTTCGTCGAGCGTTTAGCCTCTGCACTCGACCCACTTCCCTACTTCTTTTTGGCCGACTCACTAGACATTGAGCACCAAGGTAGCGGCAAGGCTGGCTATAGCTGATGAGGCACGGGCCTTCAGCGGTTGGCCGCTCCTGCGCTTTAACTTCTTGAACGCATCGATCCACGTCTTCCAGCCATACCTCCTCTTCGTCATCCCGTGCGGCCTCTGTTGTCTTTAAGGACAGATTTTTCGCAGTCCCCTTCTGCAGCATCCATGATCTTTCATTGGCACTCTCCATGCTTGCATAACTGGCACTCGCATCTCCTTCGTCTTCACTTCCCGTACCGGTACCACTGACGGTAAAACTTCGATCTTTACGCTTGTTTCTGCGTCGAGCCTGTTTTGAGGCCTCTTGACGCCTGTGAAGCACAAGACTGGACAAGCGCGTGCCAGCTAAGGCTGCCTCCAGCGCGTCCGACTCTTCTCCGACTGTTGTGCCTTGCGCATTGTCATCGAGCGGTGATAGTGATGACCCGGCTCGGTCAGGAAGCGGGGTCGCAAGCAGATCAAAGGCTTTTTGGTAATGGTGTGACAGGAAATAGGCGTTTGCTAGGAAGTATGCATCATTGTATGCCTCCTCAGTCACTAAACGCAAGGTTGTCACGTCAGTTTTGCACTTCTGCCGTCATTTGTTTCACGCTGCACTCACGCTCCAATGAGAGAACTTTGTCCCCCCAAAAGATGGCAGTGTCGTACAAATGGGCTTGCAATGCATCATGCATCCATCTGCGCATTTTCATAGCCATGCGAGATGAACGATCTCCCTTAAAGGAAAGAATAAGCAGCCGTATCAGCCAAGCAAGGCAAATCGCCATAAGTAGCATGTCGAGTTTGACTGACCTCGACTTTATCTGCCGACGGATTCTCTGCGAGCGCTGGCAATCGCGCGCCAGCCACGACGGCTGCAGATGCGGAAGGAGTAGAGCGGGGGGCGTGCCCAGATTTTGAGCCTGTAGGCGCGTTGAAGGCGGCAGCAGTCGCCGTCTTTTGCTCTTGTACAGAGCTGAAGGTAGGCGCGTGAGCCAACAAGCCGCTGTTGTTGGCTTGCTGCTCGTCTCTAAGTATGCTTGCGTTTGTTTCTTCTGCAATGATTGCGCCTGCCTCTGTCCTCATGGACAGCCGACCATGCGAAGGGAGGTCTCCATCTGGATTTGGCATCTCCGGATTGGATGGGTTTCCGTGGATCCGAGCAGAATGCGCACTCTCTGGAGCTCCTGCACTTGTTCGGAAGACCAAAGCTCTCACTGGACCTACATTTCGGCGACCTATGAAGGAAGCGTCTGCTTCGGATTCGTTCCCCCCCCCTTGCACGCTGTCATTCAAGCCAAAGGATGGGCGGACCAAGCCTGGTCGAGCGAAGCGATCCCTGATCAATCGCGGAGGGCTTCTTCTATGCGCTGCAGCTGGATCTTGTCGACGTCCTTCATTGATGCTGACGGAAGGGGAGCCCCACGATAGATCTGCAAGCCGCTCTGGCGTTGCTTGATTGTGGCGAGGAAATCGGTCTGTGCGATGGACTGGTGTGGCCATGGCGTCGAGGAGCTCAGCCTTTCTGTTGCCTCAGACCTCCGTTGCGTTTCGTTGTACCAACAAGTCAATCGGTCGAGGCGTAGCATAGAGGCATTTTGATTTCGTCGCTTCCACGGTAAGCAGTGAAAACCTCCAATGCAAGCGAGGGTCGACTGTCCATGATTCGTTGGCATGTGATTCTGACGTGCTTGGAAGTCGAAGTGCGTTGGGCGTGTTTGACATGGAATGTGTTGCATTCGTCGTTGGAAGGGGCGAACGCGTCGCGCCGCGAAATAACCTTCAATATCATGAAAGTAGGGTTGTAACCACGCTACTATTCAGCCTAGATTAGATCTCTCTTTTTATTGGTTTTGATCAGCGCAACAGTCACAACCAACCCTTTCCTGCGGTGAGAGTCGCTTCCCGATTCCATTCATATTCTTAG